TGTATAATCTTGTAGCATTGTCGACTCTATTTTCTGCCTTTGTCACTCCTTGTATATCTCAACAATTTGTTCTTTCCATTCATCATAGCCAACTGACATTAGTATTTTGATGCTGATGGCTGAGATCATTGTGATGTATAAGGAGGGGACCCCTCTCTTGAGGGCCTCCACCATTTGCCCATTGTTTCTTATATCATCACAGATTCTAGTGAGTTTTGCCAGACATTCAAGTTCATTAAAGTAATCTGTAGCCACCTTGTCTCCCATCTTGTATTCTTTGATTTTCTGTTTATGGACCTCCTGTACTGCAGAGTCAATAAACTTCTTGTTTAACATTTGTTTAAAAACTGGCCATGAGGGATATTAGTAATGCTTCTGAGTCAATGATTGGAAGTTCGAAGAGATCAGGATCCACTATTTTTTTGTCTTTTCTTCAAGATAGGATGTGGTGAATACTATCTTATTCATATCAGTTTTCAAATAGCTGATATAAGCTTCAAAGTACTATTTACAGTCTACAATGAAGCAATCGATATCATCAGATGCTCTGATGCCCCCTTGAAGGGGCATAGTTTTCATAAGAGGTCAGGATAATACTGGAGAATGGTGGCATTGTGAGGCAATGCTCTCATCAGGTTGGGCCAGTCAGAGAATAGTGATTGTTACCATTTTTAGAGTGATCCTGAGAATGAATAGAGCGAGTTGTCATTGGTGACAGGGCTTTTTTGTAGCAGCTCCTCCTTTCAGATGATTACTCTGTCCTGAATTGTAAATCCCAGTCATATAGCTTTGGAGTCATCTCAAATCAGCTCTTTCCCTGTCCTGCTTTCCTTGGCTTGGTCTGAAGGCAGCTGTCCCCTCAAAAGTTGGCTTTCTGTGCCTGTCTAAGGGTTTGAGAATCCACTTGGTACCCCCTTTGGCTTGGGTTGTGATCATGCTAGCCAGGTTGCCATTGATCGGGTTGAGAGGTCGGAGTATAAAAAGATGCTGTGAACTGACAGAGTTTGGTACTCAGCTCTTTTCAGCATCTTAGAGGATGATAGTAGCATTGGTTGGATGAGAGGTGTTGGCACATAGGCCATCAGCTGATTGACTGAATCTTCCAGGTGCCTCTGGTTATACTACTGAGTAGTGTAGTCTGTGGCCACCCATCTCAGAATCTCTGTTCATTTGTTAGTTTCTGAACGTAAATATAATTGTCTCATTTGCAATGCTACTCAAGCAGCATTGCACCATAGAAAGTTTATCCTCCATAGGTAGTACTCCTGGTACTCCCAATTCCTTGCTTCTCAAATCAGCCTTTTCAGTTCTTCTTCATCTATCTCTCTCTGTGAGTCATATAGTGGCCTCTGTGGTGGATCGCTACTCTCAGTTTCTTCCTTATCCTCATTGTCCTCCCCTTCCCCAGAGAAGGTGCCAGACAGGTCATAGAAACTCTTCTCATCCCCTACTGGTCAGACTGTCATCTTGCTGCTCTGGCTGAATGCTAGAGCCAGCGATAGAGGCTGAGGCATTGGACATGCTGGGGTAGGTGGTGATGGATTGACTTCTGATATATTTGTTGTACCTATTTTCTCCTGTCACTCTCACCACCTCCACTCACTTGTGATAGAGCTGGATGTTCTTTCTATATCCATCATCGAGTAACTGTCTGACAACTCAGCTTCCAAGAAATTCTCAGAGTGTGCAAGTGAGGATGTGAGTAGTTCCAGGGACTCATAGTCTGTAGTGTCTAAGAACAGACTCATCATTGTTGAACATAGTGTCAGCACTTGGTATTCTTCAGAAAGGAGGATATTGTGGAGTAGGGGGATGCAGAGGAGTTTCAGAGTCCACTCCTTCTGCTGCAATAGTTTCATTTCTCCAGCAGTTTGTGCTCCACTGACTGGATCCTGTGCTCAGCTCTCTGAAGACTGGGGAAGAGCCAGTATATACTGGAGTGAGGATGGTGGCCCCCTCAGGTCAGAGTCTATACTAGTTGGAGACATCAGCTCTTTTCAGTTGAGCCCTCTCAATCTTCCACTGCTCTTCTCGGTGTTGCCTGTCATACTTGGTGGCTTCTCCCTGCCTTTGTTCACTCTCAATGATATGCTCCTCAAGCTCACTGTGAACTGACTGTGATGCAGTTCACTGTCTCTGCTCTTCTTGTCAGATAGCTTCTTTATAGTTGAAAGAGGCATTCATATCCCAGGTTGGAAAGTATCAATGGATAACTTTATCCTATACTTCCCTTCCACACTGCTTGTCACAGATCCACTCTGAGGATGTTCTCTCCATCCCACTGCTTGTCCCAATTGAGTGGAGGAGAGTTGTGGCAGAGCTGTGAGGCTGACTTCTAGAAGATTTGTGTTGGGATCTTCCAGCCATCCAAGTGGAACTAAGAGAGTCTCTGGCACAGTTACCAATCTCTTCAGTTGGAGAGGCAGAGGTAGAGTTGGAAGAGAGAGACTGCTGAAAGAAGTCTCCTGGGATCTCCTCATCTTTGTGGTCTGGTGGGAGTCCTCAGACCCATGGATTTCAGAATCCTGTGAGGTCAGTGTCACGGTCTCTGCTGGGTCATTTAGAGGGGTATCAGTGTCTCTCTTCTTCTTGAATGTCCCTTTGATGTAAGCTGCTAGATCTGGCTTTTGATACAGGGCTTGTCAGGGACTGGTGGGATGTTCATCGGGATTTGAGAATGTTATGGAGGGGGAGATTGGAGGTTACATTTTATAAGATATGTCAAATATATAAAAACTCATTATAATATCTGAGAGCCCAGGCAGTGATTGAATGGTATCCCCAGCACACCTAGATGATCACCAATAATCTTATCAATATTCCAATAATAGAGGCAAGAAGTTCAAAGAACTCATAGTCAAAGTTTGGATTTGAGAGATCAATAGAGGGCATTCAGTTTCTCAGCACAATTGGGCTTGAGAAAGGGAAGGTGAAAGCTTCAAGCTAATTATTAGACTTAAGCTGCATATGATCAACTTAGCATGTGATAAACTAACATGGCTTTGCATTTAAGCCTTCCATTAGAGTTCACTGAGTGTACTAGATGTCGATCTTTTATGCTTCAAGACACTGAGTGATTTAGCTCAAGAGTAGAATGAGAGTGTATAAACTTTAGCTCAAAGCTGGAGATTACCAGTGAGGTCAAGCTGCCTTAAATACTGTACAAGTTGTGGCTAATAATACTACTGCCTATTGTGTGTTGTCAAGTCCTTTGTGCTCATTGTCCTTGGACACCATTACTATATATAAAAGAGGAATTGTGTATTGTCAGGTGTCATCATTGTGTTGAAAGACAATGACCAACTCAGCTAGTTGTGATGACTAAGCTTCATCCTATGGTCTTAAGTGCTGGTATTGGTGCTCTGACTAAGCCTAAATAGGGGCTAAAATAAAAAGGAAAAAGGAAAAATCATAATATTTTCCAATCAAAAACAACCATCTCTTTTACCACTCAACCTCATCAATAACAAGAAACATTATAAAATTAATTAAATTCTTAATCATCATCTTTGTAAAATTCGTGCACAGAGAGAAGGCTCTACAACCACCATTGACTATTTAGTGAGCTGGAAGGGCTACAGTCTGGAGTCCAACCAGTGGGTAAACAAAAAACACATGTCTACTGATGACACTATATACAACTATGAATTATCTCTAAATTAAGCTATCAGAACAATAGTTTTAAAGAGAGTGTAATATTATAATCTTTTCTTTTCTTTTCTTTCTTTTTTTTATTCTACCTCTATTTATGCTTAGTCAGAGCACTTAGACCAGCACTTAAGACTGTGGGACAGGCTTAGTCATCACAATAAGCTATATCTGTCATTGTCTTCTGACACAATAATCTTTTTGTAGACAGTAATGATGCTCAAAAACAAAGGGCACAAAGACTTAAACAAATACAATAAGTAGTAGTATATTTATCTTAATAGATGAGTAGTATATAAGTAGGATAGCTCTCACTGTATAACTCCAGCTTCAAACTAAAGTTTATTCTATACCACTTCACTTTGAAGCTGATCTGCAAAGGCCTTGAAGCATATTGGTCAATAAATACATACAGTGGACTCTAGCATGACTGTATGAACTTGATACAGCACTAGTTTATCATGTGTTCCGATCACATGTGACTTAGATCTAATAAGAAGAGTGAGAAAAAACAGACCTTAATAACTACAAGAGAAGGATTTGAGCTTATTCAAAAGCTGAGAGCATTTTGTGTTTCACAAGGTGACCAGAATAGAGTAGTACCACATCTCAGAAAGTTGAGAGGTGCATTATTCAAAGAGATGCATGGAAAGCTGACCCAAAAGCCACTGACAGCATTTTGAGGCAACAATGTTGTCACATATGTCACATGTCACATCACGTGCTATTTTGATTCTGCATAAATCTATAAATGCATACAGTTTTGGTGTCTCCCGACCATATGCAGTGTGAGATAGTCAACTGTAGATAGATATAGATAGATAGACGCATGAATGGTAAACCCAAGCCAGTCTCAGCATAATCTGCTGAGATTGTTCAAAGATTGTCAGATCCTACAAGCTACTGTGTCTCTGATGGTGAATTTGAAACCCGCACTGCTTCCTGAAATGTACGGCCTGGGTACATACCGCTGTATTTTATGAACACTCTTCTAAAGAGTGAGGAGATCAATGCCGTGGATCGCGATTACTTCCAACGCCGTATGGAGTGACATGCAGAGGAAAGACAGCGTGGAACTGGACGCAGTGGTCTTCTTCAGTCTCCAAAGTGTAATCGCGACAACTACTTCCAGCACGACCTGCTGTGGCCCACATGGATGTCATCTGCTACACGTTCGGCGTAGAACGGTAACAGCCAGTACCCATATATTCGCAGCATGTGTGGTGCCACAGATAACGATCAAGACATCTTCGCCCTCCATTGGACCGGGAAGACTTGATACTCCGCCAAGAATGCTGACATGAACGCACTGTGGAGCAGAAGCTGCCAGCTTCTGATACCCCTTCCTAGGAGAGTTTTCTCACTCTCACAGCGGCCATGGGACCATTCGAATGCTTAAACTACCGACAGAGATATCGGTCGACAGCAAGCAGCGTTGAGCAAGAATGCCGGAGGTGGATATGACGCTGGCTTTCTTTCCAATCCCCACTTGGTTCATGGAGCTGTCTTAGTGTCGTATTGGTCGGGTGCAGACTCGGATGCCGGTTAGCGGTAGAAGAACTGGGGAACAAGACGATTACAGTTACAATCGCATCGCATCTCGAAGCTCTGGCCACTTTGTCTCGTCCTATGACTGAGTCTTGACATAGCGTAGTCGGCAATAGTCTGGGGCAGAAACTAGAGCCATGATTGTGAGGACGTCTGCATATACATATTCTAGAACCGTGTTACACACGGAGTTGAAGTGGGGGATCCTTCTTGGCAGAAATGACGGTATTTGCGGCGCCTATGGGTCAGTCTATCTGGGGCTAATTAGCCTATCGGCGTCAAATATACATAGGTGAAAATAATGCCTGGATTTAGTTTGCTCATGTGGACACGACAACACTAATAACAGTCCAGAGGGTGTTTTTAGAATCGAGAGTGAGTACCCCGAAAATTAAGCTGCCTTTTGTGTTATTTTGGACCCAAACTTTGCAGACATCAGCCTAAAGGATTTGATCGATGAGTCACGGTCGCCTGATTGCTTGCAGCAAACGGAAAAGGCTCTCCCGTTTTCGATCGTACGCGCCGCGGCACTACATCTCAAAGTCCACATGTCAGAATAATGACAAACGCATGCACCAGGGGTGGGGTCAATTGATTGAAAAGCAGCGCCGCGGTTGTTGAATTCCTCAGGACAGAATCATGCAGAGATTCGGGCACCAAATGCTCAGCTCCGACAAGAGAATGGGCCACCAGAGAGCGGAAAGATAACTCATGTAAACATATCGACACATATACGCATACAGCCTCTGTGAGAAAGACACATCCGGAGCGCCTGATATAGTGACTCCCCTCCCATACATTCAGCCATTCTTTGCTCGTTCGTTACTTCGCCTTTTGCCAGGATGACAGAGGACGTCGTAAGAGATGAGGCATCTGCACCGACAGTTGAGACAATGTGCAATAGAAAGAGAAAGAGAAAGAAAAAACACACCTCAAAGGACGCCGCTCCTCACCCAAACAAGAAGCGCGATGGATGCAAACGCGCGAAGTTCGCCTTAACGCTGGGAGGTCCTGTGAGGTCTGGCGACAAGTCAGTATGAGAGCAAGGCAGAAGAGAAGAGCGCCAGACTCGCGAAGCTACACTAGTTGAGAGGAGCTGGCGGAAAGGGGGGAGGAACGAACCCAAAGTCGAAGCGAGTCGAGAAAGGCCGTTTATATAGTGGAGAGTCAGGTCCAGAATGCCAAATCCAGTCAAGGAATGGAGGTGATTGATTTGAGATAGCGGCCGTAGCTTCCCTAGCAGCAACTCAGCTGACCAGAACTAATTCCAGCGACACTGCCAGCCATCAACTTGGCGGAAATAAAAGGGCCACAAATTCCAGGAAGCATCGTCGAGGGAGAAGAAGGTAAAAAAAAGTTAATAATAACAGAAGAGTCAAAGCCTCAGCCAAACTAGACCAAATTCGATCGGATCTTTCCTCTCGCTCAGTCATCACTCCTTATATCTCTTCCATCCACTCTACATCGTCTTCACACGTAGGAGGCAGAGTCGTAAGCGGATAGCTGGCTGTGGGTGAAGTGAGGTCCGTGTCGTCTCCCTCACGTCCATTTTCATTCCTCATTTTTGCGTTATCTACCCCTCTCCAGTTCAGAAGAAGTCCGGATTTTGAGTATGGCGTTCCAGTATTCCAGGAAGGGTTGCTTCAAGTGCGGTAATCGTGAGTCTCGCAAGCATCCCTCACAGGTCATCTGTTGAATCCTCGCAAAGTCGGACATATTGCCGAGAATTGTTCCTCGGAGCAACGTTTATGCTACAATTGCCGCCAGCCTGGTCATGAATCCTCTGCCTGTCCTTCTCCCCGTACCGTTTCTGCAAAACAGTGTTACTCTTGTGGTGGCGTCGGTCATATTCAAGGTCTGTCTCGTACTTGGTCCATCTCTGGAGACCCAGCCTAACGTCCGTACCAGCGGAGTGCCCGAGTCTAAGGATCCAGCAGCAAGGTAGCAATCAGAAATGCTACGTACGTTGCCATTCTTTTTCTGATCCAGATCGTCCTGAATTTCTATCCAGAACTGCGGCCGATTCGGTCACATTGCTCGTGCCTGTCCCAACGGAGCCACCGGAATGGGAGGGTTTGCTTCTCGCGCTCCACCCCCCGGGAGAGCTCTCAATACCGCTACTTTACCGCCTGTAAAGTGCTACAGGTGTGGAGGTCCCAACCATATAGCTAGGTATTTACCGTCTTGTTCTCCTTTCACTGTCTCACATTGCCCTTCCGCAGGGACTGCCTTGCGACCCCCGGCACCCTTGGTGAGACAGCTGCCATTGCGAATAAGAACAAGACCTGTTACAAGTGCCAACAGGAAGGTCACGTAAGTGTCCCTCCGACGTCGCTGTCGTCTTATGGTATGCTCAACCTCTTCGTAGATTGCCAGAGACTGTCCCGAGACAGAGACATTTGTTGCTTAGGAGGCGCTTTTCACGAAATTTCCTGATGCCTACCATGCACTCCGCTTTTTTATATGTATCATTGCTCCGTATTAGCGTTATATCTTGTTGGGCATCTTATTATTTCGAGTAGAGCTTTACGCCAATCCAAGTGTAATTAAAAGCTGTATTTTCAGTGATCGGGCATTTAAAACATTTTCGGAACACGATCCCAAAAATTGCCGGAAGATGCCGCATTATTTTTTCTTTCCAACTGTAACGAGCAACACTGAACATGTCGATGATTTCCTCTGCCTTGTCCGTGCTACCGAAAAGAACAGGTCTCTCTTCATGCCGCATATTCACTCTGCCGCTCAAGCCGGAACAGAAGAATCTCCCGTACGGCACATCCTTTGATTTGTGAACTTTTTATCGAACTTTTTTATCGACTTTTCTCTAAAGAGTATCGGGTATTGCGTCGCGTTTCTTGTACCACACTGCTCGTTCATCGGCGCAGTTCCAGCGGACACGTAATTGCCACAGGTGCGGTGAACGTGAGTCTTCTGGCCAGTATATACACAAAGATTCTTTTTGACAGTTTTGCCAGCCGGACACCAAGCCCATTCCTGTCCTAAGGAGCGCACATGCTACAACTGTGGGCAGCCTGGCCATCTTACCGCTCAGTGTGATGCCCCTCGGAAGGCCAAACGGTGTTTCACCTGTGGTGAAGAAGGACATGTAAAATGTATGTGTCGTTCTGCCCATTCTCCCTCTTCCTCAGGCTGACAATCACACCAGCGGAATGTCGTCAAGCAACGTGCTACGTATGATTCTCTCGTATTTATCCTGCTCTCTCTGATATTTTTCCATCCTTTAGAGATGTGGTGAGTCCGGTCACATGTCTCGGGATTGCACCAATGCTCCCGTGGAGAACAAGAGAACTATCAGATGCTATAAGTGTCAACAGGAGGGACATGTATGTATTCTCCAACTTGGTCTACGTCGCATGGTGCTGACATTCTCTCTAGTTCTCCAGAGACTGCCCCCAGATGCAGATGGCAGAGATCTAATAAATAATTGTTTACGGATGCCTACCATGCACCTTCTATCTCAAAACATTTATCTACAATTTTTAGTAGAGTTACAAAAGCAATATTTTGCACCAGAAAAAGAGCCGACGGTAGGACCCGGCTGATGAACTTGTTCCGGACTACTTTGCGTTCGCTACCCAAAAGGTCTGCATACCATAGAACTCTTTTCAGCCTACCAAGTTTCCCTTCCTCTGGAGAACAGACTTATCATGAACAAAAATTATTTCCGTGAGGCCAAGGCCCTTCTGATTCCCCACCTGTACTGACCTCGGGTGAAGATACAGGAGGAGCGAACTATACGCCATAGTGTCGGACGTGTCTTCCTACCCCCAGTTCATCCCGTACTGCACCGGTTCGCGTATTTTGCACAAGGCTACTCGTGATGGGACCACCACAATGGATGCAGAACTGACCGTTGGGTTCATGGCCTTCCAGGAGAGCTACGTCAGCAAAGTAACTTGCACGCCCTTCTCATCGGTGGAGGTACGCTCAATAGAATCGTTCCTCGTTTACCTGCAACGCTGAAATGAACAGGCTTTTGCGTCGTCCTCGACGCCTATGTTCAAGTCGCTAAGGACCATATGGCGGTTCCAACCGGCAGGAGAAAAGGAACAAAATACGCTGGTTTCTCTCGATCTGGCATTTGATTTTGTGAATCCGCTGTATGCGTCTTTGTCTTCGGCGTTCTTTGACAAAGTGTCTGGAGGCATGGTGACGGCGTTCGAAAAGAGGTGTGAGGAGGTGTGCAGCCGTGGCCGTGTATAGGTACAGACATTTGGATTATCTGCGCTTCGTGTCATTAAGGCGTGTTCCAGCTCGAGGATACCCTATTGGTGACGAACTAAACCAACGTCGCTCGCGCTCCTTCTCACTGCCTCGTTGCCCAGGGATTGCGCTTCAGCATTAGAACAGCCTTCCTTGTTTCATTGGAGCGGAAACTTCCTGTCAGTAGAGTACCAGGGGTTCGTACCATGATAATAATATTATTTCGAGACTGCTTAATTACCAACCTTGCTGCTATACCCGAAGCAGTCAGTCGCACAATCTTTCGTTGTACAAACAGGAAGCTTCAGCATACAATGGGACTCCGGTACGTAAGTAGTCGTGATTCGCCAATAATAGTTCTATCCGCAGTGGGCGGTATTGCCTATATGAAACCTAGCTATTCAAAATTCGAAATAGGAAGATTCGCTGAGAGGTGCGGTTCGGAAGTTGATAACATCAATGCTTCATTATGGGCGTCCTATATATCTCGTTATGGCACAACATTGAGGACGGGGAGGAGGAGGAGGGCGAAGAGGGTAGGGGTGATGATTAGGATTAAAGTACATTGTAAACGTTAACGATGGTACTATCGTTCCCCGTGACATTGAAAGTCTTACAGAGTTTGAAAATTCATTGCCGTGGCTTCATTTTTTTAATCTTTTTCCTCCGGAGTTTTTGTACATAAGAGGTACAACAAAAGGAAAAAAAAAAATCATTCAATTGCCAGGTTGAGTGATCAAGCACCTACAAATATTTGAGCAGTTATTCCAGCAGTTGAATGGCAATTTTTTCTTTCATTGTATTTCTTAGAAACTTTATATCTACGATACTGCAATATATCACTACCTAAGTACGAAAAGATCAGATGGAAACGATGCGAGAGTGAGGTCACAGCAGCGGATTTTCAAACTTACGGGACTTTCAATGTCACAGGAAACGATAGTACTGGGATTTGTCATTTTTTAAATGATGGTTTACTACTGCTGTACTGTATGCGGAAGGCACTGTACGGCGCACAGGAAGGAACTAGAATAGCCTCCTTCCCCCAATCTATCACTATCTTCGACCAGAAGCAAAAATTGAAACGATACAAGGGACCTCTCAAATGTCACGTGGGCATGTTAGAATAGACTATGGTCTTAGATGCCACATCTGAATACTGTCGCACATTTATAGTTTGCTTTGGGTGCTCTTGGGCGGCGAAGCGGTGAACCCGATTCTGGGGAAATGGCACCGAATGATACCAAACTTCCCTTCAGTTTCGATCACAAGCTCCTCTGAGTTCAAGCCCACCAACTTCCCAATCGTCGGAAAATTTCTCGCTGTGATATCAGTCAGTCAGATAGACATAGTAAGCAACCGGGGCGCAACCGACCAGTATCGTCCGGTGCGATGGAGATGAGGTCGCCCGGCTGGAATCCGAGACGGGCCCCATCCGCAGCATCAAAACCAACAACATCATAAGGTTCATGGGGAGAAGCGGAGATTGAGGTTGCAGCTTCTTCCCCCTGGAATTTGGGCACACCGAACTGCGTCCTAAGAGTATCAAGGTGGTTGGTCATTCTTGAAAGCCACTAGTATTCTGCGTTATTTATAGAGCGTTATCAAAGTGAGCGCCACCGTGACGAACGTTTATGACATGTGGAAACTTGTGCTCGTCGAAGAGGGCTTTAGTTTCGAGCCTCCGGAAGGACTTGACCCAAGAATATACAACGTGAAGAGAGATATCGGCGAGACTGGGAGAAGTAGTGTCGAATAGCCACTCTCTTCCATCGCAGAGTTGTTCCTCAGTCAAGGCCTAGAATAGAGAAAGTTCGAGGGCTATGCTAGAGGTTTTGGAATACAGGGCATACCAGATGTGCTGATAGAAGACTGAGGCACCTCCCGCGCGCAGCCACCATGGCAGGGACAGATATGGGACCACTCATCTAATGTAGGAATAATAATTTAGTGGGATGACAGAGATAGATAATTGAGAGCACTATACCGATGATCGATCCCTAATGAATGCTTCTGGGAACTTCTCCCACGGAAGGAGAGGAGGCGCGAGGGGAAACACTACGCTATCGACATAGTTCTTGGTGAATGTCTTGATAAGAGTCGTGTCTGGGCTGCCGCCCTGCTTTCTCGGAGGAAATATGGTGCCATAGTCCTTAGTGGTAGGAAATCTTCGTTCTAGAGCGGAGCAGATCAAACTGTAGGCGCATTGAGCACAGAGGATCGACATATATGCGAGTGAAATGAAACCTAGTGTCACAGTAGACATCGTTTCCGATGGCCAACACGGGGATGCGCCTGTATCCTAGACCAAGCAGATCCTTGATCTCAGGTCGCGGGAGCAATGAGGCGACCTATTCGTTCATTGAGAGCGGATCAAGTGAAATTGGGGGGTAAGGTGGTTGAAATACTGACATTGACTTTATGATGAGGTACGTTTTTGAGTAACAAGACGTTGTCAACCTTTACTGAAAACGGAGAAGCATCATAACTGTTCCGAACAAGAAGCGGTAGCGTCTCAGCACCGAAATATCAAGACGCTCGAAAGAACCGACCGATATACGACTACAGAAGGGAGCTCGGACATCATGGATGGTACTGCCTCGCGCAGGAAAAGGCGTTTTATGCGGGGCATTAGGCTCCGGTTCAAGATTGCCGGCCACCGGGACAGAAAATAAGTGATAATACAACCGTCAAGCGACTTCATTTGAACTTGCCATTGTTCGAAAATCGAAGACATGAGACGCAAGCGAACGGCGTACTCTTACGGGGGCCACACGGGCGCGTGTAGGAGGACTCCACGGGGGGTAGGCGATTTCAAGTCTTAACGAGTTCTAATGTTATTTACCTACTGAAGGCTACTAACGCTATACAGGCTACAAGAGCCAAAGGAATTCAGGGCCGAGAGGAGCATGGTAGGGCTAAATATAAATAATATATGAATTCGAGTAGTATTGGCGGTCCCAGGGAAGGGTGATCGGGGGCCGAAAAAGCAGTGCCTCTTACCTCGCCTCGTTTCTGTTCGTTGCCAAACACTTTCTTTTAATCTCTGACCTAGCCCTTTCCTAGTCCTTGTTCTCTTTCCATCGCTCGTCGTTGTCGTTGTCGAGCTCGTTGATCTTGTCTTCTTTTCTAGCAGCGAATAGACCTCAATAATGGCTGATCGCCCTCCTGCTTCCAGCACACCCTCTTACAGCGGACACAGCGACTACACTCACAGCGACCCATATGCTGATCCTTTTGCTGACCGTCCTCGCCAGACCCAGTTCTCTGAGCCTGAACGACCATATCATGCCCTTGGTGGCTCTACTCCTCGCCCTTATGAAAGTGCAGCTTCCCTTCCCGACTTCGGCGTTCGAGGCGGCGCTGATGGATATGATGACGAAACACTTGAAAAAGAGCCCTTGAATGCAGGAAACTTCGCAGGGGGCTTCTACCCTCCCAAGTATGTTCTTCATTTCTTGTTTGTTCTCTCTGAGATCTTTGACGTATCGCTTCAGCGTCGATCCCAGTACTTTTGGCGATCCCTATGCCCGCCCACCGTCCGTCATGTCCGTGTCTACCAACGGCGTCGATAGCGCATGGCGCCGCCGCCAGACCATCAAGCGTGGTGTGACGCGTAAAGTCAAACTCACCAACGGAAACTTCATCGCTGAGTACCCTGTTCCGACACCTGTTTTCAGCGCGGTAGAAGCCAAATACGCGTCTACCCAGACAACAGAGTTCTCGTGCGTCATCCGCAGTATCCATTAGATTAGCCCTCATTGACTCTTTGTTCAGCCACATGCGATACACCGCGGCCACCTGCGATCCCGATGAGTTCACTGAAGAGAATGGTTGGTCTCTCCGGACAAAGATGTACAACCGAGAAACCGAAATTCTCATTGCGGTCACCTCTTACAACGAAGATAAGACCCTCTATGCCCGTACCCTTCACGGTGTCATGTTGAACATCCGTGACATCTGCAAGACTAAGCAATCAAAGTATTGGCGTCGTCAGGCCGAGGAAGGAAATCCGGCGTGGCAGAGAATCACTGTCGCTCTCATCGTTGATGGACTCGAGGCAATGGACAAGAGTGTCCTTGATATTCTCGCCACCGTCGGTGTCTACCAAGATGGTGTCATGAAAAAACAAGTAGACGAAAAGGACACTGTTGCTCATATATTCGAGGTATGCCAACAACTCTCTCGACGAATTCCGTCTGTTTATGCTCTATATAGTACACAACCCAACTTTCCGTCGATGCTACGCCTCAACTAGTGCTTCCCCAGGCCGATGACCCCAACAACTTGGTTCCTGTTCAGATCATTTTTGTCCTCAAGGCGAAGAATCAGAAGAAGATCAACTCTCATCGTTGGTTGTTCAATGCCATTGGAAAAATGTTGAATGTACGTGATCTTATCATTTTCTGATGTTCAAATATGTTAACGCCGCACATATAGCCCGAAAATTGTGTTCTCATCGATGCTGGGACTAAACCCGGTCACAAGTCCATTTACTATCTATGGGAGGCCTTTTACAATGATCCCCACTTGGGTGGTTGCTGTGGTGAAATCCATGCCATGATTAAGGGTGGCAAAAAGCTCCTCAATCCTCTCATTGCTGCTCAGAACTTCGAGTACAAGATGTCGAACATCTTGGGTACGTCTCTTACTTGATTTAATTAACTCTTGTATCTCATTATGCCGCAGACAAGCCCTTGGAAAGTAGTTTCGGTTACGTTTCTGTGCTTCCGGGTGCTTTCTCGGCGTATCGCTTCCGTGCCATCCAAGGCCGACCCCTGGAGCAATACTTTCATGGTGATCACTCTCTTGCCGACCGCCTCGGGCCAAAGGGTATATACGGCATGAATATTTTCACGAAGAACATGTTTTTGGCTGAAGATCGTATTCTTTGCTTCGAACTGGTCGCAAAGAGAAACGATAGGTGGGTCCTAACGTACGTCAAGCCGAGTAAGGCCGAGACGGACGTGCCCGAAACAGCGGTTGAGTTGATTGGCCAACGTCGTCGTTGGTTGAATGGTTCATTTGCTGCTTCTGTGGTAAGAGTATTACCACCTTTATACACAGTCCTTCCGTCTCACAATTCTATCAGTATGCTCTGGTCCATTTCTTCGCTTTTTACCGGTCTGGTCATGGTATCTTCCGCATGTTCTTTCTACACATTCAAGCATTCGTACGTTCACTCCGTAACAATAGAATGCATCTGGTCTGACGTCATCTAGTACAATATCTTCTCCCTGGTCTTTACCTGGTTCTCTATGGCGAATATGTGGCTTACATTCAGTATTATTATCGATCTATGTCCCGACCAGGGTATTATCATCTTTGGTACGGCGACAGTGGTAAGTTGCTCGAAAAACAAATCGTTCGAATATCTGTTGAACGTGCTACTTCACGCAGACTCATTGGGTTAATCTGGCTTTGAAGTGGATTTACTTGTCCTTCTTGGCGCTGCAATTCATCTTAGCCTTGGGTAATCGGCCAAAAGGTGAACGGATGGCATATACTATAACTTTATGGTGCGCACACTTGTGTTCGCCGTCGTAGCCTGCTAAATTATCTTCAGGGTGTTTGCCATATTGTCATTATATCTTCTCGTTTGTTCCTTCTGGTTAACCGCCAAGGCATTTTCGGTGTGTTTTGTTGATGCCTGTCCGGTGCGAACGCTGAGTTATCGTGTAGAACATCAGCAGTGACTTGCAGAACAAGACGACGAGCCAAGTTATCGCTTCATTCTTTACACCACCTATCGGTGCGCTAATAGCGGCAATGGTATCGACTTTTGGTGCGTTTGCTATTTGAGGGTCAAGAGACGGTCTAATCTTCTTCTAGGTATCTACATGATTGCATCATTCCTATATGTGGGTCCTTTCCTCTCGCCTTAATACCTATCTCTCTGACACGTCGTGATCAGCGCGATCCCTGGCACATGTTCTCCAGCTTCATCCAGTACCTACTCATTGCAACCAGTTTCACCAACGTCCTCAACGTGTACGCGTTCTGCAATTTGCATGATGTGTGTCTTATTATTAGAGTATATCTTGTGCCTACTAACCTGTACTTCAGGTCTCTTGGGGTACCAAGGGTAGTGACAAGGCGGAGGCCTTGCCATCTGTGTCGTCAAAAAAGACCGAGGGCGTGGACGCTCCGGCCGTAGAAGATACAATCAAGCCGCAGCAAGATGTTGATGATGCGTTCAAGGAGACGGTCACTAGGGCCATTACAAAGGTGAAAACCGTAGAGGTAGCGGAGAAGCCAACCATGGATGATCAAAACAAGACCTTCCGAACACGTTTGGTTGCAATGTGGATGCTCAGTAACGCCGGACTGGCCATTGCGATCGAAAACCTGAATGGACTGCCAAATGAATCGGACCCGGAGGCGGATGAGGCACACCTTAGAACTAAGCAAAACACTTACTTCGCTATAATCCTTTATTCAACATTCGGTCTTTCGCTGGTGCGATTCATAGGCGTAAGTTATTGTTTCAGTGGCGACGCGATTCTTCATTGTTCATTTTTCCTAGTGCTTGTTCTACTTCTTCAAGCGGAATATGTTCAGGTGCTGTCGCAGGAACTAGAACCGTAACTCTGTTATCTCTTGGATTCATACATCGGACGTTATTGTGCAGTGCAAATGCTTTCATCGAATCTCCTCTGTCGCGTATGACTTCCCTATTTCGCTATCGATTATGGGTCATGCCTCCTAGCGAGGTAGAAGTCCTAAAACTAGGTCTATATATATATTAGCATTAGTCGTGGCTGGGATGTACGTTTATTCATGATACCTGAACATCGAGAAAAGTTGTTTTTGAAATTGCAAGATGAGAGCTCTGTTCACTGGGAATAACATCTGCCGTGATAGTAAGGTCCAAATAGTACAAGCAGCTGGGATATAACTGCTCAGTCTCACGAATACATTCCCGCATACTCATCCCTGTCATCACGTCCAACATCCGTATTACTGGGTGGAATGAACATTGGCACAAATGACCCAGAAGGACCCCTAGCATTCATATGTACAAGTAACTCTTGTATTTCCGGCGGCAGATGATCTGGATCAACGTTCAACCCATTCACACCGTCTTGTAGAGGGCCTGGAAATGGCGGTGGTGGTGACTCTCCTTCAGACCGGCGCATCAGCGCCTGTCGGCACATAGGACACGAATCATGCTGTATGATATGAATGCTTTGCATCCAAGTATTATACATAAAGGCAGAAGCTCACCGAGTCCTGAATCCACCGGGTTATACTAAAGGGAGGTTAAACATGGAACCAAAGAAGAAATCAGCATGGGACTCAACTCCCTTCTGCAGAATAGATGACCACATTGCCACTCTTGTGAAAGTCGGGCCACCCCGAGTTCCTCAATTGGGAGCGCCGGTGAGTCCATCGCTATTGCCATTTCTTCCTCAGCAAGCAGGGTCGAAAATGGTGTCAAGCATATCGGACACATTGAATCTGAGCAACAATGAGACGTTGAGCACATCAGCACTTTTTGTGTTGCGAACCCTTGTGTCCTAAATCTGTTACTTGTTTCTCTGTGAGCCGAGGTAGATTGTAGACCAAGTCCTGAATTTGACTGTACAAGTTAAGCTTCACTTCAAAGGACGGAATATTAAGGCCAACAGCCAACATACCTTTGCGAAAGTTGATGTCCCTCTGAAGACAGCGCCTCGAGCCGCCGCAAGATGGCCTCTCTAATCCGCTCTCTGAACTCGTTGTACAGATCCGACTCTTCCGTGGAATGCTCCATATTCGACCGCACTGGAACAGAAATGGGACGAGAGGGAAAAGGTTGGAAGTGAGGAAAGCACGCGTCAGCTAAATCACGTGTATTAGAAATTCCGAGTTGTCACATTGATAGTACAGACAGCGACAAAAAATAAGATGCATGCTAGACAACAATGATGATATGCTTGTAATTATATCGTACAAGTGCGCCCCAGATATGACCAGGAATGGGACCAGCCTGCCATGAAGATGATAAAATGTGGTGGTGAGGTCAAATCTAAAACGGATTCTCGTCTTCGTCAACATCCACGGTCATCTTAGCCTGCTCCTTGATATCAGTGTCGTCGGCTTCACCATCACTCGCGCTCCCTTCCTTTTGAACGAATAATTGAACGGGTTTGGCCCCCCTGGAATCAGATTGTAAGGTTGAAAAATAGCCAAAGCAGAGATAAACATACTTGGTGAAGTGCTTCTTCTTGGCGTCGGACAGTTTCTGGCTGCAGGGCGTCATCATGTTGTCTGTTGGAGAAACAAAGTTGGGCTTTCTACGATAGGTCAGTCACAGCTAATCTATCAAGCAACCAGCACTGCTCACAAGCTCTTTGCCATTTTCTTTGCCAACAATGCCCTTGCACCCATTCCTGGCGCCTGGTTCACGACGTTGCCTAACGGAGCTTGTGGCATGACGACGTGAGCGGCTTGCGAAGGGTTGTGGAGAGGCTGAATAGGAGTGGCATCAGGAGAGTCATTGGGCATCGATGTGGAAGACATGGTGAACAACGGCAGCAATGCAAGCAAGGAAACGGGATGGTGGTTGCAGAGAAAGAGGCGGTGGGAATAGCCAAGTTCGAACACGCCCCGAAAAAGTCTTTCCAACATCACGTGGCCGTTATTTCAGCGGCTCTCCGCCCATCACCATCGATACATGGAAAAGTCTTTCTTGTTTCTCCCTCCAGAGGTTCTACTGTCTATATTCTATATTCTTCACTTTAGAACACTTATAAGATGCAGACAAGTATCTCCCTTACAATGATCACTACTCTTATTTGACTGGTTAGTGAAAGATTTGCTGCAAGGCCCTCGAAATCATAGACAACTCAGCATCACTCAAATACAAGATACATCTCGGCTTTAATGGTCTTGAGGATAATAACAGTGGCCATTCGTCGTAAGAACTGTTTGAAAAAGTTCAGAAGCATCACAGTGCTTGGCAGAATTTTAAATATTCTGAGCTGTTGCTGTTTCCACGTGCTGGGAATGCATGGGAACTCATAGGCAATGTTTTTGCCATTCACGTCCCTCAAGTTGGCTTTACTTTTAATCAAGTACCCTCGGCTTTGCGTGGAGTCCATGAAAAATGCTGGACCGTTGCAAGCGCGAAAATTGGGGTCGAGGTAGAGGATTTCTCTATGGATCGATCCCAAGATCTACTGGTGGTCTTGCAGACCAAACGTGCGCAGTATGTTGCTGGTTCTTCTTGTGATTATATTACACAAGGAACGACTGCCTATTCCCTGTACACATATTGACAATGTCGACTGGCGACAAACATCCACTAGCGCATCGGCATGTTTTGGAGATCGTGAAACTGGAGAAGGACTCCGAGATTTTGCATGATATCCGCATATTTGGCGATCTACTCGGTGTTCTCTTCACTGCGGTTGAAGGCGATATTTCCAACCTTGTAATATGGAACTGGAAAACCGGTTGCATCAAGAAGGTTATTCCACCTCTTTCAACAGAGAGCTAAAGAATGCTTTTAAGCTCATTACTCTTTAGCACGTTACTGGGACAATGTTGGAATTGCAAACCTTCATCCTCCTGACGGAAGACATCTTAATGATAGGGTCTCTGCAAATAGATGGAGAACCTACTCCGAATCTGAAAATGTATCATCTCGATGGAGAAGATTACGTTGCAAATGACAACCTGGAAACCATAGCATTTCTGTGTGCCCTCGCCTTCCCACTTCCGAAAGATGGTGTGGACGTTGAAATTCGCCTTTTCTCCGACCCTCCGCCCGCAAAGCCGAATCAAAGTGATGGACTTTTTACGACGTGCCACGACGACAGGCTTTTGGTCATTGGCTACAACGCTTATGTCAATGACACGGAAACAGAGTATTATTCCACCTTTGTCCCACTGTCGTCCTTGATGGCCATGGTAAGGGGAAGCCTCGCAGGTACGGATTCGGATCGAATCATAATACCACACTCTGAATGGGCACACCATACGGAGGTAACCACGTCGTTGTTCTCGGATGTGTGGATTTCCGTCGTGCACGGGATGAGGGCTATCACCCACGAAATCGACGGCACGCTTATCAGGGCCAGAATACTCGATTTCAATCAGTATGCGATCCGAAAGGATCTTGAGGAAGGACGAGCGACGATGAGCAATTACGAGATCATAGGCGCGGAGACGCCTGCTGTTCGGGTAAATGAGAAGTTTCTCAAGGATGGCGACGGATATATCAACTCGAGCGTGAAGCAGCCTTATCGTGTTGTGTCCAGGGACCTGCCCACGAGCATCCGGGAGAATGTCACAGATCTGATGCTAACCGACGACTCTGTCGTCATGGTGGTGCGTCCCTATGCGTCCCTCTACGTGCACGTTGCTGCTTATTGAAATTTTCCGCAGCTGAGGGAGGGCGAGATGTTTGGCATCCTGTCGTTCTGAACAAGTGGACGGGTTAGGTTTAAAAATGTCAAGGAGGTGATGCGCTGGTCGTGCTGCAGGTTACGTTACTTTACTCTTACGATGGCCTGGGGTGGCGTTAGCAGTCGGATATTATATGTAAAGGCCGGTATTGGCTGGAGGATAGGAAATTGGATTATATTGGGCCTGGCTAGGTGTTGCCTAAATGGGATGTGTTACAGATCGTAATTCTTCTTCTGCTCTCCCGGACAAATAATAATATAATAATAAAGGGGCTTTTCTTCTTTCCCCGTTCACATCCCTGCTGCCTTTCCTTTATTTCTCTCCTTTTCACCATCCATGCCTCCCGCTGAGAATCTCAAGAAGCGCAAGATCGCTGTCCTCGGTGCTCGTTCAGTAGGTGAGCTGTTCCTGTTCGACGCACACGACCAGAGTCTCACCCGCTCACGCTCATACGATAGGGAAATCTTCCCTCATTATACAATTCGTGGAAAATCGTTTCGTTGAAAACTATTACCCTACCATCGAGAGCACCTTTGCTAAGAGTGTCAGTTTCAAGGGCACGGAGTACGACTGCGAGGTCATCGACACTGCGGGACAGGTGCGATGACCGTCGGATCATGCTAGCGCACCTACCAACTCACCTCTGCCTTTGTCTAGGACGAGTATTCTATCCTCAACTCGAAACACGCAATAGGAATTCATGGCTATGTTCTCGTATACTCTGTCACATCGCGGAGCTCCTTCGACATGATCCAGGTTCTGTATGATAAAATCGTTGACTTTTGTGGGGTGACTGAGATTCCGTGCGTGGTTGTGGGCTCCAAGGGTGACCTGACGATGAGGTGAGTGCGGTGAGTGCTCCGCAACGAGCCAAGTAATGACACAAACGTACTTCATCTTCAGGCAGGTGCCCACCGAGGATGGGGAGCGGCTTGCGCAGGCAAACAATGCAGTCTGGGTTGAGACTAGTGCAAAGGATAATATTAATGTTGGCAAGTGTCGCACCTGTACATTCGTCGTTGCTTTTACTCAACGTCTCGCAGGTAAAGTCTTTGATCTCTGTTTGGGGGAGGTCGAAAAACATTCGCCGACTAAGCAAGGCGAGCCGCCGGCCAGTCGCTGCGTTGTAATGTAGACGCTTCCTCCTCGAGCTACCCCCGTGCTATTCAATATGGATGGCTTTCTCCAAGTATGGCATGTACTTTATGTCTTTCTCATGGCTACAAAGGACTACTAGACCTTTTACTCTTATGACTACAGCTTATGTTCCCTTTCCATCGTATATTCTTCGTACCTGTAAGTTAAGAACCCGTACCATAGCATCCTTTTCAATTCCTTTAAAAATCCTACTGTTACAGATCGTACAAATTCACATTCATTCACGCCGAACTGTCTCCCAAGAATCTCGCCTTCACCGCGCGACCTTTCAGCCCCACTGCCCGCACCACCTGTGGATCTCCAGGCACAAGATCGATGGCTTGGTCACTAAATTTCACATACTCATCATCGATGTCGAGTACTATTCCCTTCACGGGCTTCTTCGTCGATAGTGTGATCGTTTCACCGTCTTGGGCAATCTCGGCTTTCAAGCCAACATCCTCAAGCGCCGGGAAATCAATGAACTTGAATGGTTCCGGCCTGAACTGATATCAAACAGAGCTCTATTTCCACATTAATGAAGATCACACACCAGTTCGAGTATCTTGCCATGATTTCTCCTACCTTGTCCAGCAGACGAGCCGATACGATGATAACCCTGGGCACTTCGCTCCACTTTTTCCTAGTGTGTACACCCGGCACCTCTCCTTGGAATAGCTCGGTGCTTGAATTCGGCGCCAATACCACCTCCTTGGCCCAATGATGGGTCCACTCAGAATGCAAATCAAAGGAAGTTACATCGAGGGTCGCCTTCTTTTCAAAAAGTGTACTGTTTGTACCCCAGATCTCCAGGATGGTATCGATTGTAAACTTGGCAGCTGACCGATAGTCTGGGTACGTTTCTTTTTCCTTACGGGTCATCCCAACGGTGTAAGGCCGCAGTTCTCGAGCAACCGTAAAGTATGCTGGCTTGGGTCTGAGGAAGTAATCCACGATGGCCCACGAAGTTGTTGGCCAACAGTCATTAATCTATAGATTCAGTTGAACAAACAGAACAGGCTTGGAACGAACTTCGAGAACTGACCTGCCACACGAGAGCGCCCGAAGTATATTCCCTTCCCTTACCACGCCAATTTCTCCTCCAGAGTCGATATGCTGATGCGAGCGTTTCGGCCTGCATCACTTGTGTATAGTATACATAGCTGTGGTTGTAGGTCGGGATTATGAATTGTGCAGCTGGATAGCTTACCTTTCCATTTCAAATGAATGTTTAAAGTTTTCAACCAAGTATAGCTGCCGACTAGGTCAAAAACTGGGCTTCCTATTGCTCCCTTACACCGGTCCTTACCTCCAGCCGTCTTTCAAATCCTGCCGCCTTGTTATGATTGCTATTGACTCTACACAGTCCGTGAGGAGCTAGCCAGGACATAACATAACACAATTATCCACCTGGATTGTGGGTAGCGTTGCGATTTGTCACCACCAAGCCAATAGTCAACCGTACGAAGGTCGGGGTAACCTTCCCTGCAATAAAAGACATTAAGACCGTAGTCCCTAGTGACCGAACGACATGAGACGTACATGCCAAATTCTGATACGAAGCGGCCGGCAAGGATGTCCCAGTTGTGCCATGGCTCTTGTGATCCGTGCCAGACGTTCCCTACGAACCAGCGTGTCGACAATACACAGAAACGAACGCCGAGGAAACATACACTGATGGAGATCCCCATACTTCTGGTCTCCAGTATCCTTACCAAACCCACTATACGGCGATGATCGATGGTAGTATACGTCAGAGAACTGTTGCACAATGGAAGGCAATACACGCTCATAAATATGGCGCGCAGGAAAGTTTGTCTTTCGGAAGTCAGATTCCTCGTCCGAGTAATCCAGCTCTAAATTGAGAGATTCTGCAATCTGGTAATCTTTTTGCCGATTCAGATAATAGCAAGAAGATGAAGATGGAAGCGAACCCTCATTGTTTCCAGCTGATAGATGATGGAAGTCAGACGGCATAAGATAAAGAAAGCAACCAAACAGACCGAAAATAACAATGGAAGGATGGTGACGAAGCCTCTTTACATTCTGTACTGCTTCCTCCTCTACAGACTCAAGGAAAGAATCGTACGCAGGGTACTATATGTGATGATGTTGTGAGCTTAGGTGGATAATTAATTCAAAATTCATACCTGACCGCAACCAAACATGAAGTCTTGCCAAACAAGGACTGACACCCAGTAAGATTAGCTTCTGAGGCGTATCCAAGATTAGCGGATTTCGACTTACTTCCGAATTCTACCGCACGGCGTCAGAAAAAAAAAACACCAAAAAAATGCCAGTATAACATACCATCGCATGTGTCATAAAACGAGTCGTGTTCGTAGATGCCTCCTCCCCAAACGCGAATCATGTTCTGATTACCATCGACCAAAAGTTGCAGCCAAGCTCTGTATCTCTCAGGCGTCATACTGAAGAAACTTGAGTCCTACTATCATCTCCTCTGTCAAGAAGTTTACTCACGTTGTTAAGAAAGAATCGGCCGGAATCCAGTTCGACCCTTTGCAAGAAGGAGAAAGAAAAGATCGGAGACAACTCTCTTACTGCAGTGTCTACCTACTTACCTCCACAGAAAATGCGGATGTTGTTAATTTCGAACAAGAAGGTTCTACCTTCTTGATCAGCCAATGGGTCTTGTATCACTCTAACGCGTCGACAAGCAATCTTCTGTGCCCTTCGGTCAAGAATATTTCCCCCCAAATCAGTGATTTCGACCTCGGCAGTGTACAACGTCTGTCTTCCGTATCTTATGGGATACCATAACTCCAGGATTCCTGGCTCGAACTGAAATGATACGGTACCCCGGCCGGTGTTGGTGGGTATCTTGTTTGAGGATATTGAAATGGAACCATCGGGTGCCTTGAGGACAAACGACGCAAAACCCGGCACATTCTCTGACAAGGTAAAGCTAGCGGAAAGGTCGACACTTAAGGATTCTGAAACACGCGTCCTGACGTCCAGATCAGTTATTCGACTTTGGTACGTCTGGAGATAAACGGGCTTCCATGGTCCGACGGTCATGAGAGTCGGGCCTTCATAAATGGTGTCAAATGACCTCGTTTTGAGTTATCGCTCGAAGAACGTACCCCAGTCCCACCCGTAACTGAGAAATGACCATATCTCAGCACAGTGATGAAATAAATATCAAACTGAACTGACTTGTATTGGGCTTTGCGAACATGAAGACGACTAGAGTCACCATTCCACAGGTTGAGTTTTTCGTGTTGCCCCTCGATTTCTCTTCCCTGGGATGAAGAAGCTTAACTGAGTAATTGTATCCGGTGACTCGAGATTGAGTCGGACGGACCTTGCAGAAGGCGCTTTCGAAGTCAAGGACCAAGGCATTAGTGCCTACTTTCAGAAGAGACTTCACAGGCGCTCTGTATGCGGTAAACTGATTCTCGGCGCTGAATTCATTCATAAGGAGTTATAAGAATGGTTTCAAAACATTGTGCTCACGATAGGATCTTTTTCTCGTTCTTGAAGCAATTAAGACTGTTCAGTATGCATGCAAACCAGTAGGAAAATAATGAGTGCTACCAAAGACACGCTGGCAAAAGTGTCCAGGCCATCAAACACAAGGTCAGCGTTAGGCGCTATAAGTTCGTCTTCAGTCACTTCAAAGACGGCCTTGAAGGACCATGAGCTCTCGCCAATCCCTTGAAGCGGTATCAACGACACGATTTCAGTACCGAGTGTTCATGCCTACACTGTACATCCCACTCATGCAGGCCGATGAACTTGAAAGAAAGGATCAGATAACACAAGCTCAATATAAAGAATCGTACTGGATCAGATATCCTCTTGTATTTCAAGAGTTCAACATGAATGGTAGTCGGAAATTGAGTTGCTTGCAGCCATTCATCATCTTTTGTACCTTCGCCGCCCCCAATTTGAGTAAATGACCAGTTTTTCAAGTGGCGGATAACTGTACTCATGGTTCGAGGAGAAGATGAGAAACCCGAATGACATCGTAAAGCCAAATAATGTCGTCGCGCGATCGTGACCACCGTTGTCTAAAAATGATATCATATACCAAGGTGATACCGATATTTCGCCGTTCGGCCCTCCAATACTGTGCACCAAGGTACGTACTACAATAGGTATCTGTATCCTCTCTTAGATCCTATCTCTACTTCCCGTTTCTCTTCGCAAGCATTCAGCGCTGCCAAGTGTCGTTTGAATAACCAGCACATCGTTAATCCTGAACCGCTCGTCAAGATACAGACGGTAAACGATTTCGAATAAGTCGGTTCCCATGACTTCGGCCACAAGTAACTATTTCATGGTGACACTTGTATAAAAATTCAAGAGGCAGCACTTACGATCCAAGCACATTTCCCAAAGACGATACAGTATTGATCAATGCGAGAGCCACAGCCCGCTTGGCTGGTGGCCTAGCCACAGATCCACTGGCCCAGGCAAGAAAACAAATGAACCCCGCATACGACTGAGCTTGGAAAAATCTGAAGAAGAAAGTTGTGGAAGAGCAAATCAACAGTCCAAGCGACGTACAGGGATACATATCTCGCCGCAACGTTCATGGTTGACATGGCCAAAAGGAATCCAAAAATGCCAACCAAGAAAGAGCCCGATAGGTGCCAGAACCGTTCGGCAGTGTAATCCGAGTGTCTGGAGAATAGAATCAGCACCATAAGGACGCATTGAGAACAACATCTGCGTACTTGGACACACAAACTGCAACTACGGTAGCAAAAACCCAAGGTGGCACACAAAGCAGTAAAGTTATCGTGGTGGAATATCCCAGAGTTGACATAAGGGTCGGAAAGAATACATTGAAGCTCAGAGATACATTGAAGGCGATGAGAGCAATGGCTAGCCACCACACTTTTCCGTCCGTCAGCGCGAGTTGAAGTCCACTGACAGGTTTCTTTTCATCTTCGACCGACCCGTGGTCTTCTTGCATTCGTCTTTGTGCTAAGGCCTGTTCAGCAGGAGTCAACCAACCGAATGATGTTTCAGGAAAGTCCGGAAGTATAAATATAGCGCATATAGCCACAATTACGGTTAGGCTACCCTCAATGAAGAAAAGCCATCTGCACGAGAAATCAGAGTAGAACAAAGGCAGGAAAAGAAAGTTCTCCAACCTCCATGCAGCGTAGCCTAACCGACCTTCCATGCTGTCAAGAATAGCGGAGGCAATCAAGGAGCCAAAAGCGTTGCTCACAAGACTTCCACATGCAAGTAGGGCAGTTCTTTGTGAGAGCTCGGTGCGTTTGTACCATTTTGAGATGAGAAACTACCGGAGCCTTCAACACTGAACCGAGCGGTTAAATAATTGAGGACTAACTAAAGCACCGGGAAAGAAAGCGGCTTCCACGAAGCCGAGAAAGAATCGCGTGCAAATGGCCCCCAAAAAGCTGCGGATAATTAGTTTTGTAGAAGAGAGCTGGCTGGAGGACGTGCTTGGTTGTGAATCCTGTCATGACTGATATCCCACCCCATATTATCATGCATGTAGGCAAGTATAAAGAGGGCTTTCCGATGTAGTCAAGAAACATATTTCTGGGTGTCATGAGTGGTTGAACGCGGATCGTTTAGCAGGGAGACACACGAAGGTATTTGCATGATGATATATCCAATGTATAACACAGATAAGATGCTCGCAAACTGTGTGCCTCTGAGGTTGAGATCCTCTTCGAATCCCCGAAGCCTTGCAGCGCTGCAAGGATGCTCAATGAGATACCGCCCTAGAATTCATGCCGGGATTATTACGATGCATTGTTTCGGTCAATGACTGAAAGAAAGAGTCAGGATTTTACGAAGCTGTGAAATCAGATAGAAGAATACAATTGAGGACGTATATCAGCACCAGAATCGACATTCGTCTATCGACCTTGCGTAGGAGGTTTCTTTCCAGCGCCTGCCGGGTTTCTTTTCCACCAAATTCTACGTCGGGGTCGCACGGATCCACGATAAGAGCATCGTCTGTATTGAGGCAATTGGAAGTCAATACTCAAGGATCGTATCTCGATAAGTTAGGACTCACCTGAGTGATGCGATAGTAGCGATAGCTGCTCTTCACCATCCTCTAGAGGAGAATTGTAGTCATTGTAGGCCATTCAACAAGTAGGGGGGATAACCAGGTGTCCATCGTGGCAGCGAGGCTCGTCAGAAGTTTCCCACGGCTTCTTTCCTTCTCCCCATTTGATACAATGGCTGCTACAGCTCTTCTTCTGCCGCCAACGATACCACCTGAATATCACAGGATTATTTCTCCAGCATTACGTGTCAGTACAGACCCCCGGGTTCCTGTCCCAGTGGGTCTTTTGGCTTGTCAACGTACTTTATCTCCTCGTATCGCGCTGAGCAATCTCCATTGATTCATTTGCCTCCTTGGCCCAGGCGACCCTCTACTGCGAGAAATAGAGACAACAGTTGTAAACTGCGTTGTATCGCAGCCAGTGCTACCACAAGCAGGAAAGAAAACCAAGAAGGCTGTTCTTGCGCCGACATTACCAGATGATCCTATGCTGGAAGTTGTTTTGCATGACACTGTAATATTTCCAGAAGGGGGAGGACAGCCTACGGATACTGGAATCATCTCCACTCTGGATGGTGCAGTCTGGAGCGTCATTCAGTCCAAAAGACACGGAGGTCATGCCGTTCACTATGTCCGTGTCCCGAATGGCAGCTTGGATGCTGCCTTGATTGTCTTTTCACCTGGAAACAAAGTCACAGCCGCTCTTGATCGAGCTGGATATGATAGAAGATATGACCATGCAAGTCTTCATTATCGTTTATAATATAATCGGTCTTACACCCATGTCAGATGTCAATGCATACATCTCAACATCTTCTTTCGGCCCTTCTGGAGAGTTATCTGAATCTACCTACACTCTCGTGGTCTTTGACAAGCTATCCAGCCCCTTGTTACGTCGAAGTTCCTCGAGGCATGACGGCTGAAGAGATTCAGTCTATCCAGGATGAAGCTAATAGACAAGTATTCGAAGGAAGAAACGTCCACATTGAAGTTGAAGAATTAGAGCTAGGGAAAGAGACCAAAGTTCCCAAGATAGAGAGCGGACGCGCGGTAGGCAGAGGTCTACCTGATGACTACACTGGAGGAGTCAAACGAATAGTTGTTATTGAGGGTGTTGATAGAAACCCGTAAGTAACAGGTTACATGTATGAAATTCCTGGCTAACACCTGCTAGTTGTTGTGGCACCCATCTGCCGGGCATCAACAACCTCCAGCTTTTTCTTTTACCTCATACTGACGCGCTAGCCCGCTCGTCCACTACTTCTGCGCGGTTATATTTTCTCTCCGGACCGCGCCTCATCATATATTTATCCTCGACACACACACTCCTCGCAAGTGCTGCATCCAGTCTAAGCTGCGGTGCCCCGTTGGTCCCGGAACGTGTGAATCAAGTTGTCGATGAACGGAAGAGGGCAGAAAAACGTGTTCAGGACGTCGAAAACGAGGTGGCAGCTTTCCTGAGTCGAGACTTATATCAAGAACTCTGCTCTACCGAAGATGAAGTGTTCAGAAAACACATCCATCGCACTGACGATTCCGGTAATGCCCTTGGATTTCTGTCGATGATCAGTGCTACATTTTTGGATGCCCTGAAGGAGACTCTTGCGGTAAAGCGGTCTGTTATCATCTTTTCATCGTCACCCTCTTCCCAGACTAGTTCGAGTACTACTGTTGTGATGATTATTGGATCGGACGACAAATTGGTGAAGGAGGTGGGGGATATCTTGAAGGTTAAGTTGGGAGTCAAGGGCGGTGGTAAAGGATTAAAGTGGAGTGGCAAATTTACAGGCGTATGGAAAGACAGGGACAACGCCGCGATGGAGGATGTACTGGCTAGTATATAATGCATGAAATAAATGATGATGGTACTACACTGTACAGTGAAGGATACGTAATGCTGTTGAATAATTAAAATAAGCAAAACAGAGGGGTCCATTCTACTTGGGCTCGTCTTCAACGTCTCTGGTAAGATTGCTGGTAGCGTCATCAGCCTCGTTACCGGCTTCATTGACTGCGACATTGTCTTCGCCAGCTAGGAAATCAAAAGTTGAAGTAATAACATGGATAGAATATAAACGCAAAACATACCCATGGAGTTGTCCCTGTCGCTCTCATTCCAACTCATGTCACCTTCAGATGGTGAGTCCGACTCGGCGTCGGTGAGGCCCCACTCGCCTTCAAAGTCATCCCTTTCCTGCATCTGCCAGGTCCTGTACATATCCAGGTCCATTTCGTCGACTGGGGAGTAATCGTCTGGGTCGATGTCAATCAAGTCCTCATCCACCTCGATGAAATCTTCGTATTCAACTTCGCCATAGAATGCCTCGTCGTCCTCGTCGTCATTTGGAATGTACTCCCCGCCATCAGAAGATTCATCGTCCGATTCCGAAGGGGGCCGTATGTCAAGAAATATATGACGACAAGTAGGGCAGCTACCATGCTGGAGCAACATGCATTAGCACACATGGATAAGCAAAATACTAAAGCACTAACCAAAGTACGGATCCATTCTGTCAAGCTATCATGTCATTCAGCCAAGTACTCCAGGGAGTGCAAGACGTTAAACTCACTCCTTCCTGCAGAATATGTGCCCGCAACCATCGAGTTTGGTGACACCGCAATCAGGGGCCAGATTATCACCGTCGTCGAAGAAATCAGAAAAAGGTATCAGGCAGATAGGACACGAGTCTTGCAGAGGTACTGTATGCTTTTCGAGGACGACGAGACTCTGGATGAGCTGACCCACCCGTTGACAATGATGGTGGTCCATGTTCAACGACGCGCGCCATCACGTGCAGGCATTCGTCATGTTTGATGCACGTGCCTTATTTCAAATTTCCGAAGTTCCTCCTCATAGTAGGATTATTACCCCCCACAAGCATCGTGCTGCAAAAAACCGGAGCGATGCAATCGGGTGAGAAGCTTAATCTGCACACATCAAAATCTCCGGACATGTATCGGCACCTCGTTCTTTCCTACCACCATGATGGATCCGGTTCACGAACAGGATCTCAATGACCCCGAAAAGCGCCTTGACGAATATACCCATACACACGAAGGACAAGAGGATAGTCTGGATCAGGACGCGAAGTATGGGGGGCATCAAGCTCGCATTTCTCTGGAGAAGAAGTTACTTTGGAAGATTGACCTGCGGATGAGTATCCTCATCTTCATATACATCTTGAACTATGTAGGTCTAATCTTGAATTGGCTTATTCCTGCTAACGGCTGTATCAGATCGACAGAAACAATGCTGCGTCAGTTATAATCGAAAAACTTGCGGTATGGTATCCTGAATCTACTTAACAAGCGCGGCACGTCTGCGGGGCCTCGAAGATGACTTGCATCTCAAAGGCGAAGAGTTCGCGACACTGCTATCGATCCTGTATGTCGGCTATATCATTATGCAGATACCATCGTAAGCCCTTTTTCTTATCGATCCACGTTATCATCTCATTAGTAATGCAGAAATATGTTTTTGAATTGGATTGGAAAGCCATCTGTCTACCTTCCTGCATGTATGATAGTCTGGGGCGTTATGTTCGTATCTCACTATCTCACTCTTCGTTGGGCCTTCCTCTGACGGTTCTGCATTGCCAGCTCATGCCTTACTGGTGGGTTGGATGTTTCTCCGAAAACGTACCATCTGACATATCGAGTGATGGATAAGGCATTACGCACAAGTAAAAATCTATTCCGTCTTTGTAATATCACTCCTGAGAGCGAACTTTCCTAGTTTTGTTGGGGCACTGTTGACGCGCTTCTTCCTCGGCTTTGTGGAGGCTGCGTTCTTCCCAGGAGCGTTGTTCTTGATTTCGAAAGTCCGTAGTATTCTCCTCATCTCTCGCTGGTGACGAATCTTCTGTCAGTGGTATAAACGAGAAGAAATTGGCGTTCGAACGGCGATTTTGTACTGTGGTAACATTATCAGTAATGCCTTTGGCAACCTTTTAGCATCAGGTATTCTAAGCGGTATGGAGGGAAAACTTGGACATGCGGCATGGAGGTAAGCACATGCTTGACATCAAGGTGATCGCACTAACAATGGCCGGAGATGGCTATTCTATATCGAGGGTTCTCTCACAGTCTTCATCGCGATCCTGGCCATATTTATCCTACCCGATTTTCCGGCCACGACTAAGTGGCTATCGCCTCTGGAGCGTCAACTTGCAATCCAGAGGATGGAAGAGGATGTCGGTGTTGGTGATCAAAATGAAACAGAAGACGGAAGTCCTATGAACGGACTTTGGCTTGCACTCAAGGATTGGAAGATTTGGTGGATGTCCCTGGCGTTGACAGCTCAAGTTGTAGGGCTTTCTTTCAACCAGTATTTCCCTACGCTAAGGCTCGTGAAGTTGTAATCGCTATGTATGCTGACTAAAGCTTAGTTGATAGTGCTACTATGGGATTCAATCGTACAGTGACTCTACTCCTGTGCGCTCCTCCGTTCGTTTTTACGACTATATTATCATTTATTATATCTCGGTTAGTAGATGTTTCACTCGTTAAATGGGTGCATCTTCTCATGAGCAGTACATCAGCCATTCGGACAAGACGAAAGAGAGATTTTATCACATTATCGTTCCATTTGTATTTGGTATCGTCGGATTCATCCTCGCTGTCTCCACCATGAATACGGCCGCACGATACGTTTCTCTGTGAGTTATGACTAATACATGACTCTGGTAAAAAAAAACGCTGCTCACGAAGTCTGGGCAGATTCTTAATGGCTCAGAGCTACGCAGGTTTCGTCGTAATGTACGCCTGGATCAGCAATTGCTTCCCAAGACCTCCCTCAAAGCGTGCGGTCGCACTCGCTCTGACAAACGCATTTTCGCAGCTAGGCAATGTTGCTGGATCGTAAGGAATTATTGGATTATTCTAGAGACTCATTAATCGTTTACTTTGCAGTTACGTATGGCCGACGATGTGGGGCCCCACATACAACAACTCGGATTATATATGCATAGCGGTGTTCGCTTTCACGATTATCATGAACTGGATATTCAGACAGCACCTGATTGCACTCAACAAGAAAATGGAGAAGGGAGTGGGTGCTGCTGGTTTTAGGTACTTGATCTGATGTATACATATATAGGCTGAATGTAGGTGAATGAGGGCAGTGCTGGCGCATGGTCCGGAAGGGGCATCTAGGTCTTCAACGTGGTCATGGCACATGGCAACAAGGAAGCGGCTAGATCCGAAAGTAGTCGGAGAAGCACGGAAGAAAGACCCTCTTTTCAGAAACGTTGCTCGAGTTGTCTGGAGGCCTGAGCTTGATGAATGGAAGAGTTGTAGGTTGTCCTGCGTAACCTGTGATGGAAACGTAAGAAGAGAGATAAGGGGGACTTTGCGAATGGTATGACCTTTTTCTATAGAGGCCCGGGTCCCTCTAGGCAACGAGTGGAGAATCTCGAATCATTCGGTGCAGCACATAAAGGTGGGGTAAAGAGGTGGGGCACTCATGCATACCGCTACCTACACTACAGCTATCAAAAACCTGAAAATGACTCGAGTTCTTACTGTCCAATCATCACGGCGGATGCATATGATCCATCTGCCCCATGTTGAAGGGATCAAAGGACGGCCCGTTTCGACTGGTGTCATTACTTGCGCTGGAGCGATGGTCGTTGCATACGTGCGTAGGGATTTAAAATATTGACGCGATTCTAATTAAAATGGATATGCCTTACCCAGACTGCATACAACGCCTGGCGAGGGGAACGAAGCACGGCACGAAAGATGAAAGGAAGTCAGAGCAGTCATGGTGCTACCTCCCCAGAGAGTCGCAACGAAGAGCCGTCCACAATCAAAGAAGCTTCCGCTGTCCATGTCCTCAGCGGCAGGGAAATGAACGATCCTGTCGGGTAAGTGTCCGGCAACGACTACGAGTTGTCCTGCTGACCATTCCGCAGACATGAAGATAAGACCACGGTACCAGGAAAGTTGGGCCCCGGGAAAAGTGGAATCATCAGAAGAAATACGTTAGATCCGCACGCCAGACCGGCTCGGACGAACGTTCCACGCACAAATGTGTCCTTTCGCCAAACAAGTGCAGTTCGTGACATGGACAGGGAGTGTTTTTACAATCTGGAGTCGTGTATCATATATAAAAGACAAAAAAATGAAAGCAAGAAGGAAGAAAGAAAGAAAGAAAGCGCAATTCAGAGAAATTGCCAATCAACTGCAAACTTGTCGCGGCGCGTGATTGAAATCGCAAGCTGTGACCCACCATCCTCCATATCACAAACTGGTTCCGTCCTTGGTCCATCCCAAGATACAGACGGATATCCCAGTATTCCATCTTATTCCCATTATTCGCCAAGTATTACTCCTTGTTGACGGCGTCGACAGGATGAATTCTCTGGCCTACCTGTCGCGCCAGTTTGACGTCCTTGCCTCCGTCAGGACGCCGCCGTCGACACCGACGTCCGAGCATCAGTCCTTACACCCCGACAGACGATGCCATTCGTCCGCTACGGAGTCGCCGCTGCCGCATGTGAAGCCTTGGTCTACAAAGTCGTTCCTCTTTTCCCCCCAGCCAAACCCTGCCCCAGCCCCAACGAAACGTTCGTATCCGTCTCGTTTCATATCCTTTCCCAACCGAGCTGCCCGTCCTCACCCAGATTCATCCGCCACTGTCTCTATAGAGATGCAGGTCGTACCAAAGCAGACCTTCCACACACTGTTCAACCGCACATTCTTCGTTCGGGTCCTCCTCCTCGCCTGGGATGCCCTCCAGACCGTCTGGACGTCGTGGATTGAATCACGCGCGCTCCACGGCCAGCCGATGATGTCCATTCAGGTCGTCGCCGCGTCGCCGGAGAAGGACAGCACAGATGAAGACACCGATGATACTTCTCCTCGTCTGGATCTCCTGCCAGCTAAGCCAGCGCCACCTCTCCTTCAATCTTCTCTCTTTCCGTCCGTCAATCATTCATACATCCATTCGACCCTTCTCCTCGATGCCAAGTCTTCGTCTTCGCCGACATCTACCCCCCAACCGCCAGAGATCCCTTCGGCCACTCATTCACGCTCATCAACACCCAGCCTTACCACCCGAAAGACCCCATTCCATCTCCCAAAAACTCTCGTTCTTGATCTCGATGAAACTCTGATTCACTCAACATCACGCCCTATGCCTTCTTCGTCCAGTGGCTCCGGGTTTTTCGGCCTGAGCACCTTTACCAGGCGGAATAAGAGCTCTGGGCATGTGGTGGAGGTCGTTATGGGTGGCCGCAGTACCCTCTATCATGTGTACAAGAGGCCATTTGTAGATTTCTTTTTGCGCACGGTACGCAGCCTTCGTTTCTTGTGCTCGACATGCCGTTATTATGCATTACAGGTCTCGGGATGGTACACGCTCGTCATATTTACTGCATCAATGCAAGAGTACGCGGATCCTGTCATCGACTGGCTAGATGCTGGCCGGGGGATACTTTCAAATCGCTTATTTAGAGACGTGCGTTCCTTTTCGCGTCTTTTTGCTATCCGGTTGCCCTGACATCTGTGCCACAATCAGTCATGTACTCAGCTGCCTAATGGTTCCTATACGAAGGACCTTTCAGTTGTCGAGGGTGACCTTGCACGGGTCTGCCTCGTCGACAACTCACCTATAAGTTACCGTGTCAATGAAGGTCCGTCGGCGTCTATCCATTCATTTCACGATCTGACTCTCGCGCACCCTCTCGCAGCTAATGGAATACCGATAGAAGGGTGGACTCACGATCCTTCAGATGAGGCCTTACTTGACCTCCTTCCTGTTCTTGACTCTCTACGATTTACATCGGACGTTCGTCGTGTGCTAGGCCTCCGTTGTGTAGGAGGTTCCTCATGATGCTTTAATCATATTAACTCTGTAGAATTATTATCTGGGTGCTACTCTTCTTCCTTCGCATTTCAATTATAGCGTGTTCGGGCATCTTCATTGTCGATACCAACAGCAAAGACAGCAACGTCCATAACTTATGTAAATCCTGTACATCAAAATGTATCCGCTTCACCTTGTCCGAAATTCGCTTCCTCAATATCGTTTCTTCGAATATACAATGGTGTGTGTAATATTGGAACAGAAATCAACAAAAAACTACAAGACTCGTGATATAAGTAATAGAACAAGTGGAGATGACGATATGACAGAAGGGTTTAAGGAGCTACATTGCAAGTTCTGCTTGTAGTTGTCTGAGCTGAGCTTCTTCATCATCCTCGACAGCAACCGGTGCTAGTAAAGAAGGCGCCATCAGTGAGCGAATGGAAAGACAAAGAACAGAAGGCGTGTACCATCTTTCCGTGCAGTTACTGATTCCGGTTTATGCACCGGTACGTGATCAGCGCCCATTAATCGTTCATTCAGCTCGTCTTGCTCCAGCTCATCCAATTCTGCTTTGAGAGCGTCCTGGAAACACAAGGATCATTAGCCAGTATAACAATAAGAAGGCAGATGACGTACCTCATCCAAGTCCGCGTTTATGTACGCGGGATTTGATATGATATCAGCAATCTCGTCAGCCACCGCTCTCTGTTCATTCACAGCCGCCATTGTCGCATCGACCTTGTCCACGTTCCTAATGAAATGATAAGCATAGGATCCGTTGGAACACGAGGCAACGTACATGTTTCCATGAATGACTTTCAACGCATCAGCCGCCTTCTTCATAGCCGCCATCGTCTCCGCATTCAAATTCGCCGACTCGAGAGTATTAACTTGCATTTCGAGCTGCAGTCGTGTTCCAGCAAGGCGATCCAACTCGACCTCATTCGCCTTCTTTCGTTTCAGAGCCTGTGTAGCCACTTTGAGTAAGCTGAGTCAATGAATTCTGGCTGGGTGACAGAGAGCTTGGGCGGCGCACCTGGCTTGTTGGAAACAGCGTTCGCTCTGGCCTTCTTCAGATCCTCATCAATCTTCTTCTGCAAGTACTCCTCCTTCTTCTCTATCATCTGCAGCTGTTGCCGTAGTGTAACTATAGCATCCCTCGCCGACTGCTTAGGGTCCCGTCGGGTGCCAAAGTAGCTCATAAAGCTGGCCATCATTGATGCTATGTTGAAGGTGAATTAAAGTGCAAGAGAAAGGACGAGCGAGAGGTATATATGTCCTGAAGCCACGTCCTCTTGGTGAGTAGAGTGTACAAGATGCTCCTCGATAAGGCAGTTACGATGTCACAGGACGTGACCAGTGATTCCTACCCGACGACGTCGTATGCTGCTCCGTAAGGACTCGAATCCCAGGCTATGTCATCCCGGATGGGCGAGTCTGACGCAGCAAAGCCCTTGATCCTCTACGCTACGGAGTCGGGAAATGCCCAGGAGACAGCAGACAACATTGCCCGCCATTGCAGACGCATTCATGTCCGATGTCGCGTACAGGACGTGGAGACTTATCTTCCTGTGCGTTTTCTATTTCCCAAATACTTTTTCATGCTGAAAATCTATCAGGATGACCTTATAACTGAAAGCCTTGTCATTTTTGTGATAGCAACCACTGGATCTGGCGTCGAACCGCGGTCGATGACCTCGCTATGGAATATGCTCCTGCGCTCGGACCTCCCCGCAGATTTATTCGAAGACATACATTTCGCTGTCTTTGGCCTCGGGGATTCTGCGTATGAACGCTTTTGCTGGCCAGCGAAGAAACTTTCCCGCAGAATGAAGGGCCTTGGGGCAACCGAGATATATGAAAGAGGTGAAGGCGACGATCAACATGTGCTTGGGTGCGTCACCTTTGTTGACATATTGTATGAAAGATTGAAACCAGGAAGGTAGCACGGATGGCGCTCTGGTATCATGGATAGAAGGCTTGCTGGATGTTCTGGCACAACTGTTTCTCTCTGCCGAGGGAACAAGCAGACTACCTTGGGATACCGTCCCTCCTCCGAGAATGGCTATGACAAAGTCCAGCGAAGAAGAGTCTCCAGATCCATTAGCACAGGATACAGCCTACCATCGCGCTACGCTCAAGTGCAACAAGCGTATAACGGCAGAAGATTGGCACCAGGATGTTCGCCATTTCCAGTTCTCGTTTGAGGAAGATGTACAGTATGTACTCCTTCCGTCGTCGTATGTCAAATTTCACGTCGGATTAGGTACAATCCTGGGGATGTTGCAGTTATCCATCCTTTACAGCCATGTGATGATGTCGAAGAGTTTCTGTCATCCATGGGTTGGGGAAATATCGCTGATGAAGTCTACACTTTAGAACACGTCGAAAAGGGTGAGCCTCATTCACTTGTTTCTACGTGAATCTGAATGCAGTATCAGATCAGACCATGCCTCACCATATTCCGCGTCGTGCAAGCCTTCGAACCATCTTCACACGGTATCTTGACTTCAAAGCCGTCCCTCGCCGAACCTTCTTCCAGTACCTCCGATATTTCAATACGGACGAACAAGAGTCGGAGAAGCTGGACGAATTCCTTTCGATTGATACTGCTGTCAGCATTTCCTTTAATATCCACTGGCCGGTGCTGAACTCACTGGCAGGACGAGTTATACGATTATTGCCAACGCGTCAGGCGCACAATCCAAGAAGTACTTATTGAATTTCGTGGGTCCAAGATACCCCTACCATACATATTCGACATATTCCCACCACTTAGACCTCGAGAGTTCTCGATCGCCAGTTCGGTCAAGGTAACTTCAGATGTCTGCCTAACAAGGTCGGCCCACAACTTCCGCTTAGATGCATCCTTGTGAGATACAACTTTGTATCGCCATCGTTAAGTTTCGCACCCGCTTAAAAGTACCTCGCCGAGGAATATGCACCTCATACCTTTCCACCCTGCAACCAGGTATGTGAACGTTGGGCTTCTGTTGAATCGTGTTTCACCATCGCCTAGGCCATAAATTGACCATTGGCCTGCGCCGCGGATTTATCAACCTCCCAGACCAAAATACACATATCATATGCATAGGTCCAGGTACTGGTGTCGCACCTATGCGATCCTTAATCGAAGAACGTCTCTCTACTGACACAATCCGTAAGTTGTACAAGTCTTTCCCATCAGCTTGCTACAACCATTTTATCAGGTAATACATTATATTTCGGCTGCCGGTCTGCCTTAAAGGATGAGCACTACGGCCAAGAGTGGAATGCATATGCCAAAGAAAAGAAACTGATGTATCGCGTTGCTTGTTCGCGGGATGGTCCTAAGGGGATAAAAAGAACTTATGTTCAAGACCTCATACAGGCAGATGGAGAAAGGATCTGGAAATTAATATCACAGGGTGCATGGGTGTATATTTCAGGGTATGATGATTTATCTACTTCCTCCTCTGCTTCTCAATTCATTGGGCCCTTTCTTTAGATCATCAAATAAAATGCCTGCCGCGGTGAAGGATGCCCTTCGGCATTCTGCAGTCCAGCATGGAAGTCTAAGCACTGAGGAGGCACGGGAATACATGAAGAAAATGGAGCTAGAAGGCAAACTCATGGAGGAGTGCTGGAGCTGAGCTCGACATGTATAGATGCACGTAAGGAAGAAACCACAATAGATCATGGTACTTACACCGGTTCCGTTGCCTACTTTTCCCCCCAATCATGCATCACAGTGAGCCAGTTTCACAATTGGGGCCGCGACGATGTAAATAAGTTAAATGCCCCGGCATCAATATGACGGCACAGTCAAGCTTCCCGAATACGTGTTGAATCCGGCCTCACTTCGCATATTTCTGAGTTGTATTCATAGTTACTCAAGGACTTCTCACGCGAGGAAATAACATCCTCTGTTGCAAAAGATGGCGCACGGAAAACCAAGTTGCCCTGCAACAGACTGATTCTGATCTAAGGCTACTTGTCCTTGTCATTTTCAGACTCCATGTCACCATTACTTAGAGAGAAAAGTTATTTAGGAACTGACCATAGCAAGGGAAGACTTACTCTTCGTCGTCACTCCGACTGTCAGAGGCGCCTTTACCCGACACCACGCCCCATGCTACTCGGCAAATGGTCGCAAACCATATCATCTGTAATATCTTCAAAGACGACGTGTCATTGAGAATCCGCGGGGTAGGGCGCATTTACTCACCTGCAATGTGATCAGACACACGTTGAACATGACATAGGATCCTCTGGTCATGAAATGTCCAGAGTGTGGGCGCCATTGGAACGTCACAAGTCGTGGAAGGTCGTAAAGTGAAGACTTGATAACAAAATTGAACAGTACGTGGCGCGTAACAAACCATGAAATCATGAACCAGGCAAAGAATGTATCACAAACAACTTGTGCGACTTCCAAATAACGGAGCATTTTGGCCATCTGAGAAATGTTAAAACCAGCAACGATGAAATGTGAAAGATACGCACAGGGAGGAAAACGTCACACCAGTCCATCAGAACCATGATCAAGCAACCGACACGAGTGAAATTGTAGTAATAGCTGGTGCTCATGAGAAAAACGGTGATAAAGTGGTGGGCCATCATTTGCCAGTGATCTTTTCTCTTGGCCTCTGCATTGATGATGAGTATTTGATGTAGATAGAAAGCGGTTTCGGTTAGATAGTAGACCTTCAAAGGTCCAGCGATGGGCATGTGAGGATAACCCATCCAGACCTCAGTGGGATTGGAGACGGTAGTTGGCAGTTTAAGGTGAACGTACTGTGGAAGCACGGTCAATACAAGAAGACAAGGAAATCGTCAGGAACGTACGAAACCAAAACACCACATCACCGTATAGTAAAGTGCCTGATATCCTTGTTCCGCGAATCGCATCACGCTTCGATGAATTTTTCGCATATCCCTCCTGCGCGAACGTGGTATGGAATGACCATTACCGTTGCCACTGGGGATGCCATTCGCCTTGGCGTGTACAGCACCATTGGTCGTTCGTGCCCACCGCGCCTCGTAATCCCTCGTCAACTTCCATCGCGCAAAGGGCTCGCACGCAGCGAGCCTGAACGCGTCACGAACGACGGCCATTATAGCAATACATGTTATGATCAAACAGAAATCTTTTGGCCCCGTTTGATAGTAGGCAGCGTCTGGGAAAGAATCTACGTTTGGTGGGGTACCGGTTGGATAGGAGAGAGCTATAAACGGGGCGATGTATGGGGCCAGCCATCCTGCATTGTCCAGAGAAAGCATTTGATAGGCGCAGGCGAGGGACAGGATGAGAAGCAGAAAGGAATTATAGGGTCTCCCTTATCTAAATGCAACCATGAAAAATAATGAGCCCACGTTCCTCAGAAAAAAGCTGCGAACGGACCCACCACCAATGAACGTCTAGGGGCCAAATTTACCCCCAAATTTACCACCAAATAACAGGGAATAAAGCCAAGAATAATGGAGGCAGCACCGACGTCGTCGTCCTGACGTGTTTCTACAGAAGAAATATTGTGTCCGTTTGGACAAGCTCGGATCGTGGGAATATGTATTTTTCGACGGAATATTGATCCCTTCTTGCTTTGTACCGTCCATGGCGATGGCCTCGTTGTCTTCGAACCAGCCCAATGTCACCCTCTACATCAACAATCTCAACGATAAAGTCAACAAGGACGAGTTGCGTACTCAGCTCTTTGCTCTTTTCACGACATACGGCAAGCTCGTCGACATTGTCGCGTCGAAAAGTCCAGCTATGCGAGGCCAGGCCTTCCTCGTCTTCACCGACCTGGCGGGAGCGACTGCAGCCTTGCGTGCATGCGAAGGCATGATGTTCTACGACAAACCTATGGTCCGTTTGTCCTCGTTTCTTGGCGCTCGTGTTTTCACTTGCCGCCGCCCAGCATATCGACTATGCCAAAACGAAATCATATGCGACCCTCCGGAGAGAAGACCCCGACTTTGTACCACCAAAATCAGCAAACGCTAGTGCATTCGTCAATGGTGACAAAAAGCGGCGCAGAGACGCAGAGGCAGCGGAGGAAGAGCCTAATGCAAAACGGGATAAGGCTGAGGATCAAGATGACGAGGAGATGGAAATAGACGATGACGATGACGATGCACCTTCACCGCCTACCTTTTCTTGTACGTCGTGTTGTTCACTGCATAACAAATACAACTGTTTCACATTCTTCCACCTAAAGCGGCTGCACTCCCTCCTCAAATCGACCAGCCCTCAGCACGACTACTGTGTACGAATCTTCCGCAAGAAGTGACAGACGATGTGCTTGCAGTGCTGTTCCAACAGTAAGCCCTTTCATCAAGGTCATAAAACAAGATATTAACATTTTTCTCAGGTACCAAGGCTTCCAAGCCACTCAGGTTACCCAGTCACCGACACCCAATGCAGATGGTGCGAAAGTAAAACTTGCTCAGGTACTATTCGAGTCTGCTGAGTTGGCGACTGTGGCCAAGAATGCTCTCGACGGGTTCAGCATGAAGAAGGGATGGAAAATGTCGGTGGCGTATATCTAACACGTCCCGTGCGTCCTTTGTACTATCTATAGTTGTTTCCTCATAAAGATCCTTTTTGCTTCCACTGACTTTCACTAACGTTGTCTGAAGAAAATAGTATCGATTAATGAAGTACATTGGTAACATTCTTGATTGCATTTGCTTGCACTCATTTTTGCAATCCTTTAAGGATAACCTCTGCCAGCGGTTTTGCAGAAACAGGATTCTGTCCGGTGTACAGATTACCATCGACCACCACTTTTGCCTGATAATATGTCAGCCAGTTGTACACCGAAAGTCCGCGATGTCTTACCCCCCAAAGTTGTTCGGCCTTTTCATATTTTCCGCCGCGCTTGGTAATCTCGGTTTCAAGCAAGAAGGGAATGGACTGCATCAATGCAATTAACGTAAACCAGACAATACACATAGCTGTACTCACATTAACAGCATTGATGGACTCCTCTTCTGCGTTGGAGAAACCAGTGAAAGCCTTTCCCGAGAAAATGGACTTCCCCTCTACACCTACGACGTTAAGGAGGGCACTGAACATGACCAATGTTTAGCGATTACCCAATGAATCATACAGGAGCATACGCAGGTCCGTGACACACTGCGGCTATAATCTTTCCTGACTGATAGAACTGCACAGAATCATTAATACAGTCTGAATGCCAAAATTGACACAAACCTCAGAAGCCAGCTTGACGTTAACAGGGTCATTAGGAAGATCGATGACTGGTCCGTGACCGCCAACGTAGAAGATAGCATCATAATCTTTCGCATTCACGTTGGATAACTGTTTCGCGTTGGCTAGCTTGGACTTTACGGTCGTGTCATTGAGGAATTTGACACTTTCGTCATCCTTGGCAGACGCCTATCGCAACGCTAAGGACATGCTTTCAGTAAAAACCGAACTTCGCACCTCGATGCTTCCTTTATCAACTGGAGGGTTTGGACCTTTGGGAGACGCAAAGTCGATGTTGGCATGCGGTGCGAAAGTATAGTACGGATGTGCGGCTTCTGGTAGGTAAAAGCCCTACAAAATATTAATGTGAACGTTCTGTCGCATGAGCTCGTCGTGCTCACAGTTTGTCCGCCAACGAGGTTTTTGTCAGCCGAAGTGAGAACAAAAAGAACCGAAGGCATGATGTTGCAGAAGTAGGTACAAGAAACGGTTTCTTTATATGTCTGGACCGGGCTCAAGAGTATCCGATACTGACTATCATTTGTAAGGCTCATGCTCGTCATGATATATAATACTGCGATGTCATGCTTGTACTCGTGGAGCGGATTTTTACTAAGCAATAAGCAATGCGCGTTGTCGATCAAAAGGTCTGATCCAGTGATCTAAGCGCCCACTCGACCACGTGCTCTCATCGGCTTCCCAGTGCACCACCATGTCTTCTTTCTTTGGCCTGTACGACATTCAATTCCCAGTGTTCTCAGTGCTAATCTGTCGCATCCAGTGGCAAGACTCGTACATTCAAGCCCCGAAAGGATGTACCAGAGGGTACTAAGCAATATCAGCTGAGAAAGTATGCCGAAGCTACACTGGTCAGTGCACTGTTTGCTACGACACGGTTCAGCATTGGGAATTATCTTTAGGGATCAGGCAACCTCAGGCTTGCGGTGCAGCTACCCGAAGGCGAGGACACAAATGAATGGCTGGCAGTCCATGGTGCGTGTCTTGGCTGCCCAGCGTCCTTTGCATCCATCTCAATCGCCCCATCAGCTGTCGACTTCTTTAACCATCTGAACATGTTGTATGGGACTATTACAGAGTTTTGTACGCGCGAAGAGGTGGGCACTACAACCAACCGCCGTGCCGTCGTCGTACTGAAAGCGTTCAGTGTCCCATAATGTCTGCAGGACCAAGGTGTGTCTAATCTACTTTCATGTTGGTTGCACCTTACTCATGGCATCTAGATATGAATATTTATGGGAAGATGGTGTCAAGTACAAACGTCCGACAAAGCTTACAGCCCCTGAATATGTCGACGCTCTGATGAATTGGGCACAGAACCTGCTCGAAGACGAGGCGATATTTCCTAACAAAATTGGTATGGCAATGCGCCCATTACATTCCAACCTCATTTCCTCTAGGTGTCTCGTTCCCCAAGAACTTCCGCGACACTGTGCGGACCATCGTCCGTCGTTTATTCCGCGTATATGCACATATATATAGCAACCACTTTGACCATATATGCGCTCTGGGTATAGAAGGTACGTATAACATCATATTATCTGCACGGAAATAATAGTGTTGTCCGTTAGCCCACCTTAATACGAGCTACAGACATTTTTTCCTATTTATTCACGAAGTAGGCTTGTTCATCTGCTCACGACACCTCTACTGACCTTTCTCTAGTTTGATCTTGTCGACAAGAAAGAGTTGGCTCCATTAGACGAGCTCAATGATGCCATTTTAGCAGAGGACAAGGCTCGATAGATGTAATGTATATGTATATACCCAGGATACAGTTTGTATGCTTTCTCTACGTTAATCTGAATCGATGGGAAATAGTACATCGCAATGGAAAATATAATACAGGTCTATTCGTGTATTATTTATTAGACAATTGAATTTGGATACAAAGGAATATGCCTGAAAGAATAATTTACAACCAGTTGGTGGTTTGAGGCTGCAAGGATGAAAGGAATCCTCGAAAGAAAAACCCTGATAATCGATAGCGCAAACGGACAATAATACAGATCAGTTTCGAGTGGTATCGTGAAAATGAACAAATGAAATGTGTGTGGTCAGGTGCATGAATGTGCTTGGAAGTCCGACGATGAAAGGCCAGGATGCATAATTTCAAAACCTTAACAGCTGTGGCTGTGATCTCTTCGTGGCAAGAAGAACGAGAGCGACTGCAGGTAAGGCATGATAGACTGTGTGATGCCTTAGATCGTACGTTTGACTATACTCCACTGGATGACGAGATCTTTCACACGCACGGTGAGCGCCTCTTTGCAGGCAGGGCACGAAAGGTGCTCTGCTAGAGGACCCAGGGCATTCTCCAGCGTGTTTGTGGAAAGGTCTGAAATAGATAGAACATGAGCACATCAAACAAGAACAAGTCACGTAAGAGATACACACCGGGTCTTGCCTCCCAGGCGAGATACGCAGAGGCGAGCGCCCATGCTCGGGATAACCTTTTCTGTTCCTCGAAGCCACACCAAGGAGTCGGGGGATGGGGATGAGGGGGAGGAAGTAGTAATCGCTTCAGTGCATCGGCGCGCCCCATGTGCAAAAAGAACAGTTGCTTAAGATACCTTGGACCAATTTGATCCACGAGCTCATCCGTGAGTCCAGGAAGATGATATGAAAGCCTGGGTACTAAATTAGACTTTGCATGAGAAGAGAACGAGCACTTACAGATGGGGTGAGGTTGAAACAGCGAGATCATACAGATTGTAACATGCTGCCAATGCATATAGATCAATGGGGAACAGAGGTGCATGCGACAGAAGATGGGAGTAAAGAGGTGCGGATGGTGATATATGAGATACGACGTCGACACCATATACTGGGAACTGATGGACTGCAGTCACCAGTGTGTCGAAAGAGGGTGAATAGTGCATACAGGACATCCGATACGTGGTATGCAGAATGACGTTGAGGACTGGAGCTGTCTCGGGTACATGTATGACCACGTTCTGCTCCTTCGCCGTGGACGTTGTGGATAAGGGAATGAGAGAGTTGAAACGGTTATTCGAAACTCCAAGCAATACGTGGGTATGGACGTAGAAAAAGACCGAATCCGACGACAAAAGCGTCAGATCTGGTGATTGGGCATCGTTCTGGGCGCCGGGATAGAACGTCGTCGAGACAGATACGAAGGTGTTTTCTTCTGAGGTGTCTTCGGCCGTCGGAGAGCCATTCATCGATTCCTGTACATGAGACCAGAGATTATATCCATTGAAACACATTGGCGTTACCGGTGGAGTTGGGACTTGAGTTGGTGACTCATCCGAGCCGTTATCTACGCGTCTCTTGTCCTCATACGTACCGGAGGATCCAGGCGAGCTCAACGTTGACGGCTCCGGTGCGAAAGAGAGGACTGAGTTCCAATCGTTGGTGTCCATGGTGTTGAGGCCAGGCGTGTTTGTAGATCCAGAACCGTGCTTGAAATAAGCGAATATTTCAAGAAGCGACTCCGTCAGAATCAGGATAATACGGAAAGGCAAGGAGGGTAAATGGAAGAAAGGAAGGTAGATGGAGGAGACTCAGACGATGCCCATGCACGAGACTGCCTCAGTCAAGCATTGATTATCTAATCCCGACTGCTATATACGCTAGTGCCCGACGGTCACACGATGGTACTCTGTAATTAGAGAGCTGCCAAGCCGTCACCGCGGTTGTCTCACTCCACTCCGAGAAGTCGATCATATCCTGCGTCCTGTGATTCCTGACTCGGACCGGGAATCCCCCAGCTTCATTTTCTGTATTTTTTCGCGTTTCCCAAAATCAGAGTCATGGATTTCCTTCGTGCGGTGTTAAACTTTCCCGTTATCAAACATAAAAGAGATACTGACCATATTCGCCAGGCGTTTAGCGGTAGACACGGCATTCAATTTCTCTAGCACCTTAGCCTCGGGTACACTCATCTCGGTTAATTGCGTGTCTGAAAAACGTTGTTAGATACATGAAAAAGCATAAAAGCAGCACAAGTGGCTCACTGATTCGATCCTCTATCCGCAATACTCGATCCTCGTCACGTTCCGTTACAAAACTGATAGCGACACCTCCCTTGCCTGCACGTGCTGTTCTACCAACTCTGTGCGTGTATTCCTCCGGCTCCATGGGCACGTCCCAATTTATTACCAATGCGACGTCTTCAATATCGAGACCGCGACTACCCACATCCGTTGACACCAGGACGGGCACCACTGACGACCGGAACAATGAGAGTGACGAGAGTCGTTCCCGCTGCGTCAGCCGCGAATGCAAAGCCGTACTTCGTATTGATAGTGTCTTGAGGACAAGCGTCAGATACGCTGCTGTTCGGGGACGATTGCAAAATATAATTGTCGGAGGCGGTTGCTCTGGGAAATCCTCTTCATCCGTCGGCTTCTTATCTCGCCTGGATTTCGATGGTTTCCCCAATTTTTTTGCTGGTTCAGGTGGTGCGCGCCGCATATGCAACGTTGACTCCGGAGGATTGCACAGCAGGTGATACAGATAAGATTCTCGAACATGCGACGGCACGAGAATATAGTGCTGTTTCAGTGTCTCTACGGTTTCAATACTGCAGAAACATGAAGAGCAGCACAAAGAAGAAGACAAAAGACTTACGTCTCGGACATCCTGTATACGAATGGCTTCTGTTTCCCGGGTTGCGGTTTGGCATTAATCAAGTTCTCGATTGAATCGGTCATGGTGGCGGTGAACAAGCATGTCTGCCGTGATTTGGGAAGAACCCCGAACAGATGGGCAAGCTCTGGCGCGAAGGTCGGTGTAAGAAGACGATCCGCTTCATCCAAGACCTGAACGCTACGCCATTAGCTTCAGGAGCGTCGAAAAGCGTACAACATACCAAAAATTTCACCCGAGACAGATTCCATTCTCCGCTCCCACTGTTCAAATGGTCAACAAGACGACCTGGTGTTGCAATAACGACATGAGGGCGATCCCCAAGTTCCAAACTTTGAGCCATCATATCCATGCCGCCAACTATGACGGCAGTGCGAATGTTGAGCGCTGCCCCAAGCACTGCAAATTGTTCCGAAATTTGAAAGGCCAACTCCCTACAGGCTACGATGAATAAGAGAGTGTGGACACCGAGTGAAGCACATAGACTGACCGAGTGGGTGTCAACACTAGTGCAAATATTCCGTAGGGATCCACGGCAAGCTTTTGGAGTATCGGCAGAGCGAATGTAATAGTCTTTCCCGAGCCTGTTTGTGCGTTGCCTATACAATCCCTACCTGAAATATGTTAGTATGCAAGCAAAAGGAAAATGGCTAATGCCGCACCTGATGAAAGGGGAGGTATACATGCGGCCTGAACTTCTGTTGGCGTTCGTATTGACATGGACGTGAGAGCAGCCTGCAATGAGCCAGATATTCCCAAGTCGGAGAAGGAGGTATGTTTAAAATTCGCAGCCGTCGAAGCTATCCTTGGCTGTGAGGAATCTTTTGTATTGAAGCGGGATATGTTGCTCATTTCTCCAGTAGGGATTTCTTCATCGGAGCTCTGACTGATTTGCTGAAGCACATTTCTCGTCTCGCTGTCATCACTTGCAGTATCATCGTCGTCGTCGGATAATTTTGGTCGTTTCCTGGACGCCTGAAAAACTACGGCGGACCTGCGCTTCATGATAATTACCAGCGAGAGAGGGAGAGGGAGAGGAGGGGGGTCACATCTGTCACACCATATTTTTCCGGCAATAAGTTGCTTAGTCGTGCCCTTGTCATTCACCGGGCCAAGTTGAATATGATTACTCGTCGTCTACTGCTTCTCGGCCCGTCGAATCACAGTCGCTTTAAATACAGACGCTGACACGAAAGCCCATCACTCTACTCAGCCATGTCAAAGACAGTAACCTCGTTTACCGCTCAGCTGGTCACATTCACCACCCCTCTGCCCGTTTCAGAAGTTTTGCGCCGTCTCGACAAGGAAGTCCACAGGGAGCAATCTGCTGGATTGATCCCCTTTCTCAAGTCTGACGTCTCTAAAGACGCTTTCGAAGAAGGGTTGAAAAGAATGGCCAATGGCAATGATTTCCTGTGAGCACTAAGCATTGCGTCTCTCTTTCATTTGAGTACTTAGTGTGGTCAGTTTCTTCCTCCAGTTCAATCACTCCGTTTGGATGAAAATCTACCATGAAAACGTCCCGACAGCGATAGTATACACTATCGGAAATCCGATCATCGCCGAAACGTTGATGAAGCATGACCTTCGAGCCTCCCTTAACATTCCTCCTCGTCTTCTAATCCTGGAAAAGGCGGATGGTAGTGGGACGGATATCGTATATCACCTACCATCCTCTGTGATGGTGTTGGAGTATAACACAGCCCTCAAAGCCGCTGCTCAAATCCTCGACGACAAAGTAGATCAGTTACTCACGAAGGTGACGGAAATGTAGAGGTGGAGATTGCATACTGCGTCAAAGCTACTCTGATCCATACTGACAGAATCTCGTATACGGAGCTCTGCAAGGGATCATACAAGTAATAGATAAATGCAAACGGCTATCATAGTTACTGGATCATTACGACTATGATTAGAGGCCTCAAGCAATGGCAAGGCATGAAGATGAAATATATATATGAGGCTGTAGGCAACTGAAACACCAATGTTGAACAGCATATACATGTTTCGAACTTCTCTCCCTACCCTATTTCAGCCTCCGGAAGTAAGTTATATCCTAACCATGTTTATTCAATACACTTTCATTAAAATGAAGCTATGTACTATATACACACTCTCTCATGTCCAAGTCGGCAAAGCCTTGCGAACAAAGAAGATGAAAACGAACAAAAAAAATTAAATGATAGGCATACAATTAATTGAAGACCAATTTGACATATACTTATGCGTCATCGGGCAGATTCACCCACGGTTTGTCACACTGGGGAGGGTGATACGTCCTCCGCTAGACTATTGGCGTAGTGGTCGATCAGGCTCGACGTGTATGGATGCTGCATTCAACGACGTCAAGGGTCAGGGAACCAAATTCGAGGAGCAGATAACGCCTACTAACCATGACATAATGATGGTCTGTTGCGGGATGAGAGACCGCAGGGACTGTCGAAGCTGGACGGGAAATGATTTTTCCGCGTTCAAGGTCACGAAAGAAACCCAGCGAGCTCGAAGGACGTCGAGGTGCAATAAGCAACGAGAGATCAGCGGGATAACCAAACGAATCCAGAGACATATGCGGCATGGTTGACGAAGAGATGAAGGGCGCTGATGCAGGTCCCAGCTCAGCGGAGTGATAGCTGATGGGCGACGCTGGGGCAGTAACAGTCAGCGATGTCGCATTGTCAGTTCTGGTGGCACGAGCGAAACCGAATGCATTTTGCGAAGTATGTGACAAAGTCGAGAAAGGGAAGACGGGAGCTGGAGTCAGTCCTATCTGGGTGGTATTATCGTCGGCGGGAGATGGCTGAGTGATAGACGAAAGCGAAGGCGCTGCCATGTTGATTCCGGTATCAAGAAGAGGAATGTGCTGGTGAGGAGCATCCGCGAGACCCTCCGAATGTCCACAAAACTGCTGGGGGACGTAAACGAAAGAAGGTGTTTGCATGGGCCCAAGCTCATGTGTGCGATAGCCGGTGGCGGGCGACGCTGGGGCAATCGCAGGTTGTGATAGTGCAGGGTGGATCCGGCTGGTAGAAGGAGCCCCGAAGCGCTGAGCACGACCCTTCCCACGACGCCGAGAGGGCTTTTCTTGGATAGCCTTACCTTGTAAATCGAGGACATTCTCCACGAAAACAAATTTGCTAATCGGCGCTGTATCGTCGGCCCCACTCTCCAGATCGCGTCTCGAATGGCCTTTCATCCTAGACCTCTTGCGCTGCGGTGAATACTTATAATCAGGATGATCTCTGCGATGAGTCTTTTGCGCCTCCTTTGCCAGTTCTATGAAGGGTTGACGCTCCTCAAGAGTGGTACGATTCCATGCTTCTCCGGCAACCCGACTGAAAACCTGCTGCTGACCCTTCTTGGCTTTTGGGTCTTTGTTGGATAATTTTTCGAGGTGCGAACGATAGAGGTGCGAGCGAAAGAACATGAAAGGATTGGGTGGACGACGGACCTTTTGGGCCTTGGCTATGGAATCGGGCGCAATGCCCGCTTGAGGCCCCGGTTCTGGGGTGGAAGGTAACGTCGATAATGAGGTTGGAAGCATGGTACCCGATGTCGCTGCATGCATACGATGAACACCAAGACTATTTCCCGCAATCTGGGGAGGCTGGGTTAACGGCATCGAACATTCATCTGCAGAAGGGGCAGATAGAGTGGCGGATGGGGGGATATGGGGCGTCGGGGGATGCATATGATGAAAAATAAGGGTGGGTGATGATATCGAATTGTTGTCAAAAGCAGACGTGGGTAGAGTGGCGCGTAAATGAACATAGGGCGTCGATGGGTAGGAACCTGGTGTAAGGGCTACATCGAGAGGACCAATGTTCTGAGTAACGTCCAATGCTTTCAGAGATCTATACGCGTGGGCCCCACGGGCAGATCGTGCCAAACGAATCTCCGACAAAGAAAGATTACTGAATTCTTCAGTAGGGGGCGAGTAATGATCTTGAGAATGTTGATCCTGGAAGGACCAAGTGGAGTTGAATAGACTCGGGACATCTAGTTAATACACAAATGGCATTAGTTTCGCTGCACATAAGGATGGTTCTAGCACGTACTGCTACTTTGCATCTTGAAGTTAAGGAAAGATTTGGAAGCAGGTTAACTTGGTGAATGGCTGATGAAGTGCACGCGAAAGACCCTTCTCTTTCATCTTGACAGGCGACTTTTATATTCTTTGTCGATGTCATTGACGATTCTGGAAGGTAGGTTCGGTCTGACCCAAAACAAAATTTTCAGCAAAGGCTCAGGACACGCGACTATCTGAAAGAGATATCGCCTTGTAAGTCACATGAGGAAGACAAAGGAAGCCGGCAAAAAGCGCGTACACGCGTTTTGCGGCGTGCGCCGCAGCACCGCAGGATATAGGAAGCGTCGATTAAAGAACATGAGGATTGAATCGGCTTGGCTTGAACTAGCATGGCAAAGGGGTGCATTCTAAAAGTGAGTACAGGTATATCTACCTGAGTCTACAGCTGCCTTCTTCGACGCCCTCTCTCAAAGGAGAGATGTCACCTATAGGTCGCGTATTAGTTGAAATCTATAGAAAACCGAGAATTGACTTACCTTAACATATCAGACCTCTAAACGGTCAAGTATTTGAATTCGCTGGCAGCTTTCCTGACACGATTCATTACAGCTAGGCCTTCTTTGCACTCCTCTATTTCCTCTATGAGTATTAGGTCCACGCCTTCCTCCTCTAATGTTAGCAAACCATCGAACAGCCTTTGAGCTGTGACCGCAGGGCTGCTGATAGGTCCCAGGAAAAACCGACGCCATTCTATTCCATCGGGTAATGCAAATGATCCGAGGACGGAATCAGGCGGTGTTAATAGTCCAACCTTAATAGGTTCACTATGAGGCGACAGCGTCGCTAGATATTCCGAAGCAGTGTAGCTTCTTTCTCCCGCTGGGGCGGGGGAATGCGTGAAGAGTAATGTCACCGGAACTGACGGAGAGTAGTGCCTGTATTTCATGCCCGGAGTAGTTGGTGCTTGTTCTAATTCCTGGTCTGCATAGTCACGCCGATATACCAACACTTGTGGTATACATTCTGTGCCATCCAATTCTTGCTGTAGGACTCGTGACATGTCTTCAACAGTGACACCACCTGGTCGGAGCACACGAATATTGCCATCGGGTTGTAGACCATCTATGACTGTGCTTTCCACTCCCACTTCGCAAGGCCCTCCGTCCAGGATGATACCAAGCCTGCCATCGTGGTCGCGTAAGACATGTTCAGAGCGCGTCGGACTGGGCTTCCCTGAGCTATTTGCACTGGGTGCTGCCAATGGTACATCGGCAACAGCTATTAAGGCTCTAGCGACGGGATGTGAAGGCATTCGTATTGCAACTGTAGGATGATTTGCTGTGATTATAGAAGGAACAATATTAGGATCACTGGGGAAAAGAAGGGTTAATGCTCCAGGCCAAAAACGTCTCATGAGAATTTGATATGTCGCTGGAAGTATGAAGTTGGAGGGAATGATTGAACGGAGCATCTTTAACGAAGATACATGCACGATAAGAGGGTTATCTGATGGACGGCCTTTCATAGTGAATATACGGGACGCTGCGGTCGGATTCAAGGCGAGAGCACCGAGACCGTACACGGTTTCCGTAGGAAACGCGACAGGCTGGAGGTCATGGAGATGGCGGGCGGCTATTTGAAGAGAAGCCAATGTATCTGGAGAAGTTATTGTAGGCTCTTGTGATGCAGAATCGAAGTTAATGGAAGCAGAGTCGCATTTGAGCACTTTGGTAGATGTAGCAGACATTCTGAGGAATCGGTGGCCGATTTTGAGGCTCATTCGAGTCAAAAAGATTTTATTTGTTTTGCCTTGTTTGTCCTGGAGTAAAACATCTATTCGGCCTGGTGGGTTACAGGCATGTCGAGGCCTACTCGCCGAGCGGTGGCATGAATCCTCTCTTCCGCTGTCAGGTCTACCAAGGGATTGTATCTGTCCAAGAGGAGCTGGCGAGACCATCAATACAGAGAAAAATGCAACGATACGGAAGCGCACCTTGTGTTGCCTTGAAGCCTGCATAAGTGCTACGGCATTTTTTACGTCCTCCAAGATACGCTCGTTCCCAGATTGCTTGTATCCTTCTAAAATGGTTCGAAAACTGGACGACAAGGGATTGACGACGTTCCGTTTGGAAGGCGCCTGTAAGTCATTAATGCTGAAGTCAGATACTAATAGAATGAGCTCACTGATTTTCTCAGTTCACGAAGAATAGAGCGATATGTTGTTGCAACGACATGTTGGGAGGCCATGAAGAGGTGGGTCACGGAGTTGTGACGACTCTCACGTGCCGTTATGCAGCGAACAACGTGACTTGTTGCCGTCGGCGTCGCGCTGGAATTGACTTTGTTCGACAAATGGTCCTTCTCCGGCGTGGCATCTAGTCGACAATGGTAAATGAACATTGTTTTCTGCCCTCATGTCTTGCTTCTTATGTGGCAACTCAATTTCAATAGCGACACAATCGTTCGCCATAATTAGAGCTTCCCCATAGGACTAGTGCTATAAAACGGAGGGAGTCAGGCTTCGTCGGTGTCCTCAAGTCTAGCTTCAAGATTTACTCGTTCCCCGTGTTACCTCATTCTTCTCCCCGTTCCCTCTCAATTTGTGTCTTTCTCCCCCTTGTTTCGCAATGGTTCGCATTCACTGGTCTCTTTTATCCAGGGAAGGAGTCAAGAAAGCCGGGCAACTGGTTCAGGTCAGTGTACTGTTTCTTTGACAATGCCATCCAAGCTAATATTCTGGTGCAGGACTATATGTACAACCCTGGAGCTCCAGTGCAGGAGCCTGATACCGCTGACAAGACCCAACCGCAACGTCTCAACCAAACACAACGTGACCAGATTGAGAGGCAGCGCAAGATCTTCATGGTTCGGCGCGGTCTGCAAGCTCACCCTGTCGTTTTTGTGGGGAATGTATGACTCTTCTATCGACAAAATATAGGCAATATGCTGAAAATTGTTGTCAGATCTTGCCTACTTTCACTCATCAAGACCTCCATGACTTCTTCTCTCAGTGCGGCACGGTCCTTCGCGTTCAGATCCGTTGTAGTCAAGGATGCCCAACCCCGATGGCATCTAGTGCACCTGGCTGCACTCCGAATACATACTATGCCACTGTCCGATTCCATAACCATACTGCTGTTGATAACGCTCTCTCCATCTGCACCTATTTTAAGGGCGTGAAGTTACAGGTGATGGTTCTGAACCTCATGTTCTTGGCTATCTCATATATTTTTGCTCCAGATCACTATTTCCAGACGATTGCTGCCTGAAGTGAGGAAATGCATTGCCGGTACGGTGGATATTCATTGAGAAGGCCATTCGCTGACCGTTCATCAGATGCCTCCAAGAAGAAGGGGGACAAACTGACAAACGACGTCGTTCCCCGTCGTCCCATGTATGGCTTTTCTGTCTGCTAGTAGTGTCTTATTTCTGATTGCGTCTACAGACCTTGCAGAGAGCAGGGCACTCTTATTCTGCCTGACCTATCACCCGACGTGAATATGCTGGCTGGGGTAGCATTTCCCAAGACTATTGTGTAAAAAGATTACATAGCATACATATTGAATGTCGACCATTAGGAGTTAGACTGAATTTCCACATGGCAGTTTCTGAGCGTGCCGCATTGGCTCCTTCACTTTGTCTTACCTTTTACAAGAATCATTCCCTGTCGCTGTGCCCCACGTCGAGCAGCTATCCTTCCTGCATGGGAGCACCTTAGGAAATTCTAGGACCACCGCCAGCGGCGAGAACGAACTCTTGCCACATCATATGCGCCATTTTCTTGATATCACCCGCTTACAAACCGCCATCCCCACCAAATTGTCCCTATTGGCACCCTTTCTGGTTCGTCTGTGAATTTATTCCTGTCAGCCCGAGTACCAGCGTCGTCGACGAGTATCATGGCAAGGAGTGCCGCCCTCAATCCTGCGTCGATGCCCTTCTTTCCAGGCAACCTCCGTGCCAGCGACGACGAAGGCGACTTGGCTTTTCGACGGCATCCTTTTCGCTCCAACGATCCCAACCGTAGCTCGTTTTCATCAATATCTTCCGTATCCATTTCACCTACAGAATACCGTACCGCTAGGTCTTCTCCCAGCCCGCCACACGATGACCTGGCTAACATGCAGAGCACTTTCAAGTCTCCTTTCGATTTGCCGCGACGGTCACCTTCTTTTCGCCAAGTGGAGGCGGGTAGACCGTATTCTGGCATAGAGAACCAAGTCTCTCGCGAGGCCAGTCTCTTGGGCAGTCTGGAGTCATTGCCAGAGGGGGAGGACAATGATGTTACTCCTGGGCCAGTTAGCTTGGACAATAGTTCAGCGGCAGGATCACATTTTTTCCCACTGCAACAGCAGTCTCGAGAACGTTTTTCGACGCCGCCTGCCACTGTTGGCCTGAACGGATCATCTCACCCCATCATCAGCGGTCCCACCTCCTCTTCCCCTGTGTCGTCTCTCGATTCCGGCAGCCACCTCAACTCAGGTTCAGATGGACATTCGTTTGAAGCACAGCTCAAGGCTTCTCCTATGCTTCACGATATACTGGATCGACTCGTCCGTTGTGAGTATTCTACTAGGGAGATTCACAGGGACCTTGGTGAACTGCATCGCAAAGTCAACATACTCGTCGACCGCTTCTCTGCCACTGCCAGCAGTGTGCAGCCAGAATTCAAGGACCCGTTTTCGAGCAACAGCCGTAGGCCAAGCTATGCAAACTCCATGAATGTGCCTCGCGCTTCTTTGGGCAATATCGCTCCTAACCAGGCCCCTCCTTCTGATGACATTACTTCGATTTCTCAACGCCTAAATACTCTCACTTCATCCGTTGGTCAACTTATTGCCCTCCAGACACAACATGTCCAGCCGTCACCAATATCGGGCTTGCCTAATGGTAGTCTTATTGGTCCTCCAAAAGCTCATACGTCAAACCTAGACTTCCTTCCTCCCCAGCAATCTAATGTCAACACACTAGGCCACGGGTTACCCAATCGTCCAGATATGCGGCCTTCGCCTCGTATCCCAAATCCCCCCATGCGCACTTGGTCTACCGGAACCCTTGATCTACCCGTTCGACCACCCGAAACGACTATCGGGCGTCAGGAAGGGTTTCCGCGTGACAAACGACGCTCCGTTTCAAGTCTTATGCGCCGTGATTCAGCTGGGGTCTGTTTCTTTTTTTTCACCGGTTCGTTCTTCTCTGATCATATCTTTTTTCATAGATGTTGGATCCAAATGATTCGAATTCTCCACGAGATTCTGGCCCAATGATTACCAAGTGGGAACAGCTTTCGCTAGCACCTGAACTCCAGGTTTCATTGAACTCTTTTGGGTAATCATTTCTGTTCCGACACCGACGTTCATTCATCGTACTAATGTCATCATCGTAGCGTTGGTCCCCCAAACAAAATCCAGCAACGGGCGTTGCCATTCCTCTTGAGAGGATCAGATATCATTGCTCAAGCGCCGCCAACCCAAGAACGGATCGCTGCATATGTCATTCCGGCTATCCAGACGGCGTTGACCCATTCTGATAGTCTCAAACCGGTGGTCGTCATGATTTCGACCACTGTAGATCAAGCTACCCAAGCTCATCGCATGATCCGTGATCTAGGGTCCGGTATAGGCGTCAGATCTGTGTTGGCTGTAGGCGCCGTCAAGGATTTCCACGCCGAGCTGCAGCTGGTTCTCTCTAACAAACCGCAAGTTGTTTGTGGCACACCGCAGAAATTGCATGCCCTGTTCACAACGCAGGGCGGTCTCGATGGTTCAGATGTCCGTTTCTTGGTGCTCGATGAGGTAGATCAGTTGATCGCGCGTAATATGCACGAATTTGTGTTCAACATTGTCAAATTGCTGCCTCCCGCCCGTTCGCGCCCGCCGAGTTCAGTGACGCCCACTCCTTCAGGTAGCGCATCGAACAATACCCCTGTTCCGGCCCTCCCAGCCAGGAAGATGTCTACTTTAGGTGGCACACCTGTCGCAGATGCCGAAGGACGTTCTAGCCCCCAGGTTGTAGAGGCTCAACAATCTGCCGAACGCCAGACGGCGCTCTTCTCTAACACAGTTCCTCAGGACGTTTTGAACTTGGCAACAGCAATTCAACTGAAGGAGCCTGTCAGAGTCCTTGTACGCCGGGATGGCACGGTGACTAACATCGAGACATCGCCCAATTTCCGCGGTCTTCGACAGTTTTATTTGTATCTTGCGTTCACCGCTGGTGGGCGCGCTGATCCTTCTCATGTTGAAGGTGGCTTAGGAATAATTGGATCAGGGAGAAGCACTTCTAGTGCGGAAAGCCTGCAAGCTCGTGAATGGAAGCTAGATGCCCTGGCTGATATCCTGGACGATGTCGACGTTTCGCAGGCCATCGTTCACGTTGGCGGCGTTACCGCATTAGATGCGGTTGTGTACAAGTTGGCCAGTCGAGGTCTGGAAGCTATTCCTCTGGTACGGCGGTTTATTTCTCGTACTGTCACGGTTTATTAACATTGTGCGATAGCATGGTGATATGAATTCTACGACCAAGTTGGCTGCTCTCAGCAAGTTTAAGAGCTCGCCATCTGTTGTCATGAGACAACCTGTAACAAAAATTCTTGTTATTTACGATGTTCACGTTCAAGAAATATCTCAAATTCCCTTGATTATAAACTATGGTGCGGCTAGATTTTTTATCTGTGAATTTAAATATATCTCTCCCTCAGATTTACCGAAAGCCGTCGAGGAGTATACTCATCGGTGCGTTCTATCGATCTACAACCGGCTCACGTCTCATGACGCTCATTGTTTAGCATTGCCCCTGCCGTCGCACCTAATAATTACTCCCGAGGAGGGGTCATAATCAACTTTGTAACTGCTACAGGTGGTGACGTAGAGATGCTCCGTTCCATCGAGTGTTTCCACAAGTAACGTGTTTCCCCTCTTTACTTCACACAGGTACTGACGGCTTTCACTTTTCCAGAATCAAATGCGTCAGTCCAATTGTAATACTTGAATCTCCTCTGACGTTTGCCCACAGCCTGAAGTTCCTATCAGTCTCCGTGACATTGTCTAAATCGATCACCATTCTGTGTTCTTGTATCCCTATCGCACAATGCTCTATTCGTCTTCTATCGTTGTCTGTTACGCCTATTATACTCGCATCTCACTGTTCGATACCCTTATACTGCACCCTGCGCGTCTCCCAGATTGTTTCATTACTAGTTTCATCCCTTTATTTCTCTCACCACTGTATAGCAGCTCTCATTTCATTTCATTTGAATGGTTATCAATCCATACTCATGTGGACGATCACTATTTTCAATGTACCATCTTCACTACAGCTAGCCAGCTCTTTCTGAGGGGCTTCAACCGGGGTTGGTCGCCAACTGAGGCGGTGAACATGATTGACATGTGCCATACTACAAGTCGGTCAGTACTGTCTGTTCATCTGTCAAGGACAAAATCTTCGCACCCGGCATCTATTGTCAGTTGATACATCCAATCTGTCGTTGGGATTGTGTTTGAATACAGCAGTATTTCTCCAGTTTCAAGGCCGATAGCAAGGTACCGTCTGAAAATATAACGATAGTGATATCAAAAAGAATGGAAATGGCGAACCTATTTTGTTTGTCAACGGTCGAAAAATCCACGGCTGTTGCAGCCTCCGCAACTTTGATATTAGCAATAGCTCTCCATTTTCTGTTGGTATCAGACTGCCATATTTTTACCTGCACGACATCAACGCATAGAAATAATAGAGTGTAGCCCTTACCGTCTTATCGCGAGACGCCGTAACAAAGACATCGCCTTCATGAGCCCATGCACAGTCCCATATAATTCGGGAGTGACTCTTTTCCGCAGCTACTGCGCCATAATCTGGGCATGCTGCGTGAGCCGTGCCTTTTATTGTGAAGACCATAAAAATCGCTTACACTGTGTCGAATTGTCCTTCTGAAATAGTCGCCATGTTCTATCCCTGGAAACAGACAGTACAAATTGGTCGTCAGGACTGAATGCTATCCGAGTGACAGTGAGCGAATGTCCGACGAGAGGCTCTCCGAACGGTTGCCAGGTTTCTGTGTCCCAAATACGAATGACAGAGTGCTCTGGTGACGTTGACTTGCACGCAATCGCTACTATACGATGCGAGTTGGATGTAGCCAGAGTGATGGACTATAAGCCGAAGTAAAGATCTCCTCATGTGCATTAGTCGACAGACCGTACCTCGTATCCATGTCCGAATACCTTTTCTACTTCTGGCCAAAGTGTAGTAGCGGCAAGTTCACCTTCTAGAGGCCGGGTGGATGGGAAATTGTCATCGACGGACATAGGCGCTGGAAAGAAATGAACACAAGTTCAGCTCTAAAAACTAACAAATTTGAGTAACCGACCATCAGTGGTTGCTTTGTTCGACAAACCCAGCGGCGGAACACCAGCTCGGGATGGACGTTGATGCTGTTTTTATAAGAGCTTTAAAACGAAAAGGCAAAAAAAAAAAAACAACTGACTTCGGCATCGGAGAATCGCGCAACGCCTAGCGCTTCCACAACATCTATGAAACTTCGAGGAGCCTCAAACACTCTCGCCACCTTCTCGTCCGCAATACTAACGAACTTGAGGTTGTCTAAAAAGTTTACCCCCAAAAGATCGTACCCATGGACTTGCGGTCTAGCGAGCTCATGCCACGTTGTGTGACCATTTGGGTGAGTTATAGGACCATGTATGCGGGTGGTCTGGTCCAATCTGGTTCTGAAGATATCAGTAAAGAAGCTTCAAAAAGGGATGCACTGACCCAGCTGATATCAAAAACTGGCCATCAGGACTCCAACAGATTCCTCGAACGGGCCCACAATGCCCATTGATCGCATGCACTTCAGTCCAAGTTTCCTTTTCATCGGCAGAGCACCTCCATCTCCGCCAGCTGCCCGACCAACCCCAGGCAAATGCCTCAGAACCGTCTTTGCCCCATAGACCCCCGACAAAACCGCCCAAGCGCTGCCCGCCAATGTCACCAAATCGCTGCCGATTGATCCATAAGGCGGTAGAAGTGTCATGTGAAGAGGTGAGCACTGGTGATGGAGACCAAAGGATAACGGAAGAGTCTGTGGACGACGATAGTAGAGTTGTTGTTGACGAATCTGATGTTGCTGGTCGCCAACTGAGAGAGGTAACACCTGCTTCATGGCCAATAAGGAGTGCATCGAAAGTGATTGAGAACTGTTGAGAACTGAAAGAAAGAAAGACTGAGCAAAACATAGAGATAGGAAGCAGCTCATCTTACCTGGAGGCAGACTTCTTGATGGTCAAAATATGTCGCTTCAGAGAAATCTGTCGGCCACCTTCTTCAGCATCAGCAAGTTCGCCTAGCGAAGCTTCGAAAGCATCCAAAAGTTCATCATTCAGAGCGTCTGCAGATGTCGCGGAATATTTCACTGCATCACGCTTGAAAGGTTCGATATTCCACAGGCGGATAGTCGTGTCGTGAGATCCTGACGCGAGAAGCAAAGACTCGCCTTCTTGAAGAGAAGGTCGGAACGCTAGGCATCGGGCCCAGTCATCATGCCCGGAAAGTACGGCAGATCTTATAAACTGTAAAAGTAGCTTTAGCCTGATACCATGAGATGGTAAAAGGAACTTGCTGTGCCATCGGACCTTGTCCAGATTTGAATATTCCGGTCTGTGCATGCAATGGCGAGGATAAGATCTACTAAATGCGTCAGATACACGCAATGAATTCGAGTTGTTCGGTCGCATACTTTCAGACTGAGGAAGGGAAGAAAGTGCGACAGACAGTGGATATATGCCCTTCAGTGGTATGGACTGGACCTCGACGACCTCATCTGTTCTTTGTCAAGGAAAAATCGTTTGTAAAACAAAACTTCAAGATACCTGCTCTTACTTTCCAAATCTTTACTGAAGAATCAGAAGAGCCGGTCGCGAGACACTCATGATGGACACATAACGATGAGATTGCTTTTGGGTGTGCTTGAACGTTACTCGAGCTCCACTAAAAAAAAAAATAATTGAAGCAAGGAGTCAATGTGAAGATATCGGAGTCAAACGACTGCACCTGAGACCCATCTCTTCTCCAATACATTACCACTCCCTTGTCATCTGCAGTAATAAGCGAGACATTTGAGATGAACTTGACACCAGTCACGGTTCCTTCATGGCCTGGTAACGTCTGGTAAGAACCTGGATCAGGATCTGCCTGGGTAGGTCATCAATGTCAATGGCGCGGTTGAGCGATGAAGCGAGTATCCCATACAACGAGGTCCCAGAGACAAACTAAATTTGCAGAGCCAAATGCGATGAGCGATGTCAATGAGGCGTCAGCAGCTTGATAGAACCGATTGGTGGAGGCCGCTATGTAGGCTGTTGATACATTCATCCTCAGAGGGACAGCTTGCAAGACGCCAAAATCGAAAAAGGCAATCACCGCCCAAGGTATCGGGCATTTTTCGTTTGTCATGTCCGTCTGATATGTAACCTTCTGTTTTTATGGAAGGGGAATAACGGTAGAAAAATCAAGAGTGTGAGGTATAGATGTGCAAATTTTAATATCCAGGCATGCCTGTACCTTCACCGTTTTCATCTACAACATCGTTTCAGAAAATCACTTCCTCCAAAGTACAAGTCATTTATTACTTCAATTGCATCAGAACCAGCAGAATAATAATCAGCACCGCTTTCCAAGACTAACCAAGTAGACAGTTATGAGCAGATGTAGCAATGTCTGGGCCTGATGGTGGCAAAGTAAGGTAAACGTATCTATCTCATTCAAACTGGAATCTCAGGTCAAGTAGCCCATTAAAGTCGTTGTATTGAAAATTAGCCCAGCCAGAATGGATGTTATACTTTATACCGCCTTCCCGTTTTAGTGAAGAATGTTTGTAGGACATAGACCTGGAATCTGGGGTGGGAAGTCAGAAAGATGGAGAAACGGTATCAGCAGAAAGACGCACGCGGCCATAGCGATAACTCCACAGCTCTCAAAGATGGCATACCAGAAGAGTCGACTGAAGAGTGTATTAGATAGGACAACACGAAGAAGGGAACAAAGGTACTTTTGTGTGCTCTGAACAACAGAGAAGCCTCGGCGTTCTTTAGTGTGGAAGCTACAAGCCAGTGTGAATACAAGCACCGCAATGAAGAATCAAAACATCAATGTGAACGCACTGCTTCTGTGTCCGTTTGATGTTCATGAGCATTCCGTTGAGCCGGAATATGGACTCTTCGAGTGCGGAGGTTTGTTCGGAAATCTGGCCTGTCATGCCGGTCAGCACGTAGAGACTGCAGTAGAAATGACTACACACCAGGTTTCGCCGGCGCCTCCCTCCTCGGTTCACTCTCCACCATAATATCAAAGTCGATGAGTTTTTCGGTAAGCGTAGACATGTCGTTTTCAAAACAGAAAGCATATTCGCCAGGAGTGTTGGCTGTTAGGACGTAATCACCTGGCACAAATGTAAGGACACGAGTCCAACGTGACGAAAATGGCCCGGACCTTGACGCTCGCTCGTTCCGGAGAGAAGTTCCTTACTCGCTGGAGGTGGTGAGGTCACCGAGTACGAGATGTCGAATGAGCCTCCAGACTGAACGGCAAAGTAGAACTGTCGCAGCAGTTTTGAGCAAAATGAAGATTCAGAATTGAGAAAATGAAGGCAAGAAATGATTAGAGGATAACCCAAGCAGAGCAGTAAGGTCACGCACGCCGATTTTCTCGCCGGCCTTGTCAACGTCTGCATAGAAACAGAGCCGCTCGTTGGCTGCAATTGGTGTCGTCAACGCAGAACCATGTACTGATCTTATACAAGCGCAAAAGAAGAGGGAGAGAAGAGGTATAGAAAGAAAGAGGGAGGAGAAGGGAAGGAAGGGCATCGTCGTGGATGGAAGAGGAAATGCTATTTCCTTTCTGGGATTGCAGACGTGTTGTTTGCCTTGTGTTCACCGCGAACAAAGCACTGCAGCTCAAGTTATAGGATGATAATACTAGTAACCTATCAAACACGATGATGATACGCCAGAATATCCTTTGAACGCTATAGCTGTATGTCCCGACTGTATTTCAGAACTCAATGATGTATAAGAGAACTCGTCGTCTGCCCATCCTTAATAGTCCAAGCCAATGTGTTTGATAGGACAAGAAAACACGCAGGGGATGGCAGAGAGAGTAAGCAACTGACATGGAGATTTCCACAGTGCACAGCCATGATTCTTGGCATCGGCGTCGATGTCGTCCACCTCCCTCGCATCGCTGCACTCATCGCTCGTCGCGGACAAGAAAGATTTGCTCAAAAGATACTCAGCAACGAAGAATTGCAGTCATGGAGGGCCATCCATGAACGCGACCGCGCCAGGTTCTTGGCCGTCCGGTACGCTTGCACTGTCTCGACACGTCGATAGGCATTTCATTTCGCGTGCAGGTGGGCGGTCAAGGAGGCTGCATATAAAGCAATGTACCCTACTGTAAAGCCTACGTGGAAGGATCTCTCGTTCTGGAGCTTAGGTCAGGAATTCAATGGCAGTAAACCTTCGCTGTCGTATCGTTCTCCGTACCCTGATACCTCGGTGGGTGAGATACACAGTTCTATCAGCCACGATGGGGAATATGTGTTTGCTTCCGTGCTGGTCTGTCAGCGGACAGAATAGGTACGTTAACTCTATTTTATTCCGATAATCTTACAGAACACCTGAGCGTCTACACCAGTCCCACCACTGTGGCCACTGAGGTTCAACTATCCACGTTGCAGAGCCATCAGTCTGCAAGGCGAACTGCTGTGGTTCTTCTTCCGTCAAATTTCCATTCTTCAGGTGTTCTAATCGGAACAACACTAGGCCATGTCCATGCAGTGAAGTCAAAAGTTTACTGCTTCCCCGTGGATGCGGAGACTTATTTTGGGACTCTTTACGAGTAATAGGACGTATGTCAAGGCCCGAAGGCAGTGACTGGGCAACGGGGGATGACCTATGACAGGCTGAGAATACAAACATAATACGTACAAGCAACTTGAATACATACATTTGGTGTTCGCGTATGACAACAGGAAGGACTCTCTTTCGTATGACACCGGTGTGATATGTTCGCACTGTGAGTTCCTGCCCGACATAGCAGCCCTTTCGAAAGTCAACTGACGGGTAACATGAGAAAAGTTACGCGAATAAGCCATTGAAACTCACGGCCTCCCATGATGTCCAAATTTGAGTCCATCGGGAACGCATGCAAGGGTGGGATGTCAACAAGACCTTCAGGGACCCCCTTGAGTATACGAAGAAGGGTATATGCGTCGGATGTCTGAATATCATGCGAGAGGGATTCCTTTGCTTGAATAGAATGAGCTCAGTATATACAACTATACTTGTGTGACTCACGACGGTCGCCCTTGCGTACAAGAATTCTCGACCCCATCCCGGGGGCTCTTCTGTCGCGTATGATGCCGTCCTCAAGACCCCAAGGCCATTCGCTCTCGGCCGGCCAAATGGGCTCCATAGCCCCACTGTGTTCCCAGTGCCACTTTCGCTGTGTCTCCCAGTGTGAATGTTCAGGAGAACCCCAAGCAGCCCAGGCGTCGTATTCCTGAGAGACATCCCTAATCTTCACTTTGGACCGTAAGACGTACCGCTTGAGCAGGTCGTAAAGTGGTGGGGCTTCTGAGGCACGCGAATCGTATTCAATTATGTATCCAGGCTTTCCCTTCTCGTCTTTTTGCGTGTGTAGGAATACATCGTAGAGAACCCTGCCCTGCAAACCGATTATTAGAACGTCTATAGAAAATACATGGGTGGGACGCACTTGAGCATTCAGTACCGTTGAAAACGCTGGCCTCCGAGGTTCCTGTACTGACGTCGCGAGTATACCATGAAGAAATTCTGACGCCTGAGAGCCAAATACCGAGAGAAACGACCGAAACGGGACTGGGGCGATGGTGGGGGTCAAGCTAGGAAACATTATTCCACGTGCTTGTCGTAATCTTGTCGTTGTACTCCAATGTCCTCGTCGTGCCAAGGCCTCCTGGCCGCTCTCAAAGATTGCTTGATGCACTCTGACTGTGTCGTCAAAGAAGGGAAACTCCCCTCTGAATGCCTGAAGGAGCATCCGGATGAGCTGCCAGAGGCGTGCCAGTCGCTGCGCAAGGCGACGTTTGAATGTAAACGAGGAATGGTGGGTATAGTGTATGATATTATTCCATTGATGTTACTGAATACAATGCAGCTGGATATGCGGAAGAGATTTCGAGGGAACATTGCTGGCTCGCAGTTCACATTCGAACCGGAAGAAGCACGACAGGCAGAGGCGTCCAAGTAATATGACCATTCTTGACTACGGATGAATCAGCATGGTGTATCAGCGCTGCTGCCAAAGATTCACACCATTGACAATGTTACGAATCGATTTGTCATTCCCGTTGAGATTTTCACCTATTTTAACCTCCCCCCATCGACTCTGTAGACACCTATACCAATCCCACAATAATATGTCAAAGCCTCTCACTTTCTATACCGCCCCGACTCCCAATGGTCGCAAGGTCTCCATCCTCCTCGAAGAACTCAAGGCCACGTACGGTCTCCAGTACGAGTAAGTTACCCCAAGCACGTCCAAGCTCCGCCAGATATGTCTTACCGTTGCTTGCAGAGCCCACAAGGTTGATCTTGGAAAAAACGTCCAAAAGGTACACATTCTCATGCCAAGATTTCTCAACACCGACTTAGCGTATTTTTAGGAGCCGTGGTTTATCGCTCTAAACCCTAATGGTCGAATCCCTACCCTTGTAGATCCCAACCGCGACTCTTTCTCCGTGTTTGAGAGTGCCGCCATTCTGCTGTATCTCCAGCAACAATACGATCAGGAAAACAAATTTGGGTTTGACCCTGTACAGAACCCCAAAGAATATAGCGAGATGCTGCAATGGATCTTCTTTGCTGTGCGTATCCCCTAGATAAGTCGCTGTCGCTGTCACACTGATATATACACGCTGATAGCACGGCGGTGTTGGCCCTATGCAGGGACAATGTAGGCGATCCACTCACTGGCGCGCCATGTGTCTCTAATGATATATTCGCAGTGAACCACTTTAACAGAGCCGCACCCGAAAACATTCCCTACGCAAAGAAACGTGATTATTTACAGAACTCTGGTTTTTATGCTACTTCTCATCGCTTTGACAGGTTACCACGATGAAGTCAGGCGACTGTACGGCGTACTTGAAATCCGACTCGAGGACCGCGACTATTTGGCTGGATCTGGCAAGGGCCAATACTCGTTGGCCGATCTCAACGTTTATCCCTGGTGAAAACATCTGTCCCCTTCTATTTTACCCGATTAACCAGAAACAGGGTCAACATTCATGCGCTGAGCGGTATCGAGTCCTTGGATGAATGGCCTGGACTGAAGGTAAGCTCATCTCTGGTTCTCTTCATAGTGTCATGCTTATTGGACTTTCAGGCCTGGCTGGAGAGAATTGCAACGAGACCAGGTGTTCAAGCGGGCAACCAAGTTCCGTAAACAGGCTAAAATGTAATGCGGTGAACAATGTCAAACTTTTGCTGTGCGACTTTCGATGAACCCCTGGAAGTTGTGCGTAAAACTCGGGTTAATCCATCACATCAAAGTATCCTACAGCAGAGACAAGGAAACGTCCTATAGTACATAAATAATTGAAAGGGACCGGTGTTCATAGTTAAAAGCTAATCATTAACTCGGAGTAGTTTGTCGTCTGTCGTCGAAATTTTCTTCGCGTTGGCTTGATTAAACCCTATACACGGGCCGGCCCTTCTTATCGACCTCAGCCCCAGTGCGTGCATCAACGTACCGACGTCGGCGCGAACGGCCCAGGAATCCCCAGGAACTATTCCACGACTTTGGCTTGTAATATCGCGACCGACCGAAACCGAAGAAACGGGCAATGCGCTCGCCAATGGTGGGGTGGTGGTATGAGGAGTGGTGGTGATGGCTGCTGCCGTGATGGCGACGGTGGTGACGATGGCCATGGCGACTGCTTGACTGGTACCGTGGTCATTGACAAGGTCAGTGAGTGCGATAGCTGATAGGACTTACTGGGACTGTTATCACTTGAGCGGGGGTCGAAGGTATTATGGTAGTGCCGTGATGGTAACGCCTGCTGCTGCTGTTGTGGGAGGGGACGTAGACAACGTTGCCGCCTCCGTAGGTGCCGCCGTACGTGGTAGGGTAGTAAGCAGCTGACGGAGCATGGCTGTGATGAGAAGTTGAGTAGACGACGGGCTGGGAAGCTTGAGTCGGGTAGTAGTAGCTCATGGTGGTGCAGAACAAGAGTTAGAGCGGCCATTTTATGCTTTTACCGTAGCTGTGGAGATCTCCATCAATTTCGTCATCAAATCAAATCAAGTTATTTCAAGAAATTCGAGTGTAGTACATATATGATATGCTCTCCGTAATTCACTCCAAGTCCTGGAAATCGCCGTCATCCAAGTCGTGAGGCTATAAAATATAAAATATATATAAGCCTCAGGGCTGTAAACATAACACAAAAAAGAGTACCTCTTTTGGTTCTTCGTCTTCTCCGTACTGCATCGTGTAGTCAATGTGACTGACTACAGTCTCCAAAGAATCGGAAGAGGTCAGATCCAGAGGCAGGAATGATACTAAAGGATGGTCCTCTATCTGCACGCAAATCCATTAGTATGCGTGGCAACAACCTTGAAACGTATTTACCAGCTGAACTATGGCTTGATTCAACGCGTGAAACCGCGGGTTAGGCGCACTACGTTCATGTCCTTGCGGGAATGCCAGCAACATGGGATCTGGGTCAAGATATCTATCAAGGAACTCAGCGGAAGGAATTACGGAACAGCATTTGAAAAGTCTACCGTCCAATATTTCTCCGACCTCGTATACCATTTCGCGCTCCTCCGGATGGATCTTCCGGATTAGATGTAACCAAATCCATCTTGGACATAACGTTTATCCACGGGATCTCAAGGTTGACCATAGCCGACATCGCTGAGAGCACTCCACTACAAATGGGCCACCATGAGACTCAGCCTGCGGGACCAATCTGACGCAACTGACCTGAAAAACTTGTACTTGTCTTCCATGAACTGGGATTCTATCAAGTAGACCGCACATGTTCTGATTCCCATCCTTCCGAGATTCTTCACCAGTGTAGGAAGGAACGGGTGGTGGGTGTATAGCTCAATTTGTCCTTAGGTACTGTCAGTATTGGGCCCAGTATGCAGTGATTGGAACCTACCAGGACAGTCAATAATAAGGTAATCGTCATCGAACCCTCCGAGCTCCTCCTCCAGCCAGTCCATGTTCTGCAAGAGATATCTATCCTAGAATGAGCGCCCTAGTAGAAAATAGCAGGGCCAGGTCACTCACTCACTCAAAACAGTATACAAGCCCACCGTTAGGGCCATAATCCAGCTCGCTCATCACATCCTCGAGGCTGATAAGATCCTTGATGTCGATGGCAGGCTCGTACTCAAAGCTTGCCGCCGCCGCTGCTGGATCTAGATTCACCAGATGCGCGGTCCGTCGCGACAAGCTCAGGTGCGTCATGAAGGATCCGGAGAATGTCGACTTTCCCGCACCCGCAGGTCCCGTAACTAGCACTGCGTAACGCATTCGGTAAAAGTGAGATGGATGTAACAGTCAGAATTTTGGTGACCTAATTTGGCAATGAACGCCTTGGCTTGATTCTACCACCTTCAACTCCTCGTTCATCAAACCAAACTTCCTTTAGCTCTTCCGTATCACCTGTCACAAAATATAGTTATGGCCGCGTACTTTTTTGCGTCCCCTATCGACGTGGATATCAGGCTGGACGGCGAAGATACGAGAAAACACGTAGAGATTAAGGGAGAGAAGGACAAAGTCATATCATGTCCTATTTACTATGACGGCGACTCTGTTGGCGGCCAGGTTCGTCGTTACACCAGTTACCCCCGCATATACTCAGTCTGCGCTAGGTAGCCATCCGGGTTCGTGACGGCAAGAAGATATCTCATGACGGCGTCAAGGTTGAATTCGTTGGCAGTATCGGTATGTTTATGTTCATACGGTGGCAGGAGAGCGGCTCTTCACACCTATACAGAGTTATTCTATGACCGTGGACATCACCAAGAATTTCTGTCCCTCTCACAAGAACTTGCTGCGCCTGGCGAAATGAGACAAGCGCAGACGTTTGACTTCAATTTCAAGAACGTAGAGAAGCAGTTTGAGAGCTATCAGGGTATTAATGTGAAGCTGCGGTCTGTCTTCCTTCATCCGCGCACCAGATACCCAACTTGCTAACCTCCCGTCTCGCAGCTACTTCATCCGCGTGTCGATTTCGCGACGAATGGCGGACGTGACCAAGGAGCGAGACTTATGGGTGCATTCGTTCCGCATGCCTCCCGACAGCAATAACTCGATAAGGATGGAAGTCGGGATTGAGGATTGTCTGCACATTGAGTTTGAGTATAATAAATCAAAGTGTGTCGTGCCTTTTTTTTTTTTTGCCTTCAACTCATTTCAATGGTGCTGTAGATACCACCTCAAGGACGTCATCGTCGGGAAAATCTACTTCCTTCTAGTACGGATTAAGATCAAACATATGGAGCTTTCTATTATTCGACGGGAAACGACGGGCTCGCCGCCAAATCAGTATAACGAGAGCGAAACCATCACAAAGTATGAAATAATGGACGGAGCGCCTGTCCGAGGTATTGAGTGTCTTCACCTTCAAGAAAACTCCACTTCAGCTCTATTTTCAGGGGAAACTATTCCTATTCGGCTATTCCTAGGCGGCTTTGAACTGACACCAACCTTCCGTGACGTGAACAAGAAGTTCAGTACACGCTACTACCTCAATCTCGTTCTCATCGACGAAGAAAATCGTCGATACTTCAAACAACAGGTATGCCTACTACGCTATCACCGACGTAACTTTAACGTTTTTGGCTTGCAGGAAATCACTATTTTCAGAATACCGGATGTACGTCTCTTCCCATAACCGACATTTCTTTTTGACCGATGTTAACAGAATTAATCTAACTGTACTATACCTTTGTACCTTTGTCAATATTTTTTATGTATTCTATTTGTGGACGCGAGAATAATTACTGTCGGTCGTGCACCGTTACCGACGGTAATGCAATGACATATCTTCCATGTTGTCTTTTATGTCTGCTGGTGAACTTAGGCAGAAACTGGGCATAGTTCCACCTTCAGATTTTGTATTATTTATTCGAGTAGAAGCTTCCGATAATCTGTTGGCGAGAAAGAAATTTATTACAGAGACCACATCAGTGTCAGTACAATGAAATCTATGGTACTATCATAACATTACGAAACTTGAGGGAATGCCAACATGAATGCAGAAGGAGAGACGGGGTCATCATGGTGATACAAGAGAAAACACGAATCAAGCCAAAGCACGGACACCTTCTTGCCAGTCTTCCTTCAAAATCACACCGTCCGCTCTACACACAGGACAAGATACCTCGACATCCTCTCCTTCAACATTCTCATCGGCACCCTTCAAGGCAACTCGCTGGGCACTTACCAAACATGACGGATGAAAGGTATGTTCGCAGACCACACTGCCCTGCTCCATCTTGGTCTTGCGGCGCTGGATGTGCAACTGCTTTTCCGACATAATCACGTAAGGATCTTCATCCGATGGACCGACCCCACAACTCATATCATAGCACCGCAATCCCGCTTCACGCTCTTTTCTTTCTAAATGCTGCCTCAGTGTAGGTCCTGGAGCAGGCGGCAGTGTCCACTTCTTCCTTTCGGAAGGCTGACGGGGTTGACGGCGCGGGTTCGCACCACCGCCGATAATGAATGGAGGAACTGTGCCTGCTGTACCCATAGGTAACCCCGCCCCTTGAAGGAACTGTGCAAAATGAGGAAGCCCAGTACCACGGACATTGGCGTTCCCATGTGCTCCAGTAGGGGTTGCCTGTGGTGGTGGTAGTGGTGCCGCACCAGCTCCAGGTCCAGATGGAGGTGATGCACCAGCTGCAACATTCCCAGCTCTCTCGCGGAATCGCGGTGGTATGAAAGGGAAGAGGGGCGGAAGCTGAGGCTGCTGCAGATTAGTTTGATCTGGCTGAGCACCAGCTTGTGCAGCTTGTGCTTGTACATGTCGGTTTAATTGGGCAAGAGCCTGTGCCATGGTGCGGCCAGACCCCGCGGCAAAGTGCATTCCACCATCCAATCCATGACCAGGACGGTGAATGTGAATATGGGTTTCAGATTGGACGGAAGGAGCGTTATTTTGTTGTGGGGGATTGTGTGCAGGTTGAGGTCCATGATTATCAGGTGGCGGAGGAACAGGGATACGGTGCATAGCTTGGTCAAACTGATTCATATGATCTTCAAAGGCACCCGCTAAATCGAATTCGCCATGAAGGTCTAAGTTACCTGGTAAGTCGTCCATAACTACATCGTCTGCACCACCTTCCCTAGGAGCTGGCCCGAAGATCATATCGAATCCAATTGTGACGAAGCCCTGATCGTCTCCATCCGGATGCTGATCATGGCCATGGTCCAAGGGAGCTTGCTGCTGGCCAGGTGCTGGAGCTGGTTGTGCATTGGTCGTTGGCGCGGCGGTTTCAGGAAGGGGTGTATCGATAAGCTCAAGAAGGGGGAGATCATTATCGTTGGAAGGTGTCGTATCTACTGCCCTTTATCAATAGCCATCACAGAACATATAACACACACAAACTTACCTTGACCTGAGGCTACACGTGGTGTCGGGCTGGGCGGAACGCTAGGAGGCGCGAGCCCTTGAGCTGGTGCATTTGTTTCTCCTTATGTTACCAACATCAGAACAGTACCCAGACGAGCAAGGAAAGAACCGTACCTTGTGTCGGAGAATGGCCTGCCATGAATAAGTTCACAAGATCTGCAGCTGATACCTGAGGCAAGGGTCCTCCATTCCGAAGTGCATCAGCATTCGGATTTGGAGCACCGGGCTGCCGTGACGTGTTCTCTAGAGTATTTCATAAATTACAATCAATTCAATGAACAGAAATAAATGACCAACCGGAGGGAGCGGTTGGAGTAGCTATCGGATGCATCCTCATCAATGTATTGAAAAGTGCCTGTGTGAAGATCGAATTTCGAGGAACATCCAGTCCAGGACCACCAATATCAGTAGCTGGACCAGTACCTGCATCCATGGGCGGAGACGGTAGAGACTCAGTTGCGGGAGTAACATTAGCTATCGGGGTATCTCTACTTGCATTAACGAGAGGGGTCGTATCTTCATCACTAGTAGTTGCTGGCGTGGCCGGCGCACCGACTGGTGCAGGCGCAGACCTTGGAGTCCGCCGTCGTGTAACATAGGTCAGATTCTCCGGATCAACATTGAAACGACAAGTAGGACAAGTAGTCTGTCGCGGCCGTGAGAACCAAGGGATGAGGCACGAGGCATGGAAGACATGAGCACACGGCAAGGCGACGATTTTAGGATGGAGAGACTGGGGGGTGGAGTGGGTGGAGGTCTTTGACTCCGACAAGCCGTCATGCATAACGGCTTCTTCGGTGGTAGAAGATTCAGGAATCGAGTGGGCTGCATCTGGGGAAGAATGGGCATCTTCCTTGATACTTTCCTCCTCTTTGCCAAACTGGTTCCCATCGCCATCCAACAAACGATCCCAGCAGATGGCACAGCCGCTATCACCGCCACTGCCGCCTACTGCATTATCGTCTGCACCTCCCACGGCGCCAACCCGTTCAAGTCGTCGAACTAGGCCGATAGGCACCTCCTCTAAGCCATTTACAAGACGCTTAGCCCTCTCAGGATCCTCCTGCTCATACTCAGGACCGCCCATCATCCCTCCAAAGCGCGCCAACAATTCGGCGAATGCATTACCATCGCCAACGTTCACGAATCCCGTCGGGAGGTTGAACATAGGCGGCGTCACATGTTGGTGGGGGTGTTGGGGCTGACCATGAGTGGGATTGGGAGGCGGATGAGTATGAACGTGAGGGTCAGCACCCAGATCAATAGTGATCCCAAAGAGACCCAACATTGGATGACCAGTCTGACCATTCTGTGGCTGTCCGGCTGGTAGTTCTTGTGCGTTATTAGGTGGTACTCCAGTAGCGTTAGGTGCGTTAGGGAGTCCAGGAATACCCTGCATAAAATGCTGCCAGATACGGAAAGTGTCGGGATTAGCGGCAGCGCCTGGAGGAACGCCCGGACCACTTCGGAAAGGTAAATGGATCCGAGGAAGAGGCTGAGCTGTCTGAGGACCATTGGCGGCGACGGGAGTAAGATTATTGACGTGGACTCGCTGCGAAGGATGCCTGCGATCACGATCCTGGTCTTCATCGGTATCAACACGCGCGCGCCTAGTGCTGCTACGTGAAGGCGAGGCAGCGGGCGTACTAGACGATGGAGTGGGCGGTTGTGGCGGCTGCAGGCCTGGCTCCGAGACCTGCTCGTCGCTGATAGCCTGCAACTGGACCTCAAGTTCATCGGCGTCCATACTGGCATCAGATTGAGAGAAATCCTCATCAGACTCGTCTGACTCTGAAATGTCGTTCAAAGGTGGCATGGAATCGTTATCGTCATCTTGTGACGACGGGGGCAGGACGACGATATCCATGGATTCCACATTCTGTGCGGTAAGAGGCTGTGGTGCTGCGTCAAAGACAACAGCGTCGTTAGCCAAGACATCTGCCTGTGGTAGCTGGGGACCGTCATGGGGTTCTTGGCCGGGAACGATAGAGCGAATGAAATTATGTAGCGTTTGCGAGACGTTATTTCCCGACATTGCTGGGTCGAACCGAGCCACCAGTGACGATTTCTTTGTCGTGGCAGAAGACAAGAAGTGGGACAGTAGTCCAGGTGCGGTAATTGTTAAGAAAGGTCGAGAACCTAAGTGTCAGATTAGGAACCGTGACGATCGTGACGAGACGCCGTGACACCTGTATTACTAAACCACCACTGGCATCTTTCTCAACGCCCAGCAAGCTCTACATCGAACAAACGGCAATGAAAACATATCAGAAGGCAATGCGCCACCACACTGTCAAATTCGCTCAAGTTATTCTGGCCACCGCCACGTATACTTGATAACGCTAGGCCACCGGTGCTGTCAAGTCACTATGTAGTATGGTATGTACAATAGTAAGTAATACCACAAATATAATATACGAAAAAATGTCCTCCGAAATTTTGACAACATGAAGCGTACGAGTGTAAGTTCGTCATTTAAGATGTTCATTGCCGCAATTTATTGCGAACGAAGTCGGAGTGCATAATAGAGCCTAAAAAGCAGCCACCATCAGCCTGCTGCAAGATAAAAGCAGGGGACAAACGCACGCAATCCGGTATAAAACAATAATAGACACCATAATTCCAACCCAAGAGGCATACGATATTCCTCGGATATCTAGGTAATCAAGGACATCGTCGCCAGAGACCGTGCATGAAGATGTTGAAGGGTATGCACAAGTGCATGATCCATCGCTTGTCCTCTCACACTGAAACGTGAGGCCACGAAGATCCGACTGAGAATCAAACGCATGGGTGATTAGTTCCGTTACATGTGGGCAGAGACGTACATTAGTGAGCAATTCGAATGCATAGCGCTGGTAGTCCATATAGTGAAAGCTGTAATACCAAAAGCGAGGGAGAGATCGTGCTTTAATACTGTTGAAATCGACTCAGTGCGATTTTGATATAAAATTTCGAGAAGACCTGCAAGTATCCTCCGACGCTCATCCAGAAGCCATTCATACTGCTCAACATTAGCCCTCGGCATTTACGCAGGGATCACAACTTACAAAGAACCGATAGCTAGCGCCGCCACAAAGACAGGTAAGATAGCAGAAACAACGAGTACCTGACTCTCTGCTGCTATTATAGCAAGCAGAAGGAAAAAAAGAAACCTGAAAAACGCGTTGGCACCCGGATGTAGTCCCTGGAAAACTCTTAGCTGGAACCGAGAAAATTTGACAAGTCACGAACCACGGCCCAGTAGCATATCACAGTGAAGAGTAGTGTGCAGAGGAAGAGGAACGGTATGTTCACTAATGTGTTGGACAACACAAATGGTAACGTGCTATACAATCCATTTTTTGTCTCTTGATAATAGACAGCTCGTTCCTCCAAAACTGTGGATGGTGGGAGTGGGGGCTATTTTTCGTGAAACTTGACGCAAACTTACAAGAAGGGATACCCGCGACCGACATCTAGACACATTCGTTGTCAGAGATGCACCGCTCATACCCTCACGTGCCACTCACAAATGCGAGAAACGCTACACTATAAAAGTGTATTGATAGACGATCGTTAATAGTCGAATCCCGCAGACCCAAGCGGATCCAAATGGTGCTATACATGCCAATGAATATACGGTGTCATATTTTGGTACAAATACCACCCACGCAATCATCAATCCCATACCTACAAAAAAAAAAAAGTAATGAGGGACAACTTCATCTCAGAGAAGGGTATGCTCACCGACATACATCCCCAGACGAACGCCATACGCTAGCAAATTCCTCATATAATTTACCGTTGACCTTTCCGACAATACCATAGTATTCCAAAAGAGCTTTCCAGCCCAATCTGTTTCACCCGATTTTTCTTCAAAAACGTCCAAATCCTGGTCGAATTGGGGAATAGATTTCAGATTCAGATTCAAGTTCTCGAGCGAGGTGTGCGAGTCGTTCAGGGTTGAGAGGTAGAATACCCTCAACGACGCAGCATTCCCACTCCCATTCTGGGGATCTGCCTGGAAATCTTCATTCAAAAAGTTCATCGCGTGCTCTGCAGGGGTTTTCTAGCAGGATGATCGTTAAGCTAGCTTGAAGGAGAAAATCGCAACTTACGAATGGCGGAACAGGCCTTCCCCACCGTTCAAAGAACATGACTAGATCATCTACCTTCCCAGAATAACATATTTTTCCCTGGGCAAGCAATAGGAGATCCGTGAACTGCCCTAGTGTCTCCAAAGATGGTTGGTGTATCGTCGCAATTACAAACATGCCTTCGGCGACAGCCAAGCGCCGTATTGCCGACATCACCTCACGGGCAGAGGTGCTGTCGAGCTAGCAAATGATATGGTGATCAGTGTACGAGAGAATTAATAGAACCAACGTACACCGGAGGTCACTTCATCAAGAAACAAGATCCGTCTAGTATGCGTAGGCACAAAAATAGGTCAGCATGAGTACGTCGAATATACTCGATACTCACGGAAATGTGACCATTGCGCAGGCAGCAGTGACGCGGCGTTTCTGGCCTAGTAGAAGGAATCTGTTAGTCAATTGGGTATGTCGTTCTGACAAGAACTGTACCCACCGCCTGATATACCCCTCGAAATGGGCGTTCCAATTATCTGATCTGCGCAAGACTGCAAACCGAGCGCGGCGAGGACGCGGTCGACTCTACTCGCTACCGTCGTACGCGACAGCATTGGTAGGCTAAGAAGGGAGAAACGCCGCACGGTAATTAACTTTAGCTTTAGATTGCGAGGGAGAATGAAGAGGCTTACTGAAGTCGCAGAGCATATGCCACTGTCTCGCGGACGGTGAGTACGCCTAGCAGTGCATCTTCCTGTTCAACAAAGGACGAGATGGCATACATCGCGCTAGGATTCAATAGCTGGTCGTTGAGTGAAACCTTGGAAGATGGGTGAACGTGCTGCATATTAACGAATGGCAAAGAAGCGAACCGTCGCGCCGTCCATTGGCATCTTCCGAAACGACATGAGGTCCAAGAGGGTGCTCTTCCCTACAGGATGTAGCATTAGAATGGAGTGGGCAAGTGGGAATGTAGTATACCGGCGCCTGAAGGACCCTGTAGAGCGAGGTAAGGCGGCAATTATCCATTATCTGAGCACATTGCACGCACCATAACTGCCAGCATCTGGCCCGCGTTGATATGCACGGAGACAGCGTCGACTAGAACATTCCCATTGGCAGCCTTGTAGGATAGACGATTGAAGAAGAGGACAGAGCCCGAGGCATTGAGCACGGGGAGATCCAAGTCCATATTGGCGGGTGATGATGGTAGGAGCCAACTAATTCGGGCTTTAGAGGAGGTGATGGCGAGTATTTAGGAGAAAGGATCATTCCGAATTGAAAGGGTAGGAGGTCAAACTGACAGATAAGGCCCTATAAGGCCCAGCCCGTGCTAAATTGTATCCACTAATATTGATGCGAGGTTAAGATCGAAGAGAACCAGATATTATTCCCTTCCAACTGTCCAATAGCAGTCACAAGATATCGGACCCGCCCAGTCCAGCGAGAACAGCGAGAAAAATGATACAGTATACATCTCGTCAAAGAACACCCAGATAGAGGTACAATCCATTTCAGGTTACATATGAACAGTCTGTCCAGCGGGGAGGTACGTCGAGGTCCCTTTTTTTCAGGGGCCTTTCACTGTGTACTTGGACGTTGAATGAACAATGTCAAGGGATTCCGAAAACATTCGTTTCAGGTCGACACGTGCCAACTTTTTGGTCGCAACTTCCGCAACTTCGGTCAACTAACTGGAACCAGCCAATGCATTTGAATCTGACGGTGATTGGATTTCTTTTACGCCAATAAATAACAGAGCGTGAGGCAAAATAATGCGAGTGCGAGGGGATGCAAATGCAAACGGAACGGCGAAAACAAGTCTACATAGCTCAGGAAAACCCTATCTCCTCGGCCCAAGAGGCACCACCATGGCCCACGAATACTTCTTCTTCTCCCCCCATAGCCATCGATGGAGACCAGGAAGAGTCTTGCGATTTCATTGCCTGGAGACGAAAAAAAAAAACAACAATAATTCCGGTTCCGAGGAGCAGAGAAAGTGGTCAACAGATCGTGGAACGCACCTTTGACAAGAAGTCTTTGCTTTTGCCAGTCTCTAGGTCGAGGATACCGAGTTCTCGACACTCCTGTTGTGCCCGTAAAAGAACCCTGTCAACTTGTTCCTTGGTGAACGATTGCGGCGGGTCCGAGAATGTCACCGTCGTGTCCGACAGTGTAGCATATACATCGCCTTCCTCAATCTGCATGCATCCCAGTCAACAACAACAAGCCGCAGTAAAGCAGAAATTTTACCATGCTAAGCACCAAATCTCGGACTTCTTCCTCGTTCTTGATTCCCACCTGTCTCCCAATCTCTCCCAAGCTCAGCGTGACATACGTGCGTGTAAGCTTCTTTAATGACCATCTCGGCGCCCTAGCCCATGCACGGCTCAAGAGGCCTGCATTCTTCTCCGTCTGGAAAAGCGTCCGGTCTTTTTCAATTACCGACAGCATTTTGTCCACATTACTTGGGTACGCCTCTACAAATGCATGATACGGACTGTTTTTAAATGCTCGCAGTATCGCATTGTTCGTATACTTTGGCAGTGATGACGTGCTGCCTTGTCGGATCAGCTGGACAAGCTTCAACTTCTTCAACGCCTCTACCTGCAGCGCGCTTGCTACCCCGGGAGCAGTTATGCACACCTCAAAGTAATCCTCTGATTCCGCCCAGCGACCCAGTGCAGCGAGGCAGATACCACCCAGATAATGGTATATGAGATTGTCGAGGTAACCAATATCGGGGGTCAGACTGGTCGCGATATCGGTGATCTGATGATTGAGGAGAAGCGGAAGAGCATGGGTGAAGGAATGGGTCTGTGCACAGACGAGAAGGAAACGGGTGTGTATGGTCGTCAAATGGGTAGGTGATGTTGGATAGCGCATAGCTAGGGCGCGAAGAGAAGGCAATGATAGTCGCATATTCTGATAATGGCTCGCCAGTCTCAGAATACCGGCAAGTAATATCACGACTGAACCATATGTAAGCAACAGAAAAGCAGAAAATGGAGAAACCTACCTCTCTCTGGTGCATGTCGCACCTGTTCTGGATTGAAGACTTGACAGAAATGGTCAATGAAATCCCAGGTTGGCGGTGTAGTCATTGTCTGCAGTCGTGCAGCTCTGAGACGCAGTTCAGCATCATCGTATTCCCAAGCATATCAGAGTAACGTACAGAATATAGAGAATTCCAAGGCTGTTTTCTCTCGCATCCAGCACATTCAACGGGTCCTGACCTGAGCTCAGCGATCCCGACAGTATCAGATCCCGGGCATCCTTCGGGAGGCAATTCTTTATCGTCACATTGAGAGCAACAACATTATTCGAGGTCGTAATATGGTGCAAGATGTTGTCCATCGAAGCAATCTCCGTCGAGGGAGCCATTTTGCGTAACGAGGGCAATGAAAATGAAGGAAGGAAAGAAGGGCTGCCCCTAACCCTACAAACACGCGGCACCGCTTCCTTGCCACCTAACCTCGATGTCGCGCCCACCGTTGAACCCAGATCAGACAGCTGCAGGCATTGCTATTGACCCCCAAACTCTCGAGCGCGTCATTCCAGAATCACGACGGCCAGATGGAACGTACGTCGTGCGCCACATCGAACTACCATCAGCACTGAAAGACTGACTACCTTCCAGGATCCGTAAGCAGATAAAAATTCGTCCTGGGTTCACTCCTCAGGAAGACGTGCGCCGGTTCAGGGGCACTAAGCAGGCTCAGATGGATGCCAATGTGCTGCCGAAGGGGCATATCGTCGGGTGGGCACCACCACCTTCAACTTCGAGTTCTGGTGCAGGGGAGAAATCATTGAGTAAGAGTGCGAAGAAGAACGCGAAGCGGAAGGAAAAGCGGGAAGAGAAGAAGAATGAGATCATCAAGGATAGCTGGGAGGATGACGATGAAGGAGAGACGCCAGTGAAGGAGACCATGACTACAGCGGCGACCTCATCCTCTTCAGACTCTACTGCAGTTTTGACACCCGAACCAGCACCGTCGACAGCGACGACTACATCTACATCTACATCTACGGATGCCCTTGCTTCGAAACTCAAAAAACTTGAGGTTAAATGAGACTTGTTACATTACAATAAGTGTTTAACAGCTATAAGGTGTGAGGGGGATGATACAGTGTAGATTATATGCTTCTACATTACATACTTCTTGTCCAAGGTATAGATCTTCTATGTGACCCAGTCAATCTTCTCTAGCCCATCGCCCGTTTCATGCACAGGATTAGGAGACTGTGGAGAGGGTGTATGGACGTGCTGTCTTGGTGGTAGAGCAGACGACGTTGGAGGTGGCTTGGGTCGGAGTTCCATAAATGTTAGTATGACTGCGACGAATCCGAACAGCGTTAGTACGGCGCGCCGTGTGTTATCCCATTTAACCTCTTCCACTACTGTCCGAAGGGTACTGATTTCGACAATAAACTTGTTCAGCATCTCCTACAGCCATAGTTCAGTCTTTGTGACAAACGGAAAAAACAAAATCTCACTTCGACAGAAATGTCTTGCCGCTTGAATTGCTCCTTCACTTCGTTCTTCCGACTATCCAATTCCATCTGGATCCTGAACCGGTATTAACATCCTCCGGCAGCAAAGAGCGAGACGACAGACTCATGTTTGAGGAACCCCAGATCTTCCTTCATCTTGACGTCTAATTTGTCTACCTCCCTTCTCAGCACTGTACCGGATGACTTCATTGCAGCTATGTCATTCTTAGTTGTCACTGTGATCTCCGACCGGAGCTCGGAGAGAGCGGCACGAAAAAGGTACGCTTGCTATCATCGACATTAAGAAAAGGAAGGCATCGCGAACGGGAACATACATTGTCCAAGTCTTTAGCAGTCAAGCCCTCCCTTCTAACACGGCCTACGCGATCAACAAGCAAGGCGCGAGTAGCACGCATGAGACCCCGTGCTGTAGGCGTCGGAAACGTCTTCTCTAGGACCGTGAAGAAAGCATGTGTATGGAATGGTGGTTGGGAGTATACCGGACCCTCTTTAGATGGCACACTCGGTGATTCGACTTGCGAAAGAGCCGAATCCATGGTCGGTGTTGTCGTCGTCGGTGGTGGCGGCGGCGACGGCTGAGACTTCGGCGAAGACATGGAATCCGATAACGAGTGTGATAGCTGAGCCGCTGGATCCTTCGGATGCGCTAGCGATATTGAACGGGCTCCATTCGGAATAGGTTGGGGTTCGACTTCACGGGTCACAAGAGGAATAATAGAAGTAGAGGGTGAAGGAAGGTGGTGTACGTCAGTCGAAAGCGAGCGACACAGGCGGGGAAGCTGTCTAAGGATCATCGTAAAGACGAAAAGAGCGGAACGGCCCGAAACACGCGGATATTGTGTTTGGTCTTGTTACTGCGGACATCGCGTCGGAGGTGGTACGATTCAACATAGTACATACGTCGGATCTAAGGTAAACTATCCAAGACACAGTATCCAAGGCGATAGAGTAACCAGAAAGCGAAACATATAATGATACCCATGAAAGAATCGGCAGGCTTTTCAACTTCAATCATTCATCTCAACATTTTCATCCACCAATAACTCCCGCACAAGCAAATCTTCCTGGTCCCGCTCCTTCTTCAGTTTCTCTGCATCTTTCCACTGCTCAACCTGTCCAAGAACTTCCTCCACCTCAGCGGGAATCGCTCGACGCGCATGCACTTGTTGACGATCATCTCCTGCACCTTCCCACAGGACAGCAAGATTGACCTCAAATCTTCTGCGGGAGCTCGTCCAGAGATAATGCAAGGCCATCGCCGATAGCGGATACAGCATTTGCCAGTCTTTCCATGATCACATCCGCGCCATCTTCGAACAGGTCTTCCTTGGCTTCGGAAATGAAGTTGTGGAAAGAAGCCTAATGCATAGAGCAGGTCAGCATGTATGAAGACCTACCAAAGACTGTATCTGTACCTTTTGTCTAGCCACACTTCCCGTCCCTCGCTCTTCCATCGCCCGGTCATATCCAGGAGTTAACTCCTCCTGTACATGCGGCGCGAGACACCTCGAGATCTCCTGTTCATTCGCCATTGATTCCGACACCACATCCATGCTCTTCTTCAGCGCAACCTCGGCTTCCTCTAAGCAGTTCTCTTTGCATCTTTGTTCTATCCTTAAGACCAGGGGCAGCAGACTTCTCCACGTCTGCGAGGAGCCTCTGTATTGTCTGTAGAGTTACCTTCTCAAAGGACTGGAACAGATCTGTCTCGAAAAGCTTGCCCCACGAAGTTGCGATATTTTTCGTAAAGGGAGCGAGAAATTCGACATTCAAGTCACGACGGAAGGAGCCATGGGGACAAAGAATTATAAATTATGATAATGAGCTGTCTCGAGGGGACTTAAATAACTATATGGGTCACTTGCACGGTAGGGACCCCAATGCATTGAAGCTGCAAATTCATCCGAAGTAACGACAGCCTGCCGATGCCTGGGCAGCTCCGACTCGACATTTATCTTCTAAGCCTTCACGGAACTTGTCCTTGAGGTTTTCAACGTTGTCCTCAATCACTTTGGCGAAATCCTATTGTCATCATCTGTTAGAATGAACCTTCAAGCAGCAGTGATATGCCTGACCTTTACGAGCCTTGGTGTGATTCCTATGGCTTCGCCACAGGCATCAACTTTTAGTGCTGTCTCTTTCATGCTACACAGGCCACCACCTAGGATGGCAGCATAAGGATCGTCATCATTGAGCTGGAATTGATCATCTTGATCTAACTTTCGATCCGTTGACTCCCATTTGGAGCGTAGAGCTTCTCGGTCTGTAGCGGTCACACCACTGATGCCGTTCACGTACGTCTGAATGGATACGGAGAAAGTTTCACCATTCCCAAGCCTTCCCAGAGCGTGTCTTCCGAGCTATAGCGGATGTCACTCGCTGAGTTGTAAACAGGATACAGTATCGCCGGCCTCTGAGCTCCCATCGGCGAGGAAAAGCCAAATGGAGCGTCTTGACGCGTGTCTAACTCGGCCTTGACCGTGCCAGTGCTTGAAGACACGCTTTCTTGGACGTAAAAAGGAACAGGGAAACCGCGTTCGAGGAACTTTGTGCGTACGCGTCGCGTCAGCGCTACGCAACACGGCAAGCCAAAAAAGACCACATACAATCGGCGCGACGTCGTCGGCAGTACCTGGCTCTGGCTTGACGCCATTTGATGCTATGGAAGAAGGATAGATGTTGATAAAGGATATCAAAGGGTTAGACATTGTGACCTCTTGAGGCTCGGGCTTAATGGCCACAGCCTTGATGGGGAAAAACTTGGGGACAGAACAAATTGAGACGCGACGCGACATACACTGGTCCTCAGAGGCCTGCTCTGATTCTTTTTAGAACTCATTAGCGTTAGAATGTTACTAACGACAAGGAGACGCGGGAAAAAAATAAGAAATGATGGTGATTAGAAGAGAAAGGCAGACGCGAAATGGCTTTTAAATGAGTGGTGCCACAAATAGGTACATATAACGCGTCAAACTCGTAACGCGATCTGCTCATACTGAGGACATGTATTGTCCGTAACACCAACCTGGACAAAAGAAGGGAAAGTTCACTAGAGAATGCCAGAAAATCCTGTCTTGGAATATTTGCAGAAGGTGCTAAGTAGAAAAGAAGGAATCTCAATCAGATTTCGCGTTGCCGTCCTCCGGGCGAAGGTCGGCGGAAATATTTGACGTTTAACTACTAGATATCACAATCTCTGCGGTAACCAGTGGCCACGCAATGTTTTAGCCACTTGTGCCTCTGTAGGGGTTGGACCCTGCTCTATTCTATTGAAATCTCGGGAAAACGCTTTAGAAAAACCACACAACAGCCCTCGACCCTCAAGGAAAGTGTGCGCGTCTCCAAGAGGATCGTCTTCTAAACTGTTAGAAGTTTCTGTGGGTGCCATAAGCTCAGGCGAAGGTTGAGCTTGAAAAACTAAACTTTCGTCCATCTGCCCACCTTCATTGTCAACGCATACATCATCGACTGAGAGCGACTTGGAAGCAAACTCATCCAGATAGCCATGTCCAGATATGTCGTAAGGCTCGTATAGGTTAAGTGAATGCTGATCGCTGCCATCAAAAACATCGAATAGGTCTTCATCGTACCCTTCATTCCAGTAATCCCCGTCATCTGGGTAACCGTAGGAGGAATCCAAATAGTAATGCTCTAGGCCGATATAGCTCTGCGAGACAATGGGTTCCATAACCCGACCATCACTCATTTCAAAAGTTTCGTCCTCAATCTGTAAGGCTGCATCGTCATGAAGAGTTTGTTGGTAGTCCAAGTCCAAGTCCGTCGCGTATTCGTATTCACCAAGAAAGGGAGCAATGCTTGCATGATGGAATCGATAATGAGCAGGATACTCCCTTGAATGGCGCCACGCATTGCCTTCCAGGAAATGTTCGTCACATTCGTACACGTCCATGGTCAAATTATCCTGCTCCTGATTCCCGTCTAGGATTTCGGGGGGAACATGACGTTCGAGTACAGGAGGAATATGATGATACTGATGAAGATGCACACGTTGAGGCGGATTGGCAGTCATTTCGTCGAGAATTGTGCACTCGACGACAGCGGATTGAGGGTCGGACCGGTATGTATCGGCTATTGTGTTTCTCGCAGGTTCTATACTGACTTTGGGTAGTGCACTGGGAACGATAGGAGCAGCCGCAGAAGAAAAATATTTCGAGGGTACACAAATAGCAGGCAGAGCGACAGGATGGAGATGACGTCCTTGCTGTGACGCTGACTGAGAAGGACCAAGGGAGGGACTGGAGAGAATATGGTCAACTAGAACATGAGGCGACCTCGAAGAAGACGTCACGGGAGATGAAGCATGAGGCTGATTCTCTCTCGAGGTCCAATGAAGGCGTCGCGCATCCAATACGACTGGTACGATTTCAGGACTACTGATGGGAGAAGGAGACTTGGACGGAAGTACGAAATCCGACTTTTCGATGTCCCAAATCTCGGATTCAGAAGCTTTCTTCTTGAGAGAGCGATCCGGAGAAGGCATTTCTGTATCAGAATCTTCCTCTAGAGCAGACAATTCCTCGATTTCAGAGGCTGTATCCTTTTTTTGAGGACGCGTAGCGTGCGTTTTGCCCTTCTCGCGTCGGTTTTGATGCTTGTCATTCGGACCAGACTTAAGGCTGCGACCATTATCAATGTCATTATCGGACGGTGACACCGAAGGACATCTGGCGGAATGCATAGTCTTGGAGTTTGCCGGACGATTCAAGAAGACCTCTTCGGAGAATTGAATACCTAGGAATACTTTAATAGAGACGTAACATATGGAGGCGCCTATGTTTACCTCTGACATCTGCTCGTTTGACGGTAACTTTAGCTTTTTCTGAGGCTTTTCCCCTACCAAAGACACCAAGAATGGGCGGTGGATGGGTCTGCAAATCGGTCAAGGATTATGAAAACGATAATGTGAATTACAAACTCACAGTCAGACGATTCTTTCCGATATTGGTCGCAGAAAACCCATGCATAAGCGCAAGGCCCGGAGGCATTTTATTCTTACCCCGCTTCTGTTTTCCCTTCTTACACTCTATCGAATCCTTATCGGAGACTTCAGAACGGGCATCATTCTCTTTATTTTGAACGATAGCCCTTTTGACCTGTCTTTGTTCACGGCGATCTTTCAAACCTGTCACCAGGATCAGTAACAAAAAGGAGCGACTGATGGAATACACTGACGCGCTTGTTGCTCGGTGTCCGAGACCTCAGCGGCTTTCCGCTTCCTGGATGATGAGCTAGAGACCTGTTTCTTGGAAGACTTATGTTCTGGCTGGGGTATCGATGATTTCTTAGTGCCTTTCTCGGAGATCTGCTGCTTCGGTTTGTCGATAGTGTTGGTTGTTGAAGCTAGCTTTGGCGGTTTCTGTCGAGCGAATTCGATGGACCTTGGCTTCGGTACGCGCGGTTTCAAAACAGGCGTGTCGAAGCCGCCGAGCTCTTTCTGAGGAAGAGGCACCTGTGAAGGATGCGGGGAAGTGAGAAGAGGATGTCCTTGGTCTGCATGGGCTTTGACAAGTGCCTTCTGGTCCTTGATGTAGGAAGAGATGAAGAGATTCTTGTTTATCTTCGGTAAGCGAGAAAGTTGGCTATCAACTATTCTACAGTCTTGGCCTTGGGACATTGTAGAACAAAGACAGAAGTGCAAATAGGGCACGTGCCCTGCGACGCGGTCACGATGTTTAACTTTTAATGTAACACCTTCAAAGCTTTTTCATCTTTGATTTCAGGATGGTTTCCTCTGACCCTTCGTCACTCCACGCTGTCTCCTCTCCCTCCTCCCAAGATCCGGACGAAGGATACGCTTCACCATATTTGACCACCCTCATCAACTCGCCTGGAGGTACAGTTTTGGCAATATCCAGTATATGAGGGTGCCCTCCCTCGAGAATACCTGCACGCTTCATAGACAGAAGCTAGAATAGCATGAGAACGATATGAACGACAGAAAGACAACATGCTGACATTATGGGCTGCATGCGAATGATCATATACACCACCAAAGAAGGCCGTAGATGCATCTTTACCGATGAATCTCATTAGCAAAGATTTTCCGCCCGGATGGTCTTCTATGAAACCAGACATGTCATGAATGAATCCGGATACAAGGACGAGAGGACGTCTCGCTGCTTGTCTTTGGACTGCGCTCATGAAGGATCAGGTTCAATTTAGTACGCTGAATGTGACATACACATTTCGTATGAGACAACGGGTAACTGGTTCACGTTTTTGCACCACTCAATGTTTTCTTGCTTATCCCGAAGGCGTTTCATCTCCATTAAGAGCTGGCCTTTACGAATCTCGTTTGAAGGGAAGGTCTATGACATGTGAGCATGAGATGGATTGGATGCACGCGATTAAGACATTATTGCGACCTTGAGTTGCCAGGCGAGTCCGAGCTGCGCCATAAGCCGGATGAACCACTTGGTAGGGTCGTATTGGTACCACTTGATCGCATTGCGATAGTCCGTTGGGAACTGCATGCATTGTATTGTGTTCAGTGGTGAACAGCAGAAAGGACTAGGCAAAACACACCTGATGATGGAAATTGTGATACCCCTCACCAACGGTCACAAGGGCTGTAAGAACGTGGTTTTTGGGCGTCCGCTTGTCATCAAAGGGTGTTTCACCAATCCAGTGAGCGAGGGAGTTTACACAGAAAGTCGACTGTAAAAAGAGACTTAGAACAACGCCAAATAATGAGAGGAGAAACACGAACGTGATGGACGATCAACAGCCTGATTACCCCGGCATATACCAATCCACCCCTCGCGTCTCCCCATCCAAGATGAGCCACTGCCGTTGGAACACCAAAAGCCATCACGAATAGTAGCCAAACGTAGTTCCGATGCTGCCATCTTAGTACCGGACTCTTCCCTAGATCACTGACATCAGCCTTTCCAATCTTCCTCCGGGGTTTCACCAACATCCAGCCAACATGACTGTAGAAGAACCCGCGCAGAGCATTGTAAGGATCCAAGTCTGTATCGGTAAAGCGATGGTGGGCTCGGTGACCCCGACTCCACCATTTAACTGAGCCCTGCACAGCACCGCAGCCACCGAGAGCAAGGAAGATTTGCAAGGGAACGGCGGCATTGTAGGAGCGATGTGCCCAGAGTCTACGGTATCCAGCGGTAATGCTCAAACCCGTGTAAAAATAGTAAGCGAAAGCGAGGAGAAATGTACGAAGATGAAGGGTTGTCGTTAGTGCACCATAGATGGAGGCAATTGGAATGAGAATGAGCGCAAAAAACGATATCCACTGGACTTCACGGAGAAGGGCCGAAATGCTTGTTATGGGTGGCAAGGGTTTTGTTGTGAGCAGAGTGTGCTGTACATAATTTTCAGGAACGAAGTCGGGGTCATCATACGGATCTTTAGCCGCTGTCTTGGAGATGGAAGCCTTCGCAGCCATGGCTTTGGGGACGATCTGGGGAGGCCACGAAAATTGGGCCCCATTTTATCAGTAGAAACTTTGGGGATCGGGCTTCATCGCATAAAAATGAAAATGGCGTGTTCCAAAAGTTGTCCTTGGCTAGACGCTTATAGACCTTCAGCGGACCTTCCAGGCTTAAGGACGAGAACGCAGGCATATCATGTGACCGCTGCTTTTCCTTCATATTCCAATAGAGCATCTTCAACAGTTATTTCAGTACTAAGAAGTGTAGACAAAATACATGTTCCTGTACATGACGTCAACATTCCACTCAACGTGGAAAAATCAAAGATAAAACGCACTGCTTGTCTGTCAAGTCCATGAAAGCATGTTTTTCTCGCTCCCTCTGGACATCTTCATCCGTCCACCCCTTCCGGGTCTTCTCTGCAGCAATGAGTGTTTGCTTTGTTTTGTTGAGACGGGAATGAATCCATCTCAACCCAAAGCATACGAAGATTTGTACTGTAAGAAGCACCATGATAGCGATCTTTCCCGGAATATATGTAGGTGCGTCTTTATCTTGGAATATTTCAGTACCGATTATGTTTCCGAGACTAAAGGACGCAAGAGTCATGGCATTGATTGTGCTCTTTTTGGTGTGACCGCTGGTGTTGCTCGCATTGTACGCATATACAGTCGACAAGGAACTCCCATATGTTCCGATGAGATATGTGGCTAATCGGTGCTCAGCTTTGGGCGACGTCTAAGAGCTATTATGAATCGAAGCCCACCAGATAGCAGAGCGCCTTTCTCTCCGGAGCTATTTAAACCGATGAGCATGGCTAAAATTTTTCTTGTCACAAACCGTTTAGAATTGATGGCAGACGTACCCGCGCCGACGATGGTGGGAATGAGGCAAATAACGATAGGCATCATTCTCTCTCCCTGGACTGTATCAATAAGTAAACAAGCATTGCATTTCTAACGACATACCTTTTTGTCCGACCACCATCCACAGAGCAGTGTAGTGAGGGCAGAAACTGCACCAGCCGGAGTGGATAGTATCAACGTCTGCTTAGGCCTTGAAGACCGTATGTAAATCAGAAGGGAGGAAACAAGGGTACCACTCACGTGTAGCCAAAACCTTCGATGATTTTATTGCTAACTGTTCAAAATATTTAGAAGGAGACGGACAGCTCTAAACGCGTTGCTCTCACAGTTACTCAGACCGCCGTTTGGAATGCTCGCTGAAGCTCGTCTAGTTCTGAGATGGATAGAAGAAGGCGAAAAACATACTCAACAGTGTCGTCAGCACAATGAGCCACGTCCGGACATCAGTGAGCGCCTCAATTACTTGGTCCTTCTTCAACTTTTTGCTTTCCGTCCCACCCTGATCATCTCTTACTCTCTCTAGACACGCGACTCGCTCCTCAGCTGTCAGAAAATGCGCGTGTACAGGCGAATCCGGAAGCCATATAAGAACGCAGAGGCCAACTATGATTGCAAGACCTCCTAGTAGAATGTAGATGATCTTGTAGGGGGCTAGCAAACGACCTTCGTCGAAAGAGACCCCCTGCATACAAGTATCAACACCACGAACATGGTATAAAATTCTGTAACTCACGTATGCCACAAATCCACCAAATATTTGGGTCAGTCCGTTCTAGATGTCGATTAACATGATCCGAATGTGTCTGGGAAAAGGAATACAGATTCTTCACCATGAAGTAAAACCAAGATATACGAGTGGCCTGGAAAAGTATGAAAAGCATTGCTAGTATAGTTTTACGCTGACCTACTTGCTCGTCCTTCTTGTAGAACATCGAAATGATCAGTATCAGTATCGGCGCAACACAGCTTTCACACATTCCTATTAATCTGTCGGCACGATTTCTTCACTGTAGAAGAGTCTACGAACCAAGAATGATTCGAAGAATAAAAAACGCCGGGAAAGATGTACCAACAGCGTGGAGCATCAGAATGGCGCCCCATACAACAACATTGACACCTGAAAATGATATACGTCCTGTCACATACGGCAGATGTAAAAACTACTTACCGAGGTATTTAGCGGCCCGCAATTTCTGTGAAATGTAAACGGTCGGAAATTCCCAGAAAAGAAAACCTGTTGAGGTGGTTGGACGAGATTCAATATCGTTCTAGGTGCATCTCACCAAGGTAAAAGCCCATGGACACCAGATTGTAAGGCTGGGCGGACATAAGCATAGCTCCTAAGATATGTGTACCAATACGAACCTGTCCTGCAATCGGCAGGCCCATTATACTAGAGGGCTGAGCAGGAGGAACAAGAAGGGGTACAAAAACATACCTGGCATAATTCAGTGAAGTCTTGTCCCTGAAAGAGGTTTACTGAAACGACGCATCCAAGAGGAAGGAACCGACGTACAAAAACTGCGTAAAATACACAGCTGCGCAAAGTGGGGGGATAAGCTTATCCTGAATCGCTGGTCAGCGGGAAGATCCAAGATGGCCTTCGAGCAGATACACGAACCAGCTTCTTTCTCAATTTGAGGTTATACTCGTCACCGAACTTGGCAGTGCGCTCTGTTCCGACAATCTTGAGAGCTTCATCCCCACTTGACACACTGATAGAGCTGATGCTTGTTTTTTCATCGACAGTGACACTTCCTCGCGTCTTCTCGCCAAGGTTCATCTTCAATGAGATAGGACGCAGATTGAGAAGCTTAGACTAGCGTCTTATCGTCTACGGCATCTTCATGTCTGGAAAGAGTTCTCAGGGTAGCTACAACCACGCGCTATGGGTTGTTCTTTACTGCGCTGGGACGATAAAGCTATAAACGTCGTGCTATCAAGGGAAACCGTACCAGATGACTTGGCGTCCTTATCAAAGCCGCGTGGCGTTTCATTCCTCATTTATTGGTGGCAAGCAGCAGCGAAGTATACAAATGAGGCGATCTAAAATTACAGTTTTTGGATAACAATGGCCGAAGCAGCCCCACCCTGATCAAGGAGGATGAACAAATGGATAAGAGAAAAAGAGTGAAACGTACTCCGTTGCAGACACCCGCGGCACCATATTCTCCGGTCTTCAAAGCGTGAACAAGGGAGACAATGATTCTTGAGCCCGAGCTACCGATTGCATGGCCGAGAGCGACTGCACCACTATAAAAAGTGAGAGACATGTAGTTGCACCAAAAGAGAGTCGCCTTACCCATTGACGTTAATCCTGGACGGATCAATCCCGAGGACTTTTTCCGCGATACGAACGACAACAGAGAAGGCTTCGTTGATCTCGAAGAGGGATATGTCCTTAACGGTTAGGTTGGCCTTCTCAAGAGCTTTGGGAAGAGCGACTGTTGGTGCGATAGGGAAATCGATGGGGTCGACGCCGGCATCGGCATATGCTGTTGTATTATGAAATAGAGATCAGGGTCAATAGGTTGATTGCGGGGGAGGGGGAGGGGGGCTGTAATTAGACGTACAGATGATTTTTGCGAGAGGCTGGAGACCGAGCTCCTTGGCCTTTTCTGCCGACATGAGAATGATAGCCGATGCACCGTCGTTGAGCGGTGACGAGTTGGCGGCGGTGATGCTGCCACCCTGCTTGAAGGCAGACCTTAGAGACGGGACCTTTTCGTAGATGACACGCTTGTACTCTTCGTCCTCCCTCACAATTGTGTCGCCCTTCTTACCCTTTACAGTGAGTGGCACAATTTCGGCGTCAAAGGCACCTTCCTTCCATGCACGCGTCGCACGCTGGTAGGATTCAATGGCATGTTGATCCTGGGACTCTCGGGAGATGTCGAGCTTTACGGCGGCCGATTCACCACAGTTTCCCATGGCCTGGTTGTTGAAGACATCCCAGAGACCATCAAGTTCCAACGAGTCAAGGGCAGTGTATTTACCGAAAGCAGGGTTCTGACGGGGATGGAGGAAACTGGATGTATGTCAGCGGTAGTTGAATAGGGAATCCACGGATGCTTACGGCGCATTGCTCATGCTCTCCATTCCGCCCGCAGCGATGACGCTCCTGTCGCCGATCTGGATGCTCTGAGTAGCGAGAATGACTGACTTCATTCCGCTAGCGCAGACCTTGTTGATGGTGGTGGCATCGGAGCTCTTGCTGAGGCCGGCATTGAGAGCGACCTGGCGCGCAGGCGACTGGCCGACACCGGCCTGGACGACATTGCCAAAGTAGACCTCCTCGACGAGGGCGGGGTCGATATTCTTGGAGGCAAGCGCATGCTTGAGGGCCTCGGCACCGAGCTGGGGGGCTGTGAAGGACTTGAGGGTGCCGTTGATGGAGCCGGTGGGGGTGCGGGAGGCGGCGACGATGACAGCCTCGATGGCCTGTTTGAAAGTGAGGGGTGTACGTCGAACTGGACGACGAGGAGACGCACCATTGAGCGAGAGTAGAGAGGGGCGGTACGAAAGAAGGAACGGGAAGCAGCGATGCAAGTGTTAAGGCTAAGCATTCTGGCTTTTTATTATTCGCACTATCTCGGTGATCTGTTGTTAATCGTACGATCATGTGTCAGATACAACGACTGCCGGACCTTGGATCGTACGATACTCCCGTAACGAGCGCGCACTAGATGCACAGAAAACGGAGGTACGAGTAATACGGGTAGCAGGCAATAACGAACGGAACTCTGCTCAGAACGTGGGCCCGGTACCCTTGCCTCCATTTGGGCTTTCTGGCTCATCAATGATCCATGCCTATCATTCAACTCCAACTCCTTGTTTCACTCACACAATTCTACAACAGTACTAACGACCATAATCCACATTTCTATCCAGCGGACAAGCCCTTCTTCCGTTGTCCATTCAGCCTCGCCTAGCTCCCTCATTAGCTCGTCCACCGCACCAGCGCTCTCGCAGGGATGCAAGTACCAGCTGGGGGTACCTAGCGTTGGGTGGTCTCCTTGCGACAAGAGGGGAAACATTCGATCAGGGATGTTCAGCGCGAATGTTGTAAGCTCGGCGCTATCAAACGCAGATGGTCGGAACAGTGATGTATTAACAATATCTGCGAGTGCCAGTGGACTGCCATCTGTCCGCGAATGAGCCGTGCCATAAAAATTGCCGCAAATAACGCACTGCAATCATGCATGGTAAAATAGAATGCAGGAACTTGATATGTCGCAGAATATACGATATACTGCTGGCAGACCAGCGTCGCATCCGGTACAGCTGTAGCAGTTGATTCATCTTGCTGCTCTTCGTATTCTTCGCGGTACAATTCTTCATCATCTGTCCCAAAACATGAGAAGCGGGTGTGTATTGTCCTTCGAGACAGGTATCCGAGTCCATTTATCGACTAGCAATACAAGAGTGAAACAGAATAGCTAGCCCAGAGAAAACAAACGCACAGCATGCTCATGCCAAGACCATCCTTTCAATGGCGTCGTCGCTGGCGAGGGCGCTGTGTAGGCATACTTCCCGACGAGGGCACGACAAGCAATGTCGAATTGTGGACGAGTGAGCATGTGACCTGTGACAAAGTGTGACCATCACAGCTATACAGTTCTAGATTAAGGTTTGAGCCACCCAAGGTGGACCAGGTCAACACTGCCAAATTATTAGCCTTCCCTTCCCAAAACTCAGCTCGTCCAAGTGCCGGCTTCCACTCCTTCAGCGGTTCGCTATACGCCGTTGACGGTTCTAATTATCCACCATGGCTGTTGGAAAGGTATTGCGACCTGACATGAACCTCTGCAGCGCGTATACTGACTGCCATTGCAGAATAAGCGCCTCTCGAAGGGCAAGAAGGGTATCAAGAAAAAGGTTGTCGATCCTTTCTCTCGCAAGGGTGCGTCGCTACCTCCTAGGACGTTCTGCGTATGTTGACCCTGTCGCAGAGTGGTATGATGTCAAGGCGCCTTCCATCTTTGAAGTTCGCAACGTTGGCAAAACTCTAGTCAACCGGTCGCAGGGCCTAAGTATGTCTTTTGGCTACTGTACAAATGACAGGACACCTCATGAGCCTTTTAGAAAATGCCAATGATTCTCTCAAGGGTCGTATCATTGAGGTGTCGTTAGGTGATCTCAACAAGGACGAGGAGCAGTCCTTCCGCAAAATGCGTCTGCGAATCGATGAAGTCCAGGGCAAGAATTGCTTAACAAATTTCCACGGCATGGACTTCACGTCAGACAAACTTCGTTCCCTTGTTCGCAAGTGGCAAACTCTCATCGAAGCCCACGTCGACGTCAAGACCACTGATGGCTACCTCCTCCGGCTTTTTGCCATTGGCTTCACCAAGCGACGCCCATCGCAAGTGAAGAAGACGACCTACGCTCAGTCAAGTCAAATACGGGAAATCCGGAAAAAGATGTTCGAGATCATGACGCGCGAGTCGGTCAACTGTGACTTGAAGGACTTGGTGCAGAAATTTATCCCGGAGGCGATTGGGCGTGAGATTGAGAAGGCATCGAGAAGCATCTACCCGCTTCAAAACGTGTACGTGCGCAAGGCTAAAATCTTGAAGGCACCCAAGTTCGACGTCAACAAGTTGATGGAGCTTCACGGCGAGTCAACAGATGTGAGTACCACTGTACCTTTGCTTTACCTGTCCTTATTTATTTATTTATTTTCCACAGGAGACTGGCACACGCATTGCGAAGGACTTTCAGGAGCCGGAGATTTTGGAGTCTGTGTAAACCGTACATAGTGCTTATTGTTTTCTATACTCTTCTATGGCATTATGTATGGGCATGACCATGAACGCGCAATTGCATTTCGACACTAATTTAATATAATGCACGAGGTACAAGGATATGAGCATACGGTATATAAACCTGTCTGCGTTCCGGTCCCTTGTCTCTTGACCGTGATGGCAGACGTCGACTTCATCAAGAGTCGTCTCACATCCCATCCAGATTTTCCCAAGAAGGTGACAATTTTCGCCATTTGGATGCTATTTTACCAACATAGTTTCAGGGAATCGTTTTTCTAGACATTTTCCCCATTCTGCGCGATCCACTGGCATTTGAGACGCTTATCACGCACCTCGTACACCACATCACGTCGACGACAATACCAAAGTCCCCCACGGGCAAAATCGACGTCGTCGTGGGCCTCGACGCGCGCGGCTTCCTGCTTGGTCCAATCATCGCACTCAGGCTAGGTGCTGCCTTCGCTCCCGTACGGAAAAAAGGAAAACTGCCAGGCCAGTGCGTTTCTGCGACCTACGAGAAAGAATACGGTGCCGTGCGTGTCACAGTTCAAAAAAAATCGTTTGTGGAACTGACGGATGCTGTAGGATTCTTTCGAGATGCAAGCAGACTCTATCAAGCCCGGGCAGACAGTGATCGTTGTAGATGACCTGATTGCTACAGGTCCGCTGCCTCACATATTCTCTCGTGTACCCCCCATTGATATTTGCGTCCTACAGGTGGATCGGCGAGGGCAGCAGGCCAGTTGATCTCTGACCTTGGTGGAAGAACCATTGAGTACCTGTTCATCATCGAGCTGCTGTTCTTAAAGGGGGCATCCACCCTGGATGCTCCCATTTATTCCGTTGTTCAATCTGACGACTAGAATTTATCGTTATATCACTACTTATCGACCTTATAGACTGTTGTTGGTCCCTCTACATGATAGACGCCGCCGCCCATCAATCACGTCGAGAAGCTACAGACATCCCCTGAAATGACGCTAGTGAGAATTATGCCGGGCCGTTCGACGATAGATACTCTGTGGTTTCTATACCGGGCTCGACGTCAGTAACTCTCTTCCAGTAATGTGGAAGATCATGCTTTCTTTCGTTTCAGATTCAAACGGACTCTACACAGTGCTTAGTGAATACACTTTGCAGTGAGATAGATGAACAATCAGTGATAATGTTATCAAACCAATAATCTTGTGTTGAGTAACGGATGTCCGTTGAGATACAATATACGATTAGATGGCTCCCCCTGATCCTCCACGTCCTGTACCTCTTCAACGCTCTCCGTATACCTGGAAGGATCCAGGGTGACCGTAATCCTCCCTGTACCCCGATTCTCAGCCATATCCATCATCTCATCGATAAGGTTACCTGCCTGGCGAGGCAGAACTGCGATCACCACGTCACCCAAATCTCCGACGGCTGACAACTCGTCGGCGTTCGCAGTGGGATTTAAAGCAACGTCTTCATCGCTAACGACAAGGACACCCGCTGCCCCTGCTGATTGCGCCATGAGTAATTTTTGGAGGAAGGTACAATCGCCTCGATAGGTCAATATCACGCTATCCTGGTAAGATGCACTGTAAGGAGAACAGCCCAAGAGGTTGTCGTCCGCTCGGTATATAGGTAACCCATCGGGATCTGCGAAACGTAGGGGCTTTTGATCGTAATGAGCCGTCAGGGATAGATCGCCACCGAAAAAACCAGTCCATGCGGTAAGGTATGTTTCGTGATTATCAGAAAGGTCTTGGATATCAACCAAGCGCGGCATGGGGTCAACACCTTCGATATGGAATCGAAGGAGTACATCTGGGTCTCGCCCCTTCAAAGTTCCGATGTCCGCCTGGCTCGCAAAAAGCGAAGTGTCGTTAATGTAGACGAGCTGCCCTGGTCTTACAGAATAATGTCCCACTGTGAAACGTCAGCCATGGAATGTTAGGACATATATGTACAGAATACCATACGTTTTCGAATTTCATATCCCTTCCCATCCAATCGTCTGACAATATGAACTCGTATACCGGTCACATTATTCACCATAAATCCCTCCGGAATCAAGGCGACCTTGAGTAGACTAGGACTCAGATCCTCAGGAACCACCATGCCACCAGGCGACAGAATAAAGTCATATGTCTGCAAGCTTACAATTAAGTTTTGGAAAGGAGTAGTTTGTGATGCTCGACCTACGAATAAATCAGCCTTTGGACGTTCGCACCAGCCATATATTGACCATGCATTTCTCTCAGCCTCGGTGGGTACAATGCTGACTAGCTCTCTAGCATAGTCGACATCCCCTCTAGACCGGATTCCTTTCACTAGGCCACTACCAATAGATCTTGTGTCATAAGGTAGTCTGGGAGGTACGTAAGCGGGACATTGATGGTTCATTATTTTTCGTGATTTCCGTTGAGCGAGGGACGTCGATTTAAAGCTTTCTGGGCCAAGAGTAAGGATGTGACCTTCTGTGGTGAAAACATAATTCGAGTCATCGCTGTGAAGCGGATTTTCCTCGTCGAACAAGAGATATAGGTACTGGAGGAACGTCAGCGGTGTTGATAAAGGAGAGCGAGGTTTGAGGCCTACCTTTAATGTTTCTGACAAAGCGAAAGACTCCATTCTATCATCGCGCTTGTTTGTCCTTAGATCTTGAATTCCAGATAGTCCACAATCAACTTTGGACCGCGTAATGATGTCGAACAGTATCCGTTCGCCAACGTCAAGGTAGAAGGGGTCCTGCGTAGCCTGTTGGGATCATAAATAATAAGCCTAATATTCACAGAGACAGAAATCCATACACGGTAAAGATACCACGTAGATTCGATGAATTCTAGCGAGAGTGCCGGCATCGTTCAAATATGATTAATTTAAGAGTTTAAACGGCAAACCTGGACGTAATGGATACTGATGCGAAGTCGCCTGTTTGAAGTTTGTGTCAAACACTTCTGGTAATCCGGAATAACGACGCCAAAGGTTGTAGTCTATGAGGTTGATTGTCAGGGAAACGCACAATCAGAAGTCACATACACATCATATGAAGCTTGACAGCGCTGTCAACGTCCCCCGCCAATACCTGCAGACCAGGCCAAAATGCGGATAAGGAATCCACGGTATAGTAGGCTGTATCACCACTTTTTATATTTACATTTCTGTACTGAGAAATCACATCAGGAAGAATTCATGTGTATTCAAGACATCCAACATACCCAGAACCCGTCAGTGGCCCTTGAATATCTCATTATTGATGCATACGCATCATCCCATACATCAAGAAACTCAATTTCACCTATATGTTTGTTAGGTGAACAAAAAAACATCGAACAGCAACGTGAAGACGTGCCACTGAGGATATACCATTTTAGGGCATATTCATAGAAAGAATCTACCCCTGCGCCAATCCCCGTAATTTCAGGTGCTGTCCAGTCCTATAAGTAATGTCAGGGATACGAGTATATCTGGACAAGAGAAGAAGCACCCCAGTCCATGTATTGATTGTATTCCCAACAAGACCAATATCTGTCTTGCGGTTCCAAAGGGCAAAGAATGCCTTGTATGCGGCTTTTTCGAAGCGGTCATCACCAGTCAATCTGCTCAATGTTGCAAATTCAAGCATCAGTGATCCTGCACCAGCGGTGCCTAAAATTCAGATAAATCAGTAATGGGATGTAACGTTGGCTTGGAACTCACACGTCTCTAATGTTTCACCTCTGGCCAAGCCATGTCGAAGGTTTATCTGCAAAATCAGATTACATGTTTGTCTAAGAAGCATCAGTGAAGAGCGTACTCTAGCGTATGGTAGTCCTGTCGGAGTTGAGAACGCTGGTAATAACCTCTTTCCCAAATCATGAGCCATCTGCAGAAGCTCGCCGCGATACCAAGGCAGATAAAAGGGTTGACCGGTTTGATTCGCGAATATATGTCCAGAAAGAAGACCTCCCAGTACACGGATGGTCGTCTCAAATACCTGGGGTCTGGTATTGACGTCAAAAGATACAGACTGTATGACGTTCTTGACGGCAGTGTCGAAGCCTTGTCGGTCATCGAGTACAATGAACGTGTCAAGCACATCAATCAATGTAAGAGAAAAGTTGCCGGCAACATCGTTGGAGGCTATGTTGTTACTGGAGAGCTAGACATTCAGATAATCAAAGATGACTGGTATGTGCAGGACTCACTTACGGGTTAGCCCAATCAGGGCCTTGTCCGGAACACGTTAATGGTGTCAACTGGCAGCTCACTGAGCATGGAACGGCACGCAAAAGATTGAACTGATACCCACCTCGTCTAAGGGAAATGCTGGAAACCCGAGGTCAGTCTACGTTCAACAGCGATAGCGACAAGCACCGACCGTGGTTCATGTAATTGTCGAAGCCATGGTACCAAAGTTCACGTATTCTCTCCCTAAACAATCTGAGCGAGATGCTCGAGATGAGGATCCGTGTGCCGTACCGTGACTCCAGCTTGCGCTGCGTTGTCCAACTGGCTCCCTGCCACGGTGTCGATGCTCTGGTATCGTGACGACCCAGTCTAGTACCCTCTAAAGCAACAACAAGAACAAGAAAGAGAGACTCTGGCCAGTATCTCCGCCACTTCATGGACTGGAGACTGTAATGGGTGTCGTGGCACCTGGATGAGCGTTGTGCAGATTACCGGGCCGGTGGCCTCAGCGGCAACCAACGCTTCGAACCTTGACGTTGATTCTACGACGGCTTCGCGGATAGAAGAAGAAACTTTTCTGTAATATTACTGCCATGTCATTTCCCTCACTGCGCAAGGAACGAGAGCAACACCATTTTTGGATGTTTGCGATGCAAGCGATCACTATCCGTCTTGCCTTTGATCGACCACCACGAAATGAAGGATATATCTGGACGTCTTGGAGAATACATGCTCAAGGGCTGGGTAAGCCTGTCATTTGTTGAAATGGTCCATTACTGGATCTTTTTACAGGTATTAACCGACCGCACTTGTCAAAATTCTGGATGTAATGTTCCTCTGATGCGATCTCCCAGCGGCCGGACACCAGTCGTTCATTATTGCGCTAGCTGCGATGAAAATCCGGACAGTACGTGTACTTACGGCACGTTCATGCATCCTTATCACATCTTCCCAGCCAATCTACCACTGGTCTCAACAACGTCGTCCTCCAGCGCGTCGTCGTCTGCCTCACAAGCCACCCGCATTTCGACCCCCCCAACCGAAATTTCCAGCGGCCTTGGCTCGCCCACCTTTGTTCTACCTCCCGAGACCGGAGAAAGCCGGCGCCGACGAGAACAGTCCGACATGGCCTCTGTGGAGCTCGGCAAACGTTTGCTACAGGGCTGGGCTATGCTGGGAGATGAATGTCCAAATACACAGTGTTTTGGTGTACCGTTGGTTCGTCCTCCCAAGACAGCGGCGCGTGATTCCAATAAGGTATGCATAACTTTCAACGCTCTTTAATGCCTTGTGTCCGATCTATGCTTAGGAATGCGTGATCTGCGGATCTATCTACGTGACTGAAATTGACTGGGCTGGAAGAGAACGCCTTGTTCTTTTGGACTTTCCGCCGCCACAAGCTGAAAAGACTCTGACCGAAGCGAGGTCAATCCCAAAATTGTTGATCCCGTCCCCCAAAACTCCCGTGAAGGTATGACTTGCTTTTGCATTGCGCATTATTTCTCATTCGAAGTTTTTCTTTGTAGTTAGAGCCTCAAGTTTCCACAACTATTACTCGAACACCCGACGTAAGCTTTTCATCAGTGATTTGGAATCCATCTAGTGATATTTGACTTGTACAGACTCACCTTAATACTACCCTTCCTCTGTTAAGAGATGCAATCAAAGCATTGGAGCACACTCTTCAAATGCTTACACTGAAGCTAACTGCGCTTTCCGATGGGCGCCTCCCGATAGATCCCTTGGCAATATCCAATGCCACGGACGCCATCAGTAAGACGACTCAGGCATTATCTCACGTCAAGCAATTGGAATGGAGTGAGATGCAGAATCTGGCACTCTGATAAGCCTCCTAGGGTTATGAGTTCGTTTATACCAGCGTGTAGTACGTCATCTTCTGAATGAAGGAATACAGATGAAGACTACGTTCATACCAACCACGATAGACTATCAATACGTCAGTGCGTATTCTGAAGGCAATTGAGCTGCCGACCGGAAAGCATGGGTGCCTCATGTTTTTCATATGGCCACGGTATAAGATGTACGGGTGAATCGTGTACGTACCTTCACATTCCTACCTATCCCACAAGATGCGCTTCGACATATTCAAACGGCTTGGTGGCCGCAATAGCTTATCTAGGTTTCCTATGGCGGAGGATTCTGCTATGGATGTTTGGAACGATTACCCTCAGACATACGAGGGCAGCAGGAACCCTCAGGGATCGGTTCATTCCCGCACTCAGGCTAGTGGTGAATCGAACAGGCGGCGTCGTCTACAAAAACGTGCATCTGGCTCGCAGGTATGTGTGTCAATACTTCTTCACTCCGTTTCGCATTCTAACCAAGCTCAGAAATCACAACCTCAATATCGTCGAGCTAGCCGCGGCATTGGCTATTCTACAACTATAACAGAGCCTATGGAGTCCTTTGAAATACTTCCCAATCCTGAAACAGAAGTGGGGGTCTACCACCACAATCCGGATGGATCTTCGCCGACTTCTAGCCCTAGAAGACTTTACTACGAAGACTTTTCCGCAGAGGATTTGACGGAAGACAGCCATGGATTGACGCGCTCCTATCCTAAACTCACCGACACGCTCCATCCTCAGATGTCGAGCAGAAGGCAAGGTGTCGAGCATCAGCCGACTCAAATACCGGTCGACGAGGAAGGGTACAGTCGTCGGCCATCTTCTCTGGGTTATAGTCAAATTGAGGGTCCCATTCTGCCGTCACTATTTGACGGACACCCTTCACGACCGCCCACGTCAGACTCGAGCTCATTCAACTACGATCATTCAGATCCGATGCTACAAGACGTGCCGCGTAGCAAGCCCGTATACCACGACCCGGAGGTAAGTACAAATTACTGTTGGTCAAGCTCCCGCTTACACATGGCCAGATGGGTGTTTCTCCTTCAGTTCCTGTACACCATTCTCATACAGAGGAAAGACATCCTCGGAGACACACGCATCATTCACGGTCTCATCACCACAAGGTGTGTTCTTGGAGTGATAGAACCTTCTTTTACCTTGGCTTAATCGACATTATTGTTTCTTCATAGCGGAGCCGTCGTAGGAATTCTCACGATCAAGAGCGTAAGAAGCCGTCCACATATTACATCGTTCCTGGGGGAATGAGAGTGATATTCCGAGACAGAGAGGGCAATGAAATTACTCGGTATGCTTGTAACTGCTAAGTATATGTCCTTGAGCGCAATTACTCACGCTTTGAATAGGGTTGGAAATTGGACTGAGACGCGGCAAAAACATATATCGCCTATTGTTGTTCAGGACGAGAACGGAAACGTTCTATACAGGTGCGGCGTATCTTTTTTTAACGTTCCGAGTGAGTGTTGAACCTGGTACATACAGATCAGACTCAGGTTCTCAGTCGTCAAACTCCCCGCTACCCCCACGAACGCCACCAGCTGCGGCATGGCAAGACAAGGAATGCCCGAACTGCACACGACAACGGAGCTCGAATGCTTTGAGGCAGTCAGACCTCCGAAGTTATATTTCGTATCCCAGGGATGAACGGCCTAATATAGTCTTGATAGATGGAGAGGGCCAACAGATACCCCTGTAACCTACTCATTCTATGACAAAGTATGCTTAAGGCAGCGTATACATATGTTTACAAGCGAAAGGGGTTCGGTGTTTATCAGTCGCAAATAACCTCATCTTCGCCTTCGACTACGGGCATGGCCACGAGTGCCTAAGCCTCGATGTGACCGGCCTTGAACGTTACTGATGTCTTCCTGACTAAGTTTGAGCAGCCCTCCACTGAACTTGCCAACCCCCATCCGTAAACCACGTTCTCGTTTCCGATCGGAGGAATCTGAAGGCTGTTCGAACACGTTCTTGATGGAATGGTGATAATTACCCATATTTTTAGCCTGAGTAAAGGTTCAGTGGAAACTCAAGGCTGAGTAATAAAGAATTGAAGCATACTTCTTCGAGCTGTGCCTTACGTCGCTGTTTTTCCTTCTCCAGTAGACCCGCACGTACATGCTTTGACGCCTTGTTTCTTTCGGCCTCCCGGACGAATTTCTCACCGCGGCCCAACTTTGCACCGCCGTTTAGCTCCAGGACACGTCCTGCAAGTGCCTTTTTTCGTTCAGCAGGTTTCATATCGAGGTCAGGTTTTAGGGATCCAGATAATAGTTTGGTATGAACGAGGCGGTGAAGGAGAGCATCGTTCTGCGCGTTGGTCCTGGAATACACATAAGAACTTGTTATTCTCATAGAAAATAAAAGTTCCACCTGTCTTCTTCCTCTTCCTCGTCGGTGTCCTTTATTTCTGCTTTAACTTCATCCCTCAGTTTAGATACTTTGGATGACTGCGATAGATAAGTTACAGGATACACGGTACAATACTATCAAACATTTACCATGAAGGCTTTCTTCTGAGACTTGGCTACACAGTTACTGTCGGGCAGTTTTAAAGTGCTAGCCTCCGAGAATACGACTACATTTGAGGAGAAGGAAGAGCTCTCTACGGTAAAATTATCATCTTCCTGTTCAAATGAACCTATTTTCAAGTTAATGCATAGGTCTAGGTCTTATGCAAATGCACATACTATCTCCTTCCTCATCCGTGGATTCCTGGTTTTCATCTGACTGGCCGGCTATTCCTGTCCACTCTTCATATTCATCCGAATCTTCAACTTCGGGTGCTCGTCTTCGTTTCTTTGCAGTCTCGTTGGAGGCAGGCAAGGAGAAAGATTTCAAAAAATCCTGTCCATGGGAGTTGAGAAGTTTCAACAGATCTTCATGGTCAGACATCGTGTCGGCAAATTTTTGCAGGTGTAGGAAATTGATGAGTGCCGGCCTCTCACGAATTGGCCGGATCCCCCTTGACCTCCGTCACTCATGGCCAATAAGCGCAAGACAGCAAATGCGAAGGAACCGTCGTATGCTACCGCCAAAGATCCTACAAAGCCACTCATACAATTATCTGAGGAGGAACAGTGGCGCCTCATCAATGAATCCGGCATTTTACACAAGGTCGGTGCAGCAGAAGGGGCACCCAGTAGCGAAGGGGTGAAGCAAAGTGCAGAGGAAGAAACGCCTCTCGCAGAAGAGATATTCGACGCCGTTGTGTTGATAATCCCGTTCACCTTCTTACTTGTCTTGATGGAAATGTGCGTTGACCTCCTGCTATCTGTTAACAAACCATTCTCATCAACGGGGAACGCCCAGGGAAGTCTGATACACCGACAATATGGAAAAGAAGCAACTTTGAAAATCCTCACAGATAAACTCATATCCAGTGTACCAAGTGCGTCTGCTTTCATCTTTTTGTCTTTTAGACTTGGAGGCTTATGTTCTTCAGTATTGTCCGTGTTCATATTTTATAGTGCGTGCTCCGTTAGCATTGCTGTAATGCTACCAAAAATGACGGCTCTTTAGCTACACGGTATAAGGCGCATAGAACGATGCAGTTCGGATTTTTCATCATTGCTGGTGTCGTTGGACCGAGGATGGTTTACCTGCTAAGCAGAGGCTCGTGGCTCGTCAACATGAAACAGGTCTGATTTTTGACATTCTGCCTCGGAAGATTTTCTGATAGTACAGTCCAGTGTCCCCCTCTTGCTACTATTTGGGTGTACACGATCTTCCAGCTTGATCTAGGACCTGCTGTTCTAAACCTGATTGGCGTTGCAGCATATGTGTGGTGGAAGGGACTCAAATTCAGATGAATGCAGTCGATTGATAATCTCTACAGTAATTGTACCCTTATCAAGGGCTACCTACAAATACACAGACAGTTTTGCATGACAAGCCGATAGGCAGAGGAGAACTCGGTCAACTTGTCACCCTGCCTGGTTTGTAAAAATTAATATTTGCCCCATTATACGCCACAGATGGTTGGAATCTAAAACCAGCATGGCACCTTAATGAGCAGGATCTCGTTAGGTTTAACGGATAGTGCTTGAATGATGTCAATAGATAGTTCCGAGATACAGGTGCGAAATTGTCCATGATAGATCTTACACGCCTTCGCCACAGTCGAGTTCACCACTCAGCAGCTCTACCTTTCTCTAGCAGACACTGAGTAAGTGTAAGTAGGTGATGAACTGAAAGCGACGAACTCGGTAACTCGTTGTCCGCGTCTCGATGACAACTTGTAAAACACGCAGTTGCCACTTAAGACGCTTACTTAGGGCATGACGGATAGCGCCCGCGTGCTCGTCGAGTTGTTCAGTGAAACATTTAAAAACTGAGAGGGAAATTAGCTACATCGACGGCTGAAGAATAAGCACGATCCTACCTCGGTCATCTCGCGCGAAGAAATATGTCTGTCGGAGAGTAAGACTCGAAATTGGCCGAAGCGCATGGATGAGGTCGTACAGGTATCTGTTCACCGGGAATTGTATCCAACGAAGATGACCATGCTGCCATCATCAGCAAGTCCACGGTCGCGTTTGCAACACTATGCGTGGGCCGTCAGGAAAGGGAAGACATGTCGTAGCCCACATACTAGTCTTCCAACGATGCAATAAGTGCCGCTTTCCCTAATTCCTTGGTAGCAAATTTGCGAACGGCAGAGCTCGCCGCTTTGACGGGTTCACCGGTTGTTCCTGCCTTTAATGCAAGCGAGACATTAGAAACTTGGGCCCAAACCCACTTGTCGCCTTCACTCATTATAAGCGTCTGTAGGAATGATGCAGTAAGATCACTTTGTGACTGAGCTAGACCATAGTCAATGGCAAGCTTTAAATTCGTACCTGGCAGTAGTATAAACAAATGTAGAGATCAGAGTGATGCGGAACTTACGCAGTGCTTTCAGAAGGGCTTTAGTCTTTGGCTTCTGAATGTCCGCCTCGTCTAGATGATTAACCCATCGCGAAAAAGCTCCTAGTAGAATGATAGCAACGTCTTTGTGCGACTGCCCTATCCGCATGGCATGAAGGAGTGGTGTAGCGTCTCCACTCTTCCTGAGCAACAACTATCGGGCAATGTTCAGATCCCGTCCAATGAATGAGGCGACATCGTACATGAAATGCCCTGTCTCGAATTTCCATCAAGTACATGATATCCTTACGTTCCACAGCACGAAAGACTTCAAACGGCTAACACAGCGGTGTTAGAGAAGACCCCGACGAAGGGGACACTGACGCACCTGAGGCTCCTTCCATGGGCCACCGAAGCATTGTGTGTCCGTGACCTTGGACTTTGCTTTGGCTTGCACAGAAGCAGATGCTGTTGACCTGACACTAGAAGAACGTAGATGAGTGAAGTCATCGTCGTCTTCCGCGGGCGGACTCGACGGTGGCGAAGGACTACGTCGCAGTTGACGAAGGATTTCGTTGGGTGCTACACTTTCGGCTTCGCGCAGGAGGAATGCTTGAGATACAATGTTGGTAGAAGAAAAAATGGACTGCTTCGAGACCCACCAGACGAAGGTAGTCGTTCTGGCAGACAAGGATCCGAGGTTACCCGCCGTCTGACCCTTCGTCGGGCCGGCGTCGAGTCAAGATTTCTTCCTATGACTTCAACAATGGCTGCATTATTAAGTACCGGAGTAATCATCGAATGGTAATTGAATGGTAGTGCTAGTGCTACAGATGCAGGCCTTGTTGCCCCCAATATGGGGTTATTTGGTTTTAATGTGCAACGGCTTCGACGCGGGCAGCGTGGGTGCATGACGTCAGGGTCAACTCAGTTCAAGTTCGACCAAAGGTTTCGACTTTTTCGATTTGAAGCTGTTCAACAATCTCAACAGGCAGATTGCCGCAGACCCCGGTTTATTCTACCATCAACTCCTCCGAGTCCGCTGTGAAATTTTCTGGTCATCGTAGTCATTCTGGCTGTCTTGGCTATCGGGGGACACTTTGACAAAGTTCACCTTGTCCTGATACCTGGGCCTTGTTTCGGTGGCGAAGGGACGGCAGTTTCCTGCGGTGTCAATTTCTCGTGGTGCTAAAGCTCTGAGTGTCCACCAGTCTCCACATCTGTTTCCCAAACGTTCCGACTAGTTCTAGTAACACTCAAACGGATGGTCTCTTACATTGGCCTCCTCAGTTAAGATGGACAAGAATTCACGCCCTCTCCTATTGCGCTATCCTTAGTAACCGAGGTTATCACGTTAATAGAACCCTATCTAAACTCAACAGCTAGAGGGCTAAGTTCTTTGCCCCAATCTGAGGACAGGTTACATTATCAAGCCTCATCACCTCCGCAGCTGGACTGTTAGCCGTGTCCCCGTTTCACAAGATTAATTTTTCAGTGCACACTAGTGATATCCTGAAACGAAGACAACCCTAGTTTTCCGACTGTCGATTGCATTGAATTACGGACACGAGGCGTCTGTACTTCAAGTGAGTCCACCCCTTTTTTCATGCGATCAGATTATCAAAATCACAGCTTTCTTTTTGCCCAGGATATTTCTTGGTTACCGTTTCATTCTTGTCGAATGAAATCTTCCTGCGATTACTACCAATCCACTGATACCTATCTGATCTTAGGATTGGATTTGTGAACCGTCCCTCTGTCGTCACAAAACTTGGGATAGTGTGGGAATGCTATAGTAATGGGGCAAGAGAAACTCTGAACCATGCCTGAGCATTGCTAGGGACAAAAGCCTCAAGGTGATTTTTTCTTTATGGGTAAGAACGCATCAGTTCCTGCTTCTCTCAATCCTTCTGATGTCAAACAAGGGCTCGCGTGCTTACGACGGCGCTGTGACATGCAAGCGAAACCCAACCTTGTCTGCTTTCAATCCTAGGAAATAACAACCTTTGTCGACTTACCTGCGCTCGGAATTCCAAGTGGGGTGTTTTCTCGTTTGTGCCAATGTTTTGTTGTTCACAGGCTGACCAATGGCGTCCTCTCCAATTCCATTTTTGAGCATGATATGAGCGACCTCGTTCCAGATTCCCTATTCTAGATCAAAATGTAATGTTGTTTTAACGTTACGCTACCACGTTCATCAAGCATGATTAATTCTTTGAGGTCAAGGGTACGAGACTATCCGTTTGTCAAGGGACCTTATCACACATCCCCCCTTGAATAGGACCCGATGAGACATCGCATCTGTTTGCTATCTGATGCGATACGGGCTATGCCCAGCAGTTAACACCGCTAGTACTCAATCGATAACGAGGTGCGTGTAGCTTCCCTGAAGATTGGCCAAAGGTTATCGAAATATAAAGATATTTTCAGGACCCATGACAATGGTCACATTCTGAGCGCAACGGCGTACGAAGTAAATAAATGTCCGCCAGTTACAATGCATCGGTTATTAACCTCAGAAGTCTGCTTGTTTCTCTTTCAGGAACCCCGCGTTCCCAAGAAACTGGCACATGCCCAGGAAGGCTTCTGCCTCTATATGATGGCAGTATCGAGCTCATCGGTACCTAATTTATGACGCACCATCAAGGACTCAATGAGAGTTTAGCACCTTGTTTCATTTAGGTGCTTACAATGTCTCGACCTTTGTCGTCGAGCGGCCTTTCATCTCGTGAATCCTGGAGGCAAACGGAGTGTCTCTTATTGTTATCTGTTAGAGGTTACATGAAAATGATCGCTGTCTTCCAAAGTGCGGAAGATGACGCGTGGGTGCCGCCTCGGACCCAATAGTCTTAGCGCGACGCGTTCAGATGATATTGCAATAGTTTTTATCCTGCCAATAATATCCACACAATATCTCTGACTTCCAGCTTGGTCGACGGAATTCCGATGTGGCGCTGCGGGGTACTTCGGACTTCCTCTTTTCTTTACAAGGACAAAGACAAGGGTGTGTATTACTGTATCTGTATGTCCACGATGGTTTAGAGTATATCTATCTTCTATGCTTCTATTCCGTCTATGTTTAAGGGCAGACGAAGCCATTACTTCTTATTGCTGTGAATGGGGGATCAGGACAAAACATACTTCTTAGCAAAAGTAACTGACATGTGGTAGGCTCCAGCTATGAAAGGAAGGGCAAATCCAAACCCGAGGAATGCCACAACCTTTGTGGCAAAAAGAGGTCTGTTCTTGAAGGAGAACGGGACAGCATGTTCAGTCTGTTTGGTAGGAGCCATCGTTGAGCAAGAATATAGGTTTTTGATGATACTACATACCGTGTACGCGCCATGACCAGATGACCGCACAGGAGAGACGTGCAGGGAGCGAGCTCGAGACCATGTAAGAGGTCGAGAACGAATGCCTGGAGCGGAGAACATGGTCGTTGCCAGCAAAAATGAAGCCGATCTTTCCCGATGATTTTCCTTTTAAATGTGACTATCACGTGATAATGGCTGGCGACTTGGAACTTGACGTGATTTACCCAGTTTGGCCATGGCCAATACTGAGACTTCAACTTATCGTGAGACCGCGACAGGTGATATGCTGACACAAGTATAAATGATATCTGTCCGCTCCCTTCTAAGCGCGCCACTTCTCTCTTATCCTTTCTCTCTCTGCAACCATATTCACTCAATGGCTCAGACCGTCTCTGTCAAAGTTCCAGGTAGCGGCAAGCTTATTTCTGTTCCTACTGGTCTTTTCATCGACAATGAATTCGTTCCATCATCGAATTCTAAGGAACTGATACAGTATGTGCGATCGATAACATATCTCATTGCGATTATTGATTGCAGCAAAGTGCGGTTAACCCAGCTACGGAGGATGTCATATGTTCAGTCGTAGCTGGTATGACGTTCGGTAGTATTGCATTATTCGACGAGTAATTCAACCATCTTTCAGCATCTGCGAAGGATATTGACTTGGCTGTGGCCGCCGCGCGACGGGCTTTCAATACTACTTGGGGAAAGAACGTCACGGGATTTGAAAGATCGCGATTGATCAATAGACTCGCCGACTTGATTGAGAGAGACGCTCAAGAACTTGGGGAACTCGAGTCCCTCAACAATGGAAAACCAGTTCGTGTTGCCAGGTATTTCTACATCTCTCTTCCCCCACCGTTCGATGACTGGCTTTGGCTCGGAACAGAGATTTCGATATCGGAGACAGTGTTCAGTGCTTGCGATATTATGCTGGATGGGCCGACAAAATTGCAGGTCAGACCCTAGAAGTTGACAATAAGATAAAGTGGGCCTTTACCAGACATGAGCCTATCGGTGTCTGTGGGCAAATGTATTCATTCATTTTTTTCGGGGGAATAGATGTTCTAATAGGTGCCGTAGCATTCCTTGGAATTACCCAATCAACATGTGGTAGGTTCCAAAATTCTTCATTGGGCCGTTTTCACACTTCTTTCCCCACCCTTAGGTCGTGGAAGGTAGCACCCGCGTTGGCAGCCGGCTGCACTATCGTCATGAAGCCTTCTGAGCTAACCCCATTGACTGCCCTGGTAAGTATCCATGCCCACATCGGCCTCCTCGTGTTAACCGCTGACAGAAACTGTCCGAACTGGTCGTCGAAGCCGGGTACGTACAGTCTTATCCCACCGAATAAGTCACCAACAATTGTGCTAGTTTTCCCAAAGGCGTCATCAACACAGTGCCATCTCTTGGCTCCGTGGGTGGCGCCGCGCTTTCGGCACATCCTGATGTTGACAAGGTCGCTTTCACCGGTTCTACGGTGACCGGCCGAAAGGTCATGGAAGCTGCTGCAAAGTCAAATCTCAAGAAGGTACGTAGCGATATCGCATTGGACTGATATATTTTTGATTGTCGATACTGGGTACAGATTACCCTGGAACTAGGTGGCAAATCTCCACAGCTTGTTTTTGAATCTGCCGACTTGGACCAAGGTTCGTCTCTCACCGTGGTTTACTTGGCTCCATTATATCTCCACCCATATCATCGGCTTATTCATTATTTGCCGGTATACCGTATCTTGACTCTGAGCGCTCAGTGCCACAGCACTCGCAGCATTAACGCTGCGTCGTCCAGGATGCTGATAGTAACAGTGCCTTTCCAACTACTTTGGTTACGGCATATTATAATTGCTTCCATCTTTTTTTTTTTTTGGTGTCGCGTGGTCGTAGAATACTGATGGACAGATTTAGCTGCCAACTGGGCGGCACTCGGAATTTGCTACAATACCGGTCAGGATTGTACCGCGGGCTCACGCATATACGTTCAAAACAGTATATATGATAAATTCCTTGACATTCTGGTGTCGAAGGTCAAGGAACTATCAATTGGTGATGGTTTTGATGACAAGAATTTTGGTGGACCAGTTGTACGCGATTGTTTCCTTGATCTTCCAAATACGTCCTAACCTCCTTATCCAGGTCTCGAAGGTTCAATACGACCGCGTCTGGGGTTTGTTGCTCATTATTCGGCTTCCAACTGTCTCTTACCATCGATTCCTCTCATAGGTTACATTGAATCGGGCAAAGCGGAAGGCGCCAAAACAGTTATAGGCGGTGTAAAAAGATCAGGAAAAGGATATTATGTGGAACCGACGAGTACGATTCGCATTAGTTCATTGTTTCATAAAATGTTAATGGTTCTCGGACAGTCTTCACTGAGATCCGATCGGACATGAAGATAGTGCGTTGCGGTTTTATATTCACGGAATTTCACGCGGTTTCTTACATAGTTCTAGGTCAAGGAAGAGGTGGGAACCTTCTGTGGGGTTATGACTCTGCCTACATTGATGTCGTTTAGATCTTTGGGCCTGTTCTCTCGGTCGGCCGATTTGAGACGGAGGAAGAAGCTGTAGTACTGGCAAATGCGACCACGTACGGCTTAGGCGCTGGTCTTCATTCCAGTGCGTGGCTGATATTTGGAGTTGAGCATGCAGAGTAACAGTTTCGTTTCCTAGATGATGCTAACCAGTGTATGAGAGTCTCGGCGGCCCTTGAGGCCGGCACGGTTAGTCCTAGAGCACAGCAAATGCTCGTATCTGACTTCAAGTAACTGACGATACGATCGACAGGTCTGGATCAACCAGTATAATTTGTTGTCCAATAACGTACCCTTTGGCGGGAAGAAACAGTCCGGAATTGGTGCGTTTCGTTGTCCATCTTATGCCGAAGAATCTTTTACTTATGTTGAGTATACAGGTCGCGAGCTTGGCAGCTATGCCCTGGAAGAATACACCTCCGTTAAAGCTGTGCATTGGAACTTCGGAGAGAAGCTCAGTTGGCCACTTTGATCTTCTTTGTATAGGGAAAGCGTCCCGTTGCGTTGGCATAGGTAGTGTACGAGTTATGTCTGTGGACGAGGTGAATAGCGAAATTTGTATCAATACAGATGACGTTTAAGCAAGAAGAACAATTAGCACTTTATCAATACAAAACTAGATTGGATTCATCACGAAGTAGAGAATGGATTCTTAAAAATAAACGAGAGAGAGCTGACAGGCTCGATCACCCATGATGGGTGATGTTGCAGACACATCGTTCTCCTTGGCAATTATGTCTAGGAAGCATAGTCGGCGAATGATTGATCCAGAGCGAAGCGCGTCACCTACCTCCGATATGGTTCGGCCACATACGGGTTACCGTGTCCATTAAGACCAGACGACCACCTGGGTTCAACGGTAGACGTGAATAGAAGAGACGCCTGACCCTGGTTGTACGCAGACGCGCCAGGATTCGTGTAGACATCCATCTCGCCTGTGTAAAAGCCTGGGTTTTCCCGCCGCGACCAAGAGTCGGACGCGAGCATTCCCATACCTCTATCTGTGTCTCTGGATTGGTAGTGGGAAGGATGACCATAGCATAAATGGTCTCCTGTATGATTGTAGGTATCAGAGGATATATAATGCGACGGTACGGCGTCGCGGATATGGCAGACCGTATTAGATGGGGGATATACAGGCACTCTGTTTGAGCGGTTTTCGGGAGTGGAAGGATCATTGGACCAGTGGATGGGAGGAGCTGTGGCTGGAGGGGAAGACGACATCGCTGGGGTCGACCCGTCCACAGGGACGTATTCGCATTTCAAATGTTTTTTCGTGCACCGTTCGCAAGGGCTGTTGTGTGACCTGTCGGGGTCTTCACTCGACACTGGTACACACTAGAAGGATGGTATTAACAAAGGTGTGGGTATTAGAGGAAACGGCACCCACCTTGATCTTGCGTTTCCGACAATGCGTGCAAGCTATCAAGGCTCTGCCAGGTCTTTTGATAGGTGTATCGAACGGCGGCGTCGTGGACTGTGGTGGATGCATTGCCATAGCTTGAGGGAGGACGAAGAGGAGATGGATCTTTAGTTTAAATAGCACTGCAGGGTTGTACAGAGAGTTGTGCAAACATCTGGATGTAGCTGTACTCCATCTAGAAGTGGACCTTGATCGAGCCGCCATCTCGATCATGCGGTATAACAACAGCCTGAAAAGTCATCGTGCTAAGAAAAGTTCGGTCACAGACAGGGCTGTAACATCAGCAATTGTGAACCGTGCCATTTTCTAAGACGGGTATAAGCAGCCCGTGTCGGACTCCGGGAAGTTTCAGGAAGGAAGCCATAATGAGGGTCTGGCTAGCGGTAACCTAAAAATTCGCCTGTATTTCAGCTTACAAGTTAGTTCCATAGAACAAGGGGGGAATGAAGAAGTATTGGCACCGAAGGAAAGGCAGGATCACGCCCGTTTCCGAACAGCGTGAACCATCACCGTCCACTGTCCTCAGCTAGACCCTGAGACAGGTAATGCTGTGAAGGCCATTTGCGGCTATTCAAGAGGACACCCAGATCTTGAGGTATGTGACTTGTCCTAGAAGGGGATGCATTGTAGATCAAACCGTACAGACCGTTGATGGAACTCAAGGTCAAGATGGCCCGTCAGAATCATATCGGAAAGAGTTTACAGTATCGACAAACGATTCTCAACGTCCCTCTCACGCTCAGAGCAGGCGCACATTTGAAGTTTTGCGTAGACCAGGGTTGGTAAGTAGATCTCTGGCCAGCATTCACTTGGTCAAAGCACTTGGATCGACAATACTTACAGAGCGCCGACGGCGCAAATGCTTTCGATGGAAATGGAAAGAAAAACCGAGAAACGCCAATTGATGATTCATTTGATGAAACATGCGTGTGCCTGTGACCATGTGACAAAATGTTGCGAATCAAGAGATTGGAGTGAATGGAATAAGGACGTACGCGAAGTCCGTGCAGTGACCCACTCGCTTGTGGCATTCCCCTTAGATCACGGATGATGAAGGCAAGTACCAGAGTCCGCAACGACCGCGAGAAGGTAAGCCATTCATGTAAAAAAGTTTATGAAAGTCGCAAAACCACAATCCGTAACGATGGCACCGCTTGGAGACGTATGTAACGCGCATATTGCTTTATAGGTCATTTTGAGCCAGATCTGAGAGGTTGATTTGGACGTGACATGATGCATGATGTCCGAGAAGACTGGTGCAAGTTACTAGGCTCTGACAGGCCAAGCGGACTGGCAGCAGTCTAGATAAACGAAGTAAGTCTGCCACTTGTCGCATTTTCTTGAATCATCTCCGTTTAATTCGACGAAAGTCATTAGAAATACAAAGATACGACACTTTGTCATCAAGAGCCACCTGCCTGGGGCCAGTGATATGTGAGCCATAAACGTGATTGATGGGGAAAAGCTTACAGCTAACTAAAGAGCAAGGTAGTCGCGAACCTCTTCTTCGGTTAGTTTCCGGAAAGTAGGTTTCGGTCTCCCTGTCTCCCCTCCGATCTTTCCTTCCTCCAACTCTTCAGCTGTCGGAACCGTGACCACGCCAATTTCAATAGTCTTCTCAGTCATCTGCCCTTCAAAACCCTCCTTCAACGTCAGCAGCGCTGTGTGAATCGCGTCTTCAAGACTGATGTCGTCGTTATATCTGTTTCAGGATAGATCAATGTTAAGGTCGGCATGAAACAAAGATAAATAAATACGTACCGTTTTTCTAAGAACGTCTTAGCGTTGACCATATTTTTGCCAATGGCACTGGCTTTCCACGCCCAAAATGAGCCTGAGGGATCCACTTGGTATAATGTCGGACCGCGAGTGATGTCCCAACCGGCGACTAAAAGAGACACGCCGTAAGGCCTCACACCTCTGTACGATGAGTGATGAGAGGATATCGGAGGACATGGTATGAAGCCCACCCTGATTGAGTTGCTTGTTGCATGACTGTGGCAATCTCCTGCGTAAGTACACGCGTGGGAGGGTATTCCCCGTACATCTTCCAGTATGCTTGTGCACTCTTCCGAGCTTTGGATATCAAGACACGAGAGTCTGGACCCATCCCGGAGTATACTATTCCGATATTAGGACAGATCACGGCGACCTTATCCAGCATTGAATCGTCGATGAGAATAGAGGATGATTTCTTCTCCGTTGCGATGACAATGCCATTGGAAGCTGAAAATATTGTCTATATAACTGTTATTACTACAATAGGCTGGGACCAACCTTTAATTCCAAGACTCGTTGTTCCGGACGAGACTGCTGCTAAGGCATGCTCAATTTGCACGAGTTTCCCACTCGGCGAGAACACAGTAAGGGAGTAGCTGCAGATGTGTCAATACCTAGGAAACATAAACGGTCTTGGGCAAGCACCTGTATGCTCCACCGTCTGCACTAGCCATCGCGGTAGGAGAAAGAAGTAATGAATGCAGACACTCGTCAGCGCGACGCGTAAGTACTGTTTGCCTTTATTGGGCCAATCATCCACACAGCCACCGTTGCGTTTTAGTGCAGCAGTTCCAGGACAAATACAACTAATTATTCATACAACGATTACAGTAGACAGCGAGTTGATGGGAGAAGAAGGTGCTAGTAGAATGCAACAGCATGCAATAAGCTGTGCGGATGTTTTTCCTCCTGTACTTCTAGGATATGGTCAATCTCATCGTCAATGTCGTCCGCAGCTTCAATCTGTAGAGACAAGAGTATTATCAGCAGATATTCAATTTTCGATGCTTGGGGACAAAGACTAACAGCTGTGGCCAGATCCAGCATTGCTTTTCCTGCAATGAGAGCCTCTTCGTGATTATCCTTAATTTCAATGTTGATAATGTGAACTGGACGATTGTACTCTCCCCCTCTTGACAACAAGTCTGACAATGTTATGTTAGGGATCAGTGCGAAGACCTTGCATTGGAAAAAAAAGGGCACACCGTCACAAACAGCGTCAAAACAACGTTCTTCGCAGGTAAAGACGATATCTGCAACAGCCCGGCTCTCCTGCCATCGTTCGGGTGCTGTTTTAATCCGTCGATTACGGTCAATCATTTGAAGTACACCATTGGCGGAATATCTGAAGATATATTGTGATTATCTGGATTATAATTAAGGTAGGACTTACAGCCTAGGGTCTTTCGAGGATAACTCTTCGAAGATGGTATTGTAAGGTGTTCCAAAGGCGTATGTATTGGGTTTGTCTATTGACGGGCCTGGCAATCGTACAGCAGATCCGGTACCGGACGATATCACCCGAAATCCTGCTTTACTAGTCGTAAAATGAATAAACGTGCGTAGGTGGGATTAGAGTGCTTACGATAGGACAGAATGCCCTTCCATAGACCTGTTCTACATTAAATCAGATATTGAGGGAATAAATGCGAATCGAACATGTATTTACTTGATTACTCGCACAGACGACACAGAACAAGGGGCGGGGTTTGTACCCAAGTGTTACAGCATTATCTTGAGATGTTGGTGGGGAATTTTGCGCCGGCATTTGACTGTATTCAACTGTATTGTTCGGTTGTATTTGGGAAGTCAACGCCACAAGCGCTGAGCCAGAGCCATTCTCTCCAGAATGAGATGGTGGAGGATATTGAGGGGGAGGCGTTGGTGTTGGTGTTGGATCTGGCTGAACACGTAGTAACCGGGGATCTGCTCGTACGAGACGGGGATCTCGAGCCCTTCGGGGGTCCATATTCTCTATAATACGAATTTAAAAAATCAGTTGCTGTGCCAAAGGATATATAGAGGGTAATAAAAAAAGAATCAGCAGTATCTAGAACATTCCAAGTCTTCTCCTCAACCCGGCAGATATTTACGTCTTATTTGGAGCTGGTTGATGCAGATTCCACTCTGAATCATCACGAAAAAAATGAAGAGAAGGTGCATGTACCTGGAGGAAGAAAATGGAGGTGGACGTAAGACCCAAAACTGCTGTGACAGGCAGTAACGCTCGGCGCTTTCGAAAACACTGAGGCAGGCAGGCACTGACCTCGACGTGGAACCGCAGCTGTGAGAATTCTTTCAAGTTGTGCTGTAAGTCGCTATTTATCTTCTCAGATAGGTTTAGCTTACTTGCGAATGTCAAAGGTATCAATGGATTCACTGGGAGCTAACGCCTCGGATGAGGAAATAAAGGGCCTCATAACTTTCCATCAATCAGCAATTCGTCGTGTCGACGAAGAGATTGATGAATTGATAAAGGCGGTTCGCCGCCTGCAGTTCAAGAAGTCACAGATCCTCGAAAAAATTAAGGAATGCAAAGGAAGGCTCCCACCGCCTTCCCCCGGAAATCCTTGCTACGATTTTCGAGCTTTGTGCCAGGGATGGCTGGGCTAGTACCCCCATCACTGTTTCTCACGTCTGCTCGGAGTGGCGCAAGGCAGCTTACACCCTCTCTGTCTGGTCGTACCTGTATGTTAACGTCGACATGCGCGATCCGTATGGTAGGCTGCTCTTTTGGTTGACATTCGAACCGCGCCGCTACACATTACTGTGGACATACAAAGCGACTGTTCTCCCTTACCAAGCATAATGGGACTCTTGCTGAAGGTAGCACCGCAATGGCATACGCTCATCATCAACTCCAAGATGCTCCAGCCAGTGAATCAGATATTCACTCTATGTGCAGCCCCATTCCCTTCGCTTCAGCGTCTCGACGTGTCCATCAGGGAAGAATTCCATGAGTTTGAGGGGGATATCGTAGAGTCTCGACTAAGGCCAGGCCACTTATTCAACAATGCGGAGAAGTTGAGCACCTTCCGCATTTTGCGCAATATCCTCCCTTCTCGGGAAAGCGTACCATCTTCCATTCCTCTAATCTTACCATTAGCCTCCCCTCTTTCTGCCTGGTGACCCCCTCGTCAATAGCTTCCTTACTGGATCTCTTGGAGGGTCTACCCGTTCTGGAATCCTTCACAATATCTACACCTCATGGCGAAACCCGGCAGTTCATCGATGACCCATATATTTGCAAACGCCGGCGCTACTCCACATAGCGCTTTGTTCATCTGAAGAGTCTTTATCTCATGCGCATCCAGTTGCTAGCCCAGCCCTCCGTTGTTTCGTAGAAGGAATTGACCTGCCGCGGCAGGTCCTAGATTTGCACGACATAGATCTCTCGCTGTCGAACTTCATCGCCTACTTTAGAGGGCTGTCCCATCTTAAAGAACCTCGTTTACACGAAAGCGATATATCGGATGAGATACTAGAATGTCTGCACGACTCCCGCGGGTACTGCCCAGAGCTTCAGGCCCTGGATTTTCGGTGGTGTGGACACATCACAGGCCGTGCATTGGTAAATCTTGGTCGACAACGTTTTGATACGGATCGTCTCTATTTTAATGTTCCACTGCGCCGCCACATTGACTCGTCGACTGATAATACGGGATACAGACGATTTGTGCAGTGAGTCTTGCTAAAGTATGATTCATTCAAGTTAAGGAAGTTATTGGGTCAGTCTCCTTTGGATGCTGTCGAAACGAGAGGTACTGAAGGCGATTCCAATTGCGACAGCTTGAACATTATGGCTCAAAGATTGTAACTGGTAGAATCATTGTATGATTGTTCCTTACATTTAGATACATAGAACAGACGAGTATGAGACGGTATTGTGGGTCTGAACTATGGCAGATATTGGTAAATGTTTCAATATCCACCTCAAACATGGACCTCGGTCATTCTTCGACTGAACGAGGACAGTTGCGGCCATGCCAACGAAATAGGTAACCAGCACCAGAATACAAGGTCGTAGTCGATGGTTGAGAAAGAAAAACGTTGACAGCATATTTATAAATTTGATGCACGTGTCAATTGCCATTCTAGGCCGATACTCGAACGATATAATAACATTGCAAGTCCCTTGATAGTTACCGCACTCCTTCCTCTTCCACACTCTGCAGATGGCATATACGGACCGTACTACAGACTTCAAAGAAAGCGTACAGAAATGCCAAGCTGCTCTTCCAGACGCCGAAAGGCGAAGGTCTACATCTGACAAACGTAAACAGAGTCGGGAACGGAATCCTTTGGGTAAGGAGTACGTCTCTGAGGCGTACAAGATTGTGAGTGAGACCATTTCTACTTGTATGTATCATGACTGAAGGAGACGGCTGCGGCTCAGCTCAGTCATATCACGACTCTGACACGCATGTTGTCCACCATCCGAAAACCATACCTAAACTTGGACTCACGGCGTGGCCCGCTTACTCGACATACATCCCGAACTTTGGATTTCAGTGGTAGCGACGAGCAGTCATGGTCGTCAATACGCCAACTTTCCAATGAAGAGCGGGACCAAATTGACTTGCAAGCACGGCTCATACTGTCTCGTTGTGCGGACAGAGTCAAAGAAATGGAAGCCCTAGAAAAGCGTACGAATCATATTCACCGTACCTCCTTTTCCTGACAGCCAACATAGAGATTCCTTTGTGTTCTCATTCGTTTAGGACGCGCCGAGCTTGTTGCTAGCAAGATTAATCCACTAACCCGGTTCTTACCAGCGCGACTGCGACAAGACGAGTCGTCAATCGTCTCAGATTTCATCGCTGCACATCATTCGAGCATAACGTGGTATCTGAACCGCCGTCTCGCTGAGGCTAGTCAAAGCCAAAAGGTTATGCAGGAAGAGCGCGTGAAACGGGAGTTGGAACGTTCGCGGACGCTCGGTTCAGGTGCGGCAAAGGCGGCTTTGGGTATCGGGAATTCAGACTTTTCGGGCGCAGGGGGAAGCTCAGGAGGTGGAAGCTGGTTGGGCGGGGCGTCTTCCAGTATCATCGCGGCAACCATTGGGACTGCTACGCCGCGTTCCGACACAACGCCAAGCTCTGTCGATTCTGCACTTCCGATGGATGATGACGATGATGATATTGAGCTGTCAGCCTCTCAGATTCTCCAGTTCGAGATGGAGAATGCCAATATCTTGAGAGGTGTACAAGATACACTGGAATCGGTTCAGCAGGCTGAATCGCGCCTTATGGATATAAGTGCTCTTCAGATGGAACTGGTCTCTCATTTGACGCAGCAGACGGAGTTGACAGACCAGTTATACGAGGATGCAATTGCTACGACAGGCATGGTGGAAAAGGGAAATGATCAGTTGCGGGAAGCGAGGAGGCGGGCAAAGGACGGTAGAATTTTCATTCTTCTATTCCTCATAGGCGCAAGTCTTAGTCTATTGTTCTTGCATTATTACTGAAGAAACAATCATACAGTATACGAGATACAGGTGCTCTATCTGTGTTTAAACAGTTGCTATACAGTTTATGGTCCTTAGATGCCATGAAGAGAAGAATCCGTTACACCTGGTCGTCTGCCTCATTAGGACGTAAAAGCGCCGCATCCTCATCATATTCCTCTAGAGCCTCCGCTGCCATCCGATCGACTTCCGGAGATATATCCTCCAGTTGTCGGATGTGATTCTGAACAAGAGTGTACACAAGCCTACAGGCGAGATCAAAACACGTTGATGTAGGCAAGACAGATGCCTTACCAGCTAGTAAAAATAGCGATGATGATCCCCCCACCTATGAGCAATCCATTCATGACTTTGGTGTCTGTAAGAAGACTCAGTTTCAGGCAGTGATGTATGTGAATGACACAGACGTGTGTCCATATGGCTCCTGCTATCGCCATCGGAAAGCGCAGCCATACGAGAGCCGATAACAACAAGCAAAAGGATCTTGGGGAAGATGAAGCACGTAGCGACGACAAATTGCCACAGAGACACTGCTTCGATTGACTTCCCACAAACGTGAGAGTGATATCATCTTCAGAATATATAAACCCACTGCAAACAGAGAATTAGAATAGACCCAAGGGGGGAAGGGGGAAACGCGAATGAGGATAATAAGCGGAAGTCCCTTTGTGCGCTGAGACGATGATGTCAACAAGCAAGCATAACCCGAAACAACCTCGCCTCACTACGACGGATTCCAGGGCCTTCCATTTCTCGTTGTGAGAGGACCATTTGCGCAGGTGAGAACTAAAGCATAGCCGTAAAAAGACGAAGATAAGAGCCGAACCAACGACCGAAGCGCCAGCTCCAATAGCGAAGCCCTTAATACCGAACGCGAAGCCACAAAGCGTAAGAAGGGTCGAATGACCAATAAGCGGGGGAAAAGACACGGCAACTATTGCATTGCTCAGTCCATTTTCAGAATGGCTTCGTGTTTCACACACCGATTGCCCCAGTGAGGATGAGCCAGCCCAGCCTCATGTGAGAAAGCCTCGAGGCTTGGTCATACAAGACCTGCGCGATTCGGTTGGGAGAAACTACAATGATGAATGCACCTGGACACCGGGTAATGAGCCGGACAGATACCCCACATCAGGAACAAGAAAAGACCTAAGCATAGGTAGAAGAGCATCAAAAGCCATATAAAAATCTAGTAACGAGACCCCGGTCAGGATTGGTAAAATGGGTGACTGTGAAAACGCACTTTTCCATAGACATGGAGATTCCGGTAGCGATGCAGAACGGTAGTAAGAGTAAACTTGATCCATTGAGTCGAACTGGCTGCCCAGCCGGATGGTGCTTTCGTGGTCATTGTGGTACTGAGAGACCACGACCATGCCGTAATGACAAATGGGTATTTCTGAATCGGGTAACGTCGGCCGGTAAGGAACTGATTTGCAGGCGAATAAAATTCGACCGCAGAATGTATTCCTTGGAAAAAAACAAAGGATGCCCTTGCATTGAATTCACATCAGATACAAGCTGCGCATTATCTCAACAAACATCTTGTCAAGTTCCTGAAACACTGGCCGGAGTCGGCCCGAACTCTGCCGTGAGATCACGTGAATAATGTGCGCGCGATTGAAGTTTGATCGGGTTGTTTGTCTTCAAACTCACTTGATGGAAAAATACAGCGCGTATAGAGTAGGTGCCAAAATGTTCATTTTTGAATATCATCGCTTAATTGCTTCAAAATCAATAGGACCCGGGAACTGGAATCCAGGTTCATGTCTCGTGTCCTCAATATCGGTCTCCAGTTCTAAGCACTTTATTGACTTAGCCTTTCCTCGCTCCAGTCGCCCCTCCAAGTCCGAACGGAGACATTTTGGCAAAGACCGTGCTTCCCATCAGATATTTTGTTGGGGCTGTTCGAATGCTTCTGGTTTTGCTCATTCTAGGCCTATATCTGATATTGGTAGAAGGGATATGCTTCATCTTCGTGAGTTCGTTTCAGCTATACGAATTTACAGTACTGATTGATCATCAGAGACCTGTTGCGCCTTTGTACCGTATCTTGGCTCGGCTGTTTATAGCATTGTTATCACGCCTAGCGCTTTTGAGCGCCGGAATCTTTTGGATACACGTGGAACACGTCAAAAGGAGGCGAGGGTAAGTATAATGCCTGCTACGTGTGTCCCTGTGGTTGCTAAGAGTTTGCAGCAGGCAAACTCAAACCTCCGACCAATGGAATCCACAGCCTGGTGATGTAATAGTTTCCAACTGGGTCTCCTGGATTGAAATCCTCTGGCTTGCTTTCAGGTAAACACCAGAGTCCTTATTGCGAACCGAACTTTTCATTATCGTTTACTTCAGGTTTAATCCGGTCTTTGTCCTTCCTGTTCCTGCTTCGTCGGCCTTGACTTCTGCACCATCTAAATCATTAGATCCCATATCACGCACACCTGGGCGGCGAACGGGAACCGGATTAGCTAATGTGTCGGTGTCAACAAGGGCTCCGAGGGAAAGAATCCCTATCATTGGATTTCAGCGTCTTTCGTTACTGAATATGCTTCGCCAAACTGGAAATGTCCCACCATACAGATTGGCCCCAGGCTTGGCTCCCCAGAGTCTCGAAGCTATCCGATCGACTTCTGATCGGCCCATCGTCGTGTTTCCGGAATCTACAACGAGTAACGGAAGAGGACTAATCCGTTTTTGCGACGTTTTCAATCAAAATATTCCAGTACAAGGATGGCAGGCGTTCGTCATGTGTGTTCGGTATGCTCCTATCCCTCTTTTGATACTTTCTCCTCATCCGCATTCCACAGATACGATACTCCAACAATACTGTCGTCCACCCTGTCACACTCCATTCCAGCAAGATCGCTAAATCCACTGCCTCAGGTGTTTAATATGGCCACGTCCATTACGCCGCCGACCGTTTCAATTCGGCTACTAGCTCCGTCAGAATCTCCTGGTTCCCCAAATTTCCTGGCTAGTGACGTCCTTGCCGGATCGCACAACGATCAGCTTAGCGAAGCATGCGCTGTTTTGATTGCGCAACTTGGAAAGATGAAAAGGATCGGGATGGGATGGGAAGATAAAGCGAATTTCCTGGAGTTCTATTGGGGTAGACGCAGTTCGTAATCGATGTAGAAAAACACAGCGGAGATACTTGTAACAACGAAAGCTATTACGGCAGGCGAGAAAAAACCTTCAAGGTGGACCTATGTGTGGTAAGGTGATGATAAATAGATGACCTATAACTACCGTCCAGAAGAAACCATTCTACGCATAATGAAAAAAATCTGTGATTTAGCTTTACAATTCCGAGTCCAATCGTGAAGTATGATGCGAATTCCTGACGTGATGAAAGACAACGAGGAAACCATTTCGATGCTGGAAAGCATGAGATGGATGGGCTACCGTTGAAAAGAGTAACTCACAGTGAGTTCTAGCAATTAATACGAGGGAAGAATCAATGATATGCGTATCTGGAGTCATTGTACCACCGACGATATTCGGCGTCGTCGTAGTCTGAAGATAGATAATAATAATCCGCAGGAGGATGTGAAGCGGTGTGGTGGTAATGGTCGTAGTTGTAATCGTAGTCATAATCACGGCATGGTTCGTCTCGTCCTTCATGTCGGTATGCACAACACCACTCTCTGGAATATTCCAGGACGGGATATCGGTCCTGAATGCGAGGCAAGTACGGTCCTTGGTCCGTGTTATACGATGAACAGGAGGGATATGAGTGAATGGGGGAGGGATAGCGCATTGGAAGGGTGCGGTTGGCGCCCGGAGAACGAGCCGCCCTACGTCTGTCGTCCCTGCCCAGATATGCGAGGTGACGCCGTACAGGAGAAGAACTTCGCGAGTAGGAAACTTCCTTTGCTTCCCTAAGATAGGACGGCTGCACGGAATGAGGTGAGGGCATCAAGGATCAGAACACTGTCTCCTTCCACACCTTTTTGATATAGACTTTGACTGGTGCACCTCCCAGGATTTGCCCGTTGAGTTTTTCGACTGCTATTTCTGCTTTGTCAAAAGAGGAGAATTCTATGAATCTGTTCCACACCATCAGCGAACATGACAAGAAGGGATCTGTGAACAAAAGGACCCTCTGGTATGGTTATTCCTGTCGATATCGCAGTACACGACATGCTGCCCTGAAAGTCTCCCGAAATCTTTGAGTTCCTGCTCAATGCCATCATAAGATGATGGTTTGAGGAATGGTAGCCCATAATCACACCTGCCAACAAATGCGACGAGGAATGCCGGTAACAGTGACTGGAAATCGCATGACACCTCTGTTACTTTGTGCATCAGGCAAGTGCGACGATGATGTCAAGCACAGTGACCTTGAAGCACGTTCATGCCTGACAAAATCATTGGCATCGGCGAGAGCTGCTACGTCCTTGCGCAACGGGTGCGCAAATTCAATAATGATGCCTTGCGAGAGGTGAATGCTCAGTCAGTTTGCATGGCGTCAAAGCTCACGTCTACCGAGAAAGTCCTTTTCTTTGAACGTTTTCAGTACGGTTCTCGCGTCCTGGAACGGCATTAGAACGCCTTACACGAAGCAAAGGAAAGTACACACGTCGAGAGACGCGAATTCGACAAAGCCATAGGCTGTCCGCTCATGAGCATGAAACGTCAAACGTACGACAGCGTCGCTCACTGTGTCCCGACACGATCTTTACTTCAGTTACTTTACCGTAGGGTGCGAGGAACTGCCATCGAATAAATGTTGAGCTGTTTTATCAATAGTAAGTCCCCAACCAATACTCACCGCCTCGATTTCGTCCTCTGAGGCAGTTTCGGGAAGGTCTGGCGCGGTAGAATGAGACCCATCCTCTAACAAAGGGAATAAAAGGGAAGCCAACCTCGCAAATAGAGTCTCTTGGACGGAAACATGATAAAGAGTGCGGGCAGGAGATGAGGGAAAAAGAGAGAGAACGGAAACGGCAACTGAGCATGAAAGACTGGTAAGTAAATTAGAAGACCTATCAGTTTGGACGCATCATCCGTCCTGGACGATGGCAATCTCCATGTGGACTAGGTGAAAAATACGTCTATATTTCAGGTGTGCTATAATCTACTCTTAATAGATGCTACCTTCTGGAGTCCAACTCGCAGCCCATCCTTGAGATCCTGCAATACATGGTCACATATTTATGAAGACTGCGGAGAGGAATTAAAAAGACATACTTCAGCATCTTCGACTCCAACGCTAATCCTGATCAGCCTTGGATCTTCTCTGAGATCGGCTCGAGCCCTGTACTCAATAAGTGACTCTACGCCACCGAGACTTGTCGCAGCCTACACAACTCGAGTCAACTCATTTTCTAATCATTCAAGGATCACTGACAACAAAAAATTTCACGGTATGCGGAAGCTGGATAGCCTGCTCGGGAGTTGCCAGCTAGATAACTTGTGTTAAGTGAATGTTCAAACGGAGAGAAAAGCAGGCAGTACTTGGATAGCAAATGTGCCATTCCATCCGCCTTCCAGTTGGTATCTAGGTTCGAACCCTCTTGCGTCCTTGGTCTGCAAGGACGAATGCCAAACCTTGGTGACGAGTCCTCCTGGAACGCCGTCGAATGTCTGGCCTGCCGGTGTTCGTTCGGCTGACTGGAGCCACTTTGCTAGAACAGTCGCCGTCTCGGATTGTCGAGGAACTCGAAGATGCAGAGTACGCAGAGAACGAAGCAGCAGCCAGGCCTCAAGAGATCCTAACACGTTCCCAAGGTATGTCCTATCATGCTGCAGCTATACATAGAGCCAAATCAGACACTGTCGCAAAATGAACGAGAGACGGGGCTGACAATTGTCCATTCGTCCAGTGTTTTTACAACAAGCACGCCACCCAGGAGATCGGAGTGACCGCCAAAGTATTTGGTCGCTATCAACTTGGTTGAGTCCTTAGCACCGCTGTTATCGTTTTAATTGATATACCTGAGTGAAGGATGCTTATCGAAAGAATGAAGAACAAACGTGCCGAGGAAACATAATAACACATACCAGTCTGCACCCCATTTGAATGGATACTGAAGAGGTGGTGGCGCAAAAGTGGAGTCTACCAAAAGTTTTCCTCCGGCTTTGTGAACCTATTGCATCGTTTGGTAATGACGGCCTTCGAGGGCGTAGTGACTATACCTTGTCAGCATAATAACTGATGTCCCTAGAAACAGAAGTGACAGTCAATGGTAAACCTGGGAATGAAGAACAACGAGGACCTTGATTCTCCTGTTGGGTTCAGAGGCGTCTCCAACCAGCACAGGTCACCGGGCTGGAACTCATCATCAAGGTCAATCATCTCCAAGTTTACATCTCTGCTTTTGCTATAGACTTCTATAGTAGAATGGCATCCAAAGTAGCCTCCGTTTATTGCAACACGCTTGGGTTTGAAGAAAACGAGCGCCTGGAAGTCAGGGATGAGAAGTTATAAAGAATGCATACTGAGAAGTGTATCGTACTGCATACGCAGCAGACAGCCCAGACGCGTAAGTAAGGGCATGGCCGTCCTTTCCAAGAACATGGGCATCAGTATGGCCTGTATTCCATCATGTCTTAATGGACATACGTTGATTTTACTCAAAATGTGTTCGGCGCGAGTGCTAACTTCCTGGGTGTAGCGAGAATACACATGTCGCTCCGGGTTCTTGAAGTCCACATTGTCTAGTCTTTCTTCTGGAGAGACCGCCTTGAATGCTACATACGCGTCACCTATCATGCAGGTTCAAAAGGGATCACTGATTACTGACTGGATGAAACAGAAATGGACGGAGCCACCTCAGCCCCACCGCTTGGATGTACAGCACCATCACCGTGAATGAGGACAGTGCCACTAAGTTTGGTACTCATGATAGAACGGGCGAAGGAACGGGGGTCGACGGAGTATCTTTGTGATAAATTTTTGCAACAGTTGCGCAATCGACATGACTCGACCCTCGGAAGGAATTCGGATTCAAGTTCGGCCGGTGGTCATTTTTTGTACAAAAATATCTAGTGTGGCAGTTCACAATAGGTATGTACGTGATTATAGGTACCAGTAATATAGTGCTATAATAATATATGCTCGATGGCGACAGTGTAATTACATGTCCCCGCTTGCGTCGTGTTCCAGCAATCCTGAATCCCGCATGAAAGACTTCCACTGCTCATCTATCCCCGAATCTCCCGACATCATCATCCCAAGATCCACCAGCTTCACCGTAGTAGCGTCGTCTATCAGAGTATCGGCGGTACCATTCACAGAATACAGGTTTGAGGGCAAAAATGAGGAATCGAGATCATGGTAAAATGACGACGGCGCCGATCCGTTTAACTCTGGCATAACACTATATAATGGATAGATGGACGACGGCGACGACTGTTCTGAATGGTTATTCAAGATAGTAGGTGACTGTGTGAACACAGACGGAGCAGCAGTAGAAGAGATTGCTTGTGAGTGTGCTTGTTCTTCAGAAGTAGGCGGCACGAGGGGCCTATGCGGTGGAGACGAACGTGGATGCTGCGAAGGAGGTAGTAAGGACAGATACTCGACCAAAGATGGATGCACATCTGGAATGCTATTAGATGGGCTTGGCGCTTGACTGTCCTTCTGATGAACTTCGCGAGAAACGGACATAGCATTGTGAGACGGAGGGTTTGGAGAGTTTATGACAGGCGAAGATGAAGGCGTCTTCCTGTTCACTCCTCTCGAAGACATAATTTTGCTAAAGAGTATTCGCGTTTGCCCACCGAACAAGGCTAACTCGTCGTCTCCGTAATCTGAGCCTACTGGAGCACTAGGCGGTGGAGGATTTCCAGAACGGAACTGGGAGTATATCTGGAAGGCCTTGTTCTTGAGTGCGTACAGGATACCCTGAGAGGGATTGTGGTCAATAAACGTTAATTCTGCACGGGGATAGGACACGCACAATACCGCTTCTTGCACGACGAGAATGGTGAGATCCCTTCTCGAATAGATCACAGGCAAGTCCTAATTCAATGAAGGCGTTTGCTGCCATGCTAGAAGACGGGGAACGTGTTACTATGGAGCCCACTATAATCTGGGGACAGTCAAGAAGACAAAATTAAGTTGAAATTGACGACATACCGCTGCCGAAAACACTTCACCGAATATCAGACATCGTCTCGAGAAGACATGAATTATGAGACTCACGATGGGTCCAGACACCCCACCACCTACAGCACAATTCCGGGAAGCGGTCATAATAGTTCAGACTGGACTTGATTACACCAGAGGCACATCGATACGCAGCTAGGAACGAGGGCGCATAAGGACTCCGAAGAGGGTTGATGGGGTGATCAAGCATTGCCTGAGCAAAAAAGCTGCGGTGAATGTACAGAAGAGCTTTGCATACATCGAGTCAGTGCTCCGAGTAATCGAGATGGCGAGAAGAAATGGTAACGCACTGACAGTGCGGTATTGTCCCAACAAACAACCATGCATGAATGCAGAAGGAGAACAGTTTTCATCCTCTGGATTCACAAACACGTTAAGATGTGGTGGTAAAACCTTCTCTCGGACTTTGCGATCTAAATCAAGGATAGTTTGGTAGTTTGGCGCCTCCGCCGTAAGCGTTAATTCAAGGATATCCGAGAATATTTCCTTGCAGAATTCATATTTCCACTGATAATCTGTTTGTCCGTTCCGTGAGAATAGGAACTTCAGAGATGTACATATGAAGTCGTACATCCAATCTTGGGTTCCCCATTTTCATTCAAGGATGCCTCATCATCTGTCGGGTATTCACAGTCAACATAAGATAAACGAATGGAGGGAGGTCGTCCGAGGGCAATGCTCTATTCCATCTCGAATCAGAACCAGCAAATGTAAGTGAGGGAGTGGTAGACATACATTGAATAGATCTGCGCAAAAGATTTCATAGAATAGAGACCTGCGACGTTGCACCGTCTTGGCGTCCATTTTCCATCTGGCACTGTCCCGATCTGTAATCTTCACTTTAGAACATATTGAAGCAATGAGGCCCGATATGCATACGTAACCCTAACTGCAGCCCAGGCGGAGAATAAGCGAAATAGAGAAGAGATTCTAGCCTTTGAACGCACACTTTGAGCCAATTTGGCGCCAAGAGACATAATATTCCACTAAAAAAAGTCCTGGTTATGGTTTAATGAGAATGACGACAAGACCGTGTTACCGTGCTGTCCATAGTATATCGCTTGCCTCCCATACCGTGATAAGATGCTATGAGGACAATAGCTTGTACTGTGGCTATCTCTGGGGAATCAAAGAGTGAGCGTAAAGATAGTGCAGCACGGCTCAGATGATAATAATGCTCGGATTCATAATTATCTATGCTTAGTGAGATAAAGACATGTTTCGAGGTGTAGACGACGTACACGGCTCCAGTGTCAAGTCAACCAGGGACCCAATGGCGAAAAATATGAAAAGAACAGCAAGCTTATGTGATGATATTGTTTGAGCAGCTGAAACAGCGCCATTTTTACGTTCCCTGGCACACCGGTATATCGGTGTTAGTATGTCGTCAACTATTTCGTCACGTTGTACGGGTCGAAACGACCAAGCAGCATGCTCGAGGTATGTTTCACACAAGGCCCAAGCCCGTGGCCTTTCTGGCAGATGATCAATAAGACTATCCAGAGCTTTTTCCCAATTCACACCGCCATCAGTAGTGAACGGAAAAGAATTTGAAAGACGGGCAACTTCCAAAGGAATGGGCGGATAGTCGTCTTCAGCACAAGTCATCTCCATATCAGCACCAGCCTGTAGATTGACCATGAATGAGATTCTCAGAGTTTGAGAGGTACCATACCAAGAATAGAGTCTACAAAGAAAGTGAGCGTGAGAAAAGCACAGTGGTATATACAACCTGACCTCCGAGCCAGCTGAACGACCGAAGTACTTAGCTTCGCCATGATCGCCTATTGTCAGGGTACCCAAAGCATCGATAGCATCGACGGATAGATCGGAAGAGCGCTTCTCTGGTGCTTTGCCATTCTCCGGACCAAACTTGATCGCCAGAAGATCGTCTCGCAACAGTATATGACACTCGCTGGAAACACCGGCTTGAAATATGGCCAGAGCGTCTTCAAGTTGTCGTATGCGTTGGCCCATTTCTGAGATTTTGTTGTGCAGTTGGGTTGTATCTGCAAGAACGAATCTGGTTTTGAAGAGGTCTAGACCTATAATACCAAGATGTTGCAAAAACTGTACCTGGTTCCCTGGCCCGTGGATAGACTCCCATTGGGGCAGATGGATGGACAGCCTCGACGAACTAAAAAGACATTATAGTCCAATACGATGGATACAACACAAAATCGCACTGCATGAGCTACATGGCAGCTTCTTGTCGCATTTGAGCTGCGCGCATGGGTACGATCAGCGACAATCCCACTAAGAACACCGTCAAACCTTCAGTCTTCTACATTCAGCGCAGGATATCTAATATATCATAAAAATGAGAAAAATATGGATAATGAGGATATTATGCACTTCTCCCCGGGCGCGTCTGGCGTCAATATCATCGTCGTGAGAAGAGTGCTTGCGCGACGTCCGTCTGGAGCTGTCGACAGGCATGACACTATCAGGGCAGAAGGGGGGAAGATGATGATGGGCTGATTCACCGCTCCCGAGAATCGTTGGGTCAGCAACCGGCTACAGACTATTTTTAAACATCGGGCCGGAGATCGGCATGGGATCGGCAACGATGGGCTTGGGTTTCAAGCACACGCAAATATGTACACGTGATCGTGTTTTATCTGAGACAATTCCAATCTCCAAGTAGTTCTCGTTTATCGTCGACCACCAGGTTCAAGACCATCGTCTGCCATTGTCATGGTCGCATATTTCGCTCTATACACTAATTTCATGGTCGTTCTGGCCCTGGCGTGCTCAGTCCAGACCCTTTCCATCTCTAAACGCGATCCTTTACCTACCAAGTACATAGCAGCACATCCGCTGGGTGTATCGTATCTCTTCCATAGTCGTGATGGATGGACCACCTACAACGCTTCCAACTCCCCTTCGAGGTCTGACAGTGATGAAGAAATGGACAGTGGGCTAGTAAAGAGGTCCGGGAAGGCGGACAAGAAGCTAAAGTGGAACAAGAAACCCAAGGGGAGCAAAAAGCTCAAGGTAAAGACCGGACAAGCACGAATTTTTGAAGGCCTTTTCACCTAGCATCGTAAGGCCATCATCACCTGGAAAAGCCCCCAGTTTTTCACAGCGTGACTCTGACTCAATATGTTGACGGACAGGTATACTGGTGAAGACCTTTTGAACCCTAGTTGTTGGCCTCAGTCAGTATGGACATCAACAGTATGCATGATCGCCTTTATGTATTTACTGTGTCGCTCATCGGTTCTCTCCAGGACCAACCTTTGTCAGCGGTATTACAGAAATAGGATGGGAAGGCCGCCCAAAGTGTTTTGACTTCATTGAACGTGAGCCTCACAGTCATTCTTCTTGGCTTCTTTCATGAGCTCCTCTTAGTCTGCAATGGTCCCAATAAGTGCATCTTTTGTCGAGTCGTGGTTATCTGTGCTATGGGGACCCAAGTAAATTTACACACCTTTTCTCTTGCCTTTTTCTGCTCAACACGCCGCAGTTTGTACACTAAACCATTAGACTTGTAAGCATACGATTTATATCCATCAGCAAGCAAATGTACCACCACACATACTACTTAGTAATATATGCATGTAGATTGTCATGCCTTGATCACAACGCGTTTGCGTTTTCTTCCTTCCGCTACTCTGGCACGGACTTTTTCCTCGTCCATACTTTCTCCCTCGTAGAATTGTACACTCCGGTCATGGTCATTCCGTCGGCGCATGTACTGTAAGGCCGCCAGATTATATGAGATAGTATCTTTCTGTCGCTGGAGAGCTCCACGTAAATGTTTGCGGAGAGGAATGAGCGCAGTCCGCATAATACGATTGGCTACGATCTGGTGGTGGTGGGTTCGGAGTAAGAAAAACAATATACGGGATACGAGAACGATGTTCCACTCCTAGGGAAATATCATGAATCGGCCAACGAGTGATGTCAACACGTGTACTAACCTTCTGCGCCCATATGTTGAGGTAATTCATCAAAGAAACCACTTTACCAAATGGCAAGACCAGCAAAGCGTCGTGCAGCGACGTACTCTGGACCTTTTCCACGACCCGGAGGACGTAAGCCTCGGGCTCGAGATCATATGCAGCTAGAATGGGGTTACTGGCAGGTGGCTGCAGCCTCATGGCATCGTCCTTCGATAACCGTGCCATTGCGTCCTCGTATTCTTGGGAAACTCGCCGCTCTTCATCGGCAAGCGTGAGAGCCTCCATGATACGCTCTCCGTCCATAAGCGTTTCTGCAGTCTGTTTGGTGACCACCGTCGCTTCGGCTTGATTAGCTGTTTCATCATTCCCGGAGTCGCGATTCAATGAATCAGCTATCCCATTTTCGTACATATTCTCGAGTTCCCTTTCTCGCTCCTCCTCCAGAAAGAGCTAGGAACCATTATCAGTGGGGCTGGAGTTGCACGACAGGTGTCACAAACTGCCTACCGGCTCGTCAAGTTTCTCCCATACACGAATTGACTTGTCATGTGAGCCAGTCACCACGAAGTTGCCATGGTGGCTTAGGACAAGTGCCCATACTTCTCGGTGGTGCCCCTCGAGCTTCTGGATGTTTTCAAACTGAACGGCATTCTGGTCGGCAGATAGAATACGGCGAAGAAACAACCGTTGCGCACCTTATCACCATCCCAGTATTTCAGCATGCTGTCTTTCCCAACAGTCCAGAAATAATGTGACTGATGCTCAAAGGCGACTTGCATGACACTTTCATCATGGGCAAAGATCGACTTGTGGCAATCCCCGAAATCAAGACCCCAGATCTTCACGTTCTTGTCGGCAGAACAGGTTACAATCAGTTTGGAATCGTGTGAAATGTCCATGGACAAGACCGGAAGCTGGGTTGTCTTTTAGGGGATTCAACGGCTAGAGACCGAGATTGCGAACCTTATGACCATACAAAGAGAGAAAGAATTTGAGGGAATCTTGATAGAAAACTTTGACCGTCGAATCCAGTAGCGAAACTGCGAGTAGTTTTCCATTGGGACTGTACCGCACGGACAAAACATCGTCGGTCATCTTAAGTGTTCTTATATGAGTCAGAGTCAAAGCCCTAGTCTGAGATATACCACATCAGTAAACGTATGATTGGAGAGCTGAGGTAAACAGACTTGATCTTCCCTAGGTTTCTCCTCAATATCCCAGAATTTCACATCCTTATCTGCGCTCCCACTGGCCACTGCATGTCCATCAGCACGGACATGTAAAGACCAAACAGTGCCAGAGTGCGCATTTATGGTTTCGATGAGAGAAGATGAGGCGAGATCATATATCAGAATTTCGCCATTTTTGGTCCCGACGACAACCTGCGAAAAGGTCAGATATGAGTAGTGATGAAGAAGCATGACTGACATGGCGATCGCCAGGGAGGAAAGTACTACAGATTGCGTGTCCACAATCCATGGTACGTATGCACGAGTTTGTTTTCACGTTCCATATTTTCAACGAGCCTGGGGAGCTGTCACTGATAAGTAAATGCAAACAACACTGAGACGTACCATTTGAGGCCGATGATAATAATTGATCATCTGAACTCAAGGATAGCGAACGTATATCTGTCCTATGGCCAGGTACGTCTACTGAGAACATTCGGATAGCTTCTGTGGGGCCTTCTTTCGACTTCACAGGCGGTGGGATATTATGCACCTCTATGGCATTTGAAGAGAGAGCAAGCAATATCTACACAGCGGATCAGAATCAGGCATATCGCAAACTGTGGAAACTGGAGGACAGACTTGGACAGCTTTGCCTGCAGAGTCTTCTCCGCCAAAATTAAATGACCTTATTTTACCGCTAGCTCGCACAACGACGTGAGGCGTGAACAAGTCAACCAGCGCAACGCCTTTTTCCTCCGCGTCTTCATTTACATCGACCTTCCCTTCTTTTTCCAGCTTTTCTTTCTTCTCCTTGGTTCTTTTCTTTCTTCGGGCTTGTTTCTTCAGTACCTCCTCCTCTGTCCGTATCCGGAAAACCTCCACTGCACGATCATGGGACTGGACAGCAAGGTAGGGTTTTGAAGGGTGGAAAGTAATGCCCGAGACACGGTGATTAGAAGAAAGTGGGAGACTCGATAGCGGCGTGATCATTTTTGAAACCTGCATGGTTCTAAATAAAATGCAAAAGCAATCAACAGAAATAGAACCATACCTCTCCAGAGTCATTCTCTTTCAGTCCTCCTAACAAGGCGTCATGATCAATTTTCCATGCTTTCAGCTCCCCTTCACTGCTTCCGGTGAAAATCAAGTTTTGATCCGCATTCAAGTCCATGGACCAGACATCTGAACGATGGGCAATCACTGTTTGGACGCAGTGCTGTGTTGACAGATCCCAAAACTTCAAAAAGGTGTCCTTTGAGATAGTGAGAAGAAAATCAGAGAGCGAAGCATTCGAAGTGGATGGCAAATTGTCGGCCGCTTTGACGAAGCGAATGGCAGTTATTTGATCACGATGTCCACGAAGACTGGACAGCCTAAGTGAAGTATTTCATGATGCAGAGAATAGAGACTCACCGGAAAAGACCAGCCTCGGCTACGACGTCCCAAACGATGAGATCTGTGTCCTGCGACCCTGAAGCCAAACGAGTTCCTTCCTCATCGAAAGCAAGAGCCATGATAGACTTCTTGTGACCGTTGAACGTGGATATAACCGAGCCACTTCCTGAATTCCACAAACGAATAGAGCCATCAGCATACCCGACTGCAAAGGTTTCTTTTCGGGGTGATCGAATAATACAAGTAACTTCTGCTCGATGTCCGGTTTCGTGCCACATTGCAATCTGTAGAATGTTGTTGATAATATTAAAAAAGAAAAGAATTTATCTGTGACATGCCATTTGACCCTTTTTCACATCCCATACGAGCACATCTTCAAGGGCTGGGACGTACGCGAGCTTGCCATCGTAGACAGAATTTGACGAAGCACTGCATATCAAACCAAAAGCCTAATGATAGCTCAGCAGCTTTCCCATACATTTAGTAAGAGCTTGCCTGTGTAGGCCCGTGTCGAAGATAACTCTGCACCATCTGAGGGTAGAGGAAAAGCTGAAAATTTGGAGAAAACTATTTTTGGATGCCACGTGACTTGATCGACATTATCCTGTTCGTCATCATTGCCAGCGACGACCACAACAATCTAGAATGATGATGTACCCTTCCAGTCCGGAAGCTGCGACCCGTCTGCTTGCCTTCCTGAACGCATCGCCGACGCCCTTCCATGCCGTTCACAACGCTGCAGTCCGCCTTGAGACTGCTGGTTTCCGAAAGGTATTCGCTTGATATCGGTACAATATCTGGAGGTTCTAATTGAACTGCTGTAGCTTCGGGAGCTAGGCAACTGGGACAAAGAGATCAAGGCTGGTGGGAAGTACTATTTTATTCGGTACGATACATTTTTCCTGTTCCAGCATCGCGGACTAAAGACGAAATAGGAACCAAGCAGCTCTTGTCGCGTTCACTCTCCCTCCACAGTGGCAGTACGGTTCCGGTCTCAGCATTATTGCGACCCACGTCGACAGTCCTAATCTACGAGTGTGTACAGTTACCATGGCACGTCCGCGCTGCTCAGCGTTCATTATCAGGTCAGACCAGTCTCAAAGAAGGCCAAGGCCGGTTTCCTGCAAGTAGGTGTCGAGACGTACGGCGGAGGAATATGGCACTCGTGGCTAGATCGTGATCTCTCTTTGGCTGGACGCGTCGTCGTGGCTGACTCCACTGGGACCTTCAATTCTCGATTGGTCAAGATCGATAGGCCACTTCTCCGGATTCCAACCCTCGCTATTCATCGTGAGTAGCTTTAAATTGAGCCCGGAAATTCTTCTTGACAGAAATTTTAGTGGACAGGAATGTGAATGATAGTTTCAAGTTCAATCAAGAAACAGAATTCGTTCCTATTCTCGGTCTTATCGCAAACAAGTTGAATAAATCCCAGGACTCCACAGACACACCACCCACAGAGAGCAAGGCTTCAAGTATTCAAACCAATCATCATTCACAACTACTGTCCGTCATTGCCGGAGAGCTATCTGTCGCCCCGGAAGAGATCCACGATTTTGAATTGTATGTTCTGACTCTTCGATGTCTTCTTCCTTTTGAATGTTGATAGGTCATTGTATGACACGCAACCATCAGTGCTAGGAGGCCTGGACAATGAATTTGTTTTCAGTCCGCGTTTGGACAATCTTTTCTCCTCGTAAGTGTATTGTCACCAGACTACTGTGTTCATGCTGAGCATCATTTCTTCTAGATTCTGCGCAGTAGACGCTATGTGCGAGAGCGTCTCTGTTCAAAACATACCAAACGCTGATGGGAACGTAAACTGCATCGCTCTTTTCAATCACGAAGAGATCGGAAGCGTCTCAATGTCTGGTGCTGAATCCAACCTCATACCTTCCCTCCTCAGTCGGCTCTCTCCCACACCAGGAGCACTTGCTTGCTCCATCGCTAAGTCATTCCTGATTTCTTGTGATATGGGGCACGCCCTACACCCCAATTTTGTCTCAAAGCATGAAGAAAATCACACACCTTGTATCAACGGGGGTGTCGTTATCAAGACGAACGCCAAACAACGCTATACCTCGGATGCAGTGAGCTCGTTCGTCGTTAAGCAGCTGATCGAGAAGAAAGGCGGTAAGGTCCAAGAATACGAAGTCAGGAATGATATGTCAGTGCTTCAACATTAGATACAATGTTATATGCCTAATTTTGTTATCATGCAGGTCTTGCGGGTCTACTGTAGGACCTCATCTGTCTACCATTGGCATGCGCACTGTCGACATCGGCCTTGCTATGTTGTCCATGCACTCTATTAGGGAGACTGCGGGGTCTCATGACGTCCAGAATGCCATAGACTTGTTTACCTCATTCTTTGAAGGCTTCGCAAAGCTGGACAAAAGTTTGACAGTGGATTGAGTTCCACACCGGCTATGTGGAGTTGGGAATGACTGTTCACTTGGGGTTGCACAGACAGAAATACCAGAGAATATCACCATCGATCAATCCTGGGCTCTGCATACGCAATATCAGTTCAGATGCTCAATATACTGTGTGATACTAATCATCCAAAGGTACCCCAACGGACTTATGGCATGGGAGCCTGACGATGCTCAATACTCATCGCCTAAAGGTATCCCCGATGCCCTGCTATCACCTCTGATGAACAAAAACAAGATGCGACATCATCGTTTCGATTTCTTGCCGGGACCTGGCCTTGAACTTGAATCAGACAGCATGTTGCGTTTCTTCGCCGTCCGTGAGTAATGTGCCAAAACCCATTCCCGTTCGGCCTCCGACTGTTCAATTGTGCCTTGTCGGATCTCATAGGCTGTTCCAAATCATCAACAAAACAAGGTCCCAGCAGAGTGCAACCTGATGACACATACGCTTCATCTCAAAGCGAGGTCCAACTTCGGCAAGTTGCACCTGTCGGGGTATCTTCACAAAGACATGGTGCCTGGCTTTCGTTCAGATGGGAATGTCTACAAAAATACGGCAATGCGCTCTTACCGGAACGATATGAAGTCGTCTTCATTGGCAAATGTCATCACCCGTTTACTATCCTCCTTGGGGACTGGGAACAGATATTTTAGGACGTCTCGTACACGTTCTCCAAGTTTTGATGAGAAGTTTTCGAAAATAAGATGCGGATATTGTTCAGAGACAGTGGAGTTTTGATATGTCGCTATATCGTGTCGAAGAGCTACGTTACTCAGTGTAAAGTAAACAGTGGGCCCATGAGGAAAATGAGATATAATCATGGCGTCTAAAAGCATTATTAGTCACTGCTTCGAACCTGAGTTCAGTAAAGATTTACCTGGTTTACCGCGATGCTCGTGCAGAACTATTAGGTCTGTAACGTCATTTGCGCGACAAGCGTCCGCCAGCTCCTTAACAACGTAGTTTCCGCGATTGATTCGGTGAGAGTTCGGGAAGACCAGCCGTACTTCCTAGGTTTCGACGTGAATACTGTTGCCACAAACAAAGCAAGGATTACAAACTTTGGAAAACTGGAGGAGCTTGGATGACGGGTCCCGAGATGTCGTAATGACAATTTTCGGGTCTGAGATACCGGCACGGGAATACTCATTATCGATATGTGTAGTGGGATCTACAGATGATTTCAGTGATAGTTATGCATACAGCCATCTCGGACACACCTGTCTGAGCCTCGTCAAATTCGAGCTCCTTGCCCAGCCTCTTTGCATCCTTTTTCAGCTCCGTCGGTAGCGACTTTCCATTATGAAGGGCATCTTTCAGCTGTTGCTTCCGTTCATATGTTTGCCGCTCCTGCGCTTCTAGGGACTTTGCATAAACATATGAACGTCGTTCTCGAATTTGACGACGGAGCTAAGAAAACAATGAGTAGGAACCGAGAATTGTAACTGTCGGCACTTACCATGATGATGACCGTCGTTGAGGAGTTTAGGAAACTTGAAGGAAAAAAGGCAAAACTTTTGGCAGCCACGTGGTTAAAAAGCCGGTCCTTTTCGGTCCGCTGGCTTGCTGACCTTCGAATGGTTTTTATTCAGCTTCTATCAACCTTCGGCACCTTCCTCTTAATCAGTTACATCCAACCAAGAAACTGCGGTTGTCTTCGTCTCTTCGGTACCGTTCGGCGTATACGATTACGGTCTTGGTTATCGACAGATGATAATGCCGGTGCCATTTTTATGCCACAAATGCATACAGTTGTATTAAATTTTACTAAGCTGGCTTTGATATGTTGACTCCTCGTGCAAATATATGTATACTAAACGCAAGAAACCCCAGACCAGTCCTACAGCACAATATACGCTAGTAGTCATAAGCGGCAGAAATTGCATTTTGTCCAGGGACGAATCGTCACAAGATATGTCTGAAGAAGAATCACAGTGCTGCGTATACGCCGTGATCATTGGGTAAAATGACACAAATAGCTGGAGCAGAAAGAATCCGCAAAGATATAGCTTCTCGAGGACATCAAGAACCACGTAGAACAGTGACTGGGGCAACCTTGGGGACAACATGTCAATTGAGAGCCTATTTCAACGGACGAAGCTCACTCATAAACGCGGCGTGATAGTGGTTGGTATACGAAAAGGAGCCATAACGTAGAATATAACACTTCAATCAGGGACTCTAGAAGCAAGACGTTAGAATACGATGGGAGCGGTATTAGCACACCCACCAGCCGGAGTAAACAGAAGAGGAAACAGAGAAAATATCCCTGATACGGTGGCAATTATAAACGTCCGAAAATATGCTTGCCTTTCTGCAGCAAGTAAGCTGCACCAAATTCAGCACTTGGCGCAGGGTACTGTTTCTAATACTGACCTGAGAGGAACAAGGACCAATAATACTGCTTTCTCGTGAACATGCCAACCAAACAAGTATGACGAATATCCACAAAGCGTCAGCGCGGTCAAGAAGGATTTATATGTCGGATTGGACCACAGTTTCAGCAACACGATCTGCATTAATATCGGTTAATCCGGAGGTAAAGGAAATGGGGGGAATGCGAACCGATTGAAAGGCAAGCGTCAGCGTAAAAGTATGAATAGGTTGAACATTGGGTAAAACAGCAAAAACCGTGTCTCCAACGAGTCCTCGTGACGCAGATGCAACACCAGGTTCATTGATAATTATGTCTGCACCGACCCTCTGTGCATCTAGTAGAGCTGAGTCAGTATGAGTAGTCTATGCAGCACAGGAAATATTACATCGAAGTAGAACTCGATCAGTAAATGTTACAAGGGCCCACACGTTTGGAGCCCAATACGCGTGGTTGAGTCCACGAGTGAATGGAAACAAACGGCTAAGAAGTTGTGGCAATTGCCCCATGACAAGGAAGGGTCCCAGAGACACCAAAAATACAGCAATGACCGAATTGGCCAGCAAAAGGAAGTTCTTGATTTGGATGTCTCCCGAGGAAGAAAAACAAAATGATCTAAGTAGATAGAAAAAATATGCCGGCTGAAGTGAAAGGTGTCAGCCGAAGAGCTCGGATAGCAGAGATGGACGGCGCCCGTACTGCGAGATACATGTAGATGTGCTTGAAGTTTAGAAGCACAGCGAAAAGAATACCGCTAGCAAGTCTGTTTCCCTGTGCGGCCGCGCAGAATCTTAATACAAAGGTGACAAGAGAACGGTGAGAAACGAACGTTGCGGGCCATAAGAATAGACCAAAGCAAGATGCCAAACATGAATCCGTTGTATTGAAAGTGCATATGATCGACTATAAGGAATCCAGGGTGAAGAAACAAGGAAGCAGATATGATTCTTTGCATCCTTGGGTCGACAGCATCTCGTACGAATCTGAAGTGCATTGACGTGAGAAGGACTTCCGACAAGACGATTAATCACGGTACCTCAATAGAGCTACACCAAGAACCATTTCTGTAGCTAGAACCGTGCAGCGCTGGTATGCAATGACAGACCAAGAGTCGTAATTTAGATTATGCAAATCGACGATTTTGGGATCTATGAAATAGGCCGGTATGGAAAGTAGTTTCTCAAAATATGCAAAGAACGGGGGATAATCGAGTGCTAGATTAAAATTGAAAATGACGTATGGTTTCCATGGGGTTTTTATGCACTCACTCCATTCTGATGTCGTCTAGCGTACGTGAATGTTATTCATATCGAATACAGAAAACGGCCCCGAATGCGTACATCATAATACCATTGGGAGATCGGAAGCGAATGAGTGATGGCCAGCCAGTTCCTATGGACCTCAAAGTCTGTTGAACGACTGTTTCGTGGGCGTTATCAGCGTTCTTGCTCTGATATTTTTCACGTACTAGGCTGGGAATAAGAGTAGCTTCAACGAAGTCGAGAATACGAGCACATCCCACTCGGGGGGCTGCAAATGCCACCACGGAGATGTACGAGCTTCCGAACTGTTATCTTTGGATTCTGTAGTTGGAACCATGCGTTGGATAAGAGGCCGAACACAAAGGAAATGATTGAAGAACAGTTGCCAGTCGGGAGTCTGAGCTTGACCACACCCGTGACACGTGGCAATTCACGTGCATAAACTTTCGAATCAGATCTCGGGCCGGTTAACATCTCAACAAGTACTTCGCTCACATCGAACATGGAGCAAGCAGCGATTGCCAACGCGAATGCCAGGACAGCTTCAAGGTGAGGTTGGCTAAGGATATATTTGGACTAGGAATTTATAGAATGTATTGGCAGGAGCACACTTGCGCAGCTTGTTCTCTTCAGTCTGTCTCTCGGCATCCTTCCAATATCATCATACTTTTTCTCACTGAAATATGTCTGGAATGGTATGCTCATCTGGACTATCTTCAAGGAAATTTTACCGTTTTCGATTTTTTAGGTAACTCAACATGGGCGGCAATCACAGCTGTTGCTGCCGCCAACGTCGTTCTTGTCGCTTACATCTTCGCTTCCTTACGAGACGATGTCAAACCTATCGACTCGAAAACACCCATTAAAGATCCTGAAACCAGGAAAGAACGCTAACTGTCCCATCATTGCCTATGTGTACAGCCTTGAAAAGGTCTCGAGTCAGAGGTGCTAAGTACAATAAAATTACAATTAATTCAATGTCTAGGGTCCTTCCACCCAGTGGAATTATCTTTAAACTATGGAAAGACTTGATCCCGATGTCAAATCACCACAAACGATCTAAACGGCATATCCCCACTGAACCACCGTTTCTCCGAGGGTACCCGCCTGTTCTGATATCAGATGTAATTCAAAGGTCAACGATGAATGCGGCTGACCGACCGGGCGCCGTATGAGGATGATCGTCCTCCAGTGTTACGTGCTGTAGTGGTACCCGATGTAATTTTCGACCGCACGATTGCCTTGGAAGTATATGCAGATTCGCTGCTGGTGATGCGATGCGAGGGCAGCTGTGATTGCCCCGTAAGAGTGCTTCGATTGATTCGGATACCAGGTGGGTGGGTTTGAAATGACCGGACCAGTGGAGAAGCAGGTGGGCTTTGAAATGAGTGCATACTTGGGGAAGCAGGGGGACTTGGGAATGACCGAGCTATTGGAGAAGTAGGGGCGCTCTGAACACTATAGAACATAGGAGCACGAGCCCGACTCCGTTCATTTATGTCTGGGCTGTGATAGAATGTAGGAGTACGCGGTGAAGTCGGGGGTGTGCTGAACGTAGGCGTTCCGGTGGGGGTGGTGTCGCTGGAATAAGCTGGGGAAGGGGGTAAGGGAACGATGGTAGGAGTGGGTAGCAGAACAAGAGGTTTGAGATTCTTCTTTCGGATCCGGAGAGGTGGCGGTGAGGGAAACAAGGAAAGAAATGGCTCTGTCTCGTGTACATCGTCTAATTTTGAGCTTGGACGACGAATATTGGCTTCGGAAGAACTACACGACAAGGATTCCTTGACATAGGGTAGATGAGACGTGGATCCAGTCAAATGATAACGATTACGAAGAGAATGGGTCGAAGGGTCGAGGACGGCGTCAGCAATTATTTGCTTAGACCTAGGTTTGCCTTTGGGGGCCATCGCGCCATTGCCCCGCATCTCCAAGGCTGTGGGCTGGGTAGATTTCCTCTCATGCAACCCCACACCCTTGGTCCCAACCTCCAGCAGAAGAGGGTCCTCATCGATGTCCTGTAAGAATCCTTTCCATACCCCATCAAGCTGGGGAAGGCGCTTATGCGCCTCCAATACATCGTTGCTGCCCTCATCTGGGTCCTGTTCATAAGGTTGTGATGACGAGAATGCAGAGATAAGAGGACGAGCTGGCTGCATTGCGGGAGTGGCATCAAGTGGGCTTGGATCTGAGGCAGCGTCGAGGTTAAGGCTGGGCGGTCGAGGGGGGCGTGTCGGAGGTGACATAGTACCTTGGGACCTTTTCTTCATCAATGAACGTGGAAACGTAGAGAACGAAGATTTGGGTGGCAGGGAATTGTGAGTGTTAGTGGTCGACAACTTCTCATTTGGGCTGGGCGCAGATGTAGTTCTCTCCCTCTTTTTCCATGAATTTCGCAAGAATGCGACGGGCTTCATGTTGCAAAGCTGTGACTAGAAGAAGAGGAGGTTCAGCAGATTCCGCTATAACGACCATGAGTATGTCATTATATAGACGCTATACGATAACAACTCGTGCTTACCTTGATAAATCCAGACGACTCGATGTCATGGGAATGTTCTGTTCTGATGCATCGACAACCGTCCTGAGAAAAGGAAGATCAACAGAGGTGGGAGATGGAACGTATCGGGGCCGGGATCAATGAATAATTCGAAGCGAAGCTGGGCGGAATAGTCTCCTAAAAAGATCGACGGCCCACGCTGGCTTCCATAATGGGAGTCTCTTTAATTAAATTCGAAACAGTCCCGATCTCTCCTATACGGATTTGCCACCAACAACTATTGGAGGAGACCAATGCAGGTTTAGCAACGTCATGAAGAACGTTGACCCACTTCCTCTATAAACGTCGTTTGGTATTATATACCTCGCATCCGAGCCTGAAATGCGAAAACATTTAGTGTCTCTCTAGGAGTCAATCAGTGTTTCTTCAACGCAGCGAACCGACCTTCGCAGCTCCGATCCTTCTTACATCTTTACAAATACTTCCTAGAGGCGCTTAGGACGGCCCAATCCTGTACATCAGCGATTGCTCTCCTCCGAAGAGATGTCGATCAAGACACGTCGACGCGAGCGACATTCAGTATTGACGGTGAAAACGGATCAAAAGCTCGGCGGTTCTACGTTCTTTCAAGCCACTTTGGCATCAGTGTATACAAGCAAATTCAGACAACAGGAACAGAGACACTTGCCTGACAAGTCACGGTAAAAGGTGCGAGGTAGGCGCTGTCCCTTAACGCCGATAACGTCTCGGCATCTATATTCCTACCACCATATGCTCTGCATCACGAATCTATTGAAAGATGGGAGTATGTCCCTGTCACATGGATTTCCGGACGATGGGCGCTTGAGGACGCGAATCTCAGAATGGTTGCTTGCGTAACCTTCGACGTCATTTTACAATTGTTGGGGTTTACATTCTTCATGTCAATACATGAGCTCGATACGTAGCTATTGTAGCATTAGAATTGGAACTGCAGAGATGTCGCTCACTAACCTTAGATCTAATCACTGAATTGTGCTCCTTCATATATCGTTTGGATAAATGGGATAATATCGCTCTGCTTCATGAGGCGTATGTCTTGCTTAGATTTCATCGCTTCCATGATATCACGGAGTTTGTTAACCGCAGCTTCTGTCGGTAAAGGTCTTCCCTCGGCCTCCATTGCCGCTAAGAATTCGTCCAAATCATAGATGATACCGAGTGGGCCAATCTCCTTGCCCTCGTCACCAGCAGCGTTCGTATCAGAGGCGCCGTCTTTTGCCTTCTTTTGACGCTCCACCTCAGCGCAGATCGCAGGTACATCGAATTTTAAGAAACCGTAGAAGTTGAGCCCGCGCCCCCTGAGCCAATGCATAGGATCATTTTGCAGTGTAAAACACCATCCTTCACCTTGGAAGGCATCAAATGATACCTGAGGAAAAGAGGAAACATGACGTTCGCTCCATCGCTGCGTCTCTGTTCTCAGAGCGGAACCGAATGCGACTTGAGGGAAGAGTGAACACTGGTCGGGACCAGCAAAACTGGGGCGGTCCATCTCCGCGTATACGATAAGGGCGTCGGTAAGACCCTGTACAACCTTCGCGGGATTCAGAAAAGGAAGAGATGCAATAGGTATACCGCCTCCAAGTCCTGGGACAGAAATGAACGAGAACGCATTCGCGTAAGTAGCCCTCTTAGTAGCAGTGAGAAGGTAGGGATGGATGAGATCATGAAGATGAGAGAACATCTGTGGGTCAGACTTGAATAGGGTCTGCAAGTCGACGGCTTTGACGGATGTGTCCAACAAGACGAGACGCGTCAAAGCTGGACAGTCAGTCAAAACCGCCTTAACGGTTTCAATAGTGACGTTGGAGTTTCGAGACAGTTTCAAAGTGTTGATATCCTTTTTGGCTGCAGATAGTACCGAGACAAGCTGGTCGGTAGTTAAGGAAAAACCTGACAGATCTACTGATTTCGGGTTCTGAAGTACAACCTGTGTTAGAAGCGATACTCCTGCATCAGGGAATGGGTTCTGCTTTTGAAGAGTCGCCTTTATCAACACCGCTTTTGCTGGTTGCCACACCAGATTTTCTAGGTCCGACGTGTCTTCAGCAGAAATACCCTGCTCTAGGGCGGTCCCGAGGGTCAGATCGACGAGGGAAGGGAAGGGATCAGATGCTACAGAGGTATCGTGTGACGATTCATCGACGTCTTTGGACTCGAAGTCAACTATGTATTCGCCAGGCCATGCTTCCGCAAGCATCTGAAGAGTGATAAGACTTTCATCGGCGAGTGCATCAATGACGTTCTGAACAGACGCCTGAACATTTCAAAATTTCAGCATCAGAAACTACATTGAACAATACTCCTTACATCTTTGGGACCATCCTCTTTTGGGTAATACGCACGGACGTATTGTTCGGCAGATAACGGTTCCATGTCAGGTACTTCTTCAGCGGACTCCAGCCCGTTTACAGATACGAAACAGTATGCCGGCTTCAAGGGATTACTGACATCGATGACTGTGATTCCATCGTTATTATCTGAAAAACGATCGATAGAGGTCAGGAGGCATTCGTCAGGGTGAATCAGTTAACTCGCCTCCTCGTGTGCTACCCATGTCAGCGTCGAGGATAGATCCCAGAAATGTGCCACGGTGAAAATAGGGATCAGCTGGATCGTCCATGTCCGCGTTCCATGCTGAGCCCATCAAGAAGGAAATGTAACTGCAAGGAAGATTCGGCAATTCTGGTTTCTTGCGCCAACGCCCGAATTTGTTCTGTACGCGGCAGATTTCGTCAAGGACAATTTCGGCATTGTCCTTTTGCTGCAGAAGGGTCAAGAAACGGCGGGCAGCTTTCAGAGGAAGTGTGCCATAGCACCATTGGTGGTGCCACGCAGCGATGCAGCGATAGTAGGCTTTGGTGTCGCCCTTGGGGATGAGCTTTGCTATAGCGAAAACTTGATGTCTTTGACCCATCTGAACGATGGAAGGAGATGATGGTGGATCGATAAGAAGAGGCAAGGACTGCCATCGTTACTGTATAATTTGACCATGACGTCGAACAAAGAACCTTGATCCATAAACAGCAATCTCAGCCACAGATGCCAGTGAGCCATAGTCATTAGCTTAGTAAATTCTTCCAGCCTGGACTGCACGGTAAAAATGTCAAATTCTAGTTAATGAGGAGTCGCCTAGGACCACCGTTGGTGGTGCTCAACTTGCCGGATACACATGTATTGTTAGGAAACATTGGATAGTATTATGGTCTGAATTTTCGCCGCTATAAAAGTGTCTTCAGCCGACGTACATCCTTCGAATAGCCACGAAAATTGGACATGGCCCATAAACAGGGTGTCGACCCGGGAACTCAGGTTCAAACTGTCTGAAATTTCGACTGCAACATCTTCCAAGATATGGGTACTATAGGGTGATGCATAAACTGCCTGAACTTCTCACATACGAACCGGTGGAACTTGTACGCAGAAAGATGTCGTTATGATAGGCACGGTCTCTGGACGAAACCGCCCCTCGGAAAGTAGCCGCCTCAGGCTCTTCACTGGCAGGATGTAAAGTCTGCACCACGAGGGGGGTTAAGAACAAATGTCAGATCTGCAGCTGTGTCGGTGGGGATCGTGTTCCAGACCAAATGGGCAAGCCCATGCTATAAGGACTTGACAACCGATCCTGTACTTAGATGAATAAAAGACGATAGCATACTCCGCTGGACTAGACGTCAACAAGAGCAATGTCCTGTTCTTCCTATATGAGGAGAGTGGCCAGCAATAAAGCATGCAGTAGATATAAATCGGTCAGATCTTTCATATCGCTGCCAGTGTGCGGCCCCACCTCATCAAAGTGAAGAACGAGGTACACCTACTTAGATGGGTCCTCACATAGTCCAATCGGTAGACGACATCAATCATCCAGCACGATTCTGGCGTCTACTCGACCGTCTTTCTGCTTCGATACAGATAGAAGCTCAAGGTGAGGTGGATAATTATCAGTTATACTAGATTCTGATGTTGAAAAATTACGGCTATTGTCATTGATAGCGAATGTCTTGGCTTAAGTGAGTACGCCAGGAAAATATTTGGCGAAGACTTACCTCCGGCCTGATCAAGTCCGAGGTGAAGGGAATTCTTTCATGAAGACATTACAGTAACATTAATACAGTCAAGTTCATCGCTTTACTTAGTACATCGCGCGGGAAACCAATGTTTAATGATGCATTGAGGAGAGCATACGGCAAACACCATACATCAAAGAACAATGAATACGACGTTTATTAACAGCTCGTCCTTGTCGAGGATCCCACTTAGACGGGCTTAGAAGTGACGCTCGTCGCTGACTCGATCGACGAATCACTGAGATGTGGCTGTATTCCTCTCGTCTTGTAATCGTGCTTACGACTTACGGGAAGAGTTTTCGCTCGAACATAGATCCCATTTATCTGGACAAAATTATGCTGTATCAGAAATTAGAATGGTGGTCACAACTATTGCCTATCGGCATATCGATACAAGCCGTCAATGCTTTGACATGCTCGACTCATCCGATTCTCGACAGACAAAATTTTACCATGTGGTACCGTTCCTGATGTGTTGCTAGGATACTAGCATTGGACACTGAAAAGACTATAAGACAAGCTGCATTGTTCCAACTTCCTTGAGGTAGCAATATACATGGTGCCCGCTGGTTGGAAAAGACCGTCCCCAAAAAATATTCCAATACACTTTCAATAATGTCTCAGGACAGGCGACGGGACCTAAACAAAGAGTTTGACTTCGAGAATTTCAGGCGTTTAATGGGCCTTGTTTGCTTTGATGTCGTTTTAAAAAGCCTGGTTCTCTCGCCAAAATCAGATATCAGTCGAAAAGCTAGTCCATGACCTGGATGAAAACAGAAAGAGAATGTCCAGAAATCATGGATGTTCTCATAGACATCGAGGAAGTCATGAATAAACATATCGCTAAATACATGACATTCTTGGTCGCAATGAGAAGGTAAAGGTAAATGGGATCTTGCTGCTGACCACTCTGAAGTGGACAAATGCCTGCTGACAGCCCTTGGGTCGAAGTCGGATAGCTATTCAAGACGGTTTCGATGCATCAACGATGACATCGGCGTTCTGGAGTGCCTTAACGTCTTGATAACGGGCGTCGACGAGGACAGAACCGAAGCCACCTGCGCTCGTCATGGTTGGGCTGGATAGATTGACGATGCCTGCTGCTGCTGCAGATGAGATACAGTTATGCATGCCTACTGCCTATGCCAGTCAGCGGATCTTCGTGGCAAAACCTTGATCGACAATGATATCGTGGAAGATAGTCACATTAAATCTTCAAAAGGAATGGCGGTCCCCAGTACATAAGTTTTGTTTCATGACGGAAGGAAGGATGAGACAGAAACTCCAGCGTCATCTAAAGGCGAGAACGAAAGGAACAAGGGACCGATATTAGGCCGGCAAGCCTTCACGAGCATATCGATGGTGATCATTATGGCTTTTAAGTCCTCCTCCGGAGTAGAATGAATGGGTTGCGGAACGACTCCTTTCGAAGTGGCCCCCTTGTATTTCTGAATGCAATGCTGTTACGACACCACATTTTTCACCGGCACACCCAATGATGTTAGACTTTCAAGAGACAGATGAAGCAGTAGACAAACCTCAGCTGCTCGACAACATCGATGGTATCTCCGTGATATAAGAGAGCTAAATCAGAACAGGAAAGCTAAATTTCGAATGTTGCCTGGCAGAAGTATGACTTGCCTCCTACGAGCTCGAAAAGAGCTATCCACGCTCAACAAAATACTGTGAGAAACAAGTTTCCATAGATCAGGCACAAGAGCGGCCAGATCACCTTATACCTGCACACAGCCGCGACCAAAAATTCGAAAATATAGCATCTTGAAGCAAAGTCCCCAGACGGCATATGTACTAGGAGCCGCTCGCCATCGACTATATTTGCCTTGTGTTGGGATTTTGCTGGAAAGTTCTAGAAAGGGCAATCCGGCATCATGCCGAGAGCTGATGAGTAAGCTCGAGAGAAAGCGAAAGTTGTAGTAGATTCTAGATATAATCCTGGAGAGTATAAATACAAGCTCTGTAGGAGCTGTAGAATAAGGGAGTTCATTCTTTCTGGCCTTACCAGCCTGGAGTCTACCCTGCGCAACACCGAGGATTTCCAACACCTTGTACTTGTCAAAATTCGTCTTATTACAACATTGCCTTCTCTTTCTGTTTAGACCGTAAAGCGACACATAGGTTGGCACTTGGAGTGCTTAGCATGTAACACAGTGATACGAGACCGTGACCTTCGCATGACCTTCGGGAGTACTGATAATGCGGAGATATGCATGGCTTGAGGCCTTTGGCCCACGTGATGGTAGTCGCGATCGGAGAATATTTACTGAGGGAGACAGCATCAATCACGTCTTGTCTGGATTGACAAAATTCAAGGCCGACTTGAAGTTCGGCATGAGGTAAAGGTAGGCGTGGGCACTGGGAGCTGTTTTGGTTAATGACTAACACTGACGAATCCTCGCTTACTTTCAGCGTCGCAAGGAAATGGACATGTTCCACCGCTTTCATGGAACAACATTGGTTAGTACAGAACGATTACTATGGCATGTGGTACGTGTCGAAAACTTGGGGAAATCGCGTTTATTGATACCTAGATAAAAGGAATGGCTCTCCTATAGTATATCGGATATGGTGGACGTAGAAAACAGATGTAGCTTGCCGTTTCAAATTGTTGCCTGCCACGACACTGTCGGCCCGAGGTCGTGTTCTTTATACGACAATCGGAAGACCGCCAGAGGTAGGCAGAAGGTCAGAACTTAAGGTTCAACAATCGGCTGAAAAAGGAGCCATCTATTTTCTTCAGCAAATGGTGTCAAGCCTCACAGTCGAACCGAAAACTCATCCGATTCGCTCGCTAGCCCAGGCCCAACTGTCCTGTGCAAAATCGATGCTGCTACGACTGCGAAGAATATTTTCGATCACTTGTACATTAGATAACACGGCAAATAGATCCAAGGTAACATACTGTACACACTATCCCAAAATCCAGCTTAACTACTTCGGTTATTGAACGTCAACCGGGACTCCGTCCTTGAAAATAGGTAGTTTCGGTTCTGGCGCATCTCCAGTCCTGGTGGAGAAGATACCATGTCTGTATATATGTCAGAATCCATTGATCCAAGCCCATCAATCACAAACACATACCGATCGGTGACGTGAAAGTATGGACCATGGGATTCAAGCTTGACGTCGTGATGTTGTGCTTTGACAAATTCGCTTCCGTCAATCCGTAGTCGATACCACCAAGCTCGACATTGGATCCTCTTCGCCGATTGGGTCTCATGGGCCCCAGCTTGGGCAACGATGTCGGAGGCTCGAGCGATTCGTCCCATGCGTTGGAAGCTGATTCCAGGGAATGAGGTGATTTCCGAGCATCTTCAACCGAAAGAGCGGAATCTCTGTTCGGTATAGTAAAGTTGGGTTTTGTGGGTGACGTAGCAAGTAGGTAGGTCCCACTGAGCTGGTGGTTTTGCGACGTCAGTGATTGTGCGTAGCTTGAACGGCTTTGGCAGATATCTTCGTTGCTATTGCCTTGTTGGTGTTTGATCTCCTTTGCAGCTTCGCGTGTGGCGATTTCGCCTTCGATAGACCGGGGGAAGAAGATCTGAGAGACACAGTTTAGTAGTTACTATGGGCGTCTTAAGACGGCTTACAACGAGAGTCAGGCCAGACGACACAATACATCCAAAAGCCGCTAAAAGTGCCAGAAGGTCTGTGAGAGGTGCACATGTAAATAATGACAGTGATTGACAGAAACACCTCTTACCTGTGGCAAAGGCATTTTCGTTTATCTCGGTGTGCGGAGTCAGGCCATCAGCACCAAGAATCACGAGGGGCACCGTAAACATGTAGCGGAAGAGGACCCGAATCATCTGTTACACTGTATCATTTTCTTGCTTTGAGACAAGTCTCCCCGCGTACATTAAGTTCATGAAATTTCGTGAGACGAACAACTGTCGAGTTGTCGACGCCCTCTTGCTTCTGAAAGATAGTCTGCTCAAGGCTACACGGCAGACGACTTTAGTACTTACCAGAGTGCTCAGAAACGACTTGAACGTCCATCTACGATGGTTCAGTCCCTAGAGAAGAAATAGTTTCATATATGACGCACAGGATAGGAGAAAACCAAATAGTCAGCGATAGGCTTCCTATTCCACCGGACAAAAACGTATACGCTTCACTCTTGATCCACGAGATCAATACGCTTGCCCAGTGTCACAATTGAAAACATACCCTGAGCCCATCATTTCTTGTGAGTATAGTCACCAGAGGCATGTATGTTACTGCAATAATAGATCCGATGGTCCAAGTTTTGAAATAAAGACTGTGGAACCAGTCTTGTTGACCCGACCTCGCGTTGAGGAGGAAAAGCCAAAAGCATAGCTCTATCATCGTAATTAGTCTTCGAGATAGCTGCGGCGGTGATACAGATACATACCCTCTAAGTGAGTTACCCTGTTCGAAACGCAATAGTTTCAGGATGGTGTGTGGCTGAAGGAAGGTTTACGCACATTTCCAACGACCACCCGATTGAGAACATGAGCATGAGTGGGAAGATTGAGTTTCTTGCAGGTTCGCTCCATAGCTGGAACGGTTTTGGGATAACTATGAGATAACATACGCCAATCGTCAGACTATTCGGACGCGACAAACGAATTTAAAACGCACTTCCATGAGTGGGATGCACAATGTATCCCTCTTGGTATTTGATGACCGTAAATCCAGTAGCAAATGTGAGTATCAACGGTACACTCATTAGGTAGGTGTACTAATGAAGGTTGGTGAGTCGACTTCCGGTAGAAAGACATAACGCGCACTGTCATAATACGCTTGAATGCCCCAGAGTAAGGACCACTATTCCACCTAGTCAAAATTAACGTTGTTAGGGAGGAAGTCTTTGGAAATAGAGGCAGGCTGACTTGAGGCATTTGAATCTGTCAAACGACCATAGATGATATAGCAAAAACGAGAAGAGCTGCGTTGACAGTTAGTGGAGCTGTATGAAAGGAATCAACCCCGCTCACAATGAAAGAACAGAGGGACCAGACCAAGAACGTTGTAGGAGATGTATGAGACATAGCATTCGTCAGTCAAGAGAAACTCGAGCCGGTGAAGAGGATAAATAGACTTGGGTGCAGGAAGACCAAGAGCCAGGCGTGTCAGGGAGAAATGGAAGTATCACACGCGTCGGTACATATACTTGAGTGATGGTCTCACATGATGATGGCCTGATGAAAAGTGAAGCCCAGCGGCAGAAGGGAGCATCTTGTGCCATGCCTTCACTAGGTTGATATTAGCACATGGTGCACCTGTGGTATACTCAAAATAGGCTGATGGACCCGGCGATGGCCTTACGGGACACTAAGAATACCCCAGCTTTCCAAGAAAGCGAAATATTGTTTTCAGAGACGATTCTCTGGCGATTCAAGGATACAGCGGGCTCTCCGTAGGCGAATCTAAGGTGAATCGATAAATGAGGTACCGCTGGCAACTCGGACCGAAACTGTATACATCCTTACAATCAAACAAGTGTACATTCAAATCTCAGCTGGTACTCCTTGACGACACTGCATACCATCAGCGGCGACGAACTATCGGGATCCGTCTATTGCATATCCTTCCATGACTTCTAACAGCCCTACCGCGGCCGACAAAGACGAACTTCTTCTTTCGTGCCGATATGGTGATATTGAAGACGTCCAGCTGTTCGCAGACAAGTACGGTGTCGAAACGCTCTCGGGAATCAGAGATGATAATGGTAACACGGTTCTACACATGATATGCGGGAATGGGCACGCGGGTGAAGCACCACTTTCCTTGTTCCGACCTTGTCTTTACCCCAGCCGTCCGTAGATCTCCTGGACTACCTCCTTCCAACCATACCTCCGTCGCTGCTCTCCGAAAAAAACGCGGCGCAGTCGACGCCACTACACTGGGCCGCTCTCAATTCCCATCTTGCCTGCGCTCAGAAGCTCGTTCAATTTCCAGGTGGTCCAGGCGTTGATCTCATTGACATAAAAAATGCGGCTGGGCATTCGCCTCTGGCAGAGGCGGAGTTTGCTGGATGGGATGAAGGGACCAAGTGGTTCATTGAGGTAATGAATCTTGAGGCCGAGGACGTTCCGAATGAAGAGACGGATGAGGGCGTGAGGAACGAGGCAGAGCCGGCCCTCGACGAGATTGATGTCACTATTGAAGATGCTGATGGTCAATTGGCAACTATGACTATTGATGCAGGGGCTAGAAATCGTCCATTATGATAGTAATCGTCGTATCTCGCAGGTGGCATTCTATATTTGCTTTCAGCACAGTATTTGCTAACACATACACTACTAGAGTCGTCTTGCCAAGTCCTTCTGTACATTGAACTTGGTAATTAATTACAAGTTGTATTTTCGTCCCCGTCGCCTTCGTCGTGGTGCAGATTAGTGCTGCGAACGAATTTCTCCCTCCAAAGGCTTGGAAGTTTCCTTTTAGCGGAACTGAGGCGCTGGCTATATTGCAGTACCGTCATCAATATGACGATTGATGACCGGACGCCTTCGACGAATTCCCATCTTGGGGGTCTTCGTATGTGTGAAAATGCTTAGAATTGAGTTGATGCCGTAAAGGTGGACCTGGCCCCCGGTGCGTCGATTTGGTTGCATGGAATGTGTTTCGACCGGACTTTATGTATCACTTATGACCTTTGGAGTGCATCTTCATCCTTGAATTCAAATTTGAAACCTGTATTGATGCAAATTCGTACACCCATTTCAATCATTGGTGTGGACGCGCTTAACCGCTATCAATGTGTATCCTTGACCAGATTCATGTAGCAACCAAACATTCTGTTCAAGCTTCAAGTTACCAGATAGAAGTATCATGGATCCCAAGGGCAAAATTGGCGGACACGAAGGAGTTGTTTCTTTCAACTATGGCCTCTTTTGGCCTTGGTCTCAACACGTTTGACGCCTCAAATACATCCATTTCACACAGATCCAACAGGAGATGCTTCAACTTCAGACATGATCAGCGCGCTGCCCTGATATACTCGAATCGGACAATTGAAGGGGGACCCACACCTGGCGGTACAAGCCCAGAATTGATTAACAGCTATCTCAACCATAAGATCACGAGTCAGGTCAACCTCAGAGCCGATGGGATGTTACTCGAGTAAGTTAAATGGTATCCCTCTGCCTCGCCCCAAAATTGCAGAGAACACAGAAACGGTGGGAGAATTGTTTCAAGTCTTTTGCAGTTGTCGGGAAAGGGAGAGACGAAAGATCAGAGAGGTGCGTATTTTGTGCAACGGAAGGGCCTCGACATCGATGCAATAGGAAGTAGGCCATAGCTGATGAATCCGACGACCAAGAGCAAGAGGATGTAACGAATATTGACGCAGAAGAGAAGAAACCATTGGGCCGAAGGGCTTTAGTGAACGCGCCTTTTACTTTTTCAATAATTGGTAGAAGGAAAACGGACCATAGATCCAAAGGTGAGGAAATTCCGGAAAGAGGCTTGGCGACTTGTTGGATTGAACAATATAGTAGGAACTTCGTGAGCGTGTTGTCTTGCGGATATTCAGAGAACTGGTAATCACGTCGACTGATGCGGGGCAAGCAGGTTTCGAAGAACATTAATTAAATGCTGATAGCATGCATCGTTGATAACGCACTCGGGGCTACGATTGGGATGCAGTCAAACGGCTTAGCAAAGGAAAACGCCTCGCGTTCCAAAGCTGGCAGGCGCATATGGAGTCGTAAAGAAGTGTTGGCCAGCGCAACCCTCAGGATCCGTCTTGCAATCTCTGCTTCCATCTGTTCTACGGCCCCACCGGAAACGAAAAATTTCTCTGAGCACTGAGAGCATCGATGTTCAGACTCGATTGAATAACAAAATTGGTGATCCGAAGAGGGTGGGATACATTTTTGAAGATTTGGGGTGACAGCTAAACACAACATTAGGGTGCAGCAGAGAATGGACGTGACTGAAGGGAAAAGAGCGGATCACAGCCATATACCGATCATGGGGTATGCTCGGGAGCGAGCTTGAAATTTTTGAACGTGGACGTCCACAGTTTCAAATCAGATTCCTCAAAGCAATCGACTTCATACATACGTCGTAAGGCAGGTATAAACTTGACTAGAGCTACAAATTTCTGTGAACAAGGAGATAACAGATACCATCATTTTTTTGATATGTGCACCACTACACAAAAAATGAGTATTGCAACGTGATCAGCAGATACAGCTTACCGTCTTCATCTTCTAGGACATGCTCCAGCCCTACTTTCTGGCCTCGGGAGTGCTTAGCACTGGCACCCCACACGATAGCACTATGAAAGTAACGTCAGCATAAGCGACTTTAGAGGTGAACGGTTGAAGCATACTATTTCATCTGCTTAGCGATCTCTTTGTGTATTGAATTGCAGAAGTCTCCAACTGTACATTTTCCCCGTCGAAGTACGACAGGCGAAGAATAGTCAGGGGCTAGACCCCGTGGTTTGGTGTATACTCGAACCAAGTTAAGGGTTTCCCACATTTTCTCGACAAGTTCGTCAATATTCATCCATTCTCGAGACGATATAGGAACTGAGTTCGGAATTTTGTACCTGGATGAATCGTGGGACTCAGTCGGCGGCTCGTAGGTATCGCAATCTCACAATAAGTCAAGCTCCTCGATGGATATTGCATCGATCTTGGGGGTGTCAGGACCAGGGACTTTACAGCTGTTATCAGTGCTCACCTTGTTCAGCACCTGGATTTCTGAATTACTCCTCCACGACCATGTAAGAGAATACCAAGGCACTCACATATAGAGCAGGTATGTAGACTCTAACGTCGATATAAATTCCGAAACATGAGGAGACAATGATTGTGCTACGAACCTGTTGCCTTCAATGACATCCACCAAGTCATCCGCCGTAGCGCCAGGTTCTCGGATGGCGATATCAGCATTGTTGATTTTGTATTCACTGAGTATCGCCTTGATTTCATCGTGATCGACATCCGTCAGCGGGACGGTGTTTGTGATCGCAATGCCGCCCTTTTCCTTCTTGCGGACAAGGATCGCAGGGGGTCGTTTATTTAATCGGATCCCAAATCCTTCCAGTTCAGATTCAATGAGCTTCTTATCACCGAGAGGCTTTAGCACATCGAGAACAATAAATATGAGGTTGCATGTGCGCGCGACTGGTATGGTGTATTTAGCAGAAAATCTGATTTGACGTCGGAAGCCATACCAGCAATGACTGTAGAAGGGTAGAAATCAAGTCGCACGAGGTCAATATGTCAAAGCTCACCTTGTCGACCTCGTCCACGTCCATCATTCGCTCCTTCGATAATACCAGCTGGTTCGCTGTGTTCAGTCAGGGCGTATGTACGTGCGTCGGACCACTCACGCAAATCCAATATTTGAATGGGAGCGCCATGTACCTTGACAGTCCCCGGAACGGTGGTCAGCGTCGTAAAATCAATGGCAGAGACCTCAGAGTGTGTCCCAGTGAGCTTGGACATCAGTGTCGACTAGAAGAGATGTTAATTAAAAAGTAATGGTTCAACCGAGCATGCACACCTTTCCCACTGAAGGAAACCCGACGAAACCGACAGAGGCTATACCCGTCCTGCATACAATGTCAGTTTGCAACGACTGTGACTGGGAAATGGACACTACCGTGCCACATCGAAGCCTACGCCTCCGCCTCCGCCTCCTCCACCGCCTGGAGGAGCAATGAGTTCTCGCCGTAGTTTCGCAAGTTTTGCCTTTAGCTGCCCAAGATGGTAGCTAGTGGCCTTGTTTTTCTGGGCTGAAATGGAGTTTTAGGGAAGAAAATATGACCCAGTACAATATTATAACTCGCTTTTAGCCTAGACGAACATGCTGGTGAGAATGATTTGTCTATCATGTCGAACATACCATCTCATCTTCGACTTCCTATGCCTTGTTAGTCGGGGAAAGTGAATAGAAAAGACGGCGTACTTTTATTTTCTGAACGGTAGTCATTGTGCTCTAGGGAAAGGCTCGGCGTTTGCCGAATAACGTTTGACCGAAGGGTGACAACGACGAGGACAACCACTTTCCTTCACCATCAATCACTCGTCCAACCTCGTCCAGTGCCGCCGCCAGTCTCGTCCCTCCATTCTTTTTGTTGCTCGTTATCGTCGCTCTCTGTCAGGCTTGAGAAGCGACTGGTTCGCTTTCACACTACCAGTATTATTATTCGAGACGAGACCTCGCTCTCCAGTAGCATCCTGTTCTGCTTGTCGTCCCTTAATTTGCGTATTCAACACAGAAAATGTGCTGCAGTGGTCCAAAATGGAAGCGAGAGGTCGTGCCCGACCACAAGGTGCTTCGCCTCTCGCCATTTCTATCCTGCATCTGACACCGTTTAGTTTGATTTCGTCGATACTCGGGAGTTTACAGACAATGGCTTCGTCATGCGCGCAAAGTATATCGTATCTTTCATGATTCCTCTGTCCAGTATTCATCATTATACAGGTATCTGTGGCTTTACATCATCGTCCTGAAATCATTCCTCGTCTACGTCTCCGATATTTTTACCGCCGTCACTATGCTGACCACGTCCAGTTGGTCCAACGAAATTTTTAACAGTTGCGAAGACATAGGCTGTGTTACCATTCCTTTCAACACTGGAAAGTGGCTCTTTGTTGGTTGCATCATATTCTCTTTCCTTCTAGTGAGCTTGCGCCTTCTCCCGTTATACCTGCATTGCCTCATGTCTGGATGACAGCTGGGTTACGAGGCCCGTAAGGCCAAAAAGATTATCAACAGCCGAGATATATCGTATGCTTTCACCAACGTCATGGCCAACAACTACTACTCCCTGCGTCCGTCCTATTGTTCTTGATATGTTCGCTTGTCCCTTATATTACCTTTCATTCACAGGTTCATACGATCACTTCTGTTTTTTCGATCATATCAGCAACTCCACCAAGACGAGCGATGATTTTGCCTTCTTTGTCTTCTTTACCTTCAAGAGTGCGCACCTCTCGTTGCTTTTCCCCTCATTATCGCTTACGGCTCGATTAGGTTGGAAGCGTGTTCTGCTGGCTGATGGACCTCGTCAGACCATTAATGCACTGACGCTTTATGCCATCTATCTTGCTCATCTTGACGAAGGTGAATGGTATGATGTGTCAAAATACTTTACCGGAAACAGTGCATCGACCTCTATATTGACTGTCACGACCTTCTTCACTGTCGTTGTCTTTGCCGGTTCCCTGTTGCTCTTGATTGTGGCCGGATTATGCTACATTCCTCTGCTCTGCCACATCCGCGGTAACCTCAAGGTAAGGGTTGTCATCGCATGAATTGTTAAGCAACTCTGATACATTTCCTACAGGAATACTGCTGTCACAAAGTTGACAAGGTACGTCAGCACCGAATTTTCTTATTTGTATGAGTTGATATACTTGTACAGCGTATCACCACCGTCATCAAACGCAGACAGAAGCAGCGTTTGGTAGAGGCAGCTAAGAATGCTAAGCTAGAAGCTATGGGCGATTATTCTCATCTCAAGAACAAGAAAGGCGAAGTCGTTGGAGCGCGTTTGCCCCAGCCCACCCTTCCTAATCTCTCCGTCGACGACGAACTCGACGATGCTTCTTCCCTTCGTACCCGTGGGCCAGCACCCAGCACCTATACCCAAGACTACTACTATTACAATTCTGACAAGGGTGACTACCCTCCGCCAATGCCCGCCTTCAATCCCGCATCAGCACACCAGAACGGATCCTTTCTCAATTACAACCAATCACAAGGCACGATCGGTCGTGATGATTCACTCTATAACTACCCACCTCCTCAACAAGGGATGTACGATGACGATAATGACAGTACAGCCCACCTAACGACCTCTGCTGCGCCATTTGGTCAGCAGTCCCAGATTTCCACAGACCACCCTGGAACTGCGCCTCTACCGAATCCATATGGTCCCATGCCTGGGAATTATGATCCCCACGATGTGTATCAAGGGCGCGCCGTTCCAAGTCCAGACAACTCACGGCGGCTCTCCCCCCCTCAACAGTCTGTTGGGCTATCCTACGATGATGCTCAAGACTATCCGCCACAGGGAATGCACCAGCAATACTCCTCACAGCAGAATGATCCATACGGCGTATATTACAATCAGCGGGGGCACTACGTTGAGGACTCTAGGGACCCGGGTGGGGGAACCGGCTATGCAGTATAGTAGTAACCTACTTCTATTTTTCTAGCTACCTTCACCTCATTTTCCCACCTTGATTCGTTTGAGTCAGAGCTTGTGTTGCTACATGTACAACAGTTGGACAACTTATCGTATTATCAGAATAGATTTCTATACGGGATAACAAATACAGATATCGATATAAGAAAGGGTGTTGCGGGTACGTATATCTGATGCACGAACGGTATATAGCATCCAAAACAATCAATTAAGTTTCTCCCAGATAATGATAACAATGAGAAGTATGAGGACAGCGATTATAGCACCAGTTACAACACGCTGTTGATACATCCTGGAATCAGAATATACTGTAATGAGCATTGGACAATGGACCCATGAAGTACTACCTTCTTATCATGCTCTTAAGGGTCTTAGAAGCGCGGTCAATAGAGCTATCAGCTCGTTGAAGCTAAAGAATCTTCAGATGCCTCACCAAAATAAAAACACAGTGGCTACACGTACGACATTCCGTGAATTCTCAATCTGCTCCCTCTGCGTGCGTAGATTCATCAGAATATCGGCACCTTGCTCTTCCGTTTCCAACGCGACCCGGTGAGAATCTTGCAGTCGCTTCGTTCCGTCATCAAGGATCGCTGTACCAGCTAACAGTCGTGTACGGTCGCTGACGCCGTATGGCTCATCTGACGAGGTGAACCCGGAGGAACGTGAGAGGAGGGTGGTGCGAGCGAGTTGGGAGTTGAGGTCCTTGAGGAGCTTCTTGTACCGTGAAAGCTCTGCTTTGGCATCCCGCATGCGGGTTTGGTACTGGGCTCGTATGGACTGGGGGATTCCTTGTATTTCAATGTCCATTTGGGACACCTAGAGTGATATCAGTGTCACGAAGAATACAAAATGGCGGCTGAACAAACCATTTCATCGGCTTCGTCTAGCTCCATTTCCGCTCTCCGTAGTGTAGTCTTACGCTGCTCTTACCCGGACAAGGTTGAATCGACATCAAGGCGAACTCCAAGTGGACCTTACCTGCACTTTCAGCCTTGTCATCACCTTCGAGCTTGGGGCGTAGTGCGTCAATAAGCTGCTTGTAGTCCTGCTCGTAAGAGTCAAATAGCGAGGTCGGTGAGTTGTCCATGATGGAAGAGCGAAGGCAAGCTGCGGACGTGCATGACGCGTATCCATTTTCGGCATTTGTCTCTCAACGGTCATGATCAATTCAGCGTAAGGCTTCGATTACTGTCCTTGTCGTTCCTTCTCATGTCGTTGCAGGGGATCGCTGTACTTGGACTCTCAGATACGGGACTGGGTCCTGTTTCCTATCACTCTGGTCATGGTATGCTTTCTTCTGTTGCCAACGTCGTGTACTATATGGGCATTTTCAGATCCTAGTGGGCATCCTACGGCATTATGTCGTACTGCTCCTCCAGTCTCCACCAAAAAAGCTTACCCGCGCTGCAGTTCGAGAACAGTGCGTGTCCTACTCATTGTTGTCAGTGTCCTTGTGTTCACTGGGCAGCTTCCAGACGAGCCTTAGCTCGCTCTCAAATTCTTCGTGCTACATCAGCGTATTCGCCAATATCACCCGTGTTTTACCACTCCATCTCTAAGCATCTTTCGGACTCGTTCGAGGCAGGTGCATATCTCAAGGATGGGCCTACAAAGGAGGGAGAAGCGCCCAGTTCACCCCCGAACCCGATAACTGACCCTGCTGCTATGGATGGTATGATGGCTGGCATGAAGACGCAGATGGTCATGATGGTTCCGCAGATGGTCATTATGGGATGGATCAACTTTTTCTTCCAAGGCTTTGTTCTCAGTATGTATGCTGAATATTTGGCTCTGTATATTTAACTGATTTACTTTTCAGTCAAGCTACCTTTTCCCTTGACCCTTGGATTTAAATCGATGCTCCAACGAGGAATAGAGACTCCTGACATGGATGTTCGATGGGTGTCTTCCTTGTCGTGGTACTTTTTGAACTTTTTCGGACTGAATGGGCTCTACCGGATTCTACTTGGTGGTGACAATGGTGAGTGCTACGTATTTGTGTATTTACGGCTGGTTGCTCATGGCAAGTAATAGCTGCACAAGATGCTTCTCAAACTATGATGGCTTCTCCCTTCGCCGCGACAGGTGCCGGTCAACCAGGCCAACCACAGGATTTTAACAAAGCATTTAAAGGAGAAAAGGATAATCTCGCATTCTCGAGTGGCCTGTATGCGTGGGTCGGGGACGATGTAGAAGATAGAGTATTGAGAAAGTACGGAAAGCTTTGAATTTATCTTTATTTCTTTCCCAGGATTGCCACTGTTGCCGTGCACGTGCGTGCCAGGTTCTGCAAGTGACACCGAAGAATGGCTGAGCCTTATGGGCCACCGGAATGCAATAAAGGGCAGCTGAGGCTTCATGAGTAGCCCAATGTCCTCTGCCAACGGTCTCGTCTGCTTCACCAACTGTCTCCTCCCGCAAGAGGATGGAACTCTGCTTCAAAAGGACCTTTGGATTGATCAAGTTCGGGGGGTCATTCTGGATGCTCAGGTGGGTGTTGTGTCGTCCTTGTCGGTGGAAACTCACTTTTGTGCATTATAGCGGTCCTTTTATTTGAGAAAAGAAAGGCCCGAGAAAGTGATAGACCTGGGCGGGAACGTCCTCAGGTAGGTAGCTCCTTGTGAACGGTGGGGTCCTCAGTTGCTGATTCCATCGCAGTCCAGGCCTCATCGATATCCAAATCAACGGAGCGTATGGCTTTGATTTCTCAGTGTTCGACGGCGATGAGGAGACCTACAAAGGCGGCCTAGTCTCCGTCGCAGAGAAGATTGTCGAAACAGGAGTCACTTCGTAGGTGGACTAATGCTCTCACTGGACCTCCGCTAATGACGCCTTAATAGACTTGTTCCTACTATTATTGTATGCCCTTTTCTTCATCAGGCTGTCCAAGCTGATCCAGGGTTAGACCCAAGAAAGGTCGCTCTATCCCACCTTGCTCCGTCTCCTTCGGCCGTACAGCTCTCCCACGTCTGCGAACTTGTTGGGATGGCATGCAGAGGGCCCGTTCATCGACATGGCGAAGCGCGGTGCGCATGCCCCGTCCTTCCTTCTCTCAGCCAAGGAGGGCTTCCGGTCTTTCGAGGACCTGTACGGCACCGCCAACTTGGCAGACAGCGAGGACTGGCTCATGGAAGACTCGATGGGTGTTCGCATCATCACTGCCGCTCCTGAGATCGAGGGCGTTATGCAGGCGGTGTCCGAGCTTGACAAGCGAGGCGTCGTGTTCTCCATAGGACATAGGTTCATTCGTTTATTTCCGTATCAGTTCATTCTGACCTAGTTCCTCTTAGCATCGCTACTTCTGATATAGCAACTTCTGCTGTACGAAATGGAGCGAGGCTTATCACCCATCTCTTCAATGCAATGCCGCAGTTGCACCACCGGGACCCGTCCATCATCGGTCTTCTCGGGGCATCTCCTCATCTGGCTTCACCCTTTTCTCCTATAACTGGACAGCCTTACTCTCCCATGCAGGCGCCAGTGCCAAAGCGAACCCACTCTTTCAAGCTGAGTGTACCAGTAACTGGCTCGGAGGCCTTTGATGATGTTGTTACCCCTCCCCAAACGCCTCTGTTCGCCCGATACCGTGACAAGAAATCCCCTCCCAAGACCGGCGAGAACTATGACTTCATGAGGCCATTCTACGAGCTGATTGTTGATGGAATCCATTCGCATCCCAACTCTGTTAGGGTGAGATCAATGCAGTCTCGTGTCTTTTTCTGTGACTGATGCGGCAGGTCCAGTTGGCTTACTCTGCGTATCCTGAAGGCTGCATCCTCATCACGGATGGTGAGAACTTGCGTTCTTCGCATTCGGGTGTGGCTCTAATTGATATCCTAGCTATGAAGATCCTAGATCCCCATCTCCACGATGGGGTGCATGAGTGGCGCGACGGTAAGCGCTTTGTGAAGGAAGGAGATAAGCTATACTTGGAGGGAACCGACACGCTTGCCGGAAGGTGTGTGTTACTTGGAGTTTCATCTCTGATTCTGATTATCACCAGTGTTGTGACCCTAGATAAATGTGTCCGCAATTTTACTCGGTTCACAGGCTGTGATATGGGGCAAGCTATCAAGTGTGCGACCATGAACCCCGCCAAGTACGTCCGAGTTAGCATCACTTTTTATTTCAGCTAATGTTCTTTTAGGTGTTTGGGCATCGAAGACAGAAAGGGAACGCTGCGACCGGGAGCCGACGCGGATCTTGTCGTATTGGATAAACAGGGATATGTCCAGAGTACGTGGGTGAAAGGAAGGGAGCTGTGGACGAGGAGAGCGTGATGAGTAAATCTTTATATGTATTGGACAGACTCTATAGATTCGAAATCGAGGTTTGTTAGGATACAGCTACATTCGCGTTTGCATAAGTGATATAGATAAGACTTCAGGTCCACAACAAACATGAAGAAAAATACAGCTAGATGGTAGTAAGGGAAGTTTGGAGACTTGTGCTAAGGTACTCACAAGACCCAAATATATCAAACCAAACCATCGTACAGTGATAATGCCTGTGAGGAAGGGATGGAATGATATAGCAAGGGTTGGATAATGAGAGCTTACCTGCACGATGGTAGGATCCTGCTTGCTACCCTCGACAAACTCGTCATAGGTCAACTTTGCATCCTTGTCCCTGTCCATATTACGGAAGATCTTGTCGACACGCTGCGGGGACTGGATTGATTGACAAGAAACTGCGTGGAGACAAATGGACCTACCTTCTCTGGCGTGTCTTCGTCAGAAGGGAGCTTGACCATCTCCCCAGTCATTTTGTATATGGATTGGACGATTTGGAGCATTTCGTCGTATGTTATGAAGCCATCTTTATCAAGGTCGTAGAGCTGAAAAGCCCCTGCGGCGGGTCTGGATGAGAGATGGAGGGGACGGAGGGAGGAGGGGGACGCACATTTGAGCTTTTCGTCTAGTCTACCACGGCTGGTGACGCTGAGGGCGCATATAAACTCTTTGAAATCGATGGTACCGTTCTTGTTTTCGTCGAAGACGTTGAAGACATAGTCGGCGAACTCTGCTGGGTCGCCAAAGGGGAAAAATTGTTTGTATATGCGGCTGAACTCTGACTTGTCTAGCTGGCCTGAGGGGCAGTCCTTGCGAAAACCCTTGTACCTGGGGGAAAGGATAAGATATGGTAGATGATAAGATCGGACACTGTTACCATTGCTGGAGTTCCTTCTTGTCGACTGGGAGATTCAGCAGGGTTGCTGGTGGTCGGAGAGAAGGACATACAGTAGGTATTTTTCTGAAGATCTTGGAGCTGTTCCGGGGTGAGCTTTGACTGGGATTTGCCCATGACGGTAAGTTGTTAAGGAGGAAGTAGCACGTGCCCTTATTGGGTGTAGCTGGGGCTGGTAATTTCAGGAGTGCTCTTCGAGTGTCGCCCATGTGTTATGCCTATGGCTCCCTCGACCAGGCCATCAGCACTTGCCCTATGTGCAAGGTCTTTCCCCATCCCACTAGGTCCGTGCGCCGTCCCCCTCGTCGACTCAATCATTATTGACCCTTCCAGGTGTCCTCATGTCCGTGAGGTCTGTCGTAATCGTGCCTCTCATCCTCGTTTTGATGTCTACTTTTTAAAGAATGCTGAAGGTACCCTTTATCCGCCGCCGCCACATCATGTACATACTCATCATTCATCCCAGTCGACTCATTTAATGGCTGTGGCTACTGCAAAGTGCGTCTCTTCTTGCCCTGCATATTGTCTGCCTGCTCAACTCTATCCAAGTGGGCTCGCACAAATCCTCCTCAAAAGGCTGCGGGTTATCTCAATCCCGGGTGGCCCGGGTGCTGTCGACCCCCAGTTGCTTCCGAGCAGCGCATGATCCAGCCCGCAGACTGGCGATCCGTCAGCATCGTCCACCATATACCTATTCCTCCCGATATCAAGGCCACCCTCGACGGTCTCGCAGCACCTCGTCCGGGTGGGAGCCCTGCAGCCCCGGCCAGGGGTGCTCCAGGGTCAAAGCCCCCAGATAGAAAGAATAGCAGCGCCAACGGAAGCCCGCCATCCAAGCCTGCAGTCATGCCCCCAAAGTCAGCTGCCATTTCCATTCCTCCCAAGTCCCGAGGCAGCCCAAAGCAGAGCTCAGCTTCTCTATCAAACAGCCTTTCGCGCAGTACGGGTGCTAATCTTCTACCATCACCCCCAACGGAACGTCGCCAATCTATTAACGAAGGTCCGGAGAAGCCTGGGACTCCTCCATCTACTTCTTCTCCAGGTCGTAAAGCCATTGATCTCGATGGCGCCACGACTCCCCGCCGCAATTCTAGTGCGACCCGTCCACCCATACCAGTTGCTGCAGCCATAAAGGGCACTGGTGCGAATCGCTCCCCTCCTAGCCAATCACTAGAACGACGTCGAACATTAGTTCAGCCGCCGAGTATCCCTCCTTCCAAGTCTTCCCTGCCACGGGCGGCTGCTGATCCATCCCCGTCAATTTTACTCGCGCGCCCAGCTAAAAAGGATGAAGACAGTGTATCCAATGCATCAGGAAGCAGCGGGTCGATGAGCGACAGTACCGTCACTTCGGACGGCGGATTCACCGACTATCTCTCTGATGAGTCCGAAGCCGAGTTGCAGAGACAAGCAGAAGCCCGGGCAGCGCTCGTTGCGCAGAACCAGGCTGAAGAGCTCGAATTCAAGGCGGCACGTTTGCAGTTGACACACGTCGACCTACGTCCACCCAAGTCTTGGGATGCGACAAATCCTGTTGGAAGTGGACCGCGTTTGGCGTCACGTTCAACGGTGTCGATTGCTACGAGCAATGGGAGCAATCGAAGCTGATTAATTGGGTGTAAAAAGGGCAGAACTCGGGACAATTGGGAACAACCATCTATGTATCTTCTTTTTTTTCCATGCATACACAAATGTAGCGTCAATTGCAATGCCAATTTAATATTTGTACCTGAAACCACGTGACTTGAACGCCAGAAACGGACGGTAGTTGGCTGGAGCGCTTTACCATCATTCATGAATCTTGCTCGTCATTCCATCTCTGCGACGGCCCCAATACACATATTTGACGCCAGGTTCGACTCTGACTGCGACATATTTACCACCGCTACCCCTGCTGGCTTTGCTGTGTATCGCACCTGGCCTCTGACCCTCCTCCGCAAGCGCGGTACGTAGTCCCGACTTCCATGTTCGAGAACTGACCAATGGATGCTACATAGAGCTTACTGGAGGTACCTTGTCCGCCGTTGTTCCCCTACATACTTCGTCTCTTCTATTTCTTCTTGGTGGCGGTCGAAGTCCCCTGTACCCTCCAAATAAAGTCGTGCTGTGGGACGATGCCATCAGATGTGAAGTAGCCGAACTCGAATTTAGGGAGAGGGTCCGTGGGTTGGCTTGCAGACGTGGGTGGCTTTCGGTCGCCCTCCGTCGCAGGGTAGTCGTGTTTGAGGTTGGCGAGCGTCTGACACGATATGGCGAATGGGACACATGCGATAATCCCAAAGGTCCTGTCCTTTCTTCATACCCTGATACATTCATGCTTAAACAACGTTCCAGGGCTAGTTGCTCTCGCAACTGCTGCATATTCGACACTACTTGCAATTCCAGGCCGTCAGATGGGCCATGTACAGCTTGTGCACCTTCCGCCTTGCGCTCCTCCTAAGCCCAAGGGCCCACCTTCAGATATTCCTCAGAAACCGCCACCGCCTCCAGCAAAGCATCCGGTTTCTATTATTGCGGCGCATACAAGTGCTCTTACGACTCTGACACTACCTCCATCAGGTCGGTTACTCGCGACGACGTCGTCTCGCGGCACTCTGGTGCGAATCTGGGACTCGCACACCGGAAAGCTTGTTCGCGAACTGCGGCGTGGAACAGACAAGGCTGACATATTTGGTGTCGCATTTAGACCAGATGAGGAAGAGTTGTGTGTATGGAGTGACAAAGGGACTGTACATGTATTTACTCTCGTCTTGTCTAGCGTCTCGTGAGTGTCTCTGCTTTGCTCTTTATGCGTTTATCGTTAATCTTCAGTAGTAATCGCCAATCTTCGTTCTCACCATTGACTAGCTATTTACCCTTGCCGAAATATTTCGAATCGGAATGGTCTTATGCGCAATATCGAATACCAACGCAGTCGTCTCATATATCTCTATCCTCCGCGTCTGTGCGATCCCCGACAGCCGATGTACCAGACGAAGAGCGATGTGTTATTGGCTGGATAGAGGGTCGCAGCGATGACCCAGACCATCCTAATGCGGAATATCAACTAGTTGCCTTGACGTATACGGGCGGCTGGTATCGACTGTCTTTGCCATCACTGGGCCATTCCGAGCTCAATACACACACAAGCTATAATGCCTCTCATCATATCTCGGGGTCGCCACCCAAGCCGTCTTCTATGACACGACAGCGAACGCCTAGTGTATCGTCGGTCGGGAGATCGGAAAAGGGAAAGGAGAAAGAGAAAGACAAGGAAGGCAAGGAGAAGCGAGATTGTATCTTGCGAGAGTTTAGACGATATGGAAGATGGGACGGTTGGGGTTAGGTGTAGGGTCATTTCGGTTGGATTAAGAATCACATTTTTTTCATGTCGCTCACTCATGCACGCTACGCTTTGTATTTATACCTCCACATCACCTTGTTGTACCATCGTTATTATCTAGTTTACAGTAATTTGTGATGAATAGTATGTAATTGACCTGGTAACGGAAGCGTGACTCCCTTTCTCTTGTACTCTTATCAATCATGGAAAACCCTCATGCAGAGCAGCAGGCAGTTCTCCTTGAACGTATTTTAAAAAATTCGGTAGGCAATTTCTTGTCTATTTCCTTTTTTCCTCGCCTCAACTTTCGTCAAGTCTAAATGCACAGAAACAATATCCGAACTCAATCGGTGTCTAGAGGTTTGGAGAACTGCGGTAAATTATTGGCGCATCTGACGAGCCCATTTGCAGCAAATTCTTCGCGCTAACGCGTCAGTCAAGATCGCGGCAGATTTGACGACTAAATACAGGAAGAACGTGCAGTATAATCTGGAGGCTACGAGAGGCAGGGAGTGACCACTGTACTATAATTTCTAGAGTCGCGAACCCGACTTAGAATTGATTTCGCGTCTGAGTTTGTGTATTTTTTGCTCTGAAATCCGAGTGATTATCTGAAAAGAAAGGACGGAAGCGCGATTAGGAGCGCTTACCTTTTCCATTCCAACGCCCATGTCCTCTGCCGTAGTCAGCGTTGTCGCACCCTGCGGCACCTCGTCGTCGACTTGTGGATACTGTTCACCTCCTGGCGAACGCAGTGCTGCATCAACGAGCAGACGCTCCGCAACTTTATCGGCGTTGCAGCTGTCCTGCTCAGTAAGTTCCTTCGTCAATCGCAATGTCGATTCTCGCGACGAGGACTAGGTGTACCTGGATATGATTGACCGTGGCTGGCGCAGATCAGGTGTGCATGGCGTTCATCTGTGGCTTGTTTGCTGCTGAACAGCTACAGGAACGTACTGCTACAAACCAGACATGAAGAATTCGTGCTGTCCTCAATATCCTATCAAGTCCGTGTGTCTGTCGGAATGACTTTTAGGCACTCACGCGGTAGTACAGACTGGATGCACTTGCTTTCAAGCCTTCAAAGAGTCAGCGTAAACTTGTCAATCGGTACTGGATCGTCCTCACACTTGGCGGCGTTCCCTGCTCATCGTGCCATAGATGGAACCGGTTCATCCTGGAAGGAAAAAATGATGACGAGATGGCTGTAGACAACCAAAAGTGCGCGCCCATCGCTCTGTTACATACGCCAAAATATCGAAAATCACATCCATCAGGATACACCGACCTGCAAAGTCAAAAAACTCAGATTTCGTGTGGCCCAGCGTCATACACGCTTCTGAGTCTGGTTTTATTGAAACGACTCACCACAAATTTGAGGTAAAACGTGCAATTGTCTCTGCTGTATCGCTCTAATCGAACGCACAGGTCGTTCTCGAACCATCTTCTTATTCTGCAGAGAAATTCGCCTTATATGACAAGTACCAGTCTGACATACACAATGATTTTGACAACTCCAGCATGAGTTTCAAGCGCTTCTTGGTCAACTCGCCACTACGGGTATCTTGATGCATTTCCAGACATCATATTATGCTGACATCGTTCTGCAAGGGAGAACTCATTCCTTATACCACTCCCGCTCCGTTTCATCTTCCGCCCCGGTACGGATCGTATCACCAACTATACAGACTGGACGGCCAGCTGATCGCCGTAGCTGTCCTGGATATTCTACCTCATTGTGTATCGAGCGTGTATTTCATGTATGACAAGACTTGGGAGAAGTTCTCCCTAGGAAAGGTAATTGTATTTAATACTAGCTCTGTCAGGTTTAAACGAGCCTTCCAGGTCAGCGCACTTCGCGAGATTTCCCTGGCCCGTGAAATCCATGACGCGGGGGTGCCATCGATGAATTATCTCTACTTGGGTACGTTCACTTCCTGATCTCTCCTTTTTACCTCTTATGGGCCTTGAAGGATACTACATCCACTCGTGTCAGAAGATGAGATACAAGGGGCAATATTCTCCCTCGTTCCTCGTTGACCCCGTAATAAGTCCATTCCATCCTATATTTAGTTCTTATTGGCTCTTAGGAGACATATGAATGGTATCCTCTCGAGCAATGCACTAGGCTCCTTGACACGAACCGATATGCCTGTTTTTCATATCCGGACCACTCAACCAACGAACCCCCGCCTGCCGGAGGTGTGCCATGGGTTACCAATGTCAATTACGGTATGGTACTGACCTTGGGTTCTAGGTGAGCTATCGTTTCCGGACCCTCCGCAGTTGGGCGCGGAGACTTGGGCAGACATATTTTCAGTTGCTGACATACGACATGGCGTAGTGACGGTGATGCCTGTGAATGTAAGAATTGTCTGTCTTCGCCTTTTCTTTTCGGTCATCTTGATAACAAACACAGGAATCATCCTCTTGGGCTTCTGAGGCGAAACGGCGACAAGTCCTACACTGCGTCGAAGGCCTTGGCATCGATTTATCAAGAAAGGTGATTTTCCACCTCGGGTGAGGTGTACATGTTATATTCCCTCTATATAATATGGAAATAATTGGTGACGACTATTAAATGGTAGACCTTACTGTCCTAGCCATGGTAGATTCCCCTTGATCCGCTGCAAGCCGTTATTTCCGGTAACATTCTATACAAGGGAGACTAATGTACAATATAAGGCGGACACTGATGTGTAGTTTTACAACTTGCTCGCAGTCAATAGAGCCTTTATCAGTGGTCAGATCAGTGTGTCTAGAAGGAGCAGCATTGAGAACTACCTTCTTCGTGATTTCATATATGCGCCTTTGTCCTGCAAAGAGAATGGCTGCCGTAAGAACGCTTTGAGTCAACTTGCTGCCAACGCCCTTATAAAGACCGTGAATGCCCTCTTCTTGTAAGATAGTTAGTAGCCCATCAAGAGTGGATTTGTATCCCAGCGCGCTTGAATGTCCGGCTTGCATTCGACTCTTGATTACACTGGAAGGAAAGCATCAACACATGAGCGCCGCACTAAGTGAGAGACTCGAACATGTAAGGATAGGTTGATGCTGTGGCGACTGAGGAGTAGAATGCTAAATGCTTGCTTGCAAGGGATTGTGCAAGTAAAGAAACTCACTTAGTTTTGATATAGCCCCTAGGAAGAAGAAGTCCCAGTCACTGAGAACTGCCGTCGCGGCAGCAGCACCTGCTAGTCTCAGTTTGGTTGTCCTTCGGGCGATCAAGGTGTTCTTCAACTGCTCAAACACAGTGTACTGAATTACAGGATTCATGACGAGGACAAGAGCGGGCCCAATGCCTCGCCAGAAAGCGCTGGGATTCGGTATCAGGGAACCAGTGATAAGCACAATTAGAAGACATACCTAATACCATCCTTTTCAAGAATTCCTCGGACAGCTTCAATGAATCCAGGTTTCTTAGGGCGCCCGGATGCATTGGAAGAACCTTGGTTGAGCGTCCGAACAGCCTGAGAAGTCTGGACGACCCATATTGGATTGCTAATTATCGTTGTTGCTGAGCCTGTCGGTACATGAGAGGGACAGTTGGCGGTTCGAGAGAAGAACGTGCCTGCAACGAGTCCTGTTATGATGGACTCAATGGTGCTCAAGCCTTTTCCGCCGACTCGGGATTTGAGTATGGCTCCGCGAGATCGTTCATAAAAGTAGTAATAGACACTCTCAGAGCGTCAGAACAACCGCGATGGGGAGAATTGGAAAACAAACCCATTCGTGACTGCGATACCAAGCAAACTGGAATTCAAGCCACTGTAGAGGCCTGTTATGCCTTCTCGTCTGACGATATCAAGGACAGCTTGTACGATGGGCTAGATACACGAGTCAGTAAAGGTCAACAAAGTTGTTGCTGCACCTTTGACTCATTTCTCGTTTCGACCGCTGCTCGAGTAGAAATAAAAATCAGAGGACTGGTTCCGTTAGACGACGTTCTGGACAGACGGGCGACGACGCACTAGGTTGCGGACATGGCCACGATGCCCCCGGCTGAGCCTGCAATTCCTTGAATGACGGAGTCGTCCATCGCGTCCTAATTGTCGGCCAGTCAACGTCAAGAAATTGGCGTCAAGGTAGAGAAGAAAAGGCAGAAAGGATAGTCGCCGTCATTCCTGAACGCGTCTCCGTTGCGATTTCACGTGTCAACGTCACCGGTAATGAAAGTCAAAATTGTATTATATAACTCGATACTGCTCGGACTTATGTGCACGCGTTTTCTCTGCATAAATATCATCTACAAGTCTTTCAGTATTGCCTTGAGTTCATCGCAGTCTGCCTTGAAGCCATTCGAACTTCCTCCAGCAACCCTCTCGCTTCCTCCGTATCCTCCACCATCCGAAGTCGTCGGCTTTCCGTCATCCATGGCAAGCCACTGGTCTAACTGAGCAGAAATCGTACGAGCCTTCAGCCGGAAATGTGTTCGAATGATATCTTCAAATGGCTCTGGTGGATTCTTCAAGTTGCCGAGCATCTGTAGCACGATGTATAAGAAGACGTTGCGTTCCAAGGATAGAAAAGCTCACCGCAGTCTTGACCACCATGCGTCGCACGTTTGCGGAATCTAAAAGCACGATTAAGAAAAGCAATGGAAATGCATGAAATTCGGTAGCTTACACGCCTGGGACTGTGGTGTTCCTGCACTGCTGGCCCATCCAGGTTCATTGAGGTAAGGTTCGTCGCATAAAATCATCGATTGTATTGAGATCAAAACCTGGACCCCATCGGTCAAGTCGCCAAGGGCATGAACGCGGATCCTACCTGCAACAGCGTTGATTTTCCGGACACCCATCCTGGTCCGGTCCATGTTCCTAACAAGGATAAGCATACTTTCCCGTCCTATGTACAGATTGAACACCAAGAAAATTGAGGACAGTAAAAGTACGGTCGTACAGCATACAGGTTTGGATTGAAGCGGTACTTTCCTCCGCCCGTCTTTACGCTCATTAGCACGATCAGCAAAGAAGGGTGCTTCGCCACTTACCGTCATATATTTGACACTAGGAGGAGCCTCGTTATAACGCTGCACCAGGAATATATCGAAGAGAAAGCTGGGTGTCATGAGAAACATGGCAACCTAAACTGACCGGTCAAACTTACCAGCCGTTATAATACCTGTAGTCACAACGTTAGATCCTAACCACTAGGAAAAAAAAATTAGTTAACATACGGAGTTCCCTCTGGCCCAGTAATTAGCACTTTGATTATGTCCACTCTTGTCTCATCCACTCGTAGAAATATAGACGAATCCCACGCAACGGGTAAATTAGCCGTCAGAATAGCGAGCTAATAATGGAAAGCCGTGAGCTCATGCGACCCACAGCGCGATATCGCTCGCAACACACCTCTTTCGCGATTGCCAGAGAGCGCTTCGGAATATCCATGTTCGCTAGATTCCGAGCTTCTTGGTTGAAATAAAACTTGTAGTGAGGCACAGGGTTGTCCGGATCGTCTTTATCGGTCGACGGTAGAGTGAGATCACAGTACTCAAATCTAACGCTAGTCGCCCATTCCAGGTAAGCCTTCTTGGCACTCTCCTCCGTTGTTCCAGCCTCCACGTACACGGCTTGAGAAGAGGATGTGAGAATCTTCGGAAGAGAGGCGTGTAGTCTGTCAACGAACGCGTCGCCTTTTGTATCACGAAGGGAACGGTCGATTGCAGTCGTCGTGGAGAGAATACGGCGACAGAAACTGATCAGGGCTTGATTCTCTTCAGACACAACAGGCTCGGTCTCTTTAGCTTTCCCTTTGGGATTTATGGTCATCCGCTTTTCTTCTTCCGTCAATTCCTTAGGTCCATCTTCAACTAGCTTCATGCCCTCCAGACCTTTCAGAGCAGCTTGCGCTTGGATGACGATACCTTCCAGTAACTCGCGGGGACTAGAGCTGCCTTCATACACAATTGTACGCTCTCGAATATGGGATTTCGACCCTTTCTTTGGCGTACTAGCCTTAACAGATGCTACTGCCATGATGGGCATAGCCATCATACTCGCCAAAGCTTCGTGATTTGATATTGTCTGAAATTAAGCGTTCAGTGATTCGGACCATAAACATTCAAAAGTCGTGAAGCACCTCTAGCCACTCCAGAAGTTCGAAGTAGAGCACCGAACGCTCAGACATATCTGCCAAAGAGTCATTCCTAAGCAGGACACTGCAGACATGATTGAAACGTCGTCGCAGGTGGGCTAGGGCAGTTGGATGGACAAGATAGTCACTAGTTTGGCCTCCTCCGAGCCTGCGTAGCGATGGCAGGTATACTCGAACTGCGGTTAGCAGTCCTCCAATCCTTTCGTCCTTCGCCTGTTGTATAGCCTGTGCCTCCACCTGGCCGGAATTCTGCAAAATATGAGAAAGGCAGGAGACACGGCAAAGCGATTCTTACGTCTTCCTTTTGGTCTCCAGCATAACCGGTTCCTCCCTTCGCTCGCTTTCCCCCAACTGGTGTATAATAAATGTCATCATCATCATCGAGATCTTTTCCCGGGTTGGGTTTGCGCCGTTTGCTACTTCTCGGTTTGGATTCTTTATTATGGGTCGTCTCATTGATCTGGTCCACAAACATTTGCTCAAGCATTGAAATCCCAACACCCAAAATTACACCTTGCATGTTAGAACAATGGAACAAAGGGTTGTCGTCCGTGGCGGCAGACGGTCTGTGCACTTTATCTGTAGAGATGGATTCACCGCATGCATAACAATACTCCTTTCGGCATTGCGCGCATGTTCTTCGAATGATCTTTCGAAGATGCTCGATATAAGTAGGAAAATCCGGCTACGGAAAAGGTCAAAATATCACTGGCGTCATTTCGAAGGTACTCACGAAAATGGCAAAAAAATCGCCTTTAGACCGAGGAATGGAAGTGCCACAATCATGAGGACAGGGACATTGCCCTTCGGTTAATTGGGAGTATAAAGCAAACAAGAAGCTTTGTTCTCCGCCCTCGGGGCAACCCTTCATCCACTCACCTTGAGTCATAATCTTGACCTGGATGCCATCAATAACGGTGGATTCAGGGTCCTCCCCTACTTCGATGACTTCTTCTCGACGATCCTTGGAAAAGAAGATGCCTACGTCTGTGAACATCGGGGCCACTCGAGACCGTACAACACACACCAGAATATGGATCGACATCGGCAGTGGTCTTGGTAAAATCCATTTGCATGTTTTCATAATCCGAATCGTAGTCCACGAATTCTTCTTCTATATGTTGACGCGTCAAGAGGGGCGTAGCTCATTAGGGAGGGCCGGAGGCTCACCATCGTCCTCATCGTCGATTAGTATGTCCTCGTCCTCTCCTTCGTCGGGAGTCTGGGCCGCAAGGACGCGATATATCAGCAAATTACAGTTGAAAAGGGCCTATCCTCACATTCATTCTATGTCGCTTCGTCTGGGCCATCGGTTCGGCGGACACCATCTGGACATCGTTGTCCTCAGTCACATCGTCAAAATTTCCCTCGAAGATATGTTCTGCCGCCTCCATGACATCTTTGTATTGCGTGAGAGCGGCTCGTGCTTGAGCTTGACTGGCTCCCTACAATGAAGAGATACTTGAATGAGGATACTAGACACACTACAGAGAAGTCACCATTTCCACGAGCTGTTCGACTTGCTTCTCCATTGTCGATGGAAAAAACAGTGGAGTATTGCCCTTCCAAAGTGATAGTTGAAAGGGGGGTGCTTCTACCACGACGCCACTCGAGTCGACATTGGAGGGCAATATAATTACGTAATGCTTCGTCAGTCGCGGTGATACAAAATTCGTAAGTAGAATAAAGTGTGATAAAAAAGTCCAGTCTCGTCTAGGCACGTCACACAAACGCCACACTCAAGAACGACGGTTACCATTACTGTTTATTCTCTCGTACTCATTGTTGATTTGCCGGATGAAATCGTTCGCAGTATGGCCGTCCTACAAATAAGCACTTTTACAACGATGTCAGCAAGCGTTACCTGCACTCACCTCGCAGTTTTTCCAGGTTTCATCACGGATACAAACCTCTCGTCCATTTATAAGTATCGTACAGCTTTTCCTGAGGAACTATATGTCAGTGACATGGCAGGAAGTGTGAACAAAAAACCTACTCAATGCCCATGGACTTGCCCAGTTTGACACTTTTGTGGAGCAAGCCGACACCCTCTTCTCCCTTGCCAGACGCTCCCTCACCGACACACTGGGAAACTGGACCGTCCCAGTCGAAAAGTGCGGAGCGAGCGCACTTGAAAGCAGTTTCTGGTCTGCCGATCTTTTCTTTGCCCTGATAGTTCTGGCATTGTACAAATTCCCACCACTGATCGAACGAAGCGTATTTAGCGACACAAAGTTGCTGGACGTTTCCAGCGCATTCAATAGGTCCGTGTTTGCACTCTACGCCAAAATCTGGCTCTGAGTCATCGAGTCTAGCAAATGGGTCCTAAAACAGAAGCAACTCGGTGTACAAGAAACGCACCGACCAACATATACTAATAAAAAATCAACTTTGCCTCCAACACGCGTCAAAACCTTATCAAAGATGTTTTCACATAGCAAAGCATCCGGGCAGCGACTCATGACTCCAAGGTGGACAGGAACTTTGATGTCCTCATCGAATGGTAACTGAGAATCTTGAGCAAGGAAAGAGGCAGCAAGCACTTGAAGAGGGAGGAGGGCTGTCAGGATATAGGGCAGCATTCTTTGAGAGAGAGAGGAAGAAAGAAAGAAAGAAAGGCAAGTTGGCGCGTCATTTTGGCGTAAGATGGCACTAAGTAACTACGTCATGTAATCACGTGATGTATAACTCTCCAGGGCCGGCTCAACCGAACCACATTTTCCGACCCTCCTCGTCAGTTGCTGGTGGTTCGAAATACTTACACCGGGAACGAAATGCTGGAAATTTTGAATGAATTGGTGAGAAACTGTGAGGCAAGGATTACGCACCGTCGACTGAGCGCTTCCGTACAATGGCTTCGATAGTGAATTCTTGATGTATCTGCGTCCGCTGCATGAAAGGTATAAAGATCATCAGTAAGTTGGTTTAGGAAAGGCATACCTTGACTTTGTCAGTGTACATTTCAGCTTGTGCTTTCCGTTGTTCTGCCGGGCTCGACGCGTCGTCCTGAACGATATTCTTTTTGTCCTGTAACGATTTGTCTACGACATCAACGCAGTATTGGACGAGTTGTGTGCGACGATTCCAATTCGCTAATCTATCACGGTGAGACCGTCTCGCTGCGAATCGTAATCACAGACGGCGACGCACCCATTAGTTCCTGCCACAAATACGAGCATGCTTGGTCCTGGACTGTTCCTTGACCCGGTCGAGCAGACTGTTCTCTAGCTCTGTCACGCATAACGGCATTCGCACGGTTCAATCGCATGGTTATCGTGTCATCCAGTCTCCGATATTCCCTCAAAAGGTCTACCAAATATCAGTTCCCAAGTTGTTCTAGAGTTGCTGGAAAGATGCCCAGACCTTTGAACAACGACATATCATTGCATGTGGTCGCAGAAACATGAACTATTTGTGGATGCAAAACAGGCGCTTGTATACCGAGGCTTCCCAGCTGTGACTTGCTCGAGGACATACTAAAGTGAGCTGCCGGCGATTCCCGTTACGCTATACTACCATCATACGTAAATCAGCTAAGCCGGCTACTCGGCTCGAATTACCCGGTAGTTCGTCTGCTTGCCAGTGACTGATAGCAGCTTCGCAAAAAAATCTATCTGCAAGTCCTGACTTAATATTCGAAGAACCTCACAAAGGCCTGGTTCTCCTCCTGAAATAATTCTAATCATTATTACCTCAATAAAGCTTCCGTTAGCTTCCGTCAGTTGCCTCGAATATCGAAACCTTGTGTCCTGGAGTTTGCCTTTCGGCTAGGGAAAGGCCGTGCAAAGGTGGACTCCGAGTTCCACGTAGATAGCGTGAAAATGAGATTTATCCGGCGGAAGGCAGCACAAATCTCCATGACTTACGCCACTGCTACAATTAAAGGGCCGCGTCTCCAAAAACGTAATCAAGATGTGATCTGATCTCGCCGGCCATATGGCCATGCGAACGAGGACCCACTCTGACAAACATATGTGCAAACAACCTTGGGACACCGCCAGTATTCTAGAAGTACCGACTGTCGACATCCCATAATTTGAGTCCCTTAAAACCGCAATCAGGTACATCTTATTTCCGTCATCCAATGATATGTTTCACGCCATGGGTATCGGAACTAGATGAAGACATGCAGACCCATCGATAGAACAGAAATGGGGTACTCCTACTGAATGGCACATTGCGACGTCGGCGCAAGGTAATTAGGATAAGGAAATGGCTCATGCTTCGGCGTTTTTATTCAACATTTTTCGATTCTTTATCAATTATTTACATAGTGCGCACAATGTCTATTTCGGCTAGTTCGTTTCCTCTGCAATTCATCCACCGACTGGCAATTTTTTCTCAGCAGACCAAGGCTGGACCGACTCATAGTCCGCAGGCCTCGAGTCCTTAGCATCCCCATTCTTCTTTCGCCTCTTCGTCTCCTTCGGAACATAACCGTGGGCGTCAACCTTGTGTCGATGAAGTCTGGCAGGGTCGTTGAACCGAAGCCCACAGTTCTCATACTGGCAGATGTTGTTCTTGGCCTTGGTGCTACGTACCAGCAATGAGCATCAGACACGCAAAGATAAAAACAACTTACTGGCGAGACGATTCATGCACTTCAACGTTAGCTTTCTGTTGACGCTCAGTCTCCATTACCGAGCCCATATCGAATACTTACCTGAGGAAAGAGCCTGTCGCAATATTTGCAGCAATGAGTTCTAATGGTCCCGTCAGTGCTACCCAAAGGACCCGGATAGTGACACGAACTTGTATTTGAGATGAACCGTTTCAACGTGTCTTTTCATCAAGGGCCTCTTGGCTTTATAAGTGCAAGTAAGTGATCGATCCGGGAACTGCTGTGACCATTGGCACATATATTCCTTGTCCGTCTTCTTCTCGACGTATTTCTCCCAAGCCTTCTTGTCATAATTGGGAATTCGACTTCTACTGGAGGACTCCCGTGTGGTATTGGCCGGACGAGAAAGATCAGAGTTACTTCGAATAGTACGAGGAGGAATAATTGTATCCAGTGATTGTCGGGTATGCAAGTCTTGGTTCTGGTCGTCGAATTCCTTATGGCTATGCTCCGGACTGCTTGAAAGCCGGGGACTCTCCGAACGAGGAGCCATGAGAGAGGAAGGATTGTCGGCAAGACTTGTCCATCTGTGTTTGAACCGTAAGTATCCTGAAACTCGTGAGGAAGAGACACACACTCAAGAGGTTCAAGTAGAGTCGCCACGGCGCTAAGAACGACTTAGTGACTAATACAATCAACGAAAGAGAAGTCAACTTACGGCGCCTCTGCGTGGCTCAAAGAAGAGATCGGTAGCTTGGGACTGGCCCCCGATTGGATCGTTGTAGCTGGTGACGACTCGCGGGTGTACGAGGAGCCTGAAGAGCTGTCGGTGTCCCGATATTCTCGAAAGACTTGTCGCCATGCATCTTTGGCATGTCCGAGGCCCGCCCATCGAAAGGTCCCCGTAGGTGTCGCGAACTGACGTAGAGTCGGGCTCGAGGATCGAGACGTAGGTTTATCCATGTCGCCGCGTTCATCGTCGGGGCTATTGAGAAACGAAATCAGCAAAAAAACGATCATTGCAGAATCGATGCAATGCGCATGTCAGGTGGCGTCACGGTCCCAGCGGGACCCGTCCTCTTACGCATGATGCACAGCAGCTGCAGCGGGCTTACCTGGACGACAATGATCGCTTCGGTACATTGACTGTGACTAGTAAACGTTCCATGCCGACGGAAAATCGAATATCGAGGGCACTAACACGAGAAAATGTCAATTCAAGTTCGTTATGTGGCGGCGGAAAGGACTATCGGATAAAAGGCAACCGAGGACGATTGGAGGGCAGGATGGATCCACTAATCTGATTTATGAAGAATAGCAAGAGCATCCGCCCAGTATGCACGATTCGGGGAAACCATCCTTGTGGCATGTTCCAGGAGGAAGAAAGAGGGACTTACAAGAAGTCCGGGTTCTGAACGGCCGCCTGTGGTGCGATATGTCACGACTAGATAGCCCGTGGGAGGGTAGATTCAACGCGAGGAGTTTTGGGTGGAAAACAGCTAATGGCTGGAGGGAGGGTAACAATGGCAGTCCATATTTAGGAGGAAAGAGAACGCTACCGTTACCGCATCCAGATTGGTGATCAGAGATGAGGATCTCCGACCAGGCTCTCGTGCTCTATCTCATTTTAATCGCATCAACTGGGATGATCGAAAAAGGCGTTTGTGTCTTGTGATGGAACGTTGGTTTTCACAGAAGAATGACGAGTGAGCAACTAATTTGTGAAAGTTTGGTAGGAAAAAAAGGGACGAGGTGTTTGGTCTTGTTCACACCTAGAAGTGTCAAAGTCTATCAGGAACGTTTTTCTAGCGAGAACTTTGCAAACTTTATTACATACATATGGACATTTCCTTATCCTGAATGATATAACCGTGTGCAATGCACTGAGGCTTCTGTGCATTTCGATTGTTATATTCCACTAACCGGGCAGTGGAGAATGGGTTTAGATTCGAAAGCAGGTTACAGCAATACGATCGAAGTAGGGCTAGATATCCCTTCACAGAACACTGCTTGACAACCGAGTTAATTGATTTGAGGGGACGGAGGAGAGAAGAACGCTACCGTCAGAGCGTCATTGGTTCAAAGGGACCGGAAAACATTGTGGAAGAGCCCCAATCATCCTTGTCGGCCTTATTACTGGCTTCTGTACTGACAGACTGAAGTGCACAAGAAGGTAAAGACCGTGTCTGCATCAGCGCCCTTCCGGACCTCTTCAAGGGCTTGACGGGGCGCTCGGAGACATCAGTGTCCATTGCATGAGCGTCCATCTTTATCGGGGCTATCTTGGTTTCCTGGACGTGATCGGCGTTGCGATCTTCATCCTCCGAGTCTTCCAGCCGCCGTTTGTTAGGCGATGCGGATGGTGACGCTACGGAGAAACGAGAGAAAATAGCATGCAGGGTGTCATTCGCAGAACAAAATATTAGGTGGCCTGTCGACAGGGACTTGGCTGGAGCTGTGGGCCCACGGACGTGCATGCGTTGATTAGTAACATATCCTTCGGCCACATCTAAAAAGGTGCGTATGACGCGTCAAGAACCCTATAAAATACGTGAAAACTTTACATGGCGACTTACGCTTCCGAACTCGAGACCCCACACTCCGGAGTCGTGCAGCGAGATCAGGGTTGGTAGGCCTGTCGCGTTCACAAATCAATACCGGCGACTTGCAGAGAGTATATAGCACACATTGTAGAGATATTCGGGTCGGTAAAATTGCTAGACGCGTATTTGTCGTCGGTAAGAACGCGTTTGGGGCTGGACTGCATGAGTGGTGACGGGGACCCACGGCAGTTGCCCAGGTTTGGAAGGAAGGAAATTAATTATTGAAATTTGGTAAGCAATCCAAAAAAGGGCAATACCTTTTGCTGGGAAAGATGACCACAATGCAGCCAAGCGCCAGTGATTTCATACAATAAAACATCGGATTCACACCAGGAAAACGTGAGAATTAGGCGCTAAACGATGGTGGTGCGTTATCAGCAAATAGATGATCCTGCATCGCACCTGACTGGCCATACGAAGAGATGAATCTGATATCAATGAGATGTTGCCGGGCATCTGATAGAGATACCGGTAACAAGAAAACGACGATAGGAACTACCGCTGCCGAAAGTGAGGGAGGCATTGTGCAAGAAAGTGGACGAGCCCCCGAGCAACCAAGAATACGACTGTTGGGCCTTTTGACCGGTATCGGCTATTCCCGAAGTCTACAGCCAAATTTGGTGTGCCAGGCCCGGCAGACTGGCAGTGCTGACGGTCGCTCTGTCAATTCATCATTCGACACTGTCGACACCGTCCACGACGCAGTTATACGCTGCTGGGTCCCAGCCGGACCAGTTGACGCCCATCGTCGACAAACTCACGAATGGCACAGCGCTCTCTCCTTGCCTTGCTTTTCTTTGATTTTCTTGCTTCCGCACACGGCCAATCTATCTCGACATCAATAACGGTCCCACCTCTTCAATGGATCAATCTTACTAACCTCCTCCAGGGTTCTACACAGCCTCCGGCGCTCAAGGATGCCTCTATTGGATATGATGAGACAAGGTCATCGAGGCATAATTCTACAGAATTCGTTTCTCACAATTGTTTCAGCCGTAATGTTATTATATTTGGAGGAGAGTCTGAAGGTGGTTTTGCGCAGTCGCAGACTTATCTGTGCGTAGCAAATCATTTCATAATTCTGTACTAACATTCTACAAAAGCCTCAACCTTGATTCTCTCTCTTGGTCTGTTCCAGATCCGCCAGCATCTCTGCAGAGCACACCCTCTGCCCGGAGTGCCGCCATTGCTGGCTGTGACTTTGCTGCAAGCAAGTGAGATATATATTTTTCTTCCATGTCTACCCGCTTAGCCTCCTTTTAGTCGCCAAGGTTTCGTAGTTGTGGGCGGTAAAGGCGATAATTCCAGTCCTCTGTCTGATGTTTGGGTGCGTGTTCAAAGTGCTGCGGAATGATAGAACGTGGTTTTTCATTTTGATTCAGGAATTCGACTTTACCAATCAATTCTGGGCTGAGGTTTCAGTGCCACAAGGAGGTCCGTCTGCGCGGTGGGGTGCTGCAGGAGGAATAGATATTCGCACAAGTCCTGTTCAGGACCCCGTTGTTGCTGGTCCGAACAACACTGTTTATCTCGCTGGCGGCACCAACGGTACTACGGTCAACTCTTTGTCAACTATATGGCGGTTGAATATCTCCGGCACGCTATCCTCAAATTTGCCAAATGACAGTTCTGGCTATTGGGACGAGGTTACGATCGGAGACCTTCCCTCTCGGACCGGTACAGGAAATGCCGTTCTATATCAGCAGATTATCGCTATCGGTGGATGTGACTCTGATTCCGGTGATGCTTCTTGCGTTATGCAGGACTCCTACGTGATAAATGCACAGACACGTACAGAAATATCCCCGAGTGGATGTCCTGCCCCTCGAACAAATCCAGTCGTCGTCCCAAATGTCAATAGTGCTTCTACTAGCTTCTCCTCTCAGATATTTCTCCTTCTGGGAACTATCGACGAATCACTTTGGTCGGATGATGGTGGGCTTGAGAAAGGCGAAGTTGTAAGTCCATAAATATCGTCGAAATTCTTCTCCTGACAAGGTCGTATGATCTAGGCAATTTTGGACGTGAATACAGGTTCCTGGAGCCGTATTCTCCCATCCGGTGACCCTGGGGACTCTGGGACGCAAGCTTTCCCTAGTCCCCGACAGGGCTCATCTGCATTTGCATACTCCAAAGCTCTCGTGGGCGGGTCGCGGAGTAATTCCTCTGATACCATTGTATGTCTCTACAGACTTCTTACCCTCTATAGCCAACTGAGTAAATTGTGTAGATTTTCGGTGGCCAGGATGCATCTGGACAATATCTTTCTGACGTCTGGATTCTAAGAGCATACTCCGGAACGATCACATCTTCAAATCTCCAATGGTCTGGTTATGGAACCGGAGCTCTAGAGACTGGCGTTAATGCCAGCGGTGCGCATGTCACTGTTGAGTATATGACCAAGTGTGCTTCTGCCCTGACTACGGTATCCACCTCTAGCGGTAGCAGTAAACCATCTTCCACTTCCACTTCCACTTCCACTGCTTCTTCATCACCTTCCAGCTCCTTCGCCACGCCACCTCTCTACGACACGTCATTCTACCACAAGCTGTTTGCCCCGTTATCGCTGACGCTATTTTTGCCGGCACTTCTGCTGTTCCGCACGTTCTCCTCCTCGTTTAACGGCGATGAAATACCGACGAAGGCAACGCTATGGGTCTACCTGTCTGCTATACTCACTGTGGCTTCTTACGGAACGGGTATAGCGGCAATAGCCCTGTCATTCACGACAATATCCTCAGCCAGCGGTGTGACCAAGCGTGACTCATCATCTTCCATCAACTTGAAGACAGTTCATGGACAAGTAGGCCTGGCTTTTTTCATCGGCCTCTACGGCTTGGTGCCCATCTTGACATTTATTTCAGTCTATCTGAGAAGACGGTCAGGAAGTTCTTCAATCGAGACGGAGATTGCAGTGGAGAAGGACCAATACCGTGACCGCACAAACTCTGAAGACTCCGGGGAGAAAGCTGCTACCTCATCGCGTGATCCTAACACAAGCATTACACAGAGTGCATCCCGGCCGGGTTCACCTCGCCCACGGAGTCAATCTCTCAACACCTCGAATATGATGAAGATCAGCAATGAGGGTCGTCCCTCGAGTGATAGCGACTCACTTGCATCGGGGGGTCCTCAGCGTGGGTTTGAGGTTGTCAACCGACCGTCTCGTCGTCGCAAGCCCAGTGACAGCTGGTTAAACATCCCCCAAGCAGATGCATCTCAGCATGCTCAGCGAACTCTGGCTGGCATAGATTGGCTCCAGCGCAGACGAAGTTTGAACGCCGTAGTATGTGGAATTAATTATCAGTATTTGTCTAATGGCTCATGTTATTTAGGATGAACTTGACTACGCTATCACACAAGTGATACGAGCTCAACAAGCACCTTCAAATGCAGGTGTTAACGATATACTCGTGCCATCGGGACCTTCTCGAGCAGCGAATTTTCCCCCATTTGTTGAGACCACCTTGCACATCCTTCTCCATATGTTCCTCCTAGGTTTATGTATCATCGCTCTTATTGCTCTGTGGTCCCGAGCACCACGAGCCACCTTTGCCGTTTTCTTAGCATGGACTGCATGTTTCTATGCTGCTCTTATTCTTTTTGCCTGGCATGGCAGACCCAGACACTCTATTCTTGCTGTGGTATTCTCACGACTTCGATCCCAAAGTTATCACCCTGCCGTGATTTCAGCGCCGCCGACGCCCAATCCTCCAAACGGTGAGGGTTTTACGCTTCCCACCGACAGCCCATACTTGCATCAGCCATCCTATCGTCCCGTTGCCTCTGATATGCATGATGGAATGTCATATACCCAGGTCCATCGAAGTGTGGATGCAGATGATGATGATGATGACCAAGACGAAGATGAAGACACCAGGCAGCAGCGGATAGAAAACGAGATAGGACGGCGCGAGGTGTCTATTGTCACTGTCCCCAAGCGCAAGCTGTGGATCACAAATCCGTCCTGATGTCGGGTCCTCCTGTGGTCTAGGGATAATGTTTATATCAATACCATTTCCTGAATTATAATTACCATCATCATAAAGAGATACCACTCATGATCTGTTTTGTAGATTGGGGATAATTACTACTGTATTCAAGTGTATGTACCTTTGGAATGTGAACGACCCGAAAACAGACTGCGTACCATAACGTAGCGTACGAATACATGTACAAGATCCAAAGAAATGTGTGCGCGAAAGATTGGGAAGTCCGTGAAGAGTACAACTAATAAAAATGATCATTCACCTTCAACAGCTACGTCCCGTCTCCATCTGTCAACCCTACCAAATTTCGTTGGATCTTGCATGGGTGGCGGTGATGGAATTTGCATGGGAGGCTGCATCATCATAGGATTCATAGCAGCCACCGGAGGACCGAAGAACTGAGATCCCATCATAGAGGGGTTGAAGAACATGCCGTTCTGCATGTGCTGCGCTTGTATCAACATCTGTTGCTGGGCCATCATTTGGTACTGTGTTCGCCGCTGCTGCTCAGGGTGAAAAGCCAGGGGACGATCGTCGTCATCACCGCCCTCAGGCATTGAACTGTGGGCGACGGACGAAGGAGCAACGTGGGATGCACGAAGACCAAGCGGCCTGTCATCCTCATCTTCATCTCCGGCAGGCTGAGCTCGGTCAAAGTCGATCTTGGGTAGAAGACTATTGACGGACTGCGACTTTCGTAATAGAACTGAGAGCGGCTCGTTTTCTTCTTCGGAACCAGAGTCGGGCTTCAGATGGGTTAGACGCGCAGCTGCTCGGTTAATAGTCGCCGACAAAGGAAGATCATCTTCGCTGTCTGAATCTGGAGTAGGTTTGGTGAATTGAGGAGCAGGTTTGCCGGAGGAGGCCTGTGAGCGACGATATCTCGGTCCAACTCCAGTGGTTCGTAGAGGACCCTCTTCATCAGACGAGTCCTCATACCACCCTTGAACGTCCTTCTTGGCCGCCAGCCGTTGCACAACGTGATCGCTGGCCTCACTTTCAGAGTCATCGTCAATCACGGGAGGAGGGCCATGGATCGCAGGTGAGAGGACAGGAAGAACAGGAGGTGAAGTTGATATTACAGGAGATGGAGACGGCAGAGGGCTTTTCGTGTCTGATACCTCGCTTTGTTCATAAGGTGTGGGAACATCCTTATCTTTGCCCTTCTTTTTCTTCTTGTTCGTGGCCATCGCCTCTCTTCTTTCCCGTTCCTCAGCTTCCAGCTTCTCCTGAGCTTCAATTTGCTTTAGCTTCGCCATTTCCTTTTCCCACAACGTATCAACACCAAAGACAGTACGAGCATTGGGCATTTTCGCATTTGGATTCAATTTGACTGGTGGTAGACCTTGTGGTGTTTTCTCGCCTTCGAAATTAAGAAGAGGTTTGGGTCCCATAGATTCAGGACGAGAGCGGTCGCTTAAGTAGGAACTCATGCGCTGTGTAGCAGGCCTGTCCCCCGATAAGGCGGCGGGATCGATAAGTGTACTGGAACGCTTCACTGGTCCCCGTGCCATCATTGAAGGTCGGTCGTCACCTTTGAAGACCCTGGGAGCGTAACTGTTAAGTCATGCATATCACCAAAAGAAACTCCAATTACCGTTGTTTGCTCCTCATGACCGCCTTTCTATTTTCAAGATCGTCGATGAGACTCTTCCCATATAATTTTCCAGCCGGTCGACCCGGGGGATAAGCATCTTCTGCTGGAATTCCGGGTGTAACATCATCTGAGGGAGGATCCAAGAATACTTGTTGACCTTCCTCTGTAGCCCGTGGCAGCTCTCTATCGAAATCCACGTATGTGGGATCGCGCTCACCGTCCACTTTGAGGGTATTGCGAAATATCATCTGAGACGCGGACAGGTTCATTCGGGGATTAGGAGTGAATGAATTTGATGCGATAGGGACTGCATCGAGGAAGACAGAAGAAGCCTTTCTGTCTCGAGCAGAACGAGCACCAGGAGGTAGAGGCGGTCCATCAGTGGACAGATGGAAACCGTCACGAATGGGATCGGGTTCCAGCTGAGGATCACTGGACAAGGGCTGCAGAGGACTGGGCATGACGAGCACTCTGGGCCGGAGGAGATCGATAGTGGTCGAGTAGCGGTTCTGTCCGGTCTGCTTGGTCATAACAGATGCACCATCATTTTCAAGTAGCATTCGTGACCCCATGGACGCGTTTGACGTAGTACGGGCATGAGCAGCTGCCTTGGGGTCAAACTTGGATGAACGAGAAGGGGGTTGCAAGGCAAACGGATTGTCGTCTTCGAGAAAGCGCGAGGTCATACTACCATTAGAGGCAGTACGCTCCCGAAGTCCGCCGTCTTCTTTCAAGCTCGGCGTTGAATAAGCGCGAAGATCTTCTTCCGGTGGGGGAGAAGGCGAGCGAATAGATTTGGAGGGGAATGGTATATTTTGAGAAGTCGAAGGAATCTCATTATCAAGTGCAAAGGACGCTGCTCGATGGCGTTGGAACGGAACAGATGGACTAGCATCCAAGTCAGCGAGATCAAGTGGTGACGCGATGGATTTTCTACGAGTGTCTTCTGAAGGTATGAAGTGGTCGAAGTCACCGACACTCAAAGACCTTGTTGGTCGCGGGCGAGGTACAAATCCTGCAGTGGGACTTGTTTGATGAGGAATGTGAGAGCTGACGGACGACAGAGGGTAGAGGTTTGTTTCCTTCCCTTTGCCTTTGTCCTTTAACGTCTTCTCCTTGGAAATAAAGGCTTCCAACCCCCATGAAGTCAAATCCATCTCCAAGTTCTCCTGTGCTTGCTCCTGTCCGTTCTCGTGCTCTTCTTCGTGCTCTTCCTCCTCATAGTAATCATCGGCACCAAAGGGGTTTCTTAGCGCAAATGTAGAACCTCTAGAGCGTCTGCCATCCAGTACAGACTCGCGGCCGCCACCGCTCGCTCCTTCGCTGGGAAGTGAAACACCAATATGATTGGTACTTCTCCGTTGAGCAGCGACGGCACTTGGTCGAACATTGCGGCGGAGATGGGCAAACAGAGCACTCTCGTGAGCAGAGCGGTATGGGGCATCAGGATTTGTTGGATCATTATCGTATTCTAAGTGAAGTATAAGAGCCTGGTGACGCGGAGCACATTAGACCTTTACCGAGCAACGCAGCAGCCAATTGGAGGCGGGAAAATGCGGCACTCATCATGAGTATTCTGTAAAATGCATCCGCTGAATGAAAAAAGAGAAAGAAACGAGATAGTGAAGCGACAATGTTGGGTCGGAAAGCGAGAGTAGGGTGGTTACCTAGACACGTGTCTTCCATTGACGGGCCGGACATTGCCGTTACTGTCACGCCACAGCCAAGAGCTTGCTGTGACCATTATTCTTTACAACTTCTGGCACTCCTTGAGCGACAATACTTTGTACGGAGATAGCTTTCTGCTTCCACCAACGGCTTCATCATCAGAAAAACCATGGACAAGTATATCGGTTTGCATGGTCTGAAGGAATTTTGGAGCAAATCTGAGCAACATTAAATTTGACACCAGACAGGTGGCGGCGATACCAGTCATCTGAAAGGTGAACGAAGGGGCCTAGCACTGAGAAAGAAGCCGTTCTATACTGCCGTCTGTGAATACATTGTCATTCATCTATGTCACTGGATAAAAGTTAATGTACTTTTACCCACGGATACATAGAAAATATGCAAAGTTTCTTCACACAAAATATTTTAAAACTTTCAACTATTTTATGCAAACCTTGCAAAATATAGTGAAAAGTTCTAAATATTTATATCAAATTTTCTGCACAAATACTTAAAAGAAACTTTGTATATTTTCTGTGTATTTAGAAGTAAAAATACATAAATTTTAGTACAGCGTGTGGTTTGCGAATGAAACTGCAGTCCATATTTCCCACAGATTACAGTAGAGATTCCTCATTGCTCATCTATAAGCTCCACGACTGTCTATCGAGATGGTTCTGAACAGAGGCAAAGCTTCATTACGGATAATGGCTGTCGCGGATCAAGCTAAGCTGGTTCTGCACTCGTGGGGAGTTGATTTGAGTCACAGCTAATTATTTCGGTTTCTTCAGCGGCTTGGAATTGTATAATGATAAGTATCACCTTTACGAGCACCAACATTAAAGTATATGTACAGAATCAGCAAATAGTCCATTAGGTTAGCCTAAAGCTCGTCATGATTCACTATCACATTGCCAAACTCGTCAATCTCCTCCATTTCGATCGAGACCTGATGGTAGTTTGTCATAAATAAAAACGGCAAAAACACACAACAATATCTTGACTTACTTGATCTTTCATATGATCGGGAAGAACGATACCGGGCTTGTTGGAGAACTCCTCAGGTTCTGGCAGCTCGGGGTCAACGGGAGGTGCGGGTTTCACTGTAGTATCAGTAGGCGCCGTTTCAGACACGCCGAGAGATCGTCTCAGTACGCGATCCACTCGGGAGAAGAAACTATAAAGCAAATACTAGTTAGTTTGCTTTGTTTTGTTAGTGTATAGACTCGGCCTACTCGTTAGTATCGGGGACTTCAAAGCCAGAGCGAATCAGGGCGCCATCGATGAGAATAGACGTGACCTCCTTCAGCTCCTCCTCCGCTTCAAGGTCCCTTTCTTGCTCGTCCTCGGAAGGGAGAGCCTCAACTTTACGAAGTAAACCCTCAATCAAGGGTGAACGAGGGTTAACCTCTAGCAACTTAGCCTTCATAGCAAATTCATGCATGAAGTCATTAGGTCCTTTGTTTCCTTTGTGTGATGCACCTGCAAAGTATTGAGCGGTCATGGATCATACAACAAAAAAAAATCACACACTCATCATCCGTTGGACATTAGCGGTGTAACCATGACTATCCGCAACAATCGCACAGGGACTGGACACTAGACGGTCTGACAATGTAACTAATCAAAGGGAATTAATATCAATTGGTGCTAATTACATAGCAGTGCGCACCATCTCTGACGACATCCTCTGCTTCTTTCTTGAGGTAGTCCAATAGAGGTCGGAATTTCTCGGCCAGAGCCTCTTGATTTTCCTTCCCTTCTTCGATGTCCAGATCTAAAGATGCTCAGTCGTCCGGAAAGGGCTCACACGCAAACCGTGGCTTTTGATACCCACCTTCATCTCCGAACTTGAGGCCCACTTTGGCAACGTCTTGGAACGGAATATTTCTGAGAAGTTGCATGAGCAACGACCGGGGAAGAACTAAAGCCCTTACTTCCAACGGCGAATGTTTTGTACCAATATTTCGTCCAATGGCTCATTCAAGAGAAGAACCTCGTAACCTCGTGCATCCAGTTTCTCAACGAAGACACTCTTTGCAAGGTCCTTGGTCTCTTTGCCCATTTCTGCCAGGAAGAAGATCTGAACTAGTCATCAGAGAAAAGAATTCGTGCGCTGGGGAAGACCGTACCTGTTTTTGGCCCTGCTTCTTGTTTTCCAAGTACTATAAACCACTGGTTTAGCAGGTAGACGGACCGAGCTCCAAGAAAAACGTGCCTGATCGAGGGAGGCCGACTCCCGTTGGTTCGTAGCAAAGCGTGTCAAGGCAGTCAACTTGTCCCGGTTCTTTAGGTCCTCGACGGCGCCGAGCTTGAGAATCGAACCATAGGTCTTATGCATTTCCTGGAGCTTTTCATCCTCCCCCTCCGATAACCGCGTAAACAGCTGAATGATACGCTTGAGAATGATTTGTTTGAGCTGCCTGAGGAATAGAGTTGATTGAAGTGTTTCCCGGGAAACATTCAGAGGAAGATCCTCCGCTGGTAGCCAAATGGCTTTAACAGGCAGTGGCAATCAAAGAAATTCGTACTCACCGTCGACCACGACTTTAACCCAGCTGGCCCATTTGGGCAAGGCATCATCACCGAGATCATTAGTGATGAAGACACGCTTGACCATCAACCTGACATCTTTCGACTTCGAAGCTAAGGGTTGTTGCCAGTAATCATCGTCCAGTTTGTTGGGCAGGAAAATAATGGCCTTGAATGACACGCCTGAGCCCGAGTCACCAGAGAAGTGATGCCAGACCAGCGGATCCTCATTGTCTTTGAAGGTGGCTCTATAGAACATCTTATACTCCTCTATATAAACGTAAGCATGACGATAAATTGGCTTATGGTGACATTCTTACCATCAGATATTGTCTTTGGATCCCTGTCACCACCCTAGTCAGTCGGACAAATAGAGGATGTGCATCACGACACGCACCGTGTCCACAAGGGGGCTTGCGCATTTAGCTGGACCCATTCATCAACCAGTACTGATTTCGTTGAGGGAGGGGAAGCGTCGACTTTTTCCGCCTCCTCGGTAACGTCCTCGACGATGCCTTCGTCTTCGTCTTTGAGCTCCTCGGGGACCTCTGATTCTGAGGGAGGAACGACCGTTCCTTCAGCTTCCTCGTCAGGGACCTCCTCGAAGTGTTGAGTGAACAGATATATTGGGAACGATGAAGAGAACGAGGAATGTTTGTTGCTGTATCTTTACATGAGCTTTATGAAAAAACAGAGAGTATATTATATCACGTACACCAAATCGATGATCGCAGATGTTTCGAGATACTCAATAGCTTCGGTCTTTAGGTGCAACGTGATCTCTGTCCCTCTTCCAAGAGTATTTCCGCGAGGGTCTGGGTAGATGTTGAAAGAACCCTCCTCCGCCGACGAGCTGAAAACGTGCTGGACAGGGTGGGGGTTTTCTGCACTAGGAGGAGGGAGTGAAGCTACGTAAACGTGATCCGCAACCAGGAAGCTACTGTAAAAACCAAGACCAAATGCGCCGATAAGATTACCAGTATTGGAACCGTCTTGACTTTCGGCCCTAGCCAGAAACTCTGACGTGCCCGATTTTGCTAGTATTCCCTGACATTGATATCAGAAATGCCACGTTTGCATCGCTATGCATTGGCACACCAGGTTTTTTTTCAATTCTTCAGGTGACATTCCGATTCCAGTGTCTACATGTGATAGTAAATATGGGAAATGTAAGGATGAGCGACAGGACGTACCAGTGATTATGAGGATTCCCTCGCTACCGTCTTCGCTCTTTTCGGCCTTTATTGTAATGTTGAGCGGGTCACCTCCATCCCAGACGGTTTTGTCGGTGAGGGATACCAGGCGAAGCTTTTCAAGCGCGTCATTGGCATTGGATATGAGTTCTCGAAGGAAAACTTCCCTGCATGGGCATTGAAATTAACAAATACTTCCAGTGAAAAAGTATCGCCTACTTGTGCGAATAAAGGCTAGGACATGCTCAGTGAACTACCGGCCGAACCTGAATATAATGCATACCTATTAATCACGATCTTTCGCATTCGCGCTACATCACTCTGAATGTAAAGGTAAGAAAAGGATAGAAAGAAGAGTGTCATCCATAATACCTGGTAGTCGTAGGTCTCTTTGTGAATGTCAGTGGCATCCTGCGCACCAACATACGAAGTGATGAGGGACAAGGAAAGGAAGAGAGAAGGAAGGATTCGCATGGCTCATTCGAGATTAGTCGAAAAACCTTTCGGGGCTCGAAGGTAACGGAAAGGATGACAATGATACCTTGCTGTCTTTTGTACTGTTCACGAGTATACGTGTCACCTTCGACGCTTGGGTTTCCAGGGGAGAAAGGCGTGACTTATGATCACGAGGATGGTTACAATAGGTTGACGCGACGCGACGTGCGGGGCGCAGCAAAAAAAATTCATATTACTCTCAGTACTACAGGGTTCAAAAGATATGATTATGAAGGCGCATCCAAGTGAACCGATAGTTTTGGCGCTGAAAGATTTGAAAGGTAATTCTGTTATGCCAGTGTGAATATTCCACTTGTGACAAATAGAAACGTCCACGTACTCTAATCCATCGTTCCCGTTGTTCTGGAATATGATCAAACATTATGTACCTTTTATCATTCTATAAAGAAAGTGCGAGGTTTAGCCGTTTGGTGAGCATTCGTTTGATCATAAAAGTACTTACCTTCAACACTTTTTCCATATCCCGAACGTCAACGTTCTTGGCAAGCGCTTTCATGTCAACCTTACCGCCTCCACCTTCTCCTTCGTCTTCACCCATGTCGTCTGCTTTCACACCGCCATCTATGCCTTCCCCACCGATCTTCCCTAACCTACCCCAGAACTCCACAAAGGAATTCTCGGAAAGCATATCATCAAACGCCTGTCGGGATTCAAAGGTTCGTTCACGTTGCCATTTTTCAAACTCATGCTCCAAAAGGTTAGTTGTATAGCCAAGCTTATTGACCGGAAGAGAAGAGACTAGCGACGATATCGGAAGTGACTTAAAGTCAGTCGCAGGACTGGGAGCATATGACTCAAAAAGAGCGTGAAGACTTTTGACGTGTTTCTCGCGGAGGTGACCTATATGGGTATGAAAGAGGTGCAACATTTGGTCAACGGGAAGGGGGGAATTCCGAAATCTGGGATCAGTTTGCAGCTGCAGAAGAGCACCTTCCCATGTTATCTGAAGTACCGGAAAGTCAGTCACAGTTCCCCCATAAGAAAGCGCGTACCTGTGGTTCTCGAATCGCGTCTGTAAGCAGGGTCCTAAAATAAGAAGTTAAGTCAGTGCCTTATGTCTCCGAGTCACCATAAATCTTTGGCGCACTTGAAGTCTCTTTCCCCCTCTTCTTTGTTTAGCTCGTTTCGAGATCTTCCTATATTTGCTTCTACGATTCCGCGCTCAATCCGTATCTTCTCTTCTCGTTCTTTGACAGCTCTCTCTTTGCGTAGTCGTCGACGCTCACTCTCATCGATGTCAACGTCCATTTTGCCATGATCTAAAGACGTTTCCATCGTGACGGCCGTCTCGCCCTTGCCCTTTTCTTGTACCCTCTGGAATGTATTGAACAATTGTTCTCGTAATGAAGAGGACCCCACAGCATCATAGCGAGGGTCACGCGTCAGCGAACGTTTTACCTGAAGCAAAAGTTGAGCAAGATACGCGCAATGTAGGAAAGACATGGCCAACATCCTTCCAAATAGCATCCTGCGGTAACTGAGCCTCTCTGAGCAAAGCAAAGAAATCGAATTCGGCTTTCTGAGAGGCAGCCCTTTTTTCTAATGATCATTAGTAGGACAGATTGAGAAAGAAGAGAGAAATTGAAGCTCACTTTCACCTAGCTCCTTGAGATGTTCTTTGAATCTCTTCTCCCGCTCCCGGTCATCTCGACCCCAGCTGTAGAATTGCCTGTCCTTTTTCCATGATCGCCGGAAATCTCCCCACGATGTTCTTGTACTTTTCACCTCGGCGGCTAACAGACGATCAAACTCGTCTTTAGGGTTACTGGCCTCCTTCTCTTTCTTCACGTTTTGCTGCCGAAGGTCACGGACGCGCTCCCGACAATATTCATCGAACGCGTCACGTCGGGTAGAAACCGAAGGAAGGAGAACATAACGTGGATCTGACACAAATAAAGGAAGCGAGGTGTCCCAAGGATATAAAGGATTTATGTCTTTTTCTCGGAGGAGAGTCTATGAATTCGATGAGAGAAATCGCGCGAAATTTTTCAGCTACGTCACTTACTTTAAACAAAGCCTTTGCTTCTTCTATAGACAGATCCACTCTATCCGGTATTTTGAATTGCTTTTCTTGAAGCGTTTTTGCCTCCTGCTCGGCGGGTTCTTTCTCTTTCAATGCCTCTTCTTCCTGACGTTCCTTCTCGGCTTCAGCTTCGGCCGCCAGTTGGTCAGCTGCCTCTCGCTGCCAATCCTCTTCCTCGTCACTCTCATCGCTATCCTCTTCACCCTTTTGGTCCAATTTAGGCTTCTTGGATACAACGATCTCATCAACAGGAATATCGCATTGGGCCTTCCGTTTCACCATGTTTTGGACCTCAGCCTTGACTCTTTCGACTTCTCTGGCTCTCTCTTCGTCCGCCCGTTTAACTGCTTCCTCTTCCTCCCATATGGCCTTTAATTTTTTTTCCTCAACGGCCTTTGTTTCATCTTGTTCGAATTGTTCCAGGGCATCTTTGATTTCCCCGGGTACTGTCCAGAGACTCGTCTTCTTCGTCTTGTGAAAGTAGAAAGTATTGCCCCCCGTCGTTTTCACTCGCATCCATTCGGTCCCTGGAATGGGCGTCTTGACTGAAGGTTTCTCCTTGTTTGTGGTAGCTGCCGCCATAACGTTTGGTATTGAAGGAAGCGGGCGAGTATAAGTCGATTCCTTTGTGTGTGCATTGTAGTAGTATGCTTGACCACTGGGGCCTAGTCATTCTTGAGTGCTATAGAAGTAAGTATGTTCATAATTACGGACCTGCATGCTGAGTCCAGCCTGTTGGCAGTGGGGGCGGTCCGAGAGAAGCAAATGGTGGTGCAGACATGAAGACCGTACCGTTTAATTCAGTGCCCTTAATTCAGTTCGTTAGTCACAGGTAACAGCCAATGACAAGGCTCAAAAATGTCGTATTTTAGGCTAAAGGTGCCCATATTTGGACTTTTTTTTTTACATAATTGTTTGTCGGTCATAAAGTTTGGCAAAGGAGAGCAGGGAATCGCACCCCGCATTACGAGAAAAGGACCACCCAGGAAAGTGTTCAGAAAACATGTCCTTGTTGGGACAGTGTGGAGTTCAGTCTCGTTTGTCTATTCTGATCATTATAGTGAGAGCTGGTACCCACTAAAACCCCAGCTGTCCAGTCTAAGAAAGTGACATGCATTCATAGCATCTAGTAGAATACACTGTTAGATATAACATAGACTACAGGATATTGGTCAGTAAGATATATGAAGTAATACAAGTAGATACTCACCCTCATACAGCATAGCAATAAGCAAAAATGCAGTGAGGGTGTTTGATGAACTATATTCAGTATATATTATCCATCCCAACATAGAGAGGTATTAAGCTTGGCTGGTGGGATACAATGGAGCTCCTGCTTGCTAATTCAACACTCCTCTTCAAGCAGAGCAAAGTCCAAGCTCAGTAGCAAAGTGCTTCACCTTGGCTGAAGGCAAGGGCTTGGTGAGAGTGTTGGCAACCATATCCTCAGTATGAACCAGTGATAGAAGTTTGTGAATCCAAGGAACAATTGGAGTTTCTTCTTCTTCATTGGTGTCAGCCACTCTGTTACTTCTGCCACTTTTATCTGGCCCATTCTAATGCTTTCTTTGCTGATAATGACTCTGAGATATTCAGTCTCCAGTACTTTGAACTCACACTTCTTGGCTTTGAGGAATAGTTTGTGTCTTCTCATCAGAGCAAGTACCTATTGCATGAGACTTTGATGCTCTTCTTGGCTCTTTGACATAATAAGAATATCATCAAGGTAGATTATAATCTTCCCCATAGCTATGAGGTTCTTGAAAATGTCATTTATCATTCATTGAAATGTCACTAGTGAGTTAGTCAGCTCAAAGAACATGACTGTGGGCTCAAAGAGTCTTTGGTTAGTTCAGAATGCTGTCATCTATTTATTCTTCTCCTTGATCCTGATGTTATTATATCCCCACCAGATATTGAGTTTGAAATAGTATCATGCTCCACATAGCTTGTCCATGAGATCAGATACCAGTGGAAGTGAGTACCAGTCCTTGATCATCATTTCATTGAGCTTTCAGCAGTCTTAGACTGGTCAAAGTTTTCTGTCTTTCTTTTTGATAAAGAAGAAAGAAGATGCCATAGAGGATTTTGATGGTCAGATTTATCCACTGGATAAGTTCTTGTCTAGAAACTTACTGAGCTCCTGCTGCTCTGGCTGGCTAAAGGAGTATACCTTGCAGTTCAGGTTGGCATTAGCATTCAGAATCAATTCAATTGCATGATTCTAAGACTTCAGCTTGAGTAACTCATTGAAGTTCTCCTTGTTGAATAAATCCTGATAGTCTTGTGCTCACTGTTATGATTTTTCCTCATTTTCATCTTTTATTCAAGGGATTGACCCCTATTTTCACTTAGTCAGGGTGCTTAGACCAGCACTTAGGACTGTGGGACCAGCTTAGTCAGCACAACATGCCCAGTTGGTCATTGTCCTTCAACACAACAGTAACTGCTCAATGACAGACAATACCCTTTTGTAAGTAGCTTAATGACACTGGACAAAATGCTCTATAATGCCAGGATGCACAATTAGGTAGTTATATCTATAGAATAGACAATGACTAGTATATAAGTAGCATAGCTCTTGCTGTAGTATCTTCAGCTTTGCACTAAAGTTTATTCTTCCACCATCTTATTTCGAGCTAACTGCAGGGCCTTGCAACATATAGACAAACAGACACATATAGTGGACTCTGATGTGACTGCCTGAATGTGAAGCAGCATCAGTTTATCATGTGTTTTAGTCACATGTAATTTGGGCTTAACAATTAGCTCAAAGCTTCTAGCTTCTCTTTTTCAAGCTCAATTGTGCTGAGAAACTGAATGCCTCCTGCAATCAACCCATCAGACCCTAACTTCACTCACAAGTTCTTTAAACTCTTCATCTCCATCATCAGAACATTGATAGAATTATTGGTGATCATACAGCTGTGTCATAGACACCAATCAATCACTGCCTGGGCTATTTGTCACTATCAAGAATTTTAGTGCATCAGAACTATTTTACAAAATGTCACCTCTGACCTCTCTCTTCATAACATCCCTCCCTCTGTCTGACAGTCTTTCTAGCTCACAGAAGAAACTATATCTGAAACCAACCCTGAGAATGTGCTTGAGGAGTGTTCTAGGGAAGAAAAAGAACACTGATACCCACCATGACCCCTGATGGCAATTGTCAGAGATGATAGCAACCTTTGGGCTACAGAGTTTTAAAGACTAAGATCTGACATGCCCATCTCACAGATTGAGCAAATAGATGTCCTCAGCCATGTCCCTATGATGAGGGCCACCCTCTCAACTGCACCCTCTGAGCTTAGTGTTAGACATCATGCCAGAGACTCCCTTAATGCCTCTGAGGTGGCTCAAGAGAATAGAAGTCCCCCACCTACTAGCAACTATAGATCCTTATATGCAACATCCATAAAAAGTGGAGAGAGTATCTTCACTGAGTTATATATTGAGAACCAGAGTACTGACAGTGAGGAAAACAGAATCAGAGTCATCAGGACAGATGACTCCTTCTATGTCTATGATTATAAGGCCAAAGAAAGATACTGGTAGGCAGCTGCCAGAGAAGCCAACTGACTAGAGCAGCATGAGAGATGCTACAAGGCTCACTGAGCAAAAAGCATATCAGACCTATCAAGTCTGGTACAACCAACTGATCCAGCCAACCTGATCCTCCCCTCAGAGGATAAAGTTCAATAAACCAATATGCTTGCTGAGTATATCCAGGAGCAAGCATGTATTGACTACAAGGCTGCTAAAGAGGATGCTCTTTTCAGGCAGTATCTCTGAGCATAAGATAGAGCAGACTGGCAAAGGGGCTCAGGGAGCCCTGGAATCTCCATCATTGACCATACCCTCATTGATTCCCCTTTCTCATTCTGAGAACCCAGCACCTCTGTAATATCTGAGCCTGACCTATAGACAGTATCCCCTAAGAGCATTGTCTATGTGGATAACATCCACTGATAAGTGTCAATCAATCTTGATGATGACTGCCTGCTATCATATGGGACTGACTCAATCACTGACATCAATGACATTCCAGGCCAGAACAGAGACATTTCTAGTCATAGTGGAGATCTCAAGTGAATCCTGGATAGATGCCTTGTGTCTCTCTTCCTCTGATCTTGCTTCTACAGAAACTTCTACCAGTATTGCAGGACAGTGGTGGTGGAGGCAGTAAGGCTTGATGGCAAGGAGCAGCAATGAAGAAGGTGAAAGCCTTCTCCTCACTCCAGACCTAATGATGCTAGACTCAGTACTCAGTGACAACCATCAGGATAATCTGAAGCCTTATGACCAGCTTGATGACAGTTTTCTCACTGAAGGAGACAAGGTCAAGAAGGACAATGAGAAAGAGGATCCCCTCTCTGAGTGAGAGAGCATATTTATGAAATAACTGATAGAGGAAGAATTAGCAAAAAAAAGCACAGGAGGAGCATCAGAGAGAGTTTTTATAGCTGTACCAGGAAGGGGCAGCCACATTATAGAAGAATGACATCTGGTTGGTGTCACCCTTGGGATTAAGATATACCACTGCTGACAGGATTGAGCATATAGACATTATTCAGTATGTGGCCATCAAGCAAACCATCTTTATTTACAATGAAAAATATTTAGGACACCAGCTTGCACTGCTACTAGCATGCAAGTCAAGGTTAACATCAAACTGATGCTGTAGATACCAAGCATCACACTAAGCCAGATCATTTATATAGCACTATCAATCCAAAGCACTTCAAGCCAATACACATTCACTATGTCAGCTATCTGCAGTATAGCATCTCAGCTCACACAAAGCTGACCTCAGCCCAGGAATCTCTATCAGAATCTATGAGTGCAACCCATGCACTGACTATTCACTGGTCAACCACCACCAGATGAAGCTGAAAGCAGTAGAAGCAGAAAAGCCTCTACAGCTCCTTTGCCTGAGAAAGATGACCCCAAGGCACTCAAACTCAGATTCACCATTCAGAATAGGCATATTGTACACAAGAAGACACTCTCATCAGGGAGTCCCATCACCAACAATGGCTCTCTCTATTCCTTCCCAGGACCTCTGATATTCTGGAATACTCTGCCTTTTGGTGGAATTCCAAACTCAATGATGGTGCTCACAGCTGATGCTACTATTCTCAACTGCAAGCCTGTCCTCATATGTAAACCCTGCTCCTTTAAGAGAGCCTCTAAGGACATCAACTGATTCCTCACTGATTGCAATCAGTACTTTCAAGTTTTTGCCTTGTACTTTATGCTTGACATATACAAGATGACATTCACTTCTACCCATATAGAAGACAAAGCAAAAATATAGTGGGTGCTTTTAGCCCTCACATTCTAGTCAACTATGCAACAACATCATCAGATGCTCTTATAGCTGATGTTCAAGTAAATGATCATTGACAAGTTCATGGACTCTGTGGTCTAAGAGATACACCAGCAGAAGATGAAGAAATTTAAAATAGCTGACAAGCCAGCCACTGAGTACTTTAATGAGCTGGAATGACTCAGCAAACTTACCAGAGTCCATGACAATATCTTGGGCACAGGACAAATGGTGGAGTACATGAAGATGGAAGCACTATCTTCCTATCTCAAGATAATTTCAGACCTTGGTCAGAATATCCTGAAGGGATATGATAAGTGGAAGATCCACATCATCACTATGTATAGAGAATGATAAAGGCAGAAGGTGGAACAAATCACTCTATTCACAGGGAGACAGAAACATCAGGGACAGGAGGCAAAGCCTAAGTCTTCAACTCAACTATGCCT